ATGATGTGGCTGCTCATGATGGGTCCGATGATCAAGCCAATATTTGATGCGACAGTCCAAAAGAAGACAACCCAGATGCGATCCTGCGCGTTGAAGATGTCTTCGATACTTCCACCAACGATTGTGCCTGGTACTGCTGAGAGTAGGCCTGCAATTAACCGCATCACAATTGCTGCGGGGAGAGAGTGGACGAATCCAATGACTGCACAGCAAATACAGCTCAGCCCGCTGCTGAAGATGTACATCTTTTTGCGTCCAAATGATTCTGTCCAAGGGGGAAGGACAACATTTCCGACTGATTGTCCTAGTAGAAACCTGTGATTGAGTCAGATATCGTTCACGTTGTCGGAAGAGTTGTTTCGGACATACAGAGTGACAAAGCAAAAGGTGGAGTAGGTATAGTTGAGTTCATATTCATGTCGAGCTTGGGCGGCGGCGGCGGCCCCTGCAGTGCTGCTAGCAGTACTGGGAGATGTCAGTATGAGATTGCAATTATGCCATGAGAGAAAATGAACGAACATAAAAAGGTCCAGAGCACAAATAAGTCCAACATCGTATGTCTTCCTCCACATCGGCCAGTTCCTAGGATGTCTTGGATTGTCGTGTGTCCATCTGATAGATTTTCCGTTGGGTGCGAACTCAAGGAAGTGTTCCTGCAAGTACTCCTGCATGGGAAACTTGGGCTCATCAGCTGTCTCAAAATTTTTGAAACCCATCTTTGGCAACAATCAAGCCAATGCTCATCCCGTGTACAAAGAGCAGCAGGTCAAGAAGTGCTTGGAAACAATCAGTTGTCTGGTAAGAGTGCGAAGGCGAAATGTAGTTGGGTATAAATCGTTCCAGGCTAGCAACCACCGCAATTCATCCAGCCTCGTGGAATGACAGCCCCCCTCAACGATTTGGGCTTGGACCCGAGCCGACCTCCCCGTAGAAACGTGCTTGGACAAGATATTACTGGACAGGCGCTTTTTATCTATTGTCTTCTGTAACAATAATTTTGAAAACCTGCCAATATTTGATGGTTACTATACGTATACGGCGTGCCTTTCAAAAAACTTCTATGAATTTGAAGCCTATCAGTCGTTCGTGGTATCAATCCCATGGCCTCGAATCTAGGGATGTGGAATGTCTCACACATTCCTAAGGTAACTGGGAGCTGGACTTCTGTCGATCTCCTGGAATATCATTAGCTTGTCGCTACAATTGACCAGTAAAGAATAATTTGGCTTAAGGGTGGGGTTCAGTTTGAATTTGGCTCGTCTAGGAAGAATCCAATTCGGGGGATTTTTCAGCCACCTTCACATTCTTGACTGTGGCGACAGCCCGATGATCCTTCCTAGTACCCTAGTTTCTTCAAAGCAGAGAACAAAGCCATGTGGTTGCTTGAGATATTCAGTGTAAAAAAGTGACAGACCTACATCTTCAATGGAGGCGCCTTGTGAACAACCGGCTGGCAAACCTGCCATTTGAAGATAGTCGCGAAGACCGAAATAATGCCTCAGGTGAGCAATAAGTTCAAAGTGATATACTCCAAGTTTAATGTTTTGGCAAACTGAGCACCTATCTCACATGAAATAACTATTTTATATGAGTGGAAGCGATTGAATTGCAATAATAGCATGCGAATTAACTTGACCATATTCCTAATAGCGACCATGGGGTCCTATCCTCTTTGTTATGTCCAATGTCATGAATGAGTGTTAACGGAAATCTATAGCTTCGAATGAAACATCGAATGAGTCCATGTTTTCCGGTCGCTTTTTTTTTCGAGGGCCTTTTATTTTCGGTCTATTTCCCTATGGGTTAGCTATAGTTACCATGTTCTGTATAGATAGCAGAACGGTACTAGTACCAACAAACACGCCCCATCTAATAGTTAGGTTGTTTTTATCAGTTCCATCCATTAATAAATGCATCTATAATCCAGCCCAATGAAAAAGAGAAAAAAACCTATTTCACTCCAGATGGCTGGGGAAATGTGTTCTGATAATCGTATACTGCAACTTGGCTCTGTGGTTGGCTGAAACGCGTTCTCATTGGAGCCGGCGGGCCGCCTTGATCGACGCTCCGAGGCCAGATCTCCGAACTTCGACTTCGCCATCACATTCGAGCTCGACCAGCACCGCGGGAACTCGTGAGTTTCACCACCAAGGAGCTCTGCGAGGCTAAGCTAACACATGCAGCTTCTTTCTTTACAGCTCCCGACGATACTTACAGCTCCCGACGTATTCCTAGCGTGCCGTGTCCCGCGCGCGCCTTCGCTTGCCTATCCTCTTCCCCGGCTCCGACACCAGCACATCGCCCACCATGCTCTCAGCACTCTCAGGGACAAATGTCCGCCAAACAATCGCCCAGGTCATGAACTTTGGCCTTGTCTTAGGAACCGTGCGAGCCCTCGGTCCCGATTTCCATTAAGCGCGCTAATGCCTTGCCTAGGCCTTCATGATTTGGAAGTCGTTGTCCGTCCTGTCCGCTAGTAGCTCTCCCATTGTGGTCGTTTTGAGTGGTTCTATGGAACCTGCTTTCCAGAGAGGTGATCTTCTGTTCTTATGGAACCGTGCCCCTCGGGCAGAGATCGGAGAGATCGTTGTTTACAATGTGGTGGGTTACATTTGCCTTGATTGAGGTCTTTTCGGAGCTAACGTCTGTCTATTTTTTTTTTTGCTTGCAGAGAGGAAAAGACATTCCCATTGTGCACCGCGTATCACGAACATTCCCCGAGGTGGAAGGAAAGAACAATAAGGTTAAGGAGATTTCAGTGTACGTCTACTCCTAAATGATCAGTTGCTGGGTGAAACGGGTTAGATACTGACCATGAGAAATAGCGATGCGACACCAAACACCCACATGCTTTTGACCAAGGTAAGAGAGCACCAGGTCTCAATGTTTCTTTGCCGTTCTAGAAGCTAACCTTCTATCTCTACCTTAGGGCGACAACAACCTTGCGGACGATACCGAACTATAGTAAGCTTACGTTGATATGATAATACGGCCAACATCTTCTAACTTGGCTCCTCTCATAGTGCACGTGGCCAGGACCATCTTTCCCGTTCCGAAGACATTGTTGGAAGTGTGCGAGGCTATATTCCGATGGTTGGATACGTAACCATCATGCTCTCTGAACATCCTTGGTTGAAAACCGTTCTTCTTGGATTGATGGGCTTGATGGTCATGCTTCAAAGAGAATAATTGGCAAATGTTTAATACCTCAAATAGCTCAAATACTTCAAATGCCTCAGATCCCAACATTTCAAGTGTCCGAAATAGGATGCACATTTGAATAGCAATGGACATGGACATGAACCATAACCAAGCTGAATATATATGGAACAAACAATTTGAAAGTAGAATGCTACTCTGTAACAAACACAAGGTTGGCCAAAGGAATTTATTTAACGAGCGAGGCGAACGGGGCGCGCGCCGCCTGACGTCTTCGGTTCCCCACTTCACTCGGGGAGGTTCTAGTTTCGAGCTACCAAGTTTCACCCGCACTAACTCACGGTTTTCTCTTTCCACACCTCTAGGCATTTATCAGCGTCGTGAGGTTCGTTTCTTTCTGCTACGGTACTTTAATCGTGTTGTCGCGTGCTTATTCCCTTTGTCCCACGGGTACCCTCCACCTACACACCCCGCACCATCGCGCACCCCACTGCTTGATCGACCTCCAGACAACATGGGCAGCCAAAAGCGCATAGGCAAGGTATGCAATCCGAACCCGTTACCCTGGCTGTTGAATACTCCACTAATATCCTATTCCCCGCAGGAGCTGGCTGAGCTCATGGAATCGCCCCCAGCAGGCATCACAGTCAATTTGGTGGACGAGGCCAACATGTACGAGTGGAAGGTGTTGATGGACGGCCCAGAAGGATCACCATACCACGTATGTCTACCCAGAAAGCAGAAGCTGTGTCTCGAGGTGTCTGTCGCCCTCATCACGAGTGGTCATGTGCATGCTGTCGAACTTGCCTTCGTGATTCCTCACTAACATCGCCGTCCATTTTAGAAAGGAAAATTCCAAATCAAACTCGTCCTGCCTACCGAATACCCTTTTAAACCACCCACCGTCTCTTTCGCAACCAAGATTTACCACCCCAATATAACAAATGATGATAAAGGGAGCATGTGCCTGGGAATGTTGCGGCCCGACGAATGGAAACCAAGCTCGAAGATTGGAGCGGTTCTCGAATTCGCCCGCCAGCTACTATCAGAGCCAATGCCCGACGATGCTATCGAGGGTAGAATCGCCGAGCAATACAAAAATGACCGCAAACACTTTGATGAGGTTGCCCGGGAATGGACTCGGAAGCACGCTTCTTAGGGGCTTCGCGCTGCGGATATGGAAATAATGCTTCGTTGATACTTTATGAAATCGAGAAAGAGCAGTTACTACCGTGGGCCAAAGAAGAAGAAGAAGAAAGGCCGGGCTTAGGCTAGCTCTTGACTTATGAATATACATGAACGAGAACACGCACAAATCTAAACTAGCTCTTAATCAGACGCGCGGGGCTGTTCCGCCCGGGGAACGGAATATCTCTGACAGATCGTCAAATGGTCAAGAAAATCTTCAATTTTCGCGATGTCTATTAGTATACGCTGATAACCATTAGTTAGTAAATGTAGAATATCTTGAACTAGTAACCGCCTGTGCAAAGCTTCAATGTACTGAGGTATCCAGTCTTCTAAAAGTTAAGAGGTAGAGATATAAAAAGTCCAATATCTTTATGACGGAGAACACATGTCTTGTTTTCTCAAGCAGCCCTGGAGGCTGTACCTACCTAAGTAGGTATGAGCTGGGTTTAAGATTGCGAGGATACCGTTTTGCGGAATCTTGCCTCGATTCTCCCACAACTTCCCCGCACATGACCCCATGGGGTCGGCACTACCATATAGCCGGTTGACCCATCCACCTGCGAACAGATGTGAGGACGTCGGAATATAAGTTGGAAAGCACCCGGGCGAAGAAAGAAATTTCGAGCTTGAAGTGTATGAGACTTCAAGCCATGGCCGCCGTATCAGAATTGATCGTCTTCATAGGACAGAATATAACGAGCATCCTGCTACTAATTTTTGTCATTCACCTTACACGCAATTATTTGAAATCCGGGGTATCCTCTATACCGGGACCATTACTAGCTAAGTTATCGAATGCTTGGAGATTCGTCGATGTTGCGAAAGGTCATGCCGAGGTGACATTGTTGAATCTTCATGGCAAGTATGGTGACTATGTGCGACTTGGTCCGAATGTGGTGAGCGTTCGGGACTTGGACGCAATAAAGATTATTTATGGAATAAACAAGGGATATGACAAAGTAGGTACTTCTTCTTTATTCCAATAATCTCAAACTTGACAGTCTTCCGCAGACCGACTTTTACAAAGTCCAACAGCAATTGGTCAAGGGCAAACCCACGCCAACTCTTTTCACTACCACAGACGAAGAGTTCCATGCCGCGATAAAACGACCTGTATCCTCCGCGTACTCGATGAGTACCCTGACGGAGTTTGAGCCTTTTGTTGATCAAACCATTCATACGTTTTTTAAAAGAATGGATGAATTTGCGAACGATCATAAAGTCTGTGATATCGCTACCTGGTTGCAATACTGTACGTTTGCTGATTCTCAACTTCAATCAATCTATCTGACCAGATAATATAGATGCCTTCGATGTCATTGGAGAATTGACCTTTAGCAAATCATTGGGGTTCTTGGAAAAAGGATCTGACGTGGATGGAGTCATTGCCGCTCTTGAGGCAATGCTCAATTATTCTGGCAAGGTTCGAACCAAATTCCTCATACCCCTGGATTTGAAACATACTGAATACTACCAAAGATTGGACAAATTCCCTGGCTAGATTATGTCTTCATCAAGAATCCCCTCAGGAGAATCATTCAAGGAGGTTCCACCGGCGCGGTGGCTCGCTTTGCCCGTGCCCGGGTCGACGAGAGACTCAAAGAAGCCAAGCTAGAAGGAACAGTCGAAAAAGATAGATCAGCACCCAAACCAAGGGATTTTCTTGCTCGATTTCTAGAAGCAAAAGATTTGCATCCGAACATTGTGAGCGACAACCAGGTCTTCTCCTACACAGTCTCCAATATGAATGCCGGATCAGACACCACCGCTATATCGCTCCGAGCTGTTCTATACTACACACTTAAAAATCCACTAGTTGCGGCGAAGTTACAAACGGAACTAGAGACTGCCTTGAAAGAAGAGCGAATCACCGTCCCGGTCTCGTGGAAGCAAAGCCAGGAAGAACTGCCTTATCTCGACGCAGTCATCAAAGAAGCACTCCGATTACATCCTGCTGTGGGGCTGATCATGGAACGAAAGGTACCCAAGGGTGGTCTACAACTGCCAAATGGCGGACCATATCTGCCCGCTGGGACAATAGTCGGTACCAACCCCTGGGTAATTCACCGACATGCTCTTTTCGGTGAAAATGTTGATAAATTTCGTCCCGAGAGATGGCTACCAGCAAACGGCGAATCTGATGCCGAGTTCCAGTCTCGAAAGCAGAAAATGCTCCGTGCGACACTCACATTTGGGGCGGGGGCGAGGACTTGTATTGGGAAAAATATCAGCCTGCTGGAAATTTACAAGTTAATTCCTTCGCTATTACTCACATATGATGTATGAGAATAACAGACATCCACAAGACAGCATGCTAACAATTTTACAGATTAGATTAAAGAGCCCGGAAAAGGAATGGGAGACTACCAATGCATGGTTTGTACGACAAACAAGAATTGATGTTTTGTTGGCTCGTCGTGGTTTTCAATAGGTAAGCCATTGGCGGCTTGGATTAGTCTCTTCCTATCAAGACTTCCGTATTATGCGCTTGCCTGTTTAGCGTTGGATGTCGGCAAAAGCCCGTGCTCCTTTCCTGGTGAATGTCGCATATTCCCCCATGAGCGAGACATCCTCTCAAGAGAATTTGTGGCTACTCCCATTTTGGGCTCGACGTAAATTGACCAGAGGCGAACGGTTAATAGTAAAAATGCAAAGAACAAGCTCAAAATAACCCCCAAGTCGGAAAATGTTCGGTGTGGGAATGTAAGACTCTGGGTTTGGTGTGCCGTCCACTAGCAGGGCAGGCTTCAAGCCAAGGGACATGGGCCAATAGAGGAGGTAAACCAGCACAGAACGCATCAAGGGTCCGTGCAGTAGATAGAGGGGGAAACTGATAGATCCCAGCCAAAGACTCGGTTGGAGAGTATTTGTCGAAGCGAGGGCGAAAGTATTACTCCCGAACAGACCATCTGCGCGCCGACACTAGCGAAGTAGCGACTCATGTTGGAGCCCTCTGGAAATATGGCATCACCAATGTGGGAGAGCTGGGAAGACCAGGCTGTTTGCTCGGCATATTGATCAGGAAATGAGCAGAGGGAAACACCCAGAATGACAACACCGTAAGGTATGGTCCGAAATAATGATCGGGGCTTTAGAGACGCCGAAATTTGACAATTACTGGGGGAAAGTTCGGCTAGCATCATGCCAGCGAATATGTTCATCCCCACACCAGCTGCACGTCATTAGATTCAGAATCTTGGAAGGCATGGTACTGTGTGATATATATTAACTTAGCGTCAAGTGTCGCCCAGCTCCAGATATAGTGCAAAATCTTGGCACATAATCGGAATTGAGGCGTGGTGTTGATCAATGCAAACAGAGTCATAAAAAAATACAATGACCCGCGAAATAGCGGAAGTAATGCCCACTGAGGCTGATCATAGGCATTTTCACCGTACAGCCAAGTCCCGGCGAGCTCCCGAACTAAGTCTTCAACAGCAGCTACCAGCGAAACACTTGGTTTCGCGTCGTCGATCTCAGCCAGAAGGCATCCACTCTGCGAGCTAGTTGGAAAGCGCCGAATTGACAGACCAGCCAAGTCAGGAAAGTCACCAGCGTAGCGGGAAATACCAATCTTCCGGTACGGCGGAAGGCGCCGGTTGACAAGGACCCGAGGGCCTCGGAGACGGCACCCGAGCGGGCTAGTTGGAGTGGTTTGAGGGAGTTGACAAAGCCTAGCAGGATGAAGAACATGGCTACCCAAGCCTGACCCTGGATGACCAAACGGAAGAAGGGTCGCTGAAACAGGGTGGGCTTGCCCGTCTCCGCAATGGAGAGTGGGATCAGGAAGGTCGCAAAATATAGTGAAGTATGACTCGCTACGACGAAGATGGCAGCGATTCCACGGAGGCCCTAGAACAAAGGAAGACAGTTAGTGTTCGGTTCGTCATCTCCGGGATCTCCACTGGAGGAGGTTAGGGTCCACTGGCGGGTGAACGGGTCCACGGGGTTCCGGTTCCCTGGCATAGATCTCAATGATGACAGAAGACCAAGCATCAACTTGAACAACCCAAACTCGATGAGTATATCGGCCCAGCTGCTCGAACGCGGCTGGATGGGAGGCAATTTGGTTGACAGGTCTTGAATAGTAGCCATGGCGGGCGCAAACGCGATGGTGGTCGGACCTAGAATGGACTGGTCGCGCGCGCGAGTGTTTCATACAGAGAGAAACTGGGAATCAGACCCCATGAAAAGGGAGGGGAGGATTACTTACACCATTGAGAGGAAGATGCTTGCGTCGAGTATTGAGGAGTAGAGAACGAAGACGCATGGAAGTGGCATTCCGGGGAAGGAGCGGAACTACCTACCACATGAGTACTACTAGTTAGTATTTACTATAGTATAGGGCACTATATAATTATTCTATACTAGTAGTATCTAGCCACCTGAATGTGATAGCCCTGGAATTGCATTATGCAGACCGTTATACATAACCGTCAAGCCGAATAACGGTTGAATAAAGAAAGAAAAAAAGTATGCCCTGATCGACACTGCATCCATCCGCAATAGTACGGAGTACTCTGTAGGGACGCCCTTCAACTTCAACGTTGCCGGGGAACTGAGGGTAATTGCGAAGACTATCAATCTTCTTAGTCCGTACATGTATGAATTGCAGCTTGTAAGTAACTACTACTGTAACTACTGTAACTACCATGCCATATGCAGTAATGCAAGACTCATCACATTCTGAAACGCCCTTTCTGCTACGTCATGTGACGCTAACCCAATGAGGCATTGTTGATTTGTGTCTCATTTCTCATTTCTCGCCTCTAGTTGGTCTTTCCTCGCTGCATCCAACTTTTGCTTTTGCCTCCAGGCGTTCCCCTACTTTTCTCTTATTATCGCCGGCAGGTTCTGGCGGGCCTCGTCCTTCGTTTTTTTGGGTTCGCGTGTTCTTGCACAACATATTCTTCAATCTCCTACGGAGCCATCCGCTCACGCTCAACCCTTTTCTTTTTTTCTTTTTCACACTCTCTCTGGCCTTCTCCGACCCTCGTGTACGGCGTACACGCACTGTGACCTTCCTTGTGTCTCGTTGATTACCCATTTGGTTACGATCCCAACATTCGACCGACTATTCGACTATCCGTGTCCGATTCTTCTATTCCCCCTACCAACTCAACTGTCCATTCATTTGCATACCACCTCCGAGCCGCCCGCCGGCCTCTCCGACCTCTCTCCTCTTCGCCATAAACCAATGTCCAGCGGGTCCTGGGTACTAGATCGTGGCCATGGTCACAGAACTTGTAGCCCCTCGATATCCGCCGCTGTCGGTTGAATCGGACTTGCGTGGCCGTCGAAAGGTCCTTCCGCCACCGCGTCTGGATTCTTTAAAGATTGATCCACACGCGCGAACCAGACAACCATCGCCAAGATCGTCGCCGCGCTCTCCGCACTCTCCGCATCACCAGCCACGTGCACGTTCGCCTTTACCAACAGCACCACCGAGCGCAACAGAAGAGCGCCCATGGCTACCTATGTCACTTCGGGCCGGTTCTCCGCAGCAAGAAACAAACGACGACTGGAGAGTTCGCCGCCCCGCTGCGGAAACAGCTCGCTCTTTCACTCCGTCCCCGAACCTCCCAAATGCCACCCTCACGATAGCGATGTTGACCGGCCCAACCACCGAAAGGCCCCGCCAACTAGGGGCGGTCTACGTATTTCAATGTCAACTTCCCGATTGCATAACAGACGGCCCAGGACGCAGGAATCGCCGGACCGCCGACAAGACGCCCATTTCAATGTCAATGCTCATTGCCTGCCGTTGCCCCGTTTCCCCTCGAACGGCCCTGCCGATGATGATGGTCCACGGACGAGTGTCAACTCCAATTTCACTTCACGGTCCAGCATTGAACAAACGAGTGGAACTGAGCGTAGCAGTGTTCTCACAAAGAGTAGCTCTATCACGGATCTATCACCCGACACACCCTGCGCGCCATATGGGATGGACGAAGGCATGAGTGTGGAAGATGCAATCTCCATGTATCTTGACGGCTTCAGTGATGTGACGGAGGAGCCGGCCTCGCCAAAGTCTCGGGCAGATAGTAAGGCGCCGTCAATCACCCCTCCACCGTCACGGGATACAACTTTTGAAGAACCCCCTCCTCCAATTCGGACATCGCTGGACGATATTCCGCCTATCCCTCCCCTGCCATTAACGGGGTTTCCGGAGCCTGTCCCATTAGGATCGATACCGTCTGACTTCTATCTTCTCGGGCGCACTGCCCCGGATCCCCTTGTTGCTGTAGAATCTCCACCAGAAACGCCGTGGCCAATGCCCAATCCATTGGAACAAATCCAATTCGAGGAAACTCATCCAGAGGCTGTGGTCCCCGAACCAGCGCCTACATCATCATCACTCCCACCTCAGCCGCCATCACCACCACCTCCACCACCTCCACTCCAATCATCGCCTACTCCCCTGTCGCCCCGTCAGCGACAGCCGTCGAAAATTATAATACCCGGTCCCGTCCCACCACCGCTCAGTTCTGGAACTGACACGCGGGATGACTATGGCTTTCGCAAAGCGACACAGTACGTCACCTTGGAACAATACGAGGCTTGGAAAGGTCCCTACTCCAATTATGCGGCCCAAAGGCGCGCAAAATGGCAGGATCTCATGAAAGAGAATGGATTGCCTACTACCGATGTTACTACTTTCCCGGCAAAGTCCAATAAAGTGAAGCGGTTTGTACGAAAGGGCATCCCATCCGAGTATCGAGGTGCGGCTTGGTTCTGGTATGCCGGCGGGTACGAGCTCTTGAATCGCAATGTTGGTCTGTATGACGAGCTTGTCAAGAAAGTCATGGCTTCTCCTAGCAACGATGACAAAGAGCACATTGAGCGGGATCTTCATCGTACCTTTCCGGATAGCCTCCACTTCAAACCAGATATGACTGATGCTGCCGGAAAATCTGGAAGTAGCAATCCCCAGTTTCAGACTGACACCATGGAGACGTCCATGATTCAATCCCTGCGCCGGGTACTGTATGCCTTTTCGCTTCACAACCCGAAGGTGGGCTACACACAATCATTGAATTTCATCACGGGCATGCTTCTCCTTTTCCTCCCAGAGGAGAAGGCGTTCTGGATGTTGCACATCGTGACGTCGGTCTACTTGCCAGGAACGCATGAGATCAGTCTCGAGGGTGCGAACATCGATCTTTGGATTTTGATGGTTCTCTTACGGGACTCCATGCCCGGCATCTATTCTAAGATTGCCAGTATGGAAGGGGCGCCACCCACACGAGGCAAACTGCCACCACTCACGGTGAACTCCCGCCTGCCGGACATCACGCTGGGGCTAACAAACTGGCTTATGTCAGTTTTCATTGGAACTTTACCTTTGGAGACCACCCTACGAGTCTGGGACATCTTCTTCTATGAGGGCTCGAAAACATTTTTTCCGCGTCTCACTCGCCATCTTCAAAGCATGTGAGCGCGATATTCTCGCTGTTTCAGACCCGATGGAGGTCTTTCAGGTGGTACAAACCGTCCCAAAGAAGCTTTTGGATGCGAACACTCTACTCGACGATTGTTTCATTCGAAAAAACCGCGTCGGCCAAGGCCGGATCGAAGAGCTGCGCGCCTCGCGTCGGGTCGCCGTTCGTCAAGAGAAGCTTCGCCGGTCGGTCGCTTTCAGCAAGGGCCAGATACCATCAGCGACGGACGATTTCACGGTCCGTTCTCGCAACCAGGCACCCCGAGTTGAGGAACGGGTGGTGCACTCCTGGCGTCAACTCAAGCAGCATGCATTCCGCTAGCCCCGTTTGCGTGCCATTAATTTCTGTAATCATAATCGGTCTTTGTCGGGTTTCGACAGAGCAACCCGCGAGAACGGGTGGGGGATCCTTGCATTTTATCATTTGTTTTTGGGCTGGCGTCTATTCGGCAACGGGGGGGGAATGACTGGGAAAGGGGGGAACTCGCATCATAGACGCATATTCATTTCTAACTCCGTACGGAGTACTGTACATATCAATGCTACGCCAAGCAGGCAGCGCTACTTGGACTCTCGGCACCCAATTTTGTGGAATGAAATTTTGAAGCCAACATTATCAATGAACGGGGTCTCTGTACCCTGGGTAGGGTACAGGGCTGATTGACTAGCTAAGGAACTAAAGTAAACTAGAGGAACCGCGGGGCTTGGCAAGGTCCGGGATTGGTCGATCGTTCTTTTTTGAACTTGGGGGGTGATCGGTGATCGCTCTTTCCTTTGGTTCGTGTCGTCATGCACCTGCCAATGCGGAATTCAAAAAGCAGAGCTGCTCCTTGCTTTTCCCCCATCTCCCCCTCATTTTGATCTTTTCCCTTTCTATTATCCTCTTGATCATCCGCCCTTACACGGAGCATGCAGTTATGAGTGGTCAAGCATCTTCTTATTACGACCAAAATCAGGGCTTTGACCCGCGGGCCCAGCCGAACTATGAACAAAATGGCTATCAGCAAAATGGCTATCAGCAGCAGCAAAACTATCAACAGCAAAATTACCAACAGCCCAATTATCAGCAGCCTCCGGAGTCTAAGCCTCCACCGTCGCAATATCCCGAAAATCCTCCTCCTCCATACAGCACCTTTGATCAGGCATTCAAGATCGAGAAGCCAAAGTACAATGATCTGTGGGCAGGATTGCTGGTTGGTTCTCCACACTCGAGGTAACCCCAAAATTATAGACCCAGCTAACGACCTCACTTCCCTCTCCAGTTGATCGCTGTCTTCCTCGGATATGCTGCTGTATCAGGAATCACCATTCACAAGTATGCAACCAACAAAGGGTTCAGCGGAGGTGGCATCTACGACTCGGCCAATGACTTCTCCCTCAACACCAATACTCTGGTTCTCTTCATCTTTGTCCTCGTGGTCGCCCTCGTGCTTTCTTGGGCATACTTCATGGGCGCACGGTATTTCACCAAGACTTTCATCTGGGTAACCGGCATCTTGAACATCGTCTTTGCGCTAGCAACTGGTATCTACTACATCGCTCGCAAGCAGTATGGCGGTGGAATAGTATTCCTTCTATTCGGTGTCTTCGCTATTATATGCTTCATCAGCTGGATCCCGCGAATCCCATTCACGGCCTTCATGCTCCAGACCACCATGGACGTCGCGCGAAACTATGGCCATGTCTTCCTCGTCAGTGCGCTAGGCGGGCTTGTGACTGTCGCTTTCTCGGCCTGGTTCTCAGTGACTCTCGTCGCAATTTACGTCGCTTATGAGCCAGATTCCACAGGCGTGAATCCATCCTGCGCAAACGGCGGCTGTAGTAACGCCAAAGTTATTGGATTGGTCGTCTACGTCACTTTCGCCATGTACTGGTTCAGTGAGTGGATCAAGAACACCGTGCACACCACCATCGCCGGTCTTTACGGATCGTGGTATTTCTGGAGCAAATCTCCCAGTGGTATGCCCAAGGGTTCAACTCGGGGTGCGTTCCGACGGGCCACTACGTACTCTTTCGGAAGCATCAGCCTGGGCAGTCTGATCATTGCTTTTATCCAGATGATGCGCCAAGCATGCTCCGTTGCGCAGCGCCAGGAAGCCGGTCAAGGAAACATTGTTGGCAGTATCTTGTTCTGGGTCTTGGGTTGCTTTATTTCGCTCTTGGACTGGCTTGTTACGCTCTTTAACCGCTACGCATTTTGCCACATCGCCCTATACGGAAAAGCTTATGTACCTGCAGCAAAGGATACATGGAAAATGATGCGTGATCGTGGTGTCGATGCTTTGGTTCAGGATTGCCTAATTGGGCCGGTGTTGACTATGGGCTCAACATTCGTGGCCTATGTGTGCGCCTTGTTGGCCTATTTGTATCTGCAGTTCACCAAGCCTGCCTACAACAACGACGGGGACTTCACTGCCGTGATCATGGCTTTCGCTTTCTTGATCGGATTGCAGGTCTGCCAAGTCTTTATGACCCCCATCGGGAGCGGTGTTGAGACCATCTTTGTCGCTATGGGTTGGGATCCCCAGGTCATGATTAACGACCACCCGGAGATATACTACAAGCTGGTGGAGTTGTATCCCAAGGTGCAGCAGGCAATCCATGCTTGAACCTGCACATTGATGGGGTAAAGGGATTGTGGACTTGACCTGATCTTGGTTTCCGCTTCGAGGAGACATGGAGTTTGCCTGGCCAGGTGATGAGTCTGAGATGAGTAAACGCTAAATAATTTTTATTCTTATAAAGAAATACGACTATACAAGGAGTAACATACGATGTTTCATTGATCATTACAACTGCGATCTGATAAATAATTTGTGAAAATGCAAAACAACGCCCGTATAAACTCCGAGACAGAAAAGAAAAGAAATAAGCCCTATTATTCAGGCAAGACAAAGGACAAGAAAAATAAACACCACTGCCTCCACTCAACCCATTAACTTCTTACAGAGCAATCATCACACCCATGAAGGCCGCAACACCGAGAGCAGCGATACCACCGTGGGCAGCGCTGACCTGAGGCGCGGCACCCTGGAAGGCAGAGAAGCGGTTAGGATCCGCACCACTGGGCGCAGGAGTCGCAGCCGAAGCCTGGGAGCCGAAGAGGACAGAAGAAGAGGAGGCGGGGATGAGAACACCGTTAGAGATAACGGGCGACGAGGCAGCGAGCATGCCAATCATGCTCGAGCTGACAGGGACGTCAACGGGAATCTGGGAGATGTGCGCCGGGGCAGGCGTGGTCTTGCAGCTGCACGCGCTGTGGGTCTCGGTCATGGTCACATAAACGACGCGGGGCTCGGGCATCTTATCTTCGGTCTCGCTGGAGGGGGAGTAGGCGCGCTTGATGTTCATGTTGGCGGGTTCCATGGGCTTGGAGGCGTGGCGAGCCGGTGCTGAGACGCGGTCGCTGGAGCAGAGAGAGCTTAGGGAGCTCAGGTCTGGGTGATGTTAGTTATAATTGACCCCCCTAGGCATGACGTTTTATACTATTGTTCGAAGTTAATGGGATTGAACGTACCGATGCCGGCTTCCTTGCAGACAGCCTCAGCAGACTCGCTCAGGTTTTCGATGGCATCCTTGTTGTTGCAGAAGCACTCATCAGAGCTCAGATCGGTGCAATCCTTGAACTTGGAGGTGTCGATGCCGTCCATAGCGGCGGTCTAGCAGAGTTAGGGTTTAATTCAAACATAGTGTACATCAGTATCACTTACAGCACAGTCAAGGTAGTCGCTGCTCATCTTGGCACTGACGCCAGCCACGAAGAGAGCGGTAGCAATGAAGGAACGCATCTTGAAATTGAAGCTTTTTCTTCTTGGCCGAAATGTGAGAAGGAGTGATTTTGAGTAGAAGTATCTTTAGCAATGATTGAATAGATTAGAACAGTATGGGACACAGATGGCGTCGAGCCTCAGGGATTCAGAATCGGCTTTAAGTACACAATCGCTAAATCAACAAACAGGGTCAAGAATTGTTCTGCGGCCCTGTATCCCTTGGCTCCCTAGACCAGCGCAACCATTTGAATACTGGTTCGGGCATTTATGACGCTCAGGCATTCTGGAAAGTGACTCGAACGGGAAGGAAGACGACACTCACACTATATGGATAAGATTCGACTGGCATCTGACCGTACAGTGCAGTCCATTTCACAGCCTACACGTACACATCTCCCCTGCCGATCGCTGCGGAATGACACAAGAATGTGCCAGTTGCCATGTCCCTTTCGTCGTGCCTGGCAGTATCCCTAGTAACCCTTCCTACTAAGGAATGTTGTTCAGGGAAATTGTATCCAAGAAATCCTAACCCAATTACCTCTGCAAAGTTGACGGCTGATGACAGCGTCAAAAAAAGCTGTATATCATGCGAATTGGTCCTTTAAACCTTTGAGTAGTTGACTTGCGAGAATCGACTTTCGTGCACCTTTTGGCCCCCGCCATTATGTACCATGTACATAGCTTGGGTCACTTGCATGCCGGGCGCTTACCGTAGTTAACCATCTACTAGTAACAAGCAGTTAGCTTCACTTGTGCATCAGTATCTGCTAAGTACTGATTTCGCATCCACCTTATGTATCTTTGATGGAGTGTTCAGAAATTACTCCCAGTTCACCTTTTTACTTGTTGTGAGCGAGCTTTGGTTTTCTTTTTTGGACGTATAGCTTCATTGCCCTTTTAGGGATTGATCTACTTATGGCCGACACCTGGCAGCCCGTAAAGTAGCATGCTATGTGGCAAAGCCCGTGGTCTATGAATAGGATATCAACTTGAAGAAATGATCGACCGACCCGACGGATGAATTAGCAACCACCTCTTATCTCCTGGCCAACGTTCAGCAGACGGCATGCATTAAACCTGAAACTCGAGGACTGTGAGTACTAGTTACATGCTTTACTTTAAGTAGCACATACTAGCTAAACCCCCATCATTCAGCAGGCACAACCTGTCTTTCAAATCATGGAAATCAGAAACGTGAGGTCAGCTAACTTGAAGATATTCGAAACTTCTAAAGAAATACAATGTACCACAAATCACTGATTACTGCATGCCAATAAAGAATTCAAAACCGATGTGACAAGGGTATCTTTTGTATATACTAGTATTAAATCATCACAAACTCATCCATCACTATTAATGATTGTGCAATGGACCATTGGTACCAGGCAATTCCGCAACAGAGTTCTTCGAATCCATCTCGTAGGCTTTCCCTGTAATCTCACTGCCCGCAATCTCCGAAGGGAGCTTGTGCTCTGCGCCGTAACCGTCCACCTCTGCGTACTTCTGTGGCGTAGTTCCCTCGACTTCATGCATTGGCTGCGGCATAGTCATAGCCACATCCTCAAGCGGTGGCGGGGGAGGCGGCATCGCGCCACCATCACCTTGTCCAGGTTGATAGGCTCCGGCTTCTGCTTGCTTTCTCTTCTTCTTGAGCAGGAAAAACATAAATCCTGCAGCGGCAATGCCCGCAGCACCAACGACACCACCAACGACACCACCGGCAATGGCGCCTGTATTGGTCGATTTCGAGGAACCTCCAGACTTTGAGCCTGAATTTGAAGACGACAAGTCTGAGTCGGATGTTGCAGTTGCCGAGGCAGAAGATGACCCGGAATTTCCGACTGAAGTCGCCTTGTCTACCTTCTGGGATGTGGCTCCAGTGCCTGAAACGTATATGTCGATCCAACTAGCATCAACGACCTGAGGTCTGATAGCCGCGACTGTGGGATAAATGGCTTCTAGGTCAGTGGTCGTGACGGTGCCAGGTTGAGTGGCTGAGACACCACCCCCAGTGGCTGATGTTGTATCCACGACAGCAATCAATGCTAGGGTTTGAGTGGTCTTGGTGTCGTGGCAGCCGTAATCGGTTATATCCAGCTGGGGATATATCCATGTTCGACATTCCGGGTAGTCTGATTCGGTACAATATATGGCGAATATGTTCGTGGGGGAGTTCAAGACCGAAGGAGTTGCAGAAACCTGTTTCCTGTTGTAGCAGACTGTCTCCCAGGCGCAACTTTCTGGTTTGCCGCCATCACAACAGCCTACCATTCCCGGGTAATGGCTATCGGAAGTATGAAAGACGCACTGGTAGTTGTCCTGGCATCGTATCGATGAATCTGGAAAGTATGAACATCAGCTACTTTGATCCTCTGCCGAAGAGATGTCGAATAAGATTGGGAAAAAGACGATTGACTAGTCACTTACAGTCATCCCAAACAGCATCAATGTACCCACACACACTTTGAGGCATCCACGAGGTAACTGTTGTCGAAGCAGAAGGGAAATAAAGCAAGCTTGATTCACCCGCAATGAAAGAGCTCACAAACGCATCCTCGTCATCGCCACGACGCAGGAAATCCCTCCTCTGATTCCCTACGGCAGTCGGCTGAGGGCAATCCGGTTGCAAGGCTGCGTGACCTGTAGCAGTCGGTTCAGTGCCTGGGAACGTAATTGCCCACGTAACAGGGAGAAAAGCAAGACCGCACAGGCCGGTTGCTCGTCTCCAAATCATCGTCACTCGAATCTACGCAAAAGATGCAGGTTTGTGAAGGGAAAACTCGGATTTTACGGATACGACGCCTTGCAGGTACCTACTGCGCTATATACATCGGGTAAAAGCCGGATCACCCCTAAACTTTTTAATCTCCAACCTGGGCAGTGTCTCGCTACGAGGAGCACCGACCCTGCCAGCCTCAGGTCTCTGTAAGCAAGCTAATGGCCTCGCCCATTGAGCACCCACTTTTTGCGCTGGTGAGATTGGTCCTACTGGTTCGTAAAAGGGACGAGTCGGGCTTGGCGGCGCCAGTGGCTTAGAGACCTAACTCTGAATTGAGCAATACGAGACGAGGCTTCTGGTGATGAGATTGGGGACTTAGTAAGACCAGCTGAAGAGATACTTGAGAATATTGATATCTTTTGATGTATATAATTTCTTTGATTGAACTGAGATCAAAACGGCGAAATGTTGCCCTGGTTCAAAAATGATCAGGTCGTTCCGATATGGAGCCTCGTTGATGAAAACTAGACCCTGGCACTAATCCATAATAGGATATTTATCAGACGATCACCTTTTCAAACATTTAACAGGAAGTCTGCAGATTGGAGTTCACTGTCTAGATTGAGCCAATACTATTCCATCTGACTCGCTTGGTAATAGCTCCAGTAAAAAGCCAGATACTATATGACTCGGTGAATGACGAAGACCATGAATCTACTACCCTCAAAATATCAAAACCGACCTGTAATACTATTCCGATAGGTACTCTTTGGGTTGTGGCTCTAGGGTGAAGCAGATGTCTGATGGCACAAGAAGAATAAAAACTGCAAACACAAATCCATTGGGTATACTGGTCCAAAGAAAATCATCCATCGCTCTAATAAAATCGTGACAAAAAAGACATTCCAATCATTAAAACCCTGCACAGAAACTCCAAATTATTGTTCCAAAGCCAGCTCAGAACTTCTCACTTGTCACACAGCGCGTCGCCCTCACCAGCAGCCATGCCAGGAGCTTAACGGCGAGTGTCAACCCCTTGACGAATAACTCCAATCCCCAGAACAGAAGTTTCAAGATGGTCCGAGTAATCCCTGGCAGTTTCTCGCCTTTCCGAGACGATTCAGGGCCATACCGGCCGTACTTTTCGAGATCGAATTCCTCAACAACAACCTGTTGCCCTTTATTCTTGCCCTTCTTGGCCATACGCCCGCTCGCAGATGTAGAAGAGCTCGGCTTCGATCGTTCCCAGAACTTGAAGAGGCTCTTCCGCTTCGCTGCGGCTTCGGCCTTTGCATTGGCATCTTCAATCTGAGATGCGAGATGGAGACTTTCCGCGTAGTCTTCGCGCTCAGCAAGTGTCGTGACGAGTCTCCCGCGGTAAGGCACTCCAGCCATCGGCTCGCTGTTCGTATATGATTCAAATGAGTGGTGGGTACTACCAATCTCCATATCGGCGAGGATGGGATTGGTGATCTCGTCAGAGACAGCAACAGCGAGTATTGCCGCGACTAGCGAGTCGATCGCATATAGCGAGGGGATAGTCGCGATGACTGCAGCTGGGGAGATAGACAGAGTTCGGGTTGCCAGATCGAGAGCCGCTAGCGGTTCATCGGAGTCTGTAACGGGGAGTATGGATGTTCGTGCCGTGGCAGCCTGTTGCGCAGCCTCCATGGAGACTGGTCCAGTGACAATGATCGTTGGTGGTTGGGTAAGTACTGCGTCGCTTGAAGGCGCAGATACAGCGATATGAAGCATGCCGGAAGACTGAGATCGTACCGGGAGAGGGGAATGCCCGCAGCTCCCACTAAAGCTGGCGGTTGTCGTTTCGATAGTGATGGGTGGCGAAGCTCGTAGAGGCGTAGGTTGCGATTCCAGGACAGTCGACAGGACTCCTGTGCGGCAGCTCGTTTCAGAGCGTCTTGTTCTATTTCGCCAGCTTCAGAGGGAGTAAGTTGATGTTCTTTGCTGACCTCGGCTGCTTGCTCGATGGCAAGCATAGCAGCTAATCTGGAAAAAAGAAGCGCAACAAGTCCGTCGTTGGGATGCTCTCTACGTCGGCGTTCTTCGAGACTTAGACCCATAATTGGAATGTCACTTTCTGGATTTGATGGCGCTCCACGAGATATAGCTATGTCGTTGTTCGAAAAAGTTTGCAGCGTATAAAATGGTTGGTTGGAGTTCCCGAATGTAAAAGTCGCGGGACCGGTTCTGGAGAAGAATTTAGCAAATTGAATTGACCGGCAAAGGTCGTTGGGTATAAATTACCTTGTCAAGCGAAGATTAACTGTACCACACGTGTTCCGCGGCCTTTGACCATTGGCTGCTTCCCAAAGCATTTCCAAATCCTGAACAGAGGAGTATCGAATCTCCTCTGGCTCCAAGGCACCGGTTGGGAAGTTGAGCACGCTTGCAGGGACAGTCTTTGGTCCAAGAACATGGTCAATATCAGACGTTGTAGTTAGCGTGAGATTTGGCCTGCGATTAGGCTTGGGCTTGAGGGTTTCGGTAGGCATTTGTGAATCGTTATCTTGTGTGTTGAGCGAGGTCTTTGGATCAAAGCGGGGGAACATTGATCTCATCGGCAGTGGAGAAACGGAAGATTGGGAAGATTGAGGGGAAGTAGTTGAATTCGTATTCTGATCACTGTTGCTACTACTATCGCCGGCGCTGCCTTGTGAGGGCAAGGGCCGATGGTTCATTGGACTGGTATTTTGATGCCTTCGGTTGCGAGGAGACTGGGGAGGTTTCGACTGCTGGGATGATTGTGTGGCGGGTGACTTCGATCGTGCGAAGTTTGTAGCAGGTAAAGCTGGTGGAGGTGGAAAATGTTGAGTGTCTTCGATGATTTGAAGCAATACCGACTCCGTATTCGTAGAGCTCTTGATCTCTTCAAGCGGGATAGGAGATGGCGGTTCGTTCTTCGGCACAGGCTTTTTGACACCTTTTCGAAATGGATTTCTTTGCGCTCTAACCTCAGGCGAAGGAGGCGGGAATAATTGAAATTGACTCATTGTGTTGGTTGCGATGGGATACAGTCCCGTGCTGAATATCAATGCACTGGAATAGAAGTCCCGGGGCAAACATAGGATTCACGAACAAGACCCGACCAGGGGGGCGTTTCGAAAAACATATAGTCCATATCGACCGCTGGGCTTTACATGTTGCAGTTTAATGCAGCCAGGTGCTAAAGCGCCTCGAATGTGACAGGCACTATTTTTAGGGCGGCGCCTAGAGTGTGACGGCGGTGATTGGCTGCTGCGGTGGGATGAGAACAGTGACTTGAACGACCGGCGCGTCGAGCATGCCTGATGATTGGTTTCACCGATGCCACAGATGGGAACGGAATTTCCTTTTTGCAAATCTCTTTTGTTTCTGGCGTTCCTGGATAGCAATTGGCGGTCAACTCGGTAGGAATCTCACGGCTAAGTTAGCGCCCCGAGCAGTCGGCGCATACAAACCAGGTGCATGACGTTGAAAAATAGGCTAAGAAGACAATGAGTTTCTTCATCTAATGGTGGTCCACTATGGCGTTGCCTGTTGGCTGTTGGCCAACTAGTCGAACCGGTAGGGTAGCTCAAGATCTTAACCCCGCCCACCGGTAAATGCGGGGATAAGTTGATGGAGAGAAATCGAAGACACCAGTCTATTAGCGTTATATTTACATCTTATTGTACAGTATACTGCTTTGAGAGCACTCAAACCGAGGCTTCGTCATGCACAGAATACATCAGCCCCTCGGCCATTGCGATTGCACCCTCCATGTCACCCTTATTATATAGGAACAAGCCTTGCAAAGCAGCCGCGCTAGTAGTCTTGGAACGGTCTGCCTTCTGGCCGTTCTCGTCCTCGATCAAACCAAGCTCCTGGAGTCGGTTGAGGAAGATCTGGCGGTGTGTGCCCTCAGTATCGATTTCTTGATAGAAACGATCCCAAAGGCGGGAAACTTGATAGCGAGTGATTTCGCCAAGGCGGACGGTCATGTCGACACGACCAGGTCGGACCAAGGCCTCATCCAGTCGTTCCACGTGGTTAGTGGTAAGGAAGATGATACGCTCCTCGGCACTGGCGACACCATCAAGCGTATTCAACAGACCGGAGAAGGTCACATTGGCTCCACGGTAGCCATCAGCCTCAGACTGTGTGCGTCTGTTGGAAAAGGCCGCATCAACATCCTCCAACAAAACCAAAGTGCGGTTTGGAACAACCGTCAAGAGATGGTTCAACCGGTCATCCGTAAGCCCACGTTCACTCAGATTTATGATGGCAATGTCGTAGTCCAGCTCGCCAGCAAGCGCTTGGATGAATGAACTTTTACCGGTGCCCGGGGGTCCGTAAAGCAAGTATCCGCGTCGGTATGGGATGCCGCGATCGTGATACCAGGAAGCGCTCCCGATAAAGTCTTGCACGTCATCGACAATACGTTCTTTGACTCCCTCAGCGAGGACCACCGACTCGAGCGGACGCTTCCGTCGTGGATGCCCAAATGGCCGCCATTCCGTTCCCCAGCTGTTATAGATAGTCGTCTTTCCCTCGTGTGATTTCGCAGCATAATCATGAGCCTCGGTGAATAGGTCCTCGAATATGTGACGGTGGGAGTAGAGAGTAGTTAAGGTAATTGTTTCCCAAGGTTTACCGGTTTGGATGTCGCGGGATTTCGATTCTCGCATACGGTTGACAAAGATGAAAGCGTTTTTGTAACGAAGGACGTGTTTCCCGGGGCCCGGTACCAGAGAGAAGTGTGTTTGGATCGCGCCGTTTGCCCGTTCGACTTTGGAGGTCTGGATGGAAAGGTGTCGCATGCCCGGGGTCATCTTCTGGAGCATGCGATCAATAAACCCGGTATTCTGGGCAGCGGCACGCGTTGCGGAGAGTTGTGATTGTTGATAGAGGGTCATCCAATGTAGGAACCATGGGTATGAATCATCTTTAATGCTGATCTCGACGTCTACCAGCATGCGGCGACGGATTAGAGCTGCACCATGACGGAAACCCTTTTGCGCAAAGGTCAAACCTGCACCCAAACCTGCCAGTCCAAAGCCCTAGGGAAATAGCCGGGTTAGACGAATGGAAAAAAAAAGAAGATGTTAATTGAGAGCTAATTGGAGCAAGCATACCGCCGTGAACAAAGGATTATTCGTTAATTGGGAAAAAAGGCTCCCGTCCCCATTTTGCGCGGCTTGTTGCGCGTTCTGGACCGCCTGTGTCTTCTGCTGCAAGATCAGATCGCCCGCAGATGGCACAGCATTGGAAGCTCCATTTGGCTCCATGCTGGCCGAGTCGAAGGGAAATATGAAAACAGTATTGACTGGAGCGTGTTGTCTTCCAGAAATCTTTTAGCAGGAACCTTACCTTGAAGGAACCATAGGACGATAAGAAACGATATCGGAGTTATAACGGGCCGGGGCTGGCGTGACGACGGTGATAGAATCGGGCCTAAGTTGGGGGTCACCAGTTCGTGCGACACTACTCGGATGAATTTCATTTTTCTGTTACTTTCATCTTTGATCGTGACGGTCAAACTATTGATCGGCTGGCAGCTTCACAGCTTCTCTCCGGAGTCGAGACCTTGCGGGGAAACGGTCTTCACATGGAGCCGACGGAGGGCGAGAATGGCCAACTCCGCCCCGGAGATATCGGGGGCCAAATCGATTGGGTCTTCTTCAAAAACCTTCCGCATTCCTCCCAATCATAGCGGCCTGGCGCAGGGTTCGCGGTCGAGTGGATTGGGGTGTATATAAGAGCATCAGCATTCCCTCATGCTTGCTTTTCTACAGCGTCCCCGAATTTGTCGGCGGCCGAATTACTTGACTTCCACCTTCTATTCGCCCGTCCGCAATATGGGCTCGACCACGACCGGTGTGCTCTACGCGTTGACAGTGGCCACCTCCCCAGCCAGGCCAGCCCCCGAAGATGTCTTGGAAAAGAGTCATCATGGAAAATCAGGCTTTAGAAACCCCTGGGAGTGAGTGGTCGCGTTTGCTTACGCCTTTGGTTGTCGCATGATCCTAACCAGAAATTTCCTTCCAGCTCATGGAAAGATGTGGATTTCAGCAATGTCCGTGAAATGCTCATGTAAGTGTTCCGGAAAAGGCTGAAAAGGAAAGAAAACCTTCAAGTTCATCATCTAATCTATTTTTTTCTTCTTCTCGTGATAGGCGTCGCTTGACCGGCAAAGCCAATGTACCCGACACTTCAGGTCCAACCGTCACCGTTCGAAAGCCCGAATTCCTTCCTACTCGAGATACCACAAAACTTCGTGCAACATGGCTAGGACACGCCTGCTATTACATTGAATTCCCTGGTGGACTTCGGGTTCTTTTCGATCCCGTATTGGACAAGCATTGCGGTCCTTACGGCCTGCTGGGACCGAAGCGATACACGCCCGCTCCTTGTGAGATCAAGGATATCCCCTTGATCGATGCTGTGGTTATTTCGCATAATCATTATGATCATCTCTCCCACCCTGGTGTGACTGAAATCGCCAAGTTACACCCCAACTGTCATTTCTTCGTTCCGCTAGGGAATAAGTCCTGGTTCCATAGTTGTGGAATCGAGAAGGTGACAGAAATGGATTGGTGGGATGAGCGCGACATCACTCTGTCCCCATCGAATGATGCGAATGCCCAAATGGAGGTTACAGGAAAAGCCACAACTGGTCCGGCGGAGATAAGGGCTCGACTTGGGTTCTTGCCCTCTCAGCATGTTACTGCTCGCACACCCTTCGACCGCTTCAAGACTCTATGGGGCTCTTGGTCTATTGAGTCTGGAGGTAGCAAGGTGTATTTCACAGGGTCGGTCATTCGCGATGCTATCGAGACGAGTACAGGTGAACTAACTAGTCGAACAGTGACACTGGCTACAAGGCAGTCCCCGAGCTTCCCGAAGGCGAGGATGACCATGACCCCAAGTACGACTATCCTATCTGCCCCGCATTTAAACAAGTGGGCGAATTCCGAGGTCCCTTTGACCTGGGCTTAATTCCTATCGGAGCATATGCCCCTCGTCATATCTGGAGCCCGGCACATGTCGATCCTCATGATGCCGTTAACATTTTCCAAGATACCAAATGCAAAAATGCACTTGGAATGCACTGGGGAACGTGGGTTCTTACCGAGGAGGATGTTCTTGAGCCCCCGGAGAAGCTGAAGACCGCACTGAAGAAGTTCGACATGCCTGAAAAGGGTGTCTTTGACGTGTGTGAGATTGGCGAGAGCCGGGAATACTGACCTTATGATATTTCTGCTGAGAGATCGATTTCTACCACGGTGGAACTTATATAGAGGTTCATAACAAGCGTGTTGTAAACTACATGGAGGGGTTGAAGATACTGTACGATAGAAGTGAGTCGGATTGGTCCGAGATACATCAGCTCTATAAGGATTTGAAATGTGATCTATGCAATCTGGACCTAGTTATCATAATATCTCTAGAATTTTCCATTCTTCTCCAAAACCAGATGTATGATTTACTAGTATTATTGTTCTAATGGGTTCCTTTAAAGTAAATAAATCTTCCACCGCCTTCGGTTTGACTGGTTTGCTGTTACCTGTTCGGGTTTAGTGCGGTTATTCCAGAAGCTCCCACTTTGGAAATTTGGCGGGCATCGACGTGGATCCGAGTTGGCTTCTCCTGACTGTTCAATCTCGGGAGCTCTTCTGAATTCGATTCTATCGTCCCCGAGCCCGCTTCCTTATTTCCCTCAACCCTCCGTTATACCACCGCAAATATGCAGGCTCCGGTGGTGGTGATGAGTTTGTGCCCCTCTTCGGTAGCGTCGGTGACATTGCTAACCCCTCGACAGACACCAATGCCGGTGACCGACAGGTCGGCCGTCGGGCACAGCTGTCGAACATTACCGCAGCAAAGACGTACGATTCAATTCCCCCTTCGCGATAATCTCCGCATAACACTAATCGAATAACCCCTTAGTGTGGCCGACATCATTCGGTCATGTCTCGGTCCCAAGGCGATGCTGAAGATGCTGCTTGACCCAATGGGCGGTATCGTGCTCACCAACGATGGACACGCCATTCTCCGTGAAATTGAGGTGTCTCACCCCGCTGCTAAGAGCATGATCGAGCTCAGCCGTACTCAAGATGAGGAAGTCGGTGACGGAACCACAACGGTCATCATTCTGGGTACAACTCTCCCCTATCTCGAAGCCACCCCCAGGAAAAAAATACTGATAACATCATAGCCGGTGAAATACTTGCCCAGGCCCTCCCTCAGCTCGAACGTAACATCCACCCCGTCGTCATTATCTCTGCCTTCAAGCGCGCTCTCGCCGATGCCCTCACCATTATCGAGGAAGTCTCCACCCCGGTCGATATCCACGATGACAAGGCCATGTACAACCTGATCCAATCCTCCATCGGAACCAAGTTTGTCTCCCGGTGGTCTGACCTCATGTGCGGTCTGGCACTGAATGCCGTCCGTACAGTCTCCTTTGATGTTGGTGGTGGAAAGCAGGAGGTGGATATCAAGCGTTACGCGCGTATTGAGAAGATCCCCGGTGGTCAAATTGAGGACTCCGAGGTTATCGATGGTGTCATGGTCAACAAGGATATCACCCACCCCAAGATGCGGAGGCGGATCGAGAACCCCCGCGTTCTCTTGCTCGACTGCCCGCTCGAGTACAAGAAGGGCGAGTCTCAGACCAACATTGAGGTCTCCAAGGAGGACGACTGGAACCGCATTCTCCAGATCGAGGAGGAACAAGTGAAGCACATCTGCGATGCCATTATCGCATTCAAGCCCGATGTCGTCATTACCGAGAAGGGTGTTTCTGGTAAGCATCTCAACGGTGTAAAAGTCCAGTGGCCATTTTTCCTAACTTATAATTCTTCCATTAGATCTCGCACAGCACTTCCTGGTGAAGCACAACATCACTGCTCTCCGCCGCGTCCGTAAGACCGACAACAACCGTATCGCCCGTGCCACTGGTGCCACTATCGTCAACCGTGTCGACGACATCCAAGAATCCGACATCGGTACCCGCTGTGGTCTCTTTGAGATTGAGAAGATTGGTGACGAGTATTTCACATTCATGCGCAAATGCACAGCTCCCAAGGCCTGCACTATCCTGCTGCGCGGTCCCTCCAAGGATATCCTCAACGAGATCGAGCGTAACCTGCAGGACGCCATGTCCGTTGCCCGCAACGTCATCTTCCACCCCCGCCTTGCTCCCGGTGGTGGTGCCGTCGAGATGGCTGTCTCTGTCAAGCTCAGCCAGATTGCCCGCTCTATTGAGGGTGTCCAGCAATGGCCCTACAAGGCTGTCGCGGACGCTATGGAGGTCATTCCTCGCACATTGGCACAGAACGCCGGTGTCAGCCCTATTCGCGTGCTGACCCAGCTGCGCGCCAAGCACGTCGAGGGCCACTCCACCTGGGGTCTGGATGGTGACTCTGGCAAGCTGGTTGATATGAAGGAGTACGGTGTGTGGGAGCCCGAGGCCGTCAAGCTTCAGAGCATCAAGACGGCGATTGAGGTAAGCTTCCCCGATCACACCAATATAAAATCCATTTTGCTAACGAAACATAGTCCGCATGCCTGCTTCTCCGCGTTGACGACATCTGCAGTGGTAAGTCCGCCCAGCAGGTCAGCGGCGGCGGCGGCGGTGGTGGTGAGGAGTAAGTAATAGATGAGTATGACCAAGAACCAAAAAAGACCATGATTCATGGACCTGAGGTCCGTACATAATGCTACACGATTACCTCTGGGGTATTTTCTATATGTACAAATATCCTAGACCAAAATGAACTGTCATATGGGTATCTTTGTAAAAAAATTATCGTACATGGCCATCCTATCGTATTACCTAGAGTCGTCGGCCAGCCGTCTGCTGTTGACCAGTTCAATCATCATCGTGAATAATGACACCAGGGACCTCCTCATACTGCGGCTGCCCATCGGTAGTTCCATCCTGGCCCTGGTGCTGGCCCGGGGCCCGGGGGCCCTTCATGCCACCCTTACCACCAACCTCCGTGACCGTACCAGGGGCATTAGGCTCATCCGGGCCCTTCTTATTACCCCTCGCAGCCTTCTTTTTCTCCCTCCTCCGACGATTCTTCTCAGTCTTCTCATCGTCCTTGCGCTTCGTATCCTCGCGCTCCTTCTCCCAATCCTTATCACCCTGGTCCTTATCGACTTCTGACTGCATCAGGCGCAATCGTTCATATTCGCGCCGCCGGCTAGCCTTGTAGACATGGAATTCGCCTGATCCCGCACCGGCCGAGGAACCCTGTACGTTGGCGACGATCTCTGGCGGCGGTGCGAGGGAGGATCCGCTTCGCTTGTTTCCTGTGCCGGGCAGCGCGACCTCCTTCGACGGGTCTTTGAAGAGTGTGTCGATCTGACTTGCGTGTTCGGAGCGGGGGGTCACGGCACGACGCTTGGTTGGGCGCTGACTGCGCGGGTCAGCGCTTGTTGGAATGGATTCGCGACCAGGCTCGGACATTGTGGTGCCGTTGGGAGTGTCTTCGAAACGAGGAGGTATCTTTGGGTGATTGAATATTTAGAGGGCTATTTTCCCGGTCGTAAATGTTTCTGGCGGGTGGCCGTGTTGGCTTATTCTTTTTTTTCCCGGCGCAATCGAGACCCGGGTGGGTGGCTTTGATATCGCGTTTATTGGCACCGAAGGTTGTTCGGGTCTAGGAAATGAATGAGGACTCGGTGATGGTACTGTTCTTGAGAGAGCGACGCGAGCGTTTGGGTGTGATATCGAATCCACGAGACAAGTACTCTGGGTAGTCAGTAGAGGTATGGATTCTGAAGGTAAGGCGCTGGTTGAACGGCGGTGCGCTAACCGTTTTCGGATAGCTGAAGTATACGCCAGGCCCTGATCAGTTCTATATCCCCTTTCTACTGGTACATTGTCAAATCCATAGGACATAGACATTATGTTTGAGAAATTGTCCATGATCATTGGATTATATGATCTCCCATGGTAGTGGTTGATTGATGTGTCAAAGCAATCTTCCGGTACAGTACAATGGTACCAGCTCAGACGGAGCTTGGTTCTTCCGCTGGGATGTAGCATTTTCTTTGGCGAGTGCTTTATCAAAATTGTAGCAATGAATAGCCATTTATTGTCTTCCATGACATTCTATGGTATATTTGTAAAAAGAATAGTGTAAAGAGTTTATATACCGTACAAGCATAATACTGGTACTAGTATATAATACTGGTAACTGATAGGTGCTGGTCGCAGCTGCCCTCAGAGTTTCTCCTTGTCTACGGAACTTTTCACCTGCCAACTTCAACTTCCAACCTCTCCCCTCCCTCTCCCTTCTAGTAACGTCTGGTTCTTACCAACACTTCCCATTTTGGTTTCAATATCGATTTTTCATCGATCGCGCATTCCACAATGCCGTACCGCTTCGGTGAGTCCCAAACTGCCCCCTCGTTCTCGTGCTACCTGGTGCCCAAAGAGACTTGGTGAACCATCCACACCAATCCTCTGCATGAAACAATGGCACCTGTCTTATCGAAAAGAAGAAATATTCTTCACTCGTTTTTTCATCGATGCCTCTACGCGTGGATGAAATTCATCGAATTTCCAAGAGCGCGCTTTGCACCCGAACCATTCCACTCGCGCTCGATCTCCATGATCTTCGCGCTGCATTCCATCTTCTGATGCCGTGCAGCGCACAAAGAAAATTTGAAGTTTTCGGTAACTAAATGAAATCTAGAGCTTTCGCCGAGCAATCGTGCAGGTTGCCAGACCAAAGAATGCAAGGACAACAAGGTCAAAATCACGAAGGGCGAGCTGCGCGTCGGCAGCTGGGTCGATACCGAGAGAGTCCAGTACTGGGCCTGGCGCCACTGGTAAACCCTCATGATCAAACCCAACCCCTTCTTTTTCTAATCCCCTCTCTAGGGGCTGCACTACACCTCTTGTGCTATCGAACATCCAAACCTCCATTGCCGACGAGGAGGACGACAGCGAGCTTAACTTCGAGGCTTTGGATGGCTTCGACGAGCTTCCTTCCGAGTTTCAAGAGAAGATCAAGGTTGCCATCGAGAAGGGCCATATTGAAGATGATGAATGGAAGGGTGTAAGTACCCTAACGCCTGAATTTTATTTCAATACATTGACAAAATCCTGCTAGGACGTCGCGCACAACCGTCCCGGCATGCGTGGCATGTTTCCCCGCAAGTCCCGGGCTAAGGCTGTATCTGAAACCCCATCTCCGGTACTTCATGATATCTATTCCTTGAGATATTCCGTTGATGACTGATCCTCCTATTAGAAGAAAGCCAACTCGGCGCCCACTGAGGCTGTTGAGACCGAGACTAGTGACGAAGGTAAAAAAGGAAAAGCAACAAAGCCGAAGCGCAAAGCCAACAGCAAAGCAAGTGTCGAGCCCAAGGGCGAGGATGAAGCCAAAGCCACAGATAAAGCTCCGTCCGATGAGAAGCCCGCCAGGAAGCGCAAGAATGCTGCTGCTGCTGCTGCTGAGGAGGCTACTGCTGATGCACCTATCAATGGCGATGACAACAAAGAGGAAGATGAACCCGCTCCCAAACGCAAGAGAGCGACCCGTGCCAAAAAAGCGGTCACTGAGCTAGAAGCCGACAAGAACACCGAGGCCGAGAAGGGAGGTCGCACTGCTAAGAATGCTGCTAAGCCCAAGGCTAAGGGTGGTCGCACTAAAAAGCCTACCCAAGAGAAAGATACCGAGGAAAAGACTGTTGACAACACTGAGAAGCCCAAGCGTGGCCGTCGCAAGGCGGCAAGGCGACAGCAAGCTGCCCAGGATAATTAGGTCGACATACTCAGTCAACATATCTAATAGTAGCTTACCTACCTTGCTACTTGATTAACACTTGTCTCGCATACTTAATGATTCATCACCACCTGTTTGTTCTACTTAATCCGTTGTATTCCTAGTCAGATATTGCACAGAGAATTTCAACTTGATTCGAAAAGCTCAACCACCAAGTAAGAATAGGGAGAATTGATATAATCTCGGATCATTGCATAATCACGGACATGAAGCGAAAAAGAACTTCTTCAAGTTAGCTGGAGCAAACGTGGGTGTTGCACCTGTATCCACCTGGGCATCCATGGATCCCACTCATGAGAATGTCTGCAAGCGCCCACCTACCTACTCCACCTAGTAGGCAGGACTTTTAGAATTTGGATTAAACGCATCAGAAATAACACCAGTGGTAGAACGATCAAAATATGAGCGCACAAATCATCGTAATCAATTTGCTTTCCCACCCAGTCCCCGGCTCTGAAGAAGAGCCTGAATATGCCCATACTTTTCTGGGTTGCTTTTCAGAGTTTCCTTGTTCCTGTCATAAACTGCGATGCGCAGAAGTGAATAGGATTCCATAACATCATGAAACTCCTTTGAACAATCATAGCAGAAAAGCATGTACGTCTCAGCCATGAAAGGCACGATCCACTCCCGAAAACGATCGCCCGCAGCCAAATGCACCGGATTCACGATACGTACAACTTCAAGCAAGGGCCGAAGCTGATAGATACCGGGGTAGGAATTCCATGCAATTTGCAATTTCTGAATGGCGGAAATCATCAAAAGCTCAATATCAAAGCTCTGGGCTTGCTTATAAAGCCGCCCGAGGGAGAGGATCAGCTTTTGAAGATTCTTGATATCGCTGGTGTCCTTCAACTGCATGCCCTGCAGCTGTAGCCTCCGACCGATGATCAGTATATCGCCAACCTCTCGCGCTTCTCTTCCATCGCTGGAAGTACTGCTGCTATTAGCGTAAGGGCCTGGGTCCTTCACCTCGACGACTCGGGGGTTGAAGTGGCCAGAGATGAGGAACATACAAATCTGCTCGGCCTCTGGCTGATTTTTGACATCAACAGCGTGTTGGAAAATTGCCTCAATCACAGAGGCATAATTGTCGCGCAGAAGAAAATGATTCAGAACTTGTCGGAAGTTCATTCCTAGAACATGTTCTTTCTGTTGACCCTGCTCTAGTCCTTGTTCTTCATGTTTGATTTGGCGCATAGGTGTACTAGTGGATGATCCCTGACCCTGTTAGTAAATACTACTAATATGGTTGATGCATACCTAGGTATTTGCAATGCATGACTCACTGGTGCTGGAAACTGGATAATATCGCCCGAGTGGAAGGGTCCCGATTTGCCGGAACTTTGCTTTCGTTTCTTTCGAGGCCCATAATCCAAGTCGCTGAGCCCAGCAGCTGTCGTATTTTCACTCCTTAAGTCCTCTTCATCCGACGAAAGCTCTCCAACATCTGAACCGGAAGAGATCGCAGCAAAGATATCTTCATATCCATCTGGTCGAACCAGCTTCACCTCCTTGTCACGCTTGCCTTTGATGATCCCTTCATCATCGGCCATTTTCACCCAGAAATCAATTCCTGGGGACATTTTCGCCAATTTGAGCACTTTTCGAAATAGTTTCGCATCCTCTTCTCCGAAGATATCGGCGTATCTGGCGGGTGGGTGTTGAGGTAGAGCGAAAAGCTCCTTGATAGAAGCGTAACGGCTACCAAAGTTGTTAGCAAATATATCCTTCTTGGCAGGAAGCCAGGTAGGTGAGTGTTTCGAAAGACCTTTCGGGACACGAGTAGCTAACTTGAGTGGAGTGGCTAACTTACAAGGTGTTTCTTGCAGGTAGGAAGCACGGGTAGGACCTTTCGCTTGTGGGCGTGATCCAGGCTCCGTCAGCGGGTTTCGCCTCTGCTGGTCGACGGTGAAGTCCATGGCGCTCAACTTCGTGATCTGGGAGAATGATAGCAACCCATATATCTGTCTTGTAGCTCCTGCAAGCACTTTTGAAGCGATGGAGATAGGCTTGGCCGGGATGAAGCTCTATCATCCGATTGGCAGGCTTTAAGCCTTGCGCAAACATGACTCGTTGGCTCATTATGAGAAGGCTATGCTGTTCTGGGACGAAATGGTTGAAGGAGTTAGTTCAATTGCTCAAAATGAGTAGGGTAATGACCTGAACAGGTCTGGTGGAAAAATGGATAACTGGGTAGGTACCTGCTTCGGTGAGAGTGTAAGCGATAGAGTAGAGTCTGAGATTGAAGGTAGTAAGAGATTCAGCGGAGTTATCAAGGATGATTGAGGGTTTAGAATGGAGGATGTAGAAGGATAGAAGCAAAATGTAAGAAGAAGATGTACTAGTAGGAAGAGGATGTAGGAGGACGATCAGAAGGAAGACGTAGGAATATGACGTGGAAGAATGATTGTTAGAAGAATGTAACCATTAGGTGAAGCATTTTCTGGGAGGGGGTACACGCTGCGATGGTGATGGCACAGATTTAGAAAGAAACATCCCCCTAAGGCTTATCTCGACATTGGCTGGTCTGAAGATCGTCGAATAGAATATAAGGGAATGGGATAATGGAGCGCGATGGAAAGAATAATAGGGGAAATAAATGAATCATGAAGAAGAAAGGAAGTTAGTAAGAGTTTGAAGCGTGCAGAAAGTTGAGATGCAAGGTGTAAGGCAATTGAAGAAAGCAGTCCATAGCTAGAACGGAAAAGGATTGAAAATATTCAGCAACTTTGAGGTACCTCACCTTGCTAAGAGCCCTATGTATAGAATTGAACGATATCTAGGTATATTGCAATGAAAGCCTTGGAGAGATAAGTGGTAGAAGAAGAAGACATAAAGGATATTACCTAGGTATGGAGAGGTCAAGTACTACTATGTCAATCGTTGTGAGCCTCATCTATTTGAGAGAGTTTTCACGAGGACGCTGTATCCGGATACAAAGAAAGGATACCATATATACCTTAATTCTCATTAAGTTTACTTGAAGCAAATTGAGGTGGCCGGATTTCTCATTTCTGATTTCTTGATAGCTAAAGAGGCTATCGGCTTTGGATGCAGGCAATGCCTGAACAAGGAGTGGAGACATAGTGTCAATAGATAAAAAACAACAAGACAATGGAACAAACAACGCAGACAATACACGGAGATTTCGTTGGTGGTTAGAACGTCAAGGAGTGAAGAGATTCACGCAAGTCAATGTCAGAAACCTCGAGACGCCGGGTACAATTTAAAAAGATTAGGCGGGTTTTTTTTCAAACCAAACAAATGACGACCAACCTCGATGGAAAAGAAGAGGTAATTTGCTGTCAAAGCAAAAAGGCGAATGGTCAAAATCGCAGTGAAATAGTCATTCTGGTTCATAAGCAATCCTTCCTATCCATTTCAATGTCAATTTGTGTTGTTAATGCCGCAAAATCGAGCTGTAAAGACGACGAGACAACCAACTAAAACAGGAGCTTCGGGGTCCGTCTGAGGCTGTTAAAGAATGAGCATTCCAATACAATAATTCAGGGGCAATAGAAGTGTCATTCAACGAAGCCTGGCAAGATCAAGCAACGAATGAGGAAAGTTGGAGGAATCCTACCGGATCTCCGCAAGGTCATCCATATGGTTGCACATAGCCACAAAAAGGTCAAAAAATAACTTGCCACCGTTCTCCATCTCCATCTGCATGGTTCCGCTTCTCTTGAAAGTCTTGCGACTTCGAATAATGAGAGCCAGATAATGAGCGCGCAGTCGAGACTCGGAATCCGGGGTGTTGTCATACGCATAACGAGCAGATCTCAAGATCACGTCGGCCGGGATATCAGTTTGAAGACCTTGCTTACGGAGAGCAATGCGCTTCAAGTCTTCCAGACCGTACTTCTCGGCGGTACAATACACCACTGTATCCCGAAGAACGATATCTCCCACGCCTGGGTGGAAGAAAGTCGCCTCACTCGACCCGCGGCCACCGTTGTTATTGGTTTCCTGGGCATTCTCAAGGTACCAAGAGTCTCGACGCTTACCATGCAGCAAGCGTGGGTAATAATCACCCTTGTACAAAAACTCGAGGATGCACGACAGGATTTCGGGCTCCCTATATGTATAGTTTTAGGCTTCCATCGTGGCTGATATTGAGGCAAGGGGCTTCTTACTCGGCGGGCAGCTCCAGTTGCTTTGTGCCCTCATCCAGAGACTTTTCCTTCAAAATCGCACGAAGATGCGGCGAAAGAGACAGGACATCCTCATGTGCAGCGAAAAGACGCTGCTCTTGACCGACTATCATCGTTATGATAGGGCTAGTCAGAGCGCTATAATCATTGGATTAGTTGTTATGACTCCAAATTTTATGATTCGAAACTTTACCACCTTCCCACCGAAGGAGCGTCCGTGTTGTCGTCCACTTTCTGCTGCATCTTCTCCTTGGCCTGTTCGTCGTACCTCTTCTTGCCAGCCTTAACGGTCTTTCCCGCTCGGCTTTTCGAAGAAAAAGAACGTCTAAACATCACGGCACGAACTCGAATCTTTGATCTGGAATATATGCGAACCGAGGAAACCTTGAGCGATCAGAAGGAATGATATGAGTTGGTCAAATGAAGGGAAAAGCGACGCTGCGGATCACAGGAGCATGTGAGAGAGCCTGGAAAGCCGGCACCGACTCTGACCTTCCCGTTTCATCAAGAGACGAGATGAGACAGATTTCGGATGGGGCTTCTGCATTCGAGAGTTCAGAACTCACGGCGCGGGTTGTCGGCTCTTGCAGGCGTGAAGAGAAAAAGAAAAGCACGGGGACAGAGGGGAGACCAGTGATATTTAAGACACAGAGTCAGGTGATATCAACTGCAGGTGCCGCCATCACCGGGGCGCAGGCGATGCGGCGCATTGCAAGCTCGCTGGCTGCTTTGCCAACGGACGTTCGGAGTGTGGCGCCAAAGGCGATCGTGGGATTGGCTAGCTGCTGCACGATCGGCGTTACGATATGCACGTCGGTTCTGCCTAGTGGAGGCTAGATCACTATACACCGAAGAAGTGTGGTGGAGGCACGGAATATATAGCGAGAGATATTGAATTCAACAGTTAAAATGAATTTGAAGTTGCGAAATACAAAAGGAGCCGGAGGGTGTTGGTCATGTTGAATGCTCCAACACCTCCAGGGCCGGGTTGGACAAGCCACAGGACACTGATACAATAAGCCTTTCTTGCCCGCAAGAAAGGAAACTAGGCACTTGGAGATTTAGCATGGCTGCCTTAGCGAATCGCAATGATCCCAGCCAAGTCCCGTGCTCAAAACATCCTCTTAAGACAAAATGCCACATCCAGCAGCGCCAAGCGTCACGCCAAAGCTTTGAAAGTGACCAGCAGTCACGCCGACCATACCATTGCCAGCAGAGCATGACAGATCGCGCTGTCCATCGCATTTCTTGCAGGTAAGCGCAAGTCCTGAGCTGTAGTACTCCTGTTCAGGACAACGGGTGTTAGTAGAATTGAACTTCCTTGCATCCATGAATCGAATTAGAGGATGGAACGACAACTCACAGTTCCGTAGTGCTTGAAACTGTATGGCAATGTAATATACATGTTCTTACATCCGGTTAGAAATACACTCTAATCTAAAAAGGCGGCACTAGATCTGGAATAACTCACGGGGACACCATCGGCAGCATTGTTTCCGCGGTTCAGGGTTCCCTTGAGAGATCCTGCGAAATTAGCCCAGGCTTCGTTTCCGATAGGAAAAGCAGCCAGAGCATTGCTGGTAATCTCCTTGTCGGGGAAGTTCTGCGAGAGGGCAACGTAGGAGATGTAGGTAAGCGCGCCACCGAGGGAGTGCCCTGTCGACTCCAGGGTGTAGTCGGGATACTTCGCGATTAGAGACTTAACCTCGGAGATCACGTCGTCATGCACAGCAGACCAGGGACGATTTACGCCCCTCATGATTTGTACCCCTGCAGGGAAAGTGACTCCTGACAACGATGGAGTGACCAAAGTAGTATCAACATCGTTCAGGATATCCGTAACTGTGGTAAGTATTAGATGAATGTGTGATCTCTGACGGCAGAGGTGAAGTACCAGTTGTCGAGCCCCTCATAACTACTGTAATTTTCTTATTATCGGTTGAATAGCCCACATAACCCTAGAACAGTTATTGAGGAGCGAATCCCGTTTTTTCATAATCAACTCACCTGTGTGTCGGTCAAGGTATCGCGAATCTGCTTTGTGATTGTCACATCAAAAGCTTTGAGGGTGCAGCCAGAATAAGCAGCAGAAGATAGTTTCGCGGCACGGGCGAGGGGACTGAAGGCACTGGTATCTGTTTAGGTAGAGGTATCAGATACATTGAAATCATAAGGCGATTACTATAATGGATAGTGGGATCCGCAGACCAGTTGTAGCTCGCGATTGCAGTGTCGGGACTGCAATGGCGTGGGAGATCAAGGCAAGAAGACAAAATCCCTTCATTTTCAGATAATGTAGGAAGCTTAGAAGCTCAAATAGCTTTTCTTGGTGTGGTAATTTGAAGTTTTATCTGGTTGTTTGAATAATAATTCATAGATATACCGGGGAGAAACGCTGCTTAAATATCCTCGATGGCTATAGATAACATCAACATTGACCTCGGTAAGACTTTAAAAGCCTGGATGCAATATCTCGGAATAATTGTCTGCTAGCTAAGACCTCCGATGTATAAGCTCCGCGACGAAAAAGGAATAATATAAAGCTAAACCAATGCTATGCAGATTGATGGTGCGACGCTGGTATGCATCGGGAGTTGCAGGGTGGAGATGCATGATGGCCTGGGCAAGAAGCAAAAACAAGTTGGAAACTTTGCGAGTGAAACATCCGAGGCTTGGAAAAATAGTCTGGGTGTTCGAAAGGCTTTTTTTTCTTCATTTTAGATGCATCGAGTAATTGGCGAGGCCATGTGTTGCACATTGCTGTTGCAATTTGTGACGCGATCTAGTCATGCAGTATGAGGCAGCCAAGAGAATGACCAACCATAGAATTGAGAGACAATAGTGCAAACCCAACTATTCTGGTCTGTGTATCCATTTTGGTCTCCAGTTTTGAAGCTGGTTCCCCTCTTCAATGGCTCTTCGGTAAGTCCGGGAATGCGGGGAACACTAGCGGCGATTTCAAGCCCAAAAACGACGGTTGGACCATGCACTCCGTGTTAATACTTGTCTGCGTAATGAATGATCATGTTATATTCTTGATCCGAGAATTCTCGGGTTCAACAATCTCGCCACAAACCCGGCTCCGCCATTCGTCTTTGCTCATCAACACTGCGAGACGCTCTTTCATAGAGCAGAATATTTATCATAGATTACGATGTAGAAGTTGAATCGTCGCTCAGGATCAATATAATGTGACTACGCTTGAAGATTGTTGATGATGTAAAATCTATGCATCATTTCAAGACAAGGCTTTGTGTCAAGAAGGCGTTGGTACCGCTATGCATTTTCGTCTCTAGCTCATGTGGGAAAGAGAAAAGTCTGGGGATGATCACTTACTCTTGGCCAAAATTAATCAATATCTTTGCTACTATAGCGAATCCGACCAGCCTTGCAGAGTATAGGTCGAATCTTGGCAAAGGAGATTAATACGGAGTTGACACGATGATGTTGAAACTTTTCTCGGGATTTGATTGGCAAACATTCACTGCTAAAACTGATTATTGAGAGTCTCGAACATTAGGGTTTAGTCTAAGATCCCGAAACCTCTTGGAATACCAAGATGCCGAGCCGGCAGTTAGCGATTCGGCACTTTCAGCCGAGGCTGAGGCTTTGGAGACATCTCCGGTCGCTCAAAAGAGGGAAACCTCCGCGGGTTAGTGTTTCTAGTGGAAATAGTATGGGCAAACAACCAATGGAGATAGGTCATAGGATATTTCTCCGATGCAAAGGGTTTGAAGAACGCAAAAAGACCGATGCAGGAGATTGGGCTTACGCCTCAACCTTTGAAAGGTGGGGTTAGGGTTCAAGTTTTGGTAAATTTCAGGCTACTAGAACCTTGAAATTCGATACTAATCCAGGCTGATGGCTCGTGTACTATACTCCCGAGTCGAATTCACGCTGTTCTCCTCACTTGGTCATGCGCCCCAGGGCTGTTAGCCTCGACTTCATCCCGAGGTCACACAAGACCTCCAAGGTTAATATGTTCTCTATCTAATACTATTACTACTGGGGAAGCCGAGCGTGTTAACGATGGCTGTCAATAAAACTGTCAGAGACTTTAGGGCGACCTGGGTATTACTAGCCGGTTCCAAAGTTATCATTTACTAGTGTTACTACTAGCACCTGTTATCTACATATTTCGCACTACTTCAACCTGAAAATACCTAGGATCTAGATCATGATCTAATTCCAAATTTCCCGGGGCCAGAACTGACCTCTGGAGCATTTGAACCTCAAATAATGCTTCTACTGATATTTTCGCTCATTTTAAAGTTACCAGATGGCATTCTATGTTTAATCTGATGTTCTTACTATGTACAAGTGGGAGTTCAGCGGACGGTGGCGATGTAGGGCCGATGTGGCGGTGCATACACAGGTAACAAATGTGGCGGTGCATCATGAGGGGAGTGATGGAGTGGAATGTGTGGGGTTCGTCCCGCATGCCAGCCACCCGGTGATATCATCGGGTGATCGCAACAGCTGCTCGCCAAAAAAAAAACAAAAAAACACACGCCTGATCTTGAGATCGCTGAACCGCTCTCCAGGGCTTCTACACAAAACCGAATACCCTCCCAGTCGCTTGAGAATAATATTGTCGATCTTTCTGCACCCTTTGCCGCCTCACAGGGTGATCTATCGATCCAGGGCCTCGCGCTCAGCCCCCCCTACCTCTCTACGCGCCCTTCGCGTTTCATCGATCGTTTGTTCTTTGTTCGCGATACACCTGCTCCTTTGTTTTCGTCGACATAACAGCTGGAAACATTCCGGTTGTGTAACTTCACTATGGCCATGGATTATTTGAATCAGGTTAAGAATCGCCGCCGCTCCTCCCAGATCATGCAAACTCCAAACCCTGTCTTGACCTCCGAGGATGAGGCCTTCCTGCAACAAGTTACTTCTCAACAGGAAAATACAACTGGATCAGCGGGACCAGGCGATGGAAAGATAACAGATTTCGCAGCAGAGAGTCCCGTACACCCTGATCTTAAGGAATCTGCCCAGGATGTTCCTCTCCCCACGTCACCAGCAGAAGAATTTGGAAAGGAGCTGGGAGAACAGGCCCGTGAGAACACCGAGATCACCGAGACGACATCCGAACCTTCAAAGCTACAAGATTCGAAGACTTCGGACAAGAAGAAGAAACGTTGGACTGCAATGTTTTGGAAGAAGGACTCTGATTCCAAGAAGGTGCGTATCAATGATGAATGAGTACCTGCATACCGCTAATGAATATTTTGCCTATAGAAGAAGGGTTCTAGTTCCGAAGATAAAGACAAGTCCGATATACCTACCGCATCGACTTCAGCCTCCAACGGGAACGGGGAAGACGCCGCAAAGGACGAAGAAGACATGAAGGATATTCTCGAGCATTTAAACCTGGCAGCAGAGAACAACAAAGTGTTCTCAATGAGCGAGGAAACACAGGAACTGCTCCGGAAGTTCAAGTTGATCTTCAAGGATCTTATCAACGGCGTCCCAACGGCCTATCACGATCTGGAGATGCTGCTGACAAACGGCAATCGACAACTCCAGGATACCTATACCAAGCTCCCCGGTCCAATGCAGAAGTTGATCGAGAAGCTTCCAGAGAAATGGACAGAGACTTTAGCACCAGAAATGATCGCCGTAGCCAGTGAACGAGCGTCCAAAAGTGGTGTCAACATGGAGAATGTGGGCAAGGCTGCTGCGGCGGCGGAGAAGATGGGTCTTAATGTCCCAAGTCTGAAGGAACTTGTGTCCAAGCCCGCTGCGATCGTGGGAATGCTCCGGTCGATCATGACTTTCCTGCGAGCTCGTTTCCCGGCTGTATTGGGCATGAATGTTCTTTGGTCGCTGGCGCTATTCAGTAAGTGGAGATGGAAAGACTCGCATTTGGACTATATACTGACATTTATTTACTCCAGTTCTGCTCTTTGTTTTGTGGTATTGCCATAAGCGCGGACGGGAGGTTCGTCTAGAGAACGAACGTTTGGTCACAGAGGAGGAAATCAACCAGTTGAACGAAGACAACTCCGAGGATAGAATTCGTGCCACAGAGACTTTGACCACGACGGCCCCTCAAGGTGCCTCACCCGAGGAAATTCGCCAAGGAGTGAAGAAGGTTGAGGAAGCCCGGGCCTCAGCTGCAGATGTAACTTCTGTTACTCCCCCGCAGAGCGCCAACAGCGAGGTCGAAAATGTTCGCCCAGGCCCTATTCCAACTAGATCAAAGTCTCGATTGTCTATTTTCGGTCGATCTAAGCCGTCCGCTGAGCCAAATCCTAATATTTCACCATATCCCGGTACATGATGGATATACCCTCGTCTAGTCACAATAATTGCTGTCGGTTTTCATAGATGGATTGGTTTAACTAGGTTGATTGCATGTGAAATTATATGATGCTTGAATATTACCGTTGATAATCCTCGGATGATCTTGAAAATGCATGCTATTAATTGTAAACTTCCAAGGTTCGAAGAAACCCTTTAGCCATACACTTACTACATGGTTGCGGAGAGCAACGGTTGCAGATTACCTGATTGGGCGGTGTTCTAAAATACATAAACTACTCCGTATATCTGTCCGAGATGAATGGTATAAATCCCGTGCTGAACATTCAAGTCCAATTCTTCTTTGAGTCTTGAGGTCTTCCCAATGGCATGATATCAGGGAGAAAGGAAACAGATATCAAAACTTGTATAACGTAGTACCTAGGTATACTATTGACACCCATCACTTTATTACAGAGTCCGTGTTGAGTAGGCTCAAGATTACTCTGTGTCTTCATCTACCATTGGATGTTGTAATTAGGCCCACTCGGTGATTCAAGAATTTTCTCGCCTCGGAACGAGCAGGACAGGTGTTCTCCGAAGCACTTTGCCGGGCTTAAAAATAGGCTAGCGCCGAGCGGATTTCGGCCGCCGATCGACGGTTGATACTATTGGCAATGGGAGAATTTTCAGCTCCACCCAGCCACTGCGGGGCGAGAGATGATCTTGCAGGCACCACGAGAGATGGGGGGCAAAAGGAAGCATCCCTTGCAGTAGAATTCGGGGGAGATAGCCGCCCAACTTAACTGTGACGAGCCCAAGCTGATCAGCCCGGTCGATCTATCTCATGCAGGTAGGATCCCGCCTTGTTGTCCCCCTGCTTACCGCTTCTTTTCATTCATTTCCCCCTCCCCCAGAAAAAAGAACGAGGTGGGAAAATAGCGGGATGAGGGGAGGGGGGGGGGGGTTAGATAGTGAAGAGGGGCGCAGGTGGCCGGGACCAACAGCTCCAGAGCTGCGCCGGAATGGACAGTCCCGAGTTGTTGCCACCGAGGAAGGGAAAAAAAAAACCAAACGAGAGTCGGATCCAGCCAATCGAAAGCACGACAGAGGGACTGAAAGGCCCGAATTGCCATCGTGTCAACAATATGATTCATCGTATCGTTATGACTCCGATCTGGCTATGAATCATCATGCACGGGTCAACGCCAGCCCTGAGCGTTAGAATGCAGGCTGACACCCAGGATGCTTGCTAGCACATGTCAGTCGAGATGGGTCAATATTGACTATTGAATACCTAGGTATTTACTAGTATGTTCTATGTTCGGTCTTTCTCTGTCCCTTCCACTTTTCATTTCTTTCTCATTGTCTGTTCGGACAATTTGGGTCGTGGAACCGTGTTGGACCCGCAGGATTTGCTAATGATGCACCTGGCCGTTGCTTAGGAGGGTTTAGTTTTTCTCCCCTCTTTTTTTGGCTGTCGAATTTAGCGTTGGTCTTTATGATTGGCTTGGAGGCTGTCTTAATGCGAGGACAAAGCAGGATAAAGTATACTCGTGGATGGAGTAAAGGTAGACTAAATTGAGGATGTATATCCAGCTGAATATTAGAACTGATTCTTACTTGATTTCCTAGTCATTCTAGTTCTACATACCTGTACTTTCTCTGTAGTCTTCTACTGCTTGCATCTCCCATGATGTGATTGGACCAAGAAGATGCGGTGAGTGACCCAGACCAATGACGAGCGGGCAGAATAGCCCCACTTTTCGGTTTGGCGGGAAAAATCGACATCCCTTCTAAAAGTGAGAGAGACTCTCCCTCTTCTTCCTCAATACATTCCAACACTCTTCAACTCTACCTCTTTCAACTTCACCCCCCCCCCAATCTTTACCTTTCACCCTCATACAACCTACTCTGATACCGTCAAGAATTCAAAATGGCCTCCGTGCAGCTGTAAATCCCTCGCTGGGGAACCCTCCCTGGTTCTCCAGTCCTACAGCTCCGATCCTTCAATTCCACTTGACGATATCGTTTCCTCTTTCAACGCCCGCTTTGAAGCGTTGGAATTGCCCCCAAATACAATCCCAGAAGAAACACTTTGACGTCCCACTTGGACCGCAGGTGTTTTCATCGTTACGAATTATCCACCATCAACCTCCCTCCCCTCCCCTCGCCGATCCTTCACCCTTACCCTCACCCTCCTCTCTTCATACGCCCTTGACGAACCCCCTTCTCTCCTCAATTATACAGTGATCAACACCACTGTCGACATATCATATCCAAGTCTCTTCAACTCGCACCCTCACAATCCTACCATACCACCGCGGAGAAGCGGAAGGAAGAAAAATTTACGACATCCCACCTTCACTACCCACCAGTCACTGTGAAGATTCGAATGCCACAGCAGAGTCACTACGTATCCAAAAGAACTCCCCACACACCTGCAAAAACTAGCAACGCTCACCCCGCAACCTCCGAATCTAAAATAATGCGGCACCTTGACATCACACCCAAGGCTTTGGCCCAGTCCAAAAAGTCAGCCAACAGCCGATCTGGCGGACCTGGCTCGTCCGAAAGAAAACGTCGGGCATCCTCTTCATCCGTCTCCAGTGTTTCGAGTGTCTCTTCTCTCGAGGATCTGAGCGAGGAGGCAGACGAATCCGAAGACGATGCGGATGACGAGGAGGACAGGCCGCTGGCCCTGTCTTATGGCCGCCGTCACCCAACCACTTCACGTAAGACGGGTCGTCAACCCGCCAAAAAGAAGCAGAGACGAGTTTCCGATGACGAATATGACTTCGGAAGTGACGGCAGTGACTCGATCGATAGCTCCGACGACGTTTACGCCGGCGTAGACTACATCAGTGATGGCGACGATGAACAAGACATGGAGAAACTCGAGGAAATGATGATTATGGATGAGTCCGAGAACCGCATTCTGCCACCGTCCGAAACCAATGATAGCCAGTGGCACAGCAGCGAGATATTCGGAGACTCAATGCTTCTCCCAGCTGCCTCCTTCTTCGACGAGGAGCAGCTCTACACCGCCATGGACACCTTTGGCGAGACCTATATGGCCAGCGAAGCCGTGGAAACGCCAGTAGCTAGGCGGGTGCACTTCGAGGAGCGATCGGATTCCTCCTCTGACAGCGAGTCACACACGGATGATGAGATCCCGGGCGACTTTCTCCAGCAGGATTCCCTGGATCCGCAGTTACGCCGGATGATCGAGAACGACCATGAACACCACCGTAGCCATCGCCGACAGTCTGAAGAGATGTATGGCGATGCTGACTATGGTCATGGCAACATTTACCACGTTGAGTCCGAAGGAACATCTGAGGGTAGCCTCAGCGGTTACGAGAGTACGCCGGTTAACCGCCTATCTACTTACCAAGTTGTATGCTAATTGAGTTTTCCAGCCGACGATGGAGATACTACCGACGAAGACTTGCCCCCGCCAGCAACCATCACTCACCCCCGCTCCCTCCTCCGGCGCGATTCGACCGACTCCTTGACCGTCACTGGAGATGACAAGACCGACAGCATTCCTCGTCGCCGAGGTCCCATCATGGGGACTTTCGTGGCTGATCCTCACAAACCCGTTGCCCTGGTCGACTGCACCGGCAAGCACCTTGTCATCATCCCTGCCTATGCCTCTTCGCGGCACGACTGGCTTGAGTCCACTGCGAATAGTGTTCCAGGAACTGCCAACAATAGCCCTCGCCAGACCACTCTGCATTTGGTTGATGAGAGTGACACCGATGCAATGACCTCTCCGAACCAGACCGACTTCAGCCCCATGCTTGCTTCCAGCGCGAACCTGATGATGACCGCTCTTGGAAACGACCTTACCCCTGGCGGCCAAGTAATGGGCCCCCCTGAGGCTTTCTATCCGTCGCAAGAGTTTACTGTTGATAGCTCTTTCGAGGATGACGATGAGGATGATCCCGAGTCTGCCCTCAACGTTAACGATTTCATCGACTTTGGCGATGGTTCTTCCGACGAGGAAGAGCAAGAAGAGCAAGAGCAAGATATGAGCAAGGCTTTCGATGAGGATGCTCTTATTTCTCCAATGGCCAGCGGATCTAAAATGCAACCCATGGGCACACCGACGCCAACCCGCAAGAACTCCGAACAGCACGACAGCAATGCCGAGCGTTTCCTGAACCACCTGGATAAGGGTATTGTTACTGCATTCCGTCGCAACCACAACCGCTACCAGGCCCTGCTCCGTCTGCCCCAGCATCGCGAATTTATGCCTGCAAACTCCCCCGCCCGGCCTGCCAGTGTCTTTAGACACGCTAAGCCCGCTGACCAGCGTACTCCGACTCGAAAGCGCAAGTCTAGCGGTTACGCAGGCGGCGAGGCTGTGCGACGCAAACTTATGGATGCCCAGCGCCGCACTCAATCTCAAGTTCCTCTCTAAAGAGCTTGCATCCTGACCTCCTTTGATCCTGACACACTGTTAGTGTTGTACTGGACTACCAAACTCCCCCGGCTGGACTACCCAGCCCTTGATGAATCACGAAGTTTCGATTTAAAATAAGATCGCATGATACACACGGACGCCGTTCAATTGTTTCGAGTCTCTGGTAGACTTGGCTCATGGGCCGCAGCCGATATTTCCCCGAGGCGCTAGTCAACGCCCTCACCTCTTGACCAATCTGTATCTATCTCTCTGTGGTTGGAGATGGGAAATTCCATCTGCTGCGCACCCCGCATTCTATGTCTTCAAAAGTTGGTCGATGTTGGTTCTGATGACCCAAAAGTTGATCGATTGTTGTTCTATGCATTGGATGTTTATGCTGCCAACTTTCTTTCCTTTCCCTTTACTTTCTCTCCTTGTCTTTTTTTTTTGCCATGTACTCCCCAGCTGCACTCGGGAGAGGGTCATACCTCCTGTCTTTCTACGGCGTTCTCTTAATCCTCTTCTACGATGAGTGATGGATGTGTTGTGACCATTCAGATTATTACCAATCTAAAAAAAAAATCCAAATCTATCTTTTCCCTGAACAGTAGATAATCCGCAACTAGTGTTTGCTATCTCAATAGTTTATCTTAGTGCCTGCCTCTGTACCTTCCTAGGTACCTAGTCCATCCCAGCTCGGCATCCTCCCCCCACTGAGCCAGACGGAGGAGGCTATGCAGAGAGTGTGGCGTAGGGTTACCATGTCATTGACGGGGATGTACGTTGCCCGGATGTATTTGACAGTCCGTCCCAGCGGAGTTAACTAAATGGAGTAGCTGTCTACTCCGGAGAGTATCACATAAAGAGCAATGGAGTGTCCACATTGAAAAGCCAGAGGCAGCCAAGGCAAGTCAAGGTTCTTGGCACCGAGCCCTTCACTGCCCTCAATCCGTCAATTCTCCACACAAGCTTCCCCAAGCCGGGCTGAGGCTGCCGTGCTCCGGGCTTGACCATGGTGATACACTTGCGGTCTCAGAAAGCTAGGGCCAAGTGGCTCAACGGCCCCGGAAACAAAAGACCTTGACCCAGATAGATAGACAGACCCTCTGAACATCAGACAACTAGCTAATATCCGAATTACTTCATGTGCTACGCGAACAGCAGGAGACAGGTCGAAAAGAATACATCAATTGCAAACCCGCAGAGCAGAAACTTGAAGGATGAAACAGGGCTTTTAGCCTTCTTACATAAGAAATATGCACTCTCTAGCCCTAAGTCGAACAAGGGCGTACCTGAAACGGGTTCTCAGAATCTTGTAAGCCACATCGCTGCAGGGTTACGAACAATGCAACCTTGTGTGCGCGGTGGAACGACTCATCTATGTACACCAGACATTCAGAAAGGACCAAACCAATTATAGTGCACTGGATAGGTTTGCGAGACTTTGCATGATTCCTTTCAAGGCTGGCGGTTCGACGTCAGATCCATGTGGTCGCCCCCATTCGCTGATATTTTTAGCCGCTCGGGTTTCTGCAAAGGCATCATGAAACACCACCAGGGGGAAGGGTCAAAGAACTCTCCTCGCATGGTCCTTGAGCAGCACGAAGTAATACGCCTAGGTAGTCAAGCATTGCAGCCCGAGAAGAAAAATGGCAATCAATTCATGCAAACAATTGTTCTTCCCTGCTTGGGAGCAAGGTTATGGCCGAATGTTATCGATGTTGACTATTTTTTTTTTCAGCCTTTTACCTGCTCCAGGATCTAGATCCTCCAGGGCTGGTTCAGTGGGGAAGCTCGGCAATCACGGAAGGGACCACAAGAATGAAATCCCAAAGGGTTGGAGATGGATAGCATCGGCTACACAGAATAGACCCTATAGACCCTCTAACCCGAGCCTAGTGAGGACTAGACTAGCCATTTACTGCAAGGTGTCTGCACTTGTCCCTCCCATTCAACGGAGTTCTGGACCGTCTGAGGCTGGACGGGTTTGCTCTTGGCTCAAATCAAGCCCAGACAAGACAAGACCTCCGTCCAGGTACCGACGCCACAGGGGAAGAAGACAAGCGAAAGCTCCAACTTGGACGCCACAACCCCTTGGGTCGGGATTTACCCCTGAAAAAGCAAAGTGAACAATCAACCCAAGTCAACAGTGAAAGAAAAAGAGGGAAAAAAAAGTGGGTTAACTGTCATAGTTGCATAGTCGAATTATTGTTGCAGAATGGGAGGGTCGCTGCCTGGTCAGGTTGCTTTTGGCGCGTGTAGAAAGAAATCACGGCGCGATGGGCGCTGGTTGGACAATTGTAATGCTGCCCGGCGTCTAACTCCACTCCAATACGATCAGCGATCAGCGATCGCTGATTGAATGTGTTAACCATAAAGCACGGGGCGGTCGGCAGTCACGTTCAGGGATTTTTGTATGCCAGCCTGATTTGATGGTGGGGAGTAAGTGACCAGTCTCCATCCCGAGGCTTCCAAACTGTCAGGGCGCGACGCCGGCGCCAAACTGGGTTTCTGTGTTGCTTTTGTTATTTTTATTTTTATTTTTATTTTTATTTTTATTATTTTCACTTTTTGCTCAGCCTGCAGTTCCCGCCTGCAGGACAAACTGTTTGAAGGGTTTCCCTTACTGGTGGTAATCTGCAATGGAACTTGGATGGGGATAACTGATCTGTATGCATCCTAGGATGTCGCTTGGTATCCCATCTGTGGTGAGCCCCACCAAGCGGGGAGTCAAAGTCGACTTGCAGGGAACAACAGATGTACCCCGTTCAGCTGCTGCTGCTACTCACCCTGCAAATGTCGATCCGGCGGCTTTCTGAACTGTCGTCACCTATTCTCAGACGAGCCACCAATGATCAAGGTTATTTTTGACCCTCGCACATCTGGTTCATTGGTCCATCCCATTCCCCATCCTCCTCTTTAGTTAACGGATCGCGCCGGAGGATGTCCCATTCCCAGTGGAGGTGTCAATGAAGCGGACCCCTTGGCTGTAGTGGACTCCAGTGAACTCCAGCATGTTCCTGCACTAGCCAATCTTCTCATACCCCTGCACCGTGGTGGGCGCCATCCCGTTTCATATGGTCGGCCAGCCCTATGCCGATTGGAAGAAGTGAGGGATCCTCTGACAAGATGTCTTACCACTCGCTCGTCACAATTCCAGAAAGAGCAAGCTCTGGGTTCAAAGGACCCTTGGCGGCTGTACGGAGTGGTTCTCTGGTCGTTGTCGTGCAGTTTAAAGAAGGCTTCGCCCACCAGCTTTGGTCGGGTTTGTATTGTGTTCAAGGCCCCCGGTCCATTGTTTGTGTTTTGTCCTGGTTTGGACCCTCTTTTCTTTTCTTTTCTTTCTTATAGTATTTTCTATTTTGCTCTCTACTTTCCTCTATTGGAACCATTCACTATCAAACCTCAATCGCCCAAGGGAGCCTCTCTTCCCTTCCCTTCGTCGTTCAACTTCAATCGCTGCCTCTGGCTTGTTAACATTCACTTGGACTCTCTGTCTATCTCTATCTTCTCTCTCTTCGATCTCGCAATCTTCTCTTATTTTCTCCTCTTCCAAAACTTCCCTTCGTTGATTCTCTTGTTATTCGTTGACTGCCCCTCATCATGAAGGGTGCTACTTCTTTCGTCTTTGCGACGCTTCTGGCTGTCTCCCAGGCCACTTCCGGGGTATGTTGAAATCATTCAGAACAAATATGGTTCTAGGGTGTGTTGCTAATATCAATCTCTCTCTCTCTCTAGTACTGGGGCTCCGAGAAATGCTACTCCAGCCCGGGCCGTTCCCCCAACAAGTGTAACGAGCACCAGCAGAAGGGCTTCGACTGGTCGGGCCTGGCTGATGGATCGTTCTCGCAATATGGTGGCTTTGACTTCTCTGGCTTTCAATGCAGCAATAGCTTTGGCGGAGCTGGTCTCGCCAAGCGTGGTGTACGTTGTGAACTTATACTTGCCTTGTGGAGATCAGGATTATACTAACATCAGTCTTGATTATAGGAAAAATGCATTACTGGTACTGCCTCCAAGGGCACTGGATCTAGCAGCAGCTCCAGCAGTGGCTCTCTAGGTGGCTATTCCGGTGGCAGCTCGAGCAGTTCGAGTGGTAGCAGCTCGTCTGCCCCTTCGTTCTCTTGCGGCTCTGGCTCTAGCTCTGGTTCTGGTTCTGGCTCTGGCTCTGGTTCCAGCTCCGGTTCCAGCTCCGATGAGAATGCCTTCTCCGTCACTCATTTCCACATCTCCACCTCCGAAGAGACCGATTTGCACATCATCTACGGCATGCCTGACGGCTCTTCCTGCCGCAACACCGCTTCCTGCTCGTCTGCTGGAACCACCATCGAAAACGACCAGTGTGGTGGTGCAACTTCAGTCTCGTTCGAACTGCCTGATGACAGCAAGCACGATAGCTGTGATTTCGGTATCTACTCAATTGGCTTTGACTGTACCCCCGGTAACACCGCAACAACCTTGCCTACTGGCCCTACCACTACTCCCGCGGCATCTGTTCCTGGCATCTCGTCTCCTACAGGCTCCGTCCCCGCTGGAAGCACTGTGGTGTCAATCCCTGGAAAGCCCGGCATCTCAGTTCCTGCTAGCTCTCCTGTGTCAGTTCCCACAGGCTCTGGCCCCTCGGTATCTGTTCCCTCTTCGGCAGCTGGTGTCTCTACTCCTGTTGTTGGTACCACTACTCCCGCTGCTGGTACCCCGGGCAAGTTCACCACATCGACCGTCTACACGACTAGCGAAATCACCATTACTAGCTGTGCGGCTACGGTGACTGACTGCCCTGCCGACTCTACTACTGTCGTGACTTCAACCATCCCAGCTTACACCACTGTCTGCCCCGTCACTGAGACCACTGGTGCTGGAACTCCTCCTACAGAGTCCTCTCCCGCTGGTACTCCTCCGGCTGCTACTTCGCCTGCCGAGTCAACCCCAGCTGTTCCCAGCGGAAGCTCTCCAGTCACCTCACCCGCACCCCCTGCCGGTACTTCGACTCCCTCTGTCCCAAGTGGAAGCTCGCCAGTCACCTCGCCTGCACCCCCTGCCGGTACTTCGACTCCCTCCGGGCCTGCTGATGGCTCCTCGGTTCCTCCTGATTCAACTGTCACCGTTGTCACATATACCACCGTTACCACCTGCCCCGTGACAAGCACTATCTCTACTGCCGGTTCATCTATTATCAGCACTGGCACCACCGTCTCTACCGTCACTCTGACTTCCACTTCCACTATCTGTACCAAGTGCACCGGTACAACAACTGCACCCGGTGTTCCCCAGAGCACTCCTACTGCCCCCGGTGCTACCGAGACCGATACTGAGACCGCCCCAGCTGTCACTGGTGTCACTTCTTCAACACCTGGCCCCTCTAGTGTTGATGCTGGCTCGACCCCTGGCGTGCCTGAGGACTCCACAACTACAGTCGTCACGTATACCACTGTTACCACCTGCCCAGTTACCAGCACTATCACTACTGGAGGATCCTCTGTCGTTACCACTGGCACTACTGTCTCTACAGTGACTCTGACTTCCACCTCTACTATTTGTACCAAGTGCACTGGCTCCACGACCGCCCCTGGTGTCCCCCAGAGCACTCCTATTGTTCCCGGTGCCACTGAGACCGACACCGAGACCGACACTGAGACCACCCCAGCTGTCACTGTTGTTACCTCAGAGACACCCGGTCCGTCTAGCGTTGATGCTGGATCGACTTCCACTCCTACTGTGCCCGAGGATTCTACAACAACGGTTGTCACCTACACTACAGTGACTACCTGCCCCGTTACTAGCACCATTACCACCGCTGGTTCGACTAGCGTCTCTACCGGTACCACTATCTCTACAGTGACATTGACCTCCACCTCTACTATCTGCACCAAGTGTACTGGTGGTGCGACTACTGCTCCTGGTATCCCAGCAACAACCCCCGCCGTTACTGAGACCACCCCTGCTGTCACTGTTGTTACATCCGAGACACCTGGTCCTTCTAGCGTCGATGCCGGCTCTACACCCGCAGCTCCAGAGGACTCCACGACTACCGTGGTGACCTATACTACTGTCACAACCTGCCCCGTCACCAGCACGATTACCACTGGTGGCTCTGCCGTTGTTTCTACCGGTACCACCGTGTCCACTGTGACTTTGACCTCTACCTCCACCGTCTGCACCAAGTGTTCTGCCAGTGCAACTGCTGGAGAGACTGGCTCTGCTCCTTCTGGCACCTCTCCCGTCTCTGGCTCGACTCCGGCTCCTTCTTCTCCTTGCCCCAACACTGTACCCCAGTGTCTCAACACCTGGCTCACGTTGGCTCCCAAGTGTACTTCCAACAGTGATGCCTCTTGCTTCTGCCCCAACAAGGAATTCACCAAGAAGGTCATTTCTTGTATCCAAGCTTGGGGAGGATCCAAGGCGGAGATTTCCTCTGCTCTGTCCTACTTCACCGGTATTTGCGCTCAGTGGGTTGACAAGAACCCTGGTATTGTGACTGCTATTCCCTCAACAATCACCTTGGCTCCTCATGTTTCGGTCCCTGCTACTACCGCTACCAGCGGCGCTGACGCTATTGGGGGCACTGCAGCCTCGAGCGCGGTTACCTCCGCCCCTTCGCTCCCTTGCACAACCATCACCTACGGCACTCACACTGTTACCGTTCCGCAAGTGACCTTTGTCACCAACACTAATACCGTTGCTGGAGCCACTCAGACCGTCGGTCTCGTCCCGGCCGGTCCCAGCGGCGCTTCTCCAGTCAACACTGGAAAGGTCCCCGCGCCTGCCGCTGCTTCCTCCACCTTGAGCACCAGTGCCTTCAGACAGTCCACTGCCAGCGCAGTCCCCTCTGCCAGTGCCACTCCACTCTTCAACTCGGCTTCAAGCATCTCGATCGCTTCCAGTCTCCTGGTGGGATCCATTGCTGCTTTCCTGGGCCTCCTCCTTTAGACATCTCAATCAACCTGTGACTTTGATTTCCGAGCCATCTGCGCTGCGGCTCCTGTGACTTTTTAAATTCTATTTTTGTTCAAGATATCTTTCCTGTCAAGTGCCCAGAGCGCGTTTCCTATTTCTATTCTCATGTTTTCCTTCACGCTCGTGTTGTTCGGTAACAGCGGGCACGATACACGATTCAAGCCGTGAACGGACTGGTTTAATGCCCCTCACGAGGTATTTTGATTTGTACTGTAATATTCACTCCCTAATCGCATGCGATAGACCTCGTGAATTCTGTTCCTGTTTTTAGCCGATAAATGAAATCTAAAATTCCAGAGGTAAATCATTCCGAGTAATGGGTGGCTTAGAATGTGTTGATGTATTCGTAACAGTGAGTCTAGATTGTCTTATTCTAGGCCAAGCTCAGGTGTCCAAAAGATGCAGTCACCCTCATGGCTTTCTTCCCCTATAGAAACCCTCGGTTGGTCCCTCCATCGATCTGCAAGACGGTCGATCTTGCGATTGCAATTTGCAGACGCAGATATCGCAAACACGCGCGTGATGAAAACTAATTCATCACCTGTTTCTAGACCATGTATCGAATCGCGCTCGATGACAGGAATTAAGGTCCTTTGACAGGCGATATTAGTGTTGCCGTCCGGCTTCAGAGCCTGCGCCTTGATAGAAGAACTTTTTGACGGCCAAGAGATGGCCACCTGACTCGAAAGACCGCTAGCACCAGCTGATGAAAGAATCAGCACAGATTCTGCGTCTTCAAGTAAACCCTCTGTCCCAATAGTCATATCTTCGTTCACAGACTTGATAATGGGCAGTTTTAAGCCATTTTTCAGTCGTCGACTTGGAGAGGCAAATCCACCTTCAACCGTGTGCAATGTGCGCAGGAAAAAGTTGACACGAACATGGTGGATTCGAACATGCCAGTCAGGCCATCTATCGGTGGGTGGAATAAGTGTCGTTTTGACCTCGACTTGTTTGTCTCCCCAAGGGTACCACCTGACCGACGCGGCAGAGATGGAATGCAGTCCGGTGGATGTTCGAAACTGAACAGTTGGAAATTCTGGCTCGGAACATTTCCACTTCACAGCCCATGTCTCAGCTCCATCTCTACTTAGAGCCAATGTACAATCTGGCGCGATTTGCTGAATCAGAGGACCCGTCGGAACCGAGAAAGCAAAGGTCGAAGAGTATTCGAATTTGGAATACTTCGCCTGTGTTGCCTTCATTGGCCATGCGACGAATTGTGCAGGAGACAGGCAGAAATGATGATTCCCGGCCGGGTGATTACTGAGAATTTGTCTAGGAGCAGGTGAGAGTTGGGGCTGAAAAAAAGATGGATAAGGCTCTTCCTCTGCGGCCCAAAACTCGCTGTCCTTTGCGAGAGATACTGCGATCAGGGTCTTCAGGCACCAGTAGGGAGACTGGGGGGAATTGTAGTCTTCGCTCATGTACATGTTCCTATAGATATGATCAGTTTTTCCAACTTGCATTCATAGCCACATCTAACGTCGAGTTTGGGGTACTCACGGATATAGCCACCCGATACTTAATGTTCCATCGGGGTAGAAAATATCGGTTGAATGCTCGGCCCACCATCGCAGGTGACGCAAAAGAAATCCTTTAACTTGACCCGGCGTTGATAATGGCCATGGCATGTCAGGCACGGGGCTAACTGCCAATGCAGCAAAAAATGCGCCGCATGAGAAGCGATATGTTAGGGATCGACCAAATGGGATAGCCGATCCTAGCATACATTAGCGATAGACTGGGCGAATGGTTCTAGCAGAGAGATCAACATACCGCCTGCATCAAAATACCGCCAGAAGGACGCGCCAAAGTCGCGTGCTTGTTGTCTATACCGAGAAACCCGATCGGGATCGATATCTTCCGCATATTTGGCGAAAAGCAGCTGGCTGAATTGAATCGCGAAGCTGCCGGAATAGTAGTCAACCTGCCGACCTTTGCCGATTCCATCGCGACGTCCCGATCTTTGAAATTCCATTTCTTGTTCGTTTTCTTCGTTCGTGGACAGCCAGGGACCATCGCCTGACCATCCATCCTCAAGATAGAAGGAATCGAGCACGGCGAGATCCGCCTTGAGCTCTTCCATCACTTGGTTGGCTGGAACTCCACACACCTTTATCAGTGCAAGATTAGAGAATACGCGAAACCATCGCCAGTTGTTTGGTGGCATTTGCTTTCCGTTCATTCCACGAAGCCATGCCGTGATGTTTTGTTGTGTCTCCTGGTCGCGGTCGTTAAATAGCTTCTCCGGTTCAGCTAACAACGCAAAGCTGACGACTTCGGCTTCAACCATCCGCTGGTCCATATCGTCGATTGCTCCCCAATATTCTGGACTTTCAGGATCAGTGGCCGCTGAAAGACCCGAAATCCATGGATTGGTCACTTCATGGATTTGATCTGCCAGGGCAGCACCGACCGAATCATCGCTGGCTATAGAGGACGCAAATTGCAGCAATGTTGCAACAGCCCACAGTGGCCGGACAAATCCTTCGACCTGGGCGGCAGTTTCATCAAAATGAACGCCCGTTGAGATTGGAAGGCGGATGCGGCCCTTGTTCGTCGAAAAGTAAGGCGTGAGCGGACGCAACAAGGCGAGGGCTGCTGTGACCACATCCTCCCTGGTGCGAAAAGCATTGTCTGAGAAGCCTGTCAATTGAGGCATTGTAATTAGTTCCTCGAATATGAAGGCAGAGAGCTTCCGGCCCTGATTGTTATTTTACCCCTCCTAGCATATCCCACCGAGCCTCGGGGCTCGGGGGAAGTCTCGGGCATCGGGCGAGGTATCGGCCGCTAGCACTAACGCAGCATCGGAGTATCCAATCGGTTGCTTGGGAAGGTGACATCGATGAAACATTATATAGACATGGCCTCGCAAATTTTTGAAATTAATACATGCATCCGTTATTTCTTTCCATTTTCGCTTTGCACTATGAATGTCTGCGATCTCATGGATCGTCTCAGTGACAGTTCGGACTCGAAATCTCCCGAAATGACCGAAGCCTACAGTTTCACATCCAATGAGGATGATATTTTCAGCAAGCCACAGCTATCTGGAAATGATATACCGCAAGCCCTTGATATTCAATTACGTGAACTATACAGCGAGAATATTACCGCTAAGATTCTTCGGGCAGCGGACACATGTCTCGAAAATAACGTGAGATAGCCACGTCCTTCACATTGAAGTTGATTTTCTCAAGATTTAATTTACTGACAATTTCTCAGAATCCAATAACCGCCTATCCGGAATACGTCCCGCAGTCTGGCCCAGATGCCGGAAAGTATTATTGCCGCGAAGCGGACTTTTGGACATGCGGCTTCTTCCCCGGCTCAATCTATGCTCTTATTGAGCGCATGATCAAATTTCCACAGTCAACGGGGATCAAGAAAGACAGTACCTCTATTCTGAAGGAGTTGCGGAAGTTGGGTGAAATCTGGTCCGAGCCTATTCACAACATGAGTCTTCGTACCGATACCCACGACATGTCATTCATCATTCAGCCGTCAATGCGACCCCGCTGGGAGCTTTTCCATGATGAGCGCGCACTTTCAACGATAGTCACAGCCGCCGAAAGCCTTTACACGCGGTATAACGCCAAAGTGGGCGCCTTCCGCTCATGGGATCAACTGACGCAAAAGGGCGTGAATATCACGTCGATGGACCAAGACTTTTTGGTAATCATCGACTCGATGTGTAACCTCGATCTACTTTACTATGCAGCAGCGCATACTGGGAATAAGAGTATGTCCTCTGCAGCGACTACACACGCCCACAAGCTCCTGCGAGCTCATCTTCGCCATGAGACTGGCACATATTCACACCGAGAAGGGTATGACGGCCCTCTATTCAGCACAGTCCACGTTACCAATTTCGATCCGAAGACTGGGGACTTCAAAGAGGCTCGCACCGGTCAGGGCTATGCGAAAGATTCAACCTGGGCTCGCGGTCAAGCATGGGGTATCCTTGGATACGCGCAAACATTCCAGTGGACAGGTCATAGAGAATTCCTCACAGCTGCGTGTGGACTTGCTGAGTACTTTCTTCTCCGTCTGGAAAGGTCTCCGGGCTGTGTCGAGCGGAAAGTAAAAACTGACGATGCGGGCTACAACGACTCCTCGTCAAGCCGTACTTGTGGACGCTTCGTCCCGCTCTGGGATTGGGATGCCCCCATTGACGAGACAAATCCGCTTCGTGATTCATCGGCTGGAGCAATCGCCGCGAATGGAATGCTTGTCTTGGCACAGAGTCTGATTGCCCGAGGTGAATATGAACAGGGTCGTCGCTATCTTGACGCTGCGCTCGCATTGGTCGAAGATGCTCTGGCGTTTTCTCTAGCTGAGAAGGCAGAAATCACAGTTCGGGATGGCCAAGTATCCGTGAAAGATGTTCGGCCCAATACAACATTTGACAGCATTTTAAAGAATGCGACGGCAAACTACAATGCGCTCGATCATCGCCGCTATTGGGATCATGGGCTGGTATATGGGGATTATTATCTGATTGAATTTGGAAATCGATTGCTTCGCATGGGACTTCTTTGAGCTGCGACTCCACATAAATCACAGTTGCCATGATAGAATTTGGGCCATTTACAATTAACAAACTTCAAACTTCCAAAGTCATCTTCGCCCAGCTATATGATAGTACTAGTAGTTACTAGTTATAAGGACAGGCGTGTAAATCATGAAGCCTTGAGTAATGGTAGTATTTATTACGCCTGGCCATTAACCCCTGACAAGGAGTCTCCCGCTCCTGCATTCACAGACGCCATGGTATTTGTAAACATCATATCATCCAAACTAATAACGCGATCCATATCCATAAATTGCTGATCAAGGAGAAGATAAGAGATATTCGATAGTTCATCCGCCTGGTTGTGACCGTTGACGGGGTAAGTCCTCATGGCTTGATCAAGTTGAGCATTTGCATGTTGAGGGACGACAAAGTCATCAGCGTGAGGCCAGTGTGTTGCAGAACGGGACAGCCCTGTATCAATCTCTTGAGAAAAACCTGGGCGAGGGGCATTTTGAGGTGAATCTCCTTGATATTGCTGATGTTGCTGAGCTAATGGAGAAAGATGAGATACCACAGACCCAGCACTAGAAGGGGCATGGTGGCTTGAAATAACAGTCGAGTATCCCAGTACATCGACGTTGAAATTTGGAGCAGCTAAGCAGCGCCGATGAAGATCACGGAGGTGATCTGCGTAGGTACTAGCCAGGCAACGATTATGGGATGAAGTCAGTGAAGTAGCTCCGCGCCATCTCCTAGCCATTTCCTCGAGGCTATCAACCAGATACCAGAGTTCTTGGGTAAGCTCGGTATTATAGTAACGCCAGTGAACTAGAGCCATTAATCAGTCGCTTGAATATTCACCAATGGGCAGTCGGCTGTAGTTAAAAAGGGATGCTCTTACCTAGTAGAACACGGGCGGCGACAAATACGCAGAAGACGAATTGATTCGACACGGGATGAATTATAGGAGTATTGTCCAGATATTTGGCCGTCATGTTCTGGATCTCAATCGCGGCATTTTGGCATGTCTCAGCGCTGCAGACGCTAGGAAGTCGAACAATATTCGCCCACTCTGCAGGTGGATATCCTATACGCTGATGTAAAAGAATCATTGATGTGTTATGAGTAACGTGAGCAAGCGTCAGATTTGGATCCATATTAACCAATGTTGGTTGGCGTGAAATGTTCGAATCCCTCCATTTTTGAGGAAGAAACATCTTCCAGCTGAAACAGACGTTAGTACTATCCAAGGCGTGATCGGGTGCATTTTCCTACTGTACAAGCCGGAGGTCCAGCTCTTTGAAACGGGTAAGCCAACTGCTAACCTCACGTCGGTCATGGAAGTTAATTTTTTGCTGGAGAAAAAATGTCGTGACTCGACTTAGGGATTCCGTTGCCTCTACGCAATAGGCGAATGCCCCCACGGTTGACATGTCTGGCTGTGTTGTGCCAGGAGATGCCAATTGTGGGGATCCATATTGTGCGGGAGATTCGGTTGGTGACTCGGGGCTCTTCGGGATACTCGAATACTGAGCCGGTAGAAATGCGATCGAGTTTCCGATTCGTGCTTCTGATCGATCCCAAATTCCAAAGAATGGGGTCGTCACTTGCTCTTCCCGATGCCAAAGCCCTCCATCTGCGGGCAGTCTTCGATGGACATCATCTGCAGTAAGGCTCGTGTTCCACCTATGTATAAGAAATGTTAGATTTGTTGGACGTCGGGAGCACGTGGCAGATGATCGCATTGCTGGAAGATAACTGCACACATACCCCGTTGCGACCGAACAGAATCGGTCTAAATTAAAGATATTCCAGAACACTCGTCTCCTCTCCTCTTCCTCTACCCACTTGCGAGAAGGTGGCAGCGAAAGTAACGGTTTGAGTAGCCTTTGGGTGTCATGATCTTCGTCTTCCACACTGAGTCGCAGGTATTCCACGGTTCTCGTCAAGGATCCGACAATCGACCACGCTCGAGAGGTATTTCCATTTCCGATCTTGAACTAATCAGCAGTCTGGAAGTTATCCTTCGGGAGGTCAAACTCACATCGTCGAAAGCAATGATGATCAAAGCCTGTAGGTTCTCGACCGAAAGGCTATCCATCGCTGTCAAAACAACGATACTCCTCGACCTCCTGGCCCTTGACTCTGCTTCCACTTGAGATACAGCACTATTACTGGTAAACCGGATAGCCGCTACCACTATAGCGTGAAGAATGACAACCAAAGATCCTCTTTGGTCTGGATTATGCATTCGCCGTCGAAAACGAGTTTCGTGTATAATTGGGATCCAAGGATGGACTCTCTCGAAGTATGTATCCACGATTTCTTCGAGTAAGTCCGGTGCGGGCAGACTTGATGTAGCCTCCAGATCCTCCAAAGGTAGTTGTAGTTCGATGTTTGGATTGCCGCAAGTATCAACTCTTCGCCTCTTCCGGGGGTGATGCATAGCCGGCGAATCCGATGAACCATCGCGTTCGGAGCCTGGTGAGGGCTGGTAAATCCGCTCCGAGCTTGAGTCATTTGTTATGCGGGTGTTTCGGCTGTTGAATTTGCACAGTTCCAGGCAGACTGTCGAGAGCAAGTTCACCACCCCATCTAAACGACCGTTCTCGGGACTCGATGATTGATATCCACCGCCTAGAGAGCCACTTTCTCGTGCCTGGACCTCTCGAAGCGTATCCTCGAGTACCTCTATAAATTTCATCAGTTAATCTCGTCCATAGCATAATGCGCAGTAAACCAGATAAACATACCGATACGGCGACTCAAGCCCTCAACCGCGCCAGTTTTCAATCCTGGCTTGCTCCTTTTGGTGTCGTAAACACATGGGGAATCTAATCGGTTACACTGAGAGCACGTCGGAGACTCCCTGGAGCACTTCAACTTGCGCCGCCGACAGCCCTGGCACGATGGTCGCTCTTGATCAGCTCCGGTGGTACTGGTCTCTTCGGTTGTGTTAGTCGAATCCATCAAGCCAATGTGTCGCGCTATTGCCCTGGGAATGATGCATTAATTCTCGAGCTCGGAAAAGGGTGGTGAGCAAGAAACGAGACAAGCCCATATTTTTTGCGAGATCGGCGTCTGCATGATCGGCGGAAGATGGGTTGATTGGAGGGAGAAGTATGGGGTAAACAAATTGGAAGTGCGGGGAAGTTCCTCCGGGCTCGGTGGAGCTCCTCCCGATCATCGCCCCGACCTCCGCCGGGCGTTTACCTAGTATGGAAATCTACAAAGTATCTGTTTGATGGTAGTCGAATGAACGGCTCAAATTTCATAGACGGACATCATATGCTAACTGGTTACTGCAAACAAACTGCTAATTACTGTGCTTGACGTGACGTCATCAAACGCGTTCCACCTGCTCCACCGCCGATTTAGTGTCCCTTGCCATGGCTACAGCATTCTCCGCGTTGACATCGAGTCCCAACTGCTTCATGGCGTTCGTTCCAGAGAGGGCGTTGGGTCCATCAAAAATCTCAGCAACTTCTTCCAGACCACGATTCTTCGTTTCGGGGAAGAAGAAGAATATTAATGTGAAATTCAAAGCAATCATCACCACCCACACAATATAGTACCGCCATGAGATGGCTTCCATCGCGACAGGGTTCGCGAAGCTGTTATAGAGGCCAGCCAAATTGCCTGTCAGCTGGTAAAGCATGGCAGCTTTGGAACGCAAGGAGTAAGGAACCACTTCCATGATGTATGTGGGCGCGACTGGGGAACACGCATGGTAAAGTGCTTGGTAGATGAAAATCATTGCCAGAACCGCACCGGCGTAGCTGTGGTCCTTGAAGCCCTTCTTTTCGTTGATAGCCGAGCAGATCGTCCAGATAATATAAGAAATCCCCATGCCGCCCATGCCGATCAAAAAGAGACCTCGGCGGCCAACACGATCGACGAGAGTTGCGAAGAAGCAAGCAGAAACCAAACTCCAGATAGACATACAGCCATTGAGGGTGAGTTGGGTCTTTGAATCTGTAATTCCAATCGTTTTTAGAACCTCTGGAAGATAGTAGGAGATCAACGCATTGCCAGACCATTGCAGCATGGCAGGTATGTACAATGCCAAGAACAATCGATGTCTGTTTCCTTTGGTTGAGATCCATTCTCCCCAGCGCGACTTCTTCTGAAGCTTCTCCATTTGCAAAGTTGCGGTAATCTCGGCCATCTCAAAATGGGCGAGGCGAGACTGGGGATCCCCGTCGCCGTGATAGCGAACAAATATATCAAGGGCTTCGTCGCCACGCTCTTTGTAGATCAACCAACGAGGGGACTCCGGAGCGAACAGACTGAGGACTGCCTGTACAATAGAAAAGACACATTGGAGAAGACTGGGTAATCTCCAACTCCAGGACGATTCCATGCGAAAGGTGCCGTACGTGGCCCATGCTGCGATCAAAGACCCGAGTGGCCAGGAGACCAAGTAGAAGGAGACGAGCTTTCCTCGGTGCGTTGGATAGGCAACTTCAGATAGCAGCGGAGGTGCAGCGACAGACACGATTCCCAGGCCAAATCCCACCATGAATCGAGAAAACACAAACATCGCGTAATTCTTCGATGCGGCTTGGATAACAGAGCCGATCACAATGAGAATTGATCCACCGCAAATGGGATAACGTCGCCCATACTTGTCACAGAGCTGAGAAGATATGAGTATTGAAATCAATACTCCTCCTGTTGGGCCAAAGGTCATGGCACCAAGCCGGGCTCCCTGAGGATGTCCAAAGAATTTGACCCATTCTGGAAGTGCCTGCATGCCGTTTATCATGCTGGCGTCAAAACCTTGAGCTGTTTGTGTAAGAAGGGCACACAAAAGCAATGCATTCAGCTTGATCAATCGCAAATCCCTCCACCATGGTTTGTCGCGCTTTGGGATGACATCTTTCAAGACGACACCAGTAAAGTCGTAGCTGGACAATGCACCCTCTCCGGCGAGATCGTTGTGTTTATCCATTTTTTTCGATGGGAGAGAGAACACACTGAATATTTCTCAAGGGGATACATCTAGCGATATATACATCATCCAAATGGGACTCGATGGTGGATACCCCGAAACATCACGCGGGCTCCGGTCCAAGTAATTGACGGCAGATGGCGAGAAGCAAGCATTGCATGAGCCTTGCGAGGCACCGTGGGCGCTAATTTTCCCGGCTAATTTAGCTCGAATAAAAACTAGTCAATCCTAGGGGCAATTAGAATATGGCGTGGACTCTCGTCTCGTACCCCGCGTTTCCGGGGTTTACATCGGCCTCGGGGTGGTTGTCGGCCGGGTGTTATGCCGAATTGCCGGCTTCTCTACGCGGTGAATTGGGCTCACTTGGTACCTTTACTCCTTTACTATTCGTACCTATAGCTCAAGTGTTTCACTTCAAAAGAACCCAATTGATTGTTGCTTCTTAAATACTACTGTCGTGCGGGATATGAGACTTGTGCGATATCAGTTCCATGGTTTACAAGTACACCCCATTGATCTCAAATGTCTGAACGGCACCATCTCCTAGCGAGGTAGACACGCTCTTTCCCTTTATAGTAATGCCACCAACAGAAGCATAAAGCTTGTCACCAGTACCATCGGTCACCCAGCTGGAAACTTTGGTTCCATCGACAGGGACTTTAGAGAAGCCAGAGAGGTCGAAGCCGAAAGTCGTGTTTGCATCCCAGTTGGCAGCGACAATGACCAAGGTATGGCTGTTCTCATCGATTGCTGAGACAGCATTGGTTGAATTTGTTTCAAGCAACTTCATACCAGGCCGAATATGACGAGTAAACTGGGCAAGGTTATAGTATTTCGTCGTCGCGTTTGAAAGGGTCCTGGCAGAAATATCGGCAGCGATAAGACCCCAGTCAGATCCATCGAGAACTTGCCATTGCACCCAGGCATCAGGTCTTAGCAGTCTGAGATCCAGCATGATGTTTTTAACCATGGTATCACCGGTGCCATCATTGTCGCCATATTCACTATCCCATACTTTCTGGCCGATGCCTCGGGCAAGCTGTTGAAGCGTATCGCGTGGGCCACTGGAGCCCGAGTATCCATGCGTATTCATTCGCCCGACATTTGCCTGTTGTATGGTTTTGCCAATGGTATTCCACGAGTCCACGGCTTCTTGGAATGCATTCTCATCGGAGGCAGCAATGGTTGTCCTGTCGAGACCACGCGACTTTATTTGATCGTGAAGGATAGGAATGATTGCTTTCTGGGCGTTGGCGTCAATGTAGCATCCCTCCTGCGTTCCTGTGGATTTCCACCAGGTAGAAGAAGGTTCATTAAAGGGTTCGATAGAGTCAAATGTAATCCCCCAGTTGTCCTGGGCGTACTTTGCAATCGTAGCGAGGTAAATGGCATGGTTTTTATACTGCGACGAGGGGAAATTACTGGCCCCATTAACACCACCACTGGGGTTATGGTTGCTGAGCTGCCACCACATCGGCGAGTTGGAGAAAAGCTCGAAGATGTTGGCGCCTCTGTCTTGTGCCTTCAACATCATAGCTCTCTGCATGGCATCAACCGTCCAGTTCCAACTGGAAGAGCTGGGGTCGGTGCTCAGTCCATCAAGCCAGTATCCCTCAATCTGCTTCGTGGCTGGGATATTTGCTGATGCCGACATGGTAACAGATCCGTTGATGGTGTTCCACGAACAAGCCCCTGCATTGTATCGGACGATGTTCATTCCCAGCCCAGGTAAAGTTGCACCACCGGGCTCCCAATAGGTCGAGTCCAGAGTGAAGACAATGTCGGCCAAGTCATCTCTATCTCCATATGCCTTCGCCCACCAGGCAAGAGATGTACCCCAGCCCTCCCAGGTACTGGAGTAGGTAGTAGTCGTAATACTGATTTGCTGGTCTGCCTGGGCGATAGGCAAAGCCAATGCCCATACAAAGACAGCCAGTCCAGCAAATTTGGAGAACACAGCTGGCATAATGATGAGTTATCTCTGTTTGCAAGATACTAGAAGAGTGAAAAAAACTTGAGTGGCTGCAATACCGAGAGCTGGATATACTGATCGAGGCACCTAGTATTTAAGGTTCAAGGTACACGCAAGTCTGCAGAAGACCGGTCGGGGGATAGACTCGGACCTACCCGACCAAAAGGCCGAAGACGGATAAATAGAAAAACACTCACTTAAAAATGAGCCACAAACACGCAACTCTATCAAGACATGCAGGTAACCTGGGGATCTTTGCGGGGCAAATGTGGAGCACGCATTCGGGGATGTCGGAACCGAGGATGTTCAGGAAGGAGCACAAGACCTATTTTTCCATATGCAATTGTAACCTGGTCTGGGTTTCCTGCAATCACAAACCATCTCTGTTCCAAAACTCTACCTTTAGTACTCATTTACGACAACGAAAAAGAGGAGCTCTACATCAATAATGACGTCATATGATTGGGGTCAGTTGTACCTCAGTACCACCCATTACCCATACATAAGTCATATCCTCTACAGGACGGTCGACATTTATTTATTTTTCTCAGATCAACTGATCTAGAGGGACTTGGTATGTTATCGGTTGTTTAGGTTTAATCAAAGAATCACTCAATAGTACTGGTTTAGGTATCCCCCCGCCTGTTAAAATACTAGTACCGTGTGCCTCTAGTAGGTCACGAGAACCCCGCCCTTCAAGTTTTACTTACCCACCGACCTCCTATCCCCGCACCAACACAAACCTCAATTTGAACTTGAAACAAGGCAGCAATATCTACCATCATCGAACGCAGACGCCATACCAAGGACGCACAGTCGAGATTTGATTCGCTCGCCGCAAAATGTCTTCTCACGTCGTCAATTCAGCATGGAAAGTGATACCGATGTTCGAATCCCGGTCCATTAGCCAGACAGTTGATTTTTATACCAAGACGCTTGGATTCGAACTTGCTAGTGTCAAACCCGAACACGGAAAATCCGAGCAATACTTCTGTTCGATTTTTATTGGCAAGAAAGCGGAAGCAAACTTTTATTTTTCGAAAGTCAGTGCTGAAAGCTTCAAATCATCACATGCGTACATTGCTCTGGGTACATCTGAGTTGGATGACTTCCACGTCTATCTCAAACGCACACCCGGCGTCGAATTTGACAAAGAGATCGAAGATACACCATGGGGATTTCGACAATTTACCATCAAGGATATTGACGGAAATCTACTTACCTTCTTTAAATTTCTAGAAGGTGGTAATCCAGGGGAAGAATAGTGCGGTGATATAATTCGTAGAAAATTGAAAGGGGTTTTAGATATTCTCCCATTGATATCATTGAATATTGTGGAATCAGAGCTCATTGTGTTCATAGCTTCAGTACGGGTCTGATATTTCAAGGTTTAAATCATCTTGCCTGGTGTAGAACAAGGCGAGTCCGTCAAGTAGTAGCATTATGCGTTCTTATCTATGACCTCGAGGTTTTTGATTTTGTAAAGTGTTGCTATAATTCACGTATAAGCTTCAGCATGGAATAAAAGAATCGGCCATATGGACTTACTGCCTGTTGGACCTGGGCTTCCACTGCTTCCCTCCATCTGAAGATCAATGATCAAATTGAGGGGTTGACCAATAAGGCCGGATGCATATTGGGTAGTTATCAGAGTCCCATCCAAGTAGAAGTTGACGCTGACATTGCTTCCATCCTCGTCACGTAGCTCTGCCAGCACTGTGTGATAGTCTGTTGGGCTTGGATATTCCACATCTTTAGCTTGAACTTCACTTGAGGTGTTGAAAGTGTTGAAACTAATGTCACCGGACCCTTTCCATTCAGCGACGTCAATCTCTGGGGGCCATGAGTTGACGCCATTTAGCCAAAAAGCAGGCCAAGTACCCGTTTCGACTGGCGCGATAAATTGGGCTGAGAAATCCAAGCCACCCCCGGCCTCGATAGTGAATTGTTGCTTCGCGTACACAGTACCAGAGTCATACGCATAGTCAGATGCACCTGTGTATGTCGCGTTCAGAGTAAGGACGCCAGTATCGGCGATAACCGAATTGGATTCTTTCATGATGGCCGCTCCATTATGAGTATCACCCCAGGGATAGTTGTAGTTGAAGTATTGCGTGAGTGACGATGTTGAGTCAAAGCATGAAGTCGGGATAAGGGTGCTGTCCCGTTTCGAAAGACCGTGTCTGTCTCCGGGCAGTCCGAAAACTAGACGTGGCAGGATAGCAAGTAGAAAAGCTGAAGAATACATAGTTTTGCCAAGACAAATTCTAGTATTCTATCCTTTCCCCTACGAAATGTATGGTAGAAGGTCGGATTTGTGATGGGCCTCGGGATGTGTCCCTTCTAAGAACAGAGATCCCGGAATCTGCTCTTTTATAAAGTACATTTTCTGTTTCAGCGTGAAACAACTCGTGAAGGAAATTGATCTGCAACTTCTGAAAATGATACATGTTTCCTTAAAAAGGAAATACAAGATGCAAATCACTCCTGAGAATTACCCGAGCAGCGCTCCACAATGGAGGTTTGATCTTCACGGCAAAGTGATCAAGTAGCTTTCCCGAGAAATTCTCGGGCAGCCGTGTAGAATATCCGCTGTCCTAATATTCTACCATTAGCAAAATCATGCAGGTCTTTATTGGCGGAGACTTTTATCCCACCGGAGCTTCCCTAGTTGGGGTTACATTGATACCCCGCGATTCTTTTCTGCAATATAATTATTTAACCGCATGTTTGTAAATGCGGTTACATTTTTAGTCCATTAAACATTCTCAATCAAGTTCGTATCCCCGAGCGGCATAGCCCACTAGTTGAGACGGACTACCCACTCCGATCTTAATGTGGGCCTGCACGTTTCGAGGCATCGCTGGGATGGAGACAAAGCAAAGCTGAGAGTTGACTCGGATCTGACACTTCCGGCATCTAGTTAACCCGGGTTTTATCTCCATTTTGAAACAGTTTAAAACAATGTATCTACTACACATAATAAACAGTACATTTGATTTCCACAATTATTTCTTCCCTTGGTAATGCCCGCACTTCGACTGTTGTTCTCGCTGGAGCTGTATTGCGATCGGGCCAAATTTTATTCCACTCGGAGTTCATTCCCGTATAATCATCCTTCATGTTCGTGAGAAAGACGGTTGCATCGACCGTATCGTGAATGCCTGCCCGGCCATCCGATGCCCCCTTGATGATTGCGTCGATGTTGGACAGCACGGCTGCGGTCTGCTGTCGGATGTCGAAGGCAATAGTGCCGTCGGCGGCTGGAGTAGCTCCCACAAATGTGCCATTGCCGCGCCGAGATGAAGTCCCTGAAACATAGACATATGAGCCCTTTCCGTCGGCGGACTGTACAGTACGCGCGTGTGGGTAGTTAGCCAGCCCTTGGGCTTGGGTGGCAGGGCGGAAGTAAGGAATGCTTTGCGACATGAGGAGCTTTGTGGTGTTGAGTCGAGTTATGTAAAATGCGAGATGCTCGGAGCACAATGTAGAATAGTGTTTTAGTTTGAAACGTGGTATATTCCCTCGATCTATGTATCGATTGTTTCATGGGTCACGGGGCTCGGATAGATCCGCGCGGCCCGACTTCCGAAATGACGTCATCGCATCGGCTCACTCATGTCCATCCATCATCATCAACGTACATGAATCGTGCGGAGATTAGTAAAAACATCCCGACTATGGGTGCCCCCTTCTCTTCCAACCCCAGATGACTTCATTCCTCCGAAAGCAGTGCTCAACTCCCGTACTAACCAACAGTTTACCCACACCAATCCAGCATCGATTCGCTCTCCGACTCGGCGCATCCGAGATACATCCTGGGTCAGAAGAACGCTAGAAAGGCCATTTGGATTATCATTCGCCAGTTGAATTGCTTCATCCTCTGTCTCAAATGAACAAATTGAGACGACCGGTCCGAAAATCTCCTCGCGCATCACCCGACTATCACGAGGAATATTACCAAGTACGGTCGGAGCTATCCAGTAGCCATGCGCAGGCTCTGCTTCCGGAACCACGCCGGTGAAGAAGCTTGCTCCTTCTTCTTGCGCTTGGTCCAAATAGGACCTGACCTTAGAATAATGCTCTCGCGAAACAACAGGTCCAATAGTCTGTCCAAGTTGATAATTCTTCTTCACATATTCCACGAATACAGATAAAAATCTGTTCATGATGCTGCTTTGTACGTATATTCGCGAACCACACAAACAAATTTGGCCACTATTCTCGAATGCAGCTGATGCGGCCACGGGCACGGCTTGGTCCAAATCGACGTCGTCGAAAATTAACGTCGGATTCTTCCCACCAAGCTCTAGCGAGACGTGTTTGCCGATATCAGTAACAGTCTCTCGCCGAATTTGAATACCAGTACTAGTCCCACCAGTGAATGAAATTCCTCGCACGCGAGGACACTGGACGAGTGCCGAGCCTGCACCGGGCCCGTCTCCGAATATGATATTCATGACTCCAGGAGGCAGATCTGCCTGTCGGAGGGCTTCCGCAAGCACTAGTCATAAATCAGTTCCAGATACTATGTCACGGCAATTTCTCTGAACGTACAAAATGCGGAAATGCTTGTGACTTCACTGGGCTTAGCTACTCCAGTGCATCCAAACGCGATGCAGGGAGCAATCTTCCATGTGAGGAGATATAGAGGCATGTTCCACGGCGAAATGAGTCCAAAGACTCCCACAGGTGACCGGTGCTCGTATGTTAGGGTACTTGGCTGTCCGTCAATAAACCGGACAGTTCCCTCATCGTGTAAAATATACGTCGCGAAGTATCTTAAGCGAGAAAAGCCCTTAGTATTAACTTTCGGTTCATGAACACTAAGGCTGCGGCTTCGGATTTGATAGGGACTAACCGGAAGTTGGAAATTGCACGTTCTATCTCAACCCTAGCTCTAGCCAGGGGTTTCCCTTGGTCAATGCTTTCCCACGTCGCAAATACCTCCTTTTTTCTGCAAATCACAGATGCAATGCGCAGCAAAATATTAGATCTCTCTTGCCGAGAAATCTTGGACCAGGACTGAAATGCCTGGGAGGCTGCGTCCACAGCAAGGTCCACCTCGGAAGTGGTGCTGCGTGGAACTTGAGCGAGGGGCTTTCCAGATCGAGGATCGAATGAGTCTATCCAGCCGTTCGCTTTGGAATGGTCTTGAAACTCATTGTTGATAAAGTTTTGTACTCGAATTGGCTCTCCTGCAAGATTTGTCAAGTAATCCCGGGCGCTTTCCGGGCTATCGATTTCCCACAGCTGCGAAATAAAGTCCATATTGATCTGTATGAAGTTCCAAGGCCCAAGTTATGTAAAGCAAGAATTTCTAGAAAGCTGAAAGATGAAAGACTGGAATTCTTATGGCGGTGTCATTATACTGACCTTTCTCCGATCGGACCGCTATCCGATTCGACCATTTCCTATTTCCACCACGTTTTGAAGCCGCCACAGAAAGCCCTAGCCTGCATTTAGCGGTAAGAGCCATTTTCGATACTCTTTCCAATTATTCAGAGACCTGTCTAGTCGACCTGTTGAGAGAAAAGAGGATTTGTCTCTCTTCTCTGCCATCAATGAGTGGATAACAACGACACGAAGTACTAGCCAAACTGGAACCTACTGGTACCATGCTAGTTACCTAATTTTGGACCAACTAGTACATTCGATCAAGCAACCAATGATTTCCATGATCGTGGCATAGTACCGGGAGGGTCCAGTTCAGCTAGTACATCGTGTCGTTGTTATCCATTCGTCGATGGTGATGCGGGCAAGGATACGCTGAGGTGATAGCTGCGCCAATAAATTCAAAGTAAGAGGCATCGAGCCTCATTTATAGCCTTTTGATTCATAGCAGCTCTAAAAACCGGTGTAGAAAGTTGAGTGGATTTGAGCGCGTATGCGTGCTGTTCGAGTCTGATCTTCTGACCCACTCCACTACTGCAACCTGAGTGCATTTATTATCCAAATTTACTGCATTCAATTCAAGAGATGCATCAAACGCCTCGAAAAATAAGGGAAAATCGTGTAATAATTTTATTGAATACGCTCTTCCTAGTATGACATTTCCTAGCTCGCCCTACATGCAGAGTTTTGAGGTTTTTATCGGCATGGCTTGGCAGCCCTGGAGTTTGCTCAGATCCTGCGTAGCTCATCGAAATATGTCCCACTAGGATATTCAATTCAGACCTTAACCCCTCGAATCTAGAATAGTTGACAGGAACCCTATTTAACGCTTCAAAACATGTCGTATAGCCCCAAAAATTCAATCGCATTTCCGGCAAGCATACGCGCTCGCGTCTCCCGTGAGAACATTTCGCCCACCACCTTGTCATTTGTCAACATCTCACCAGGCATAGGCATTTCACCAAGGGGAAACGGATAATCGCTACCCATGATAATTCTTTCGGGGCCTATCTTCTTGCAAATCAAATCCAGAAGATCTGGGTCATGTACCAGACTATCCAACCAAATATTGTGTTGATGGGACTGAAGATAGTTCTGGGGAGATACTCCTTGGGAGCTATGTGCAACTAGATCAGGTCGACAGTCATAGCCATGTTGGATTCGTCCGAGAAGAGGCACGTAAGCACCACCCGCATGTGCAAAACATAGTCGAAGTTTAGGGTGGCGCACGAGGATGCCGGATGAGAGGATTGCGTGAATGGCGAGTGCAGTCTCGCTAGGCCTGTTTTTCTCAAAGTTGGTAAGAATCATCCCAAATTAGATCTCAGAGTCACATACATTCCGATTAGCCAAGCAGACCAATAGCTGCCCCACCGGTCGCTGTTTTCCTTTTCCAGGCCATACCCCAAGGGATGGATGAATATTGGCATGTCCAATTCCTCGCAGGCACTCCAAAAGGGTTCAAATTCTGGACAATCCAACTGTTTGCCATTAATCTCCGTACCAATCTCCACTCCCTTCAATCCGAGGTCATTTTTTGCGTGCCTTAGCTCAACCACTGACGCTGCAACATCCTGCAATGGAACAGTTGCGAGTCCCACAAAGCGCTTGGGGTATTCGTGACAGACCGATGCAATGTGGTCATTCAGGCAGCGGACTAACAATGTAGCCGGTTTGATAGGCTTATCATATGAAAATAGAATAGGCACTGTGCTGATCACTTGGATGTCCACACCTGTGGCATCCATTTCCTTTATTCGAACCATTGGGTCAAAACAGTTCGGCTCAACGGTTCGGAAGAATTTATCGCCCACGAACATATCGACATTGTGGGATGATAAAACTGTTTCATCGTCCTTGTCAAATTGAGATACATCACGCTGTCGGAGATTGATCCATTCTTCACCCTTTCCTTCCGAAGATTGCTGCGAAAAGTCGGGCAAAGATGGTGGCATTATATGAGTGTGCATGTCGATTCGGAAAGGGCCATCCTTATCATTGTTTTCATTGAATGTGTTCCATTTGGGTTTGGTAACAGAGCACGAACAACAATTTGATATGACCGTCATGATGTGATGAACAATGGTAGAATTGTAAACAAAAATGTCTTTTGATTAAATTTCAATTCTTCTCGGCAATTTTTGTTTTCATTTCATTTTATTTTACATGCTGGCTCCGCAAAGACTCAAGTAGTTTCTGGCATGAGTGCTTCAAGTCTCAGCTGGTATACTTCCCACTCGGATAGATCCGACTGACCAATAGGAAGGCGTTGCGGGACCGATATCTCCACGCCATGCTCGGGCCTACTAGTACTACCTATTAGGTAGGTGAAACTTGCTTACCGTTTAGATCATGTGCAGATGCGGAGAAAAAAACTTACCTCGTTACCTACCTATGTAGGTATTTAACAGATCGATTCGTCGTATATATTATCGACAATATCTTACTACAAGTACCCCGTGAAGCTCATCTCGACTTCGTTTTTATCATGGAATCATCCCCCATCCCCAAAGGCTCTATTCCAGGGCCAATCAATCTGGCTTCTTGGCTTGAAACAAACTCTAACAATTTAAAACCTCCTGTCAATAACAAATGTTTATACTCCGGGGAAGATTTTATTTTGATGGCAGTCGGAGGCCCGAATACAAGGAATGACTATCACGGTGAGTAGTACCGTTACTGCGGGTGCAACAACAAATCGCGTGGATATGACAACCTAATACCGTTTTTTCTCTGGTAAATAGTCAACGAGAAAGAAGTACGACCATCTCTAATACATCTTCACTCCGGAATTTTATTTTAATTGCAGTCTCTTTTGATAGGAATGGTTCTACCAGATCAAAGGTGATATGCTGCTAAAGATCATTGACGATGGGGGGGTTCCGAGACGTTATAATTCGAGAGGGCGAGACATTCTTGGTCCCTGGTACAGGCTAATAGCTCCCGCTCCGATCTAAATCTTACTGATAACCCTTAATGTAGGAAAAACGCCTCATTCTCCGAGGCGAACCGCAGATACCATTGGTCTGGTCATGGAAAGTGCACGTCCACCAACCAGCATTGATCGCATGAGATGGTATTGTGAGAACAGCGAGGCACACCAAAATGAACCAACAATTATTCGGGAGGTTTCATTTCACTGCGAGAATATTGAAGCTCAGGTTAAAGCCATAGTTGATGAATGGATGAATAACGAGGCAGGCCGGAAATGTGGGATTTGTGGAGAAATTGCACCTTCTCACTGAAAGTTATTATGTTCACATGGTAACTAGTAAACAATGCATTGAATGAAAAAATCAAACACATCAATCTTCATATTGCGAGAAAAAGCTATCAATCGAATTCATCAGCATTGGATCGCCGAAAAGGTCCAATGAGGGGTCCCCGAGCGTAGATGGTTGGGAAATCAAGTCGCCAAGAAGAAGGTCATCATCCATTGTCGGCTGCTCAGTCATAATATAGCTATCTGATGGCTCGGAATCGTTGAAAATACTCAGTATGTTGTTATCGAGAGGTGAAGGTGGTACAATGGCGTTTGGTATAGGGTTGGCTCGTTTTGGCCGTGGTTCACAAGTCGGTGCGACGGAGTGAGATTGGGCTCTCTCATTAGTCCCAAGTGGTCTTTTCTTTCCTTTTCGATGATGGGGTCCCATGTGTCTCTCACTGTCTATTCGATCTGCATGATTACAATTGTATGGTACGCCCATGGTTTCGCTTGACCTGGATTGTTGGTAGATCGTGAACTGGCCATATTGGTCGAAAGTTCTGTTGAAAATGTCGTGTTTGTTCAGATCAATCTGTGTAAGCTTCATGTCTTGCTCAATGAGTGTTTGATATTTATTGATCTCGGGCCATTGAATCTTAAAATCCCCGAGCATGTTGAAACCGGTCTCAACGTCGGACCATGCTTTGTTAGAGAAAGTCGGATTCCGAGCCAGACGCATACAATGTAAAAGCACCTTCGTGCTTGCATATATTGCCCGACTTTGCTGTATCACAAAGTGGCTAGCGGGGACTTTGGCTATCACTTCGGGAGTAACCTTGATGCAATTTGATGCAGCCTCGGCACAGCGCAGGAAAGCTTCGGGCTCCGTAATGCTCAGTCTTTCGATAAAGGTTCGGTATAGAAGCACAACCCCAATATAATATGAAGAAACCGCGATTGTCTGCAAAGCAATAGAATCTACTTTTCGGTCTGTGGTTTCTATTCTTGGAAGAACTTGCTTGGTATAGTAGTTCTCGAGCTCTGCATCATGTTTTTTGACGTACGATTTCAACGTGTCCCTCAGTTTTGGGTCTTGGGATGACTGAGATTTGCGAATCTGTCGAACTGATCTATAGATTCGACCCATAGTAACATGAAAGTCTACCACGACTGAGAACCAAGGGTCTGTTTTTGCCTCTGGGGCCGATACTTGATCGTTCTCGCCATCAAATGATTCGGTGTCGCTTTCGACATCATCAATTGCTAGCGGCTTTAGAAGTGCCGTTGACAGAGACCGGTCAAGTATATACAAGCACCGCCATATGTTGCTTCGTGTCGAGAAAGCTTCGGCGGCATCTGATTTCAAGTTCGTATCACCATCGCCGTCATCTTCCACATCCAAGCCTTGATAAAGACGCATTGCATGACCGGCAGTTACCCAAGCATCAGTCACTCTGCCTGACTCTGTCAAGTATAAGCTCATGATCCCGTGTGCGGCAACTGTATTGATCGCAGAAGTTGTATTCCGCTGATATGCTCTATCTGAGCTCAGAGATGATGCATGCAAGTAGAGGAGATTGCCCAGTTCTGCCCTTTTATAGATCCTGCATTCCTCTTGATCAAATATCGGGTGTTCACTCGGTATCACTGAGGCTGCTGCCGCGAGTAGGGCATACAAGAGGAAAGGAAACTCGTTGTTGTCGCTGGCGTTGTCACTAATCCCACCGACCTCTTGGCCACAGAGCCAGTGATCATATTGCGGTCGGAAGTTGTGGACGTGGATGATCGGAAATATTGGATAGATGGAGTGGTAGAATAGGTCAACCAGCACGTGCATTAGCGACTTCTCAAGTCGCGTTATGTCGATCGGAATCGATACGGTGCCAATTGATGCATCTTCCGCATCGCTCTGCTGGCCGACATAATATTCGCAATGATTTACCCCAGCTTGCACTTGTAAGTTGACTGCCCCGGTTGAGGAATTTGGTGGGTTTTCAACGGTCGCATCTGCTGAGCACGCTCGCAAGAAGTTAGGCGGGTCGGATACGAGACTCTCTTCGGAAACGGGAACCGACTGATGCGCCGCCTTGTGAGGATGAGAGTCTTCGTCAACGATCGATGCAAATGGATGCAAGAGGGTCCCTGTCCCTTCAGCGCTGATTTGAGCTGCAGATTGTGCTTTTAAATTTCTCTCCATTTGTGCAAGTCTCTTTTCCAGTTTGAGAACATATCTGTCGGCGTCCACAACCATGTCAACACAGTCTCAGGCGGGCATGGAATAGATGTTTGGAGACCAAATCAATCGCAGAGTGACGACTTACTGTGGATCTACTAGCCTCATATTATTATATGGCTCAAAGACACATTTCGCCTTGTTTCGAGTACAGCTCTGACACGGATGTTCGCCATCGCATTTGACCTTCTTGCGACGGCATGCCTGGCAAGCCCGCCAAACCCGCTGTCGCTCATACATTGCGCATGCCGTAGACAGAGTGAAGACAGATTGGAAAGGAAGGAAAGAGCTGGTCAGCTGGACCGGAAATTCGGAGAGTATTTCCACCCCGCTCGCTGACGGGACTCACTCCAGCCGACGGAATGCAGCGCTCAGAAGTCTTGTGGGGTAAAACGAACGCCATCTCGAGACCCACATCTACCAGGCGAGTGGAAATTCCATCGTCATGATTCGTTGTATGCACTTTCTTAGCTCTTGCAATTAGTTAGTGAATAAGCACATTGACGTCGATTTTTGCATTGTTCAGTCAGAACTGAAATGTATAGCCCTCGCTGGAATTTATCCTATTGATCGTTCTGTGTGGTAGGGGTAGGTGCTACTGAGATCGAATGTATCATTAGATGAACCGATTTGAGTGCTATCTAAATTTATCGTTTCTGTAGGTTTTTGCTACAAAACTTGGGGATTGGGCTACCTATTCGTAACTTGAAGACCTTGTAAGAAAAGTCGAATCAAAACTTGACACTCCAGGGCTCGAAAAGGGGTCTTTCATTATTTCACAAGTTTTCTGATCTCATGAGCGTCTATTTGCAATGGCTCTTTTAGCCTAGTACATATCAAAAGCAATTCATGCAGGCTTTCAGGGGGGATTCAAACTTTGAATACCCTAGATAAATACAATCATGCCAGAGTGGAGCTACCAGAATACCTACTAGGTGGGTTCCGATTATCTGTCCATGTCGTTAACCTAATTTCCGAGTCAATGAGAGTGTTCCTTGCATATCGAAGCGACCACCGGATTCTAATACAATGGTAATCATATGACAGATCTCTGACAGCATCCATTTCCCAGGTGTATACAACCTAGGTATCGATAAAGTATGTCAGCGAACTCGCTGCAAGGCATACATACGCAAAGCATATTCGAGGCGCCGGGCCGGCGGGGCCGCGGCCTCGCCGGCCCTATACCCAAGCATAGAATGTCTTTATGCCAAATCTCAGCTGAGAGGAAGAACAAAGGTCTGAAAAAAAAAAGAAAAAAAAGAAAAAGCTAGTTGAATACCACGTATATCAGTCGTTCCTAAGATCTATGGGATATTTCGTTTGCTAAAAGATCCCCAGTAAGGCCGAGGAGGAATTGTATTCCGTACATATCAATGTACTTTCCCGGAATTTCCAGTATTTTCTCTATCATATGTAGTAATGGTATCCAATAGGAAAACTATTTTAATCACTTGCAGCCCGTAGAGTCTGAACCGAGAGTTCTCTTCTAGGGGGAACCCTGTTATCAGTCCTTCTCCGCGCAAGCCGCCCAGGGCTGGTTTCTGGATAGTACAACCATGGAAATGACCAAAGAAGCAACTTGACGCGGCGATATCACTGATTGCCAGTTGATATTCTGGGATTTCCTTTTCGCGTGTCTCGCGTGGCGCAGACGAGTTCATTAGCTCACTGCGACCGAGCCATTGCCTCGTCTCTGACCCTTCCAACTAGTGGGGCGTCAGAGGACATGCGTTCCATAGGGATCGCTCATCGGCATGAACAGTGGAGTGAGATGGTAGATTTATTCATACAGATTCCTCCGGTGCCTGCACATTCAGAGATTCGATTCAATAATGAACCAGTTTCATGCGAGAATTTAATAGTTGGGATCGTTCTAGGATCCGTGCAGCTGTCAGATGAAGATCAATCGCTTATCTCGGTTGAGAGTTGCAGATATTGCACTGCCTGCTACGGAGTGCATAGAAAAAATTGAATTGTTTTATTTTAAACTAAACTCGAAAAGGCTACCTTAAATATGGAGGCGTTGCGCCCGGACAAAAGCCTGGGATCATCTGGCAGGTTGCTGATAAGCTCTCGGATGTAGATTGGTTAATCCCAGAGGATCCTCCAACAATGCAGTCCCAAATGTTCGATTCATCATATCTTAACTTTCGCCGCACCTCCCCGGCCCCGTTAGGCCATTGATCGTTTGTTGTCAATAATTATGACACTGCTGACGCCCTGTCACTTGGGTCTCAGGTAAATGGCTTCTCCGGACTATTGACTGGTTGCTGAACTCCCCTTGCGGAGGTCGAGATAAGCGTTCTCCTCCGCCAGTAGGCGTTCGCCGCATGAACAGAGTTGGCCGTTGGACACAGGGGGATTCGCGGTCTATTTTTTGATAATCACTCTCGGTCCTATTCTCATACCTGCTTGTCGCACGATTCACAGCTATGTTATAACTTCCCTCCACTCCATCCGACTAGGAGAATGCAGAAATTCCCGTTTTCAAGTATTTCCTAATGAACGATGCACCGACTATGGCCCGGCCCCACGAATACACCTCTCTGTGGTGGCCCGAGGAGAGAGTCAAGGCCACGCTTGACACTAAGTACATCATTAGCCGTCTACGACCCGAGAGTGTTCCTCAGCTTTTCGATCTACCCCGTTGGGGCGAGGGTTTGACGAGCGAAACCTACATGGAATGGATTTTGACCAAAGCGGCCCGTCTCTTCTTGATACTCAACGAGATAGGAATCCCTGATCGAATCTTCGCTCTTGTCGACGAGTCACGCGATGACGATGACCTACCGATGGCAGAACAGAACATCGATCTTCTGTGCCTTTCTCCCTACGGCAACGATCCTACCCTCGATGCAAGCTTTTTCCATACCCAATGGCGCTTTCTAGTCCGCGGCATTTCTGAAGGCGAGCACGTTGCTTACACAGCAAATGAAGGTGTTCCAGTGGAGGCGGTACGAGCTGCGACGAGCAGTGGAGTACAGGGCAGAGACGAGACAGTTGATAAGGTTATCCTGTCCGGGACAGTGTGTCGTGTCTTTCTGCGCACCCGGGTCCAAGTTGGTGGCGCACCGCACTTCTTCTCGTCGAACGAAGTACTCGAAGAAATTCGTTCTCTGAGAAAACTCACGCATCAGCATATCTTTTCGATCTATGCTTCATATTTTGTCGATGATACTGTATGTGTGCTGTTTACCGGCGCCGAAACAGATCGCACCCTTCATAGTTTCTTGAGTGATGAACCTCTGACCTTCAAACGCCTGCCCAAGGAGGAGCGCCGTCAGACTCTCATTACTTGGCCTCATTGTCTCGTATCCGCATTGTCCTGGCTGCATGTTCGTGGTCATTCCCATACTGCAATTCGGCCTTCCAACATTCTCATCGACCCAGACTTCAATATCATTCTGGGTCAATTCCAAGCCCTCGATTCTCTTCTTGCACCGCCGCGAGTTAACGACCTCGAGTCATATCAATACTCTGCCCCGGAACGCTGGATCCACACTGCTGTAGCACCCACTCATCCAGTTCAGCAAGCACCTAGCAAAGTGATTCTTCCTTCGGGAGGTCGAACTGGGCGGCGGAAGAAACCCGTTCGTCTTGCCTTAGCACCACTTAACGAAACTGGAAGCCCACCATCATCACCAGACAATCCTCGGCCAGACTCTGCCGCGTCCAAGGGAACCGTTATTCATCTTGGACTCCCAAGATCCCCATCTCGCTTCTCCTTCGCTTTTTCATCTTCGTCATCCTCGTCCGGCGCATCCTCAAATTATGCATCTACAAACTCCACTTCGACCAGCTCCCCAAAACAAAGCAGTCCCCTGTGGTCCAAAAGACCACGAAGCCTCTTTCCAATCCCATCACTAAGATCCTCGGCCTCCTCATCGTCATTGTCTTCAACGAGCTCCTCTCTAATCACCCCACCCCCTTCGACTCCTTCAACCACCCTCCCGACCTGGCACTCATCCCAGGCCTCCCAATCATCCGCAGACCTGTTCTCTCTTGCCGCCATTATCCTCGACATTTTAACACACCTCTGTAAAAGAAGTCTGACCTCCTTTGTGTCTCACCGCAGCGCCCGCAACCGCTCCGCCGGTCGTGGCGGCGGAATGGCAGACGCTTCGTTCCATCTCGCCCGGAATGCAGTCCAGGTACAATCGTGGATCGCCCTGCTAGAAGGCGACGCGCTGAAACGATGCCGACGAGACCGTGGCAGTGACCGTTTCTACTACGCCGTTCCCCGAATGCTGATCGTCCTTCGCGCGATGCTCTCCCCCGAGCCAGAAAAGCGGCCGTCCGCAAGCAGGGTGAAGAAGTGTTTTGGGGCAGCGATTAAGGAAATCCCATCTACGCGTGGCCCTGCCATTCCACTTCATTGCATCTCTCCTCCGAAGCAGGAGAAGAAGGCCGCTCCCATCAAGGCATGGCCGAAAGAGGCGGAGGTCATGCCGGGGATAAACAAGACGAACAACAGAGCGAGCATGATTAAGAGGCAGGCGTCCGTACCTATCCTGACGAAGACGAAAGCGCAGTCTGTCCTCTCCTCGTCGTCGGTTTCTGAGTTTGATTTTGGATTTTCCGAGGCTACTAGTGATAGTGAGACTAATCCGGAGGAATTGCAGGATGAAATCGAGGATGAGGTTGATCCTTCTATTCTGGATGATTTTGAGGAAATTGAACCGGTCGATCGAGTGTTGCCCCAATTATCATTACCGGATCTTGATGCTAATATCACTGGGATTGAGGCGTTGACCTTCCGTACTTAGATGTGCGTGTGTGTCCCTAAAGGCTCTTGATTGTTCGATTGATATGTACGAATTTCTGTATTTTGGAAAGATGGAACGGAACGTTGAATGGCTCGATGACTTAACATGTTTATATACTACTGCTTTTAATTATTTTGTTCGTATAAACTTCGGAGGCATTCATTTTGAAGCTATAATATTCATTTTTTATCACATTCGCTTCCTCCGTATATGGTCCCCTCCCCGGCATTTGAACATTTTCTTAACAGCTTTCTCTGGTCTTATGCGGAAAGAACCTTGGAACAACTCTCAATTACTAGTGACCATTCAAAGAGATCGAGCAAATTGAACATATCATAAAATAGAATTAACTATGCTAACCCAATGCAACTCATAAAATCATCACCCAAATCCATAGCCAGTAAATACCACGTAATCACATGAAACACACCACCAACACACCAACAAAACAACGATGCCCTCCTCAAAACCAATATGAAGAAAATGAATTAACCGAATACCAAAGCCCGCACCTCAATACTCTCCCTCAACCTCGCCCCATCCGGCGTCCTCGGATCCCAAAACGCAGTATGCGGCACCCATTGCGCAACGTCACCACCCTTCAACCCCTCCGAATCCGAGCACTTAAGCAACAATCTCTCATCACGACTCATACCAGACCAATACCTCCACTCTTGCCGGGGATTAAACTTGACCCCCATCGTCTCGCCCGTCCGATGCGGATACCGATGCTGAATTGGAACCAGATCCTCCCCATCAACAGACTGCGCCGACGCAAATGCCAATGGCGCAGACTGGACCGGCTCAGCTGTCAGCGGTCGCCACACGTTGACGATGCGATACCGTCCCGCGAGAAGTTTCTCCGCCTCCTCCGGGTCGGAGACGTGGAGTCTGACTCTATCGGCTGCGGCGCGGGGCGTTTGGTCCACGTGTGCGCGGTTGACGGGTTGGCGGGGGGCGTCGGGCTTGCCGCGGCGGATAGTGTGGTCGAAGAGGAGGATCTTCTTTGCGCCGGGGATGGAGGTTAGGAGGAGGGATTCGACTTCTGGGTAGTATGTTTCGCGGACGGCGGTGTCCGAGTCGAAGGTTGAGTAGGTTGTTTTTGTGGGGACGGATGAGAGGGTTTGGAAGGCGTCTTTGTCTAGATTGTAGGCATTTTCAGAACCGCGAATGTCGGTTAGGGGTACCTGGTGTGTGTGCTCGAGGTAGTTGCGTTGGGGTTGGTTGGTGGGTGGTGCTTCGACGTAGTTGAATGGGGCGGAGTTGTCCGGGGGTGGTGCGTAGAAGGTTATTTCTGCGGTTGTTGGGCCCCGGGGAATGTAGTCTGGTCCGCTGCCAGTGGTTGGAGTGGTAGTTGTTGTTTCGGTGGTGGTGGCCATGTTGTATGCCAGTGATTGTATGCCTTGGCTGGTTGAAGTATAGAGTATTGAGTATGCGGGTAAATGCGACTCGACACGATGCGATGCGATCCGATGCGAATGCAAGAATACTTGATGATGATTCGAAACGCAGAGCACACTCTTTATATGCTCACCCGCTGCAGTCGGAGCAGAAGTTTAAAAGTCTCCGGAGACGTGATGAATTAGTGAGCAAGATGGCCATTCGGCATTACTTGGGCATTTGTCATCTCGGCGAGAAATGCGGAGAAGCGACCACTCAACGCGTTGCAAATGTGGCGATGACCCAATTTTTGTCCATGATCACATCATTCATGCTGCCCAGCATGTAAATTACACATCCTGCAATTCAATGCTACGCTCGTCAGAATTCCATGGGCCATTATCAAACAGCTTGCCTGGTTGATTTGTAGAGGCTGATGACCAACCACAACGGGTGGCGTCATACCGAGGCTGAAAGTAGGAGAACCGCGTTGTATACTAGATGACTAGATCGACATCGCGTGTAACGCGATTGGGTCGTAGGGAAACTAGGGGAAACGTAAACGAAGAGAAGAAATCAAGTTCAGTTGATTATGCAGCTCAAGAAAGAGCGGGAAAAATAGACATGCGAATTGGAATACCTAACGCCGACCCCTCGTGCAATTGCAATCCACGGACCCCATCCAGTTAAAAAAAGAAGATCAAGACAATACTATCGAATAAAGACACCAATTCCCTCCTAACTTACAACCAAACGCTAGATAAGTAGCCAGACGTCACCAGAGTAGCCCTTAGTGATTCCGAGTCCGCTTGCTGCTGCGCTCGCGCTCCATCCCGATGGAAGGGAACATCTCGAAACCTGGCTGCTGGCGCGCGGGCTGGAGCTGGATGTTCAGACTAGGCGGGAAATCGGGATGCAGGGAAGAAATGCGGCCCGGGTTAGGAGGGTGGCCATCAACAGGCTCTGATGGGAGCGGCGCAGTGACAAGTTCGATCAAGGATGTATCTATCCAGCTAGCAGGCTTACTGTGTAGACGATCGAAGCGCATAGAGTCGTCTTCCGCCTCATCATTAAGCAGGGATGTCAATGGCGGTGCATTGCCCGTTGTGCGGACCTGGTGACCAGCGAGGACGTGGTAGGGCAGGCTTGGGCGGGTAGCGGGCTTGTCGGCAAGATCGGCCAAGGCACTGAGAGCGCTGTGCGCGGCTGTTGTGCGGGTCGAGCGTGTGGCGTGGAAATTGTGGCTGGCGGTACGAATCATGTCCGATGCAGTGGGTGTGCCATTATCTTCGTGGCCAGTGTTTTCCGGGGTGTCCTCTGCATCGGTGTTGTTGCCGTTGGTCACGGCACCGGAGCCCTGGTCAGCGCGCTTGGAGGTGGAAAAGAAGTGCATGGTCGCAACGTGCGCCTGGTTCGCGTGCGCGCTCAATTCCTTATCTGTGAAGAGCGAATGCATCGAGTAGGTAGGTGCGCTTTGTTTCTCAAGGTATGTCTTGGAGCGCTCGGCCGGGGTTGTGCCGCCCGCGTCCCGCACGGGAGATCCGACATCTTCTTCAGGCGCCTTGCGCTTGCGCTTATTCAACTCGGAGACGATGCCGTTGCCCAACTCGTCCAAATCCACGCGGTGCCGCGTGTGTCGAGTTTTGCGGTTGCTGTGAATGCCGCCGGGGCTGGCGGGATTGGTGATGCTGAATTGGTTCGGGTGCATCAGTAGGGCGTTCGTGTCGGCGATATCGAGTTGTTCTTTTTCGCGCATGAGGCGAGTTCGCTTGCTCGAGATACTTTGCATTAAGCGCTCGCGAAGCGTGCCCGATAGCTGATTGAACTCCTCTTTGGCAAAGTGTACTCGCCAGTCGTATTCTCTCCAGTGACGATCGAGGCTATTTTGGTGCCGGTTCTATACCACAAAAAACGTTAGCGGGCACATTCTGAGCTTGTCCGTATCGAAGTAATCCAGTGCAAGACTTACCATGACTTGAGTCAAATCCGAATCCTTCTGCTCCTTAACATTATTCACCTCCTGTACAAACTTCGCATACCAAGTCCCCGACAGACTCGCCATCTCCTTGGCGAATTTTCCCCCACCGACAGTATCCTCAATCAATTGCGCAATATCATCTGAGGAGTCCTGCAGCAGACCAGTCTGGTAAGGGTCGGCATTATTAATGAGGGTCATATCGCATTGGAGAGAGTGAAGCTGCTGGCGGAATTGGGCGTCGCGATTTTGGCTAAATGTAGCCGTAAGATCGTGAAGACGCTCTTGCAAAGCCGATCTTCTCTTGTCGCGCTTTGAGATCGGACCTGACGCCCCGCCAGTTGGGCTGGTGGAACGCCCTCGTTGTAGTCCGCCATGGTAGGCGGGCCCAGTGCCGGGCGATGGGGGCCCTGGAGAGTAGGCCATGGAATGAGAGGGTGTGTAGGTTCAGGAGAAGTGATAGACGGGCTGCATAAGCACGCGCGTTTTAAAAGGGCTCTGGTAGTGTAAGTCAGACCAAAAAGAAGCGCGATGGAGGGCTCAGTGCCTGCGATGTGTAGACCGGTCTGTCGTCAGAAAAGCGGACGGTATTGTCTAGTGCCAAATGCGGTTTAGAGCCGGAAATACCTTTCACCGCGCCGAACTACTGGCAGCGGTTGCCACATACACTACTGAGTACATGGATTGAAGTGGATAAGGCAGAGAAATACTAGAAGTAAATATGATTTTTTTGAGCCAAATATATCAGGAGTGATTTTATTCTATGATAGGCTTAACGGCTTATTGCTCCCTTGATGATGTGCCTCCCGGCAGCACGGTACTATGTACCTAGTAACTAGCTCACATTCAAACAGCCTGAATTTCAAGCCTGAGCATACAAACGGACCACTCGGATCCAGCCTTCACTGGCATGACTGGCACCAATGGTGTTCAAAGAATCCTCATTATGAGGTAGGCCCTTGGGCATTGCTATCATATATGCATGCACCAGTAGAATAAACAATAGGCCAGCAGACTACAAGTCTGCAAGGCAAAAATGCCTTAAGAGGGCCTAACTTTACGAACAATTCTAAGAGTGAGGGGCTTCCCGGCCATACAAAAGGCAATAAAGATCTCTTAAAAGATATTTTGTATTGGATTTCAACCCCAGTAAAATTTATATCCATTATCAAGAAAATAATCATCAAGTCTTGATCGCCAAAAAAGAAGAAAAAAAAAAGAACCAACATCATGGGTATTCACGTTCGTTTCCATCCGGCCAAAAAGAAAATGCAGGACGGCGCACGCCACGGCCGAAATAATAAAATAATAGGATAAAGTCACTGACCAACTCCAGGTACACATGCCAGGGGTCCGTCTAAAGGAATCATTTTTAAAAACTGTATGGTTTCAAATGAGAGTGGGTGAGAAAGGAAAGTTTTTTTTGGGGGGGTGGGAAGGTGGCCTTTCCACAGGGTTGAATCAGTTTGTTCGTCGGATCACGAACACACCCAGTTCAACCCCTTCGTGAGGCTCGCTGTCCTCGCCGTAAGGTCGCTTGCGAATGCCTTCAAAGATCTCGCCGAGGAGCATGGAAGACGAGATATCCTTGTCAGACATGTGCCCAGAGCCACCGTTAGACATGGTCTTGTTGGTGGGTGGCCGGCGGCCGTTCTGCCAATAGAGATTGAGAACCTCCTTCATCCGGGCCTTCTCTTGGTGGATAAACCACTCCGCCCAGAGATTGCGGTCCAGATCGGCATTGGCACGACCGGCATCAGCCACTTGGAACTGTGACGATGACGAGCTCAGAGACTCGCAGAGTGTGACAATGTTTGCCTTCATAGTGGCAAAGTCATCCATCTGGGATACTGTAGATAGCTTGCCCAGATAGCGACCAACGTCAGCAGACAAGCCGTTCACTACGACCAATTGCCGCAGGAGAGGGTCGAGAATGGGGCCCAGATATTGGGACTTGAATGTGGAGGCACCTTTCTTGGTGGGGTAGATGAAGAGAAGCGAGCCTCCGTTTGGAGATAGCTCGCTGAGTCGGTCCACAAGGAACGACGGACGGGTTGGGCAAAACAGATCTCTATATTCCTGGGCGGAAGGCGGGGGGAGGTATCGCTCTAACACGGAAATATGAACACTGTGAGGGGGGACGATGGGCATCGGAGCATGTGCAAGGTGCCGTTGAAGCGGGCCACGGAAATCGTGGTAGGCACCCACCACTGCAGCGCTGGAGAAAACAGTGGCGTTGAAATAATCATCGGCAGCGGTCGGAGAACGAGGAGTGTTGGGAGGAGAATGGGGCAGGTTGGACAGGCTGAACTGTTCGGGCACTGCGTGTGTGACATTCATGTAGGGCGAGTGGCCAGGCTGCAGGTGGCTGTGGACAGCCTGGACGATAGAGCAGAAGATGGTGTCATTTCTCGGCACCGAAATCGATTGATCTGAAGTTCTCGGGTATGGCAGAGTCTGTGAGACGATCTTGACGGCCTCGCCTCGCGGGTTTGATGTTCCCAAGGAAGATACTGCGAAGAGAGTTAGCATTCCTGAAAAATACGCTCGTTGATATGTGTTCGGATGTTGTCACTCACCAGTCACGTTAATCCCTTGGTCCAACCACGATCCCATGTCTTGTTGGCAGTCCATCTCGTCCTGAGGACCTGGACTGCCCTCAGAGCTAGAAGAGCCATTGGACAGGCCGTCCGGACTACTAAGGGTATCTGACGGGCCCGTTGCTGGGGAGGTTCCCATGCCGTGGCTCTCGTCCATCATGGCACCGGAGCTCGACTTTCGGTGGTCATGGGTATCAAAGAGCATCATCTCGGACTGCGGGTTCCAGGCAACGTGGCTATCGTCGTCTGGTGGTGTAAGGGGAAGAATAGAAGGGTAGTCGGACTGGTAGGAAGGAGGAGGAGAATTCCAGGGAGATGTGGATGAGTTTGAATGTGCCGTCAAGGGTCTCGGCCCGCGAGACACGGTGGTGGACAGACGAAGACGAGAATCTGCAGGCCGGGTCCGCGACTCGACCCGAAGCGGCGAGCCCGGCGAAGAGCTGCGGTGTTCCCAGGAAGGGAAATGTACGGCGACGCTGCCCTTGGAGAGGAAACGGGAGACTGGGGAGGGCTTTGTGCGGAGGGATCCTTGCGAGGCTCGTCGACGGAGCTTTGCTGGACTTGGGCTGGAGCTGGTACCGTCGGAGAGGGAGGAGTCAGGGAGGGAATGGTTGGAGAGACGACGTTGGGTGTCGAGTTTCAGTGTGGTCGGATGCATGGTTAACTCGTCTGGGGAAGCAAATGGCCCACACCGTCCATAGCACTGTTGATTCATCCAGGCAGAGTCGGGTGGGCGAAGAATGGCGGACGGCATGGGATTCGCCGTGGAGGGCAGAAGAAGGTGGGAGGTTTGAGAATTTGACCAGGTGTAAAGGACGACGAAAGGCAACCGGGGGGGGGGGGAAGAGAAGAGAAGAGAATGAGCGAAGAGGGGAGGTAAGGGGAGAAGTGGAAAAAGGACGAAAGTTGTAGCGGGTACTTTGACAGAATATGGTGGCCAAGGGAGAAGTGGAAGTACTGGGTACGTGTGCTGCGGCTGTTGGGGGAGTCTAGACGATGTTCTAGACCGGTCGTCGAGTCATCGGAGAGATTGGAGTGTATTACTAGTATACCTAGACAAGGTGAAAGAGAGAAGACTTCTCGAAGATGCTAGTTTAGGGTCAGGTGGACTTATATGTTTTCTCTATTCCCTACTCTGTGCACTATTTACTAAACTCTGAAAACCAGATACTCATTTAACCAACCCCAGCTTCATTTCTCTGTTGACGAGGCCCCATCGCCGTACTAAAAATGTGCGCGAGTCTAGACGCTCCACGGGGGCTACTACTGGCTGACGGGCCCCACGCGGCTGGGCGATCATTCTCGGTTCTGCATCGAGTTGATGAATCCAGGCCTTCTCTGATCCTCTGTGATCTTTTTCTACTATTATCTAATTCTCTCTGGTTACCTCTGGTCACCTCTGGTCACCTCTAGTCCTCTCAACCTCGCTGTCACATACTCTGGAAATTAAGTCCAGCCGTTAGGGTTTGATGCTTCGTTTGACCCATATAGAAAAAGGGTTTCCGAGGTCCATCCATGGTGACTGTGGGTGACGGTGGAGGGCTGTCTCGGTAGATGTACCGGTACTTAAAATTGTGTGGTGTACCCATGCCAAATATAAGTACCGGTACATCCCTCTTGACACCGTTTCCGGACACCTGCACAGTTCTAGGCTTGGGTCTGTTGCCACTGAGAGGGTCAACGAGACGCCTTGGACATACACACACTCTCCCAGCCCTGTTTTGCCCGACAAACAAAATAGTCAGGCGTCACCTGGGCACAGATCGGGCATCCTCATTCACCTTGGAGTCTACATCCATGTAGGCCTCCATAACAAGCTACCGCTATCTGCAATGGGATCACGGAGTACCGTCCTTCCCCTCCCTTTTATTAATTATTTCCCGGTACTTCCTATCCGAGAGTAGACCCTTTGCCCCTCCACTTCCCACTCGCTCGGATCATACCGATTAGTACATTACAACTTGATATGGGGTTGGCACCACGCAGGTGACCCCCTCCCTTCCCCCTCCCCCCTCCCCTCCAGATCAGATCGGACGCCCGGTCATTCCATCGTAGCCGTTGGCCCGTCGTAATTTCCACTGTTGGCCCCAGTCTGGTTTGCAGTCCGGTTTTATCTCCCATGCCCCCACCCCAGTCTCAGTTAAAGTACGTCCTTTGCCACTTTGGTCGTCCCTTGAACGTGTCATGGTCTGACGCAGCGAATCGCAATATACCTACTATATTTAATACATTTTATGCAGGAGAAATCGGGCGGGGCGCTTTTTTCTCTGAAGAGGAGCACTGGCACACATATGGGTCACGGTGGAAATTTAGGGTATACCGTGACCCAGAGTTACTACTACTACTCAGGTAGTAGTATCAGTGGTACGCGAAATGAATTAGGATGGATCTAGAATATCGTATCATGATGAGATTATATTTCATATATTAAGATTAAAACTAATATGGAAACACTGGAAATCAGAAAGCCAGATGATGGCGAGATTCAAGCTTTTCGGCCGAAGCAATGCCTTGCTGCCTAGCGATATTCGAATCCAGTTGGGGGAAAAAAAGTAGAGAAGAGCTTGAGGAGTAGAGCTAGAACAGCTAGAAGGGTCTGGATGGTCGCAGTGCGACCGCACCACGTCCCGGGAAGCCATTCATCCCCCTCCGACTACTCCGGGTTTGCGAACCCGGGGATCCTGGCGTTGAAGATCTCGGTCGCATGAGGGGGTTGTGCAGAAAATACTGCAACAATGGATTGGCGCACCAATCAATTAATGCCATCGCTGGCAAAGAAAACAAATCTTGCCGGACTTATTCGGTTGCTTGACCCCTATCAGGATGTATACAAATAAAACAAGCCACTTGGAAGCATGCAAGAAGTTTCCGCGAACTTTTGATTCATTACCAGTCGTCCACGTTTGCCTCTTGAAAGGGGTGCGGAGAGAGACCCTGTGCCATGAATGGCATCTGGTCAAGTGGACTGGGACTGATGTGATTCTTTCAACCCACTGGTAGTTTCTTCGGATGCCGGATTGGCTGGTCCCCTAGCAAAGGGTTCGAAGAAACTTCGAGATGCGGGGTCGTGTCCCAAGCTGGGCGAGGGATATGGTGTCATCACTTTTGATGCACCAGCGTGGGGTGGTGTACGAGGCTCGGTATTGGCTAGGAATTTTGGAATATTCTGGTGCCATTCAACCGGGAGAGTTTCACGAGGTCATTGAGCGACGGCGCGATTGCGTAGGGGCAACACCACCAAGCGGTTGACGAAGCTCCCGGGAGCAATCGTTCCACGAATTCCACACCATGTGCGACCGGTAGCGCTGCTCTTCACGGCCGAGTCGGACCTGTTTCCGGGCAAAGCTGGAGGGCTTGACGGCAATTGTGCACTTGGGCGTGGAACGGTCGCAGATCGGATTAGGATTGGCCATGGGAATAGTGACGGTGGGGCTGTCAAGTGTGGTTCGCAGCTCGTGGCATTGGCGAACCAGCTGCTGCACGCCATCGGTCAGGCGAGATGCCCGCTCTTCGATATCCGGCCAGAAGGCATCGCCCCAGAAGGCGTCCTGGCGCACTGCGGTTTCGAGGGCGACAAGCCAGCAGTCAAAGCCAGAACGAGAACCGGCCAGCTGGGCAGCGACGGTGACAAACCGAATAGTGGGCTCGGAGTGAAGAACGTGAAGGACGATGCAGGCCGGGCAGCGTGCAGTGAGGTACCAGTCGTGCTCTTCTGTGAGGATGCAATGCAGCCAAGCGAAGGCGCTACGTGCCTCGCCGCGAAAAGCACGTTCGGGTTCGGCTCTCTGCTTGCTCGGCAACGCACGCGACGCAATGCGCTCTGCTTGGTGGTTGATCAAGAAAAGTGGAACAAGTAGAGTGTGGATGATATCGCGATGCAGGCGGAAGGACTCTTGTTCGGAACAGCCCATGTCGCAGTGGGTTGAGCAGAAGGTTGGCCCCTCCATACCGCAGTCCTGGCGGCGAAGTTGTTCCCTTACAGCCCGGAAGGCTTCATTGCGTTCTAACTCAAGTTGGTCGCGGTAGGAGATGTGAAAGGGGGAGGAGAGTTCGTCCATTATCGCAAATGTAAATAGTAGTGGAATTTTGGTGGAGAAATGTCGACAGGTCGTCGAGGGTTCAAAAGGCTATCATTCGAATGTTGAAAGGATGCAGGTTAGAGAAGCATAGTGTGGGTATAGATTGCGTAAAATGAAGGTTATCAATGATATAGATCATAAATCACTGAAACGAAAAAAAAGAAGCTCTGTGGGGAACAGGACCGGATGCGGACTTTATTATAAGACCCCCTTTACGGAAACGTCATGGGAACGAAGCAAGACGGGGTGTGTAGATCGCACAGGGCCTTCTTCGCCTTTGAGGGGGGCAGCGTCCAGGGTAGACGCAGTCGATCGCAATGGATGTTCCCCACTGCTGACGAACGCAGCGGCAGAAGACTACACGATTGGCGGACTTGGTCGGAATGAGTGGACCGGTGGAGATGGGGAGAGCCCGTCCAGACAGTCTGGACTGCGGTCTTACGCTTTGCTCTTCGAAATATGGTTCAGATTCAGGGCTACTCTATCTTTAGCCCCTATCCTGTCGGTGTGTGGTACTAGTCCAAGTGTTGCCATGGGATGGGCCAGACTGTGAAAATGGATACTGTACAATAGGAGTCGTTTATCTATGGATACCATACCTGGTAGTATGTACTCCGTAGTGGTACCTTCAATAAGGTGGTAGTCCCTGGTAGTACCGTCTTCTACTTCATCATGGCCGGAAATGACCGGAGTGGTGTATCGCAATCATGTCGCCATTTCCTATAGGACATCACCATAGGTGTACTTTACTCCGTAAGATAGTTCTGATACGGTCAGATCAGCGCCTAATTTCACCGTGCCCAACACCTAGGCCACGGGCGACAACACGGCAACGTTATCTGTGCGTGAGGAGGGGGAGATCCCTCCCGTCTGCAGGAAGTGGGTAAATTAGGGGTCTCCATCGTGGCATCGCGATATGGAAAGGATAGGCAGGGTTTGGGGTTGGGATTGGGGTTGGGGGGGAAAGTTAGGGCTCCGATCGGAGGGGATTTCAATAGATTGATGGTACGGTGTAAATATCAGGACAAAATAAAGAGGGTAGGAAAAGCTTGATGGATTATTTTTGGATCAGGGGTTTGACGGCAAAGAGCAAGGGTCAATAGTACGCCACCAAAGAATTTGATCAACGAAATGGAAATGGCAAAGAAAATCAAATTAAATAGGGGCCGTTGGAAGGGAGAAAGGTGGGACTCGGTAGTCTCCGGGTTGCGAGATTCGGAGGACATTCTTGGTCTGTTTGCTATCCTCGGAGTACGAGTAAACAGATCTAAATCATAGACACAGATATTCTATGACTACGGAGTACTTCGTATATTGATAAACTGTACTGTGTACAGTATGTGCTTAATGCATATTGTACTCTGTACTCTGCCCCCTGTACTCTATACTCTGTAATCCTTCATATCCAAGCTAGGGCTAAACCCCACGCCCCCATCCCATCCAGAGTCGGCCCCGGGGCCGACGCTGGCCCTCTCTGCTTTGCTCTCCAGACCTATCCTTGCCAATTGTCAATCTGTCTGACTTGCAGCATCTCACTACATCCGAGTCTGTCTCTAATTTATTTTCTGTGTTGACTTCATTCCATAAACGCGTAATTCCTCTTTGGCCCTGGCATGTCGCGTCGATGGAATGAATACTCGGCGCTAAAGCACACCTGCCACTGCAATCTAGGAAAACCGGTTACCAAGTTACCAAGGTCCAGGAATTCTTGTTTCATTTCTTGTTTTTTTTTTTTTGCCTCGCTTCTTCCGCCCTGAAGACCCAGTTACTGCATTTCGTAGACTCGTAAACCTCATAGACTCTTGATAGGTTTCGTTTGCATTGAACGCGCCTTCCCTTCCGGCCCTCTTGCCGCACTGCGTCTGCTCTCAAGCTGTTTACACACGCGACGCCAATCTCTCCTCATCCAGCTTATTCTCTCTCTCTCTCTCTCTCTCTCTTTCTACTTTTCAATCCATTCTAGTGTTACTATTACCCTCACCAATTATCATTGGACATCAACACATTCATCATGTTTTCCTCGCTCGCGCTCTCTGCGGTGCCCCTGATCCTGGCTGGTTTGCAGGCCGTGACGGTCGGCGCAGTTCCAACCATCTCCGCCGTAGGATCCAAGTTTTTCTACGAAAATGGCACTCAGTACTACCTGAAAGGTTCGTGGGGGTGATGGTCCACTCATGGCTGGGTCTAGACTAACTGAAACCTTCAACCGTTGCAGGCATTGCTTATCAGCTAACCCCCAATGACCCGCTCGTCGATACCGCCCAATGCAAGCGGGATATCGTTCGCATGTCCGAGCTGGGCACCAATGCTATCCGTGTGTATCACGTCGATCCCAAGGCCGATCACAAGGGCTGCATGTCAGCTTTCGCGGACGCAGGGATCTATCTGTTCGTCGATCTCGATACCTTCACCACTCAAATCGAGCAGGTATGAACTCTGCCATCTACACCATTCATCCATTCATTTTCCATTCCATACTGACGGGAATTCTAATGGTAAATAGACTGAGCCCCACTGGAACCAGACCCAGCTTGACCGCTTCACCGAGGTTCTTGATGAATTTCAAAATTATGACAACACCGCTGGTGTATTCGTTGGCAACGAGGTTCTGACCACGGCCGATGGCTCTGCTGCTGCGCCTTACGTGCTCGCTGCCGCTCGCGACGTCAAAGCCTATCGTGATCGCAAGGGCTACCGAGAGATTCCTGTCGGTTATTCCGCCGCTGATATCGCTGATCTACGCCCCATGCTGCAAAACTACCTCGCCTGCCAGTCAAATGCCTCTGACCGTCTTGACTTTTATTCGCTGAATGCGTACGAATGGTGTGGTGACTCTTCATACACCGTCTCTGGTTACAATATGTTGCAGAAGAATGCCACCGACTACCCTATTCCGATCTTTTTCTCTGAGACAGGGTGCAATACCCCCACTCCTCGAACTTTTGACGACCAAGCGGCTATTTTTGGCAAAGACATGGCTGACACTTGGTCCGGCGCCATCATCTACGAGTGGATTGAGGAAACCAACGACTACGGTCTTATCAGCTATGGACCATCCGCCAAGGCCGCCACCGCCACCAGTGTCGAAGATGGCTACACACGCAAAGGCACTCCGACACCTGTCTCACCTGATTTCGGAAATTTGAAGAAGCATTGGGCAACATTGCATCCCACTGGAGTTGCGCTTTCCGAATACAAGAAGTCATCTAGCAGTCCTTCTCTCGAATGCCCTGCCTCAACCAAAGGAGGCTGGGCGGTTGATCCTAGCTCGCCGCTTCCCACACTGGGACAAACATACACAAAGTCGTCAACTACTGGAAAGCAAACCAGTCAGAGCACTTCGACCTCTGGATCAGCCACCTCCACCGCGTCTGGTAAAGGCAACGCTGCCAATTCCAAGTCGTTTGTCGCCGGGTCGACCACCGAGCGCATGTTGATGGCCTCTTTCGTTCTGTCTGCTGGTCTGGGTGCTCTAGCTTATTGGCTGTGATGATTGATCAACGCCGACTTGGATAAGCCTTATCAATATGTATTCTTGCTCTTTCAATGTATAGAATAGACACGAGTCAATGAAACGGATCTACCCGTTAGCACTTCCCCCCTTAGTAGTCGTATTAAGTTCCATACGGGAGTGACTCCATCTCCCTAGTAGCACTGGAATGAGGTCGAACAAGTAGCAGTGCGAATGCCAAAAGGCTGCAGAATCAATGGGTCTGCGGCTGCAGTCTTGACAGTCTAGCCAAGCCAAGTCTCATAAGAAATATCCATAGATTTGTCATAGCAATGGATACACTCAACGAGATAGCATGTATATTTCCTGTCTGGTCAGGAAATCTTCGTTTGACACTTCTAAAGAAAAAAAAAAGGCTGACGCCTGTCAACACTCCAAAGTTGTTGATATACCAATGGGTGCTAAGGGTGGCTTGCGGATATCCACTCCCAAGACCGGTGCATGCGCGTATTTAGCGTCGGCTCGCCAAGCCAGACTTTATTTTGTTCACGCGTATTTCTGGAAGAAAGGATTTTGTGGAATTAACAAAGGCTGAAATCAATTACCGTACATACCTAATTTACTACAGCAGCACGGGCGAAATGGAGCTTGAGAGCCGCCGGCACAGATGCGGTTTTGTCCAGGCAAAGGCGCTCACCAAAGGGAAATCTATCATTTCAGTAAGGCTTACTTAAGATGTCATAGATAGTGACTAAGTAGTTCTGCCTGAAAAATCGCTTTCATTGCCACGCGGAAGCTTCAAGTTGTCGGCCACTTGAGCATTTTCCGGTGTAGGTATGATCATAATGACACGGGCGGGATAAATGCCCGCGATCCTATTTCCAATGAAAAATAGTCACTCAGATTTTCAACATTCCAATAGAAAGACATATTGATTGAATGAACCCATATGTACAAGCAAATTGCATTAATCCGTCATTCCTGCCTCCCGATTGCCTGCCGGACCAGAATCGCTATTCCTCCTAGGACGACGGTAGCAACCCTTAGCCCCGGAAAACTTGAAGATTATACCCCCTCATCAGGCACTTCTATAACGCCTACATCAAAGCTCAGTATATGTCCTACGCCACGGAATTTTACAACTGAAACTGTCACGCCATCTAGAGATGTCCGCATTTTAGCAGCTATCAAGCAAGAACATCGCGAGATCAAAGCCGACGCCGACACAATCCTAAATGGCACAACCCCAGATCAGCAAACCCGCTACCAAAATCAATTCACCTGGGAGCTAGCCCGTCATATGATAGGCGAAGAGCTCATCGTCTACCCAGCTCTGGTCAAGTATGTCAAGAACGGACAAAAGATCGCGGACGAGGGCCGGGCAGAACACCAGGATATCAAAGAGCAATTGAAGATGTTCCAAGGGCTACGATCGACGGATCCGCGCTTTACCCCGACACTTCGGGTGTTAATGGGTGATTTGGAGAATCATATTCGGAAGGAGGAGGATCAGGACTTCGCGCGGTTGGAGGTGACGATTTCCAAAGAGGAGAGTGAGGCGTTGACGCGGTCGTTGAATCAAACGAAGATGTTTATTCCGTCTCGCTCGCATCCTCTAGTACCGACTAAGCCGCCTTTTGAAACGGCCGTGGGGCTTTTGACGGCGCCTATTGATATGGTTGCTGATATGTTTCGCAAGTGGCCGAAGGAGAGGAAGGGGAATATGTCTGCATCTAGATAACGGTATTTGGTCACGGTTTATTCGTGTTGCGTACTAGTAGTCGTGAGATATTTGAATTTCAGAAAAGTTATTTTACAGTCATGTGTCATTATAATTGGTATACTAAGTTTCGCGTGTCTCATACTAATAATGCTTTGGCAATTAGCCCCGGCATGCCAGTGCCGTGGAATCTGTTGCCACTAGAGGAGTTTCCAGGTATCCGTGTCGCTGTAGTCGACGAAACTTGTTACTCATGCCAGCATTACTATTCACTGCCAGGCTATTGAGTTGCAAGGCCGTTTCAAAGGATCGGCGTCGTTTCCACGCCTTGCGAAATTGATGCTGCTCGTCATCCTGCTGTCTCGAGCGCAAGAGCAAAAAGTCACTATGCGCCTCCTTTTCTTCGCTGAGGGCTTGTATCTTCGTGGGAAATGATATTAGAATCGTTTGGAATTTCTGATAAAAACCCATATGCTGATCTTGATGGAAACTTGAACTTGACACGCAAAAAGGAAGTAAAACATACATAGACTAGCCACAACTCTTGCTCCGAACTCCAAGCCTTCTGACATCTTGCAAGTTGCCTCCTTGCATCTTCAAGCTTTTTCTCCTGGCCACTCGTCCAGCGACACTGGCTGCGAACAATACTCGCCCAGCTCACCACGCGAGCGAGCTGCGGGCGTGCAGAAGGTTCGCCCTTCTCTGCGAGCCAGTCGGGCTTGCACCCGGGGATGGAGTCAAAATGTGAGGAAGACGCCTCCTCCATTTCTGACTCGTCGCGCCGTGCGTCGTACCTCATGGCCTTTGGGTCTAGGTGTTGCTTCACCGCTATATGCAAGGCGTGCGAGACGTCATGGTGCAGGGGTGCGTCGGGGATTTCGGCATCGTGATAATGACTCTGGGGATCACTTTGTGAGCCATACCCCGAGTCCGGAGACTGAACCTCATATTCTTTTTCTTTTCCTTTGCTACCTGTTGAGTCTGTTGACTGGCGTCTTTTCCAGGGGAGGGAGAAAGGCAAGGCGCGATGGACGAGTGTAAGAACCGCCATGGCAACACCTGTTGAACATGGATGCAGTAAAAAGCAAAAACAGAAAGGAGGAATGCCAGTTAGGGACGCAGCCAGTACTGGGATTAAAGTGATCTGCTATTTTCATTCCTCGTCTATCGGTTCGCCCCTGGCGCTCTTATATGCTCAGTTTGTCGCCGTGAGGGGTCGTACTTGGTATGCGTTGAGACCGACAACCCGCCTAACGAAAACGAACGTGCAGGAGGCGCTCGCACAGGTAGTGGGGGGGGTGAGCCCGATTGACTTCAGCGGCGTTATTCTGCTTGGCTGCACACGCGAGAGACATCAATTTACCGGGGAGTCCTGGTTGGTGCAGCCGGTTGAGGTCTGCGGCGTTGGTCGAGAATGCAACCGGAGCCAGCTCTAGAGCTGCGCTCGTGTACCTGAGGACGCAAGCAGTCGTACATATCTCGGGGTTTTGTTGATATGAAGAGGAATTAGTGCGGGGATAGACAAGCATAGCAGTATTCAAGACAGGGTGGAGATAGTCCATGTCTCAGGGTTGTTGTGAAATCGACGTGATGTTTTCGTCTGATCTATACATCGCCACCGGCGCCAACTTCGGGAAAACCAGGAAACATGATGCAGGTGTCGGGCGTGGTTCAAGTTCGCTAAGACCTCCATCTGGCACAGCTGCAGAAGGCCAAACCAGGTACAAACAATTTAGGATTATGGCCGAGTCCAGACCTGGAGATTGTAACAGTCTTCTACATTTATAACACAAGATAAATGAAACTGCGAATACAGCAAACGCTAAAGAAAAAAATAAGGTATCGAGGTCACGCTGAATATGAAAAGCCAGAATTCGCATAAGTAAGGTATCCCAGTACAATCCCAGTCCAATAACCGTGAGGGAATCATTAAAAAAAAGAAAAGCCGCTAGAAGACAAACCGACGGCTTCATCATCAGCTTTCCTCAAGTATACGCCAAAAGAAAATCAGAATGTGTTCATTGCCATGTATCGACAGAGGCCCCACGGTTCGCCTGGGCCTTTCGCTCGTCTCGGATTTGCTCGCCAATGATTATGCTGATCAATCTCCTATGCAGATCTGCATCGGTCCACTCCACTTGCCCCGATCCACCATATTGTACATCGGCATGCGAAAGTTCATTTACAAATCGATCAATGATCGCAAACTGCGCTTCAGAGATCGGAACTCCATGGAGTCCATCTGAAGTCCAGATCCAATCACCAATAATCTGGGCCCGCCCTGGTGCATCGTAGTATGGGAACCGCTCGGGGTGGCGTTTCGCGATTCGGTAGACGCGCCGAAGAGCCAGGTAGTGGTCATTTGAGAAGTAGCCAAACACGGCGAGTGGCCTCGGCCCTTTCGGCGAGTCGTGCTCTTCTTCAATCATATTTGCAGGGTTGTCTTCGACAACTTCGCTTGAAATGCTCCGTTCCAACCGGTTCCTCCCGTCCTCTTCTTCCACTGAAGAGACAGCCTCACTATGCCCTTGTTCGAGACCCATTGACTGAGGTGTCCTCTCAACCCCAAGAGGTGATTCGCTTGAACGGTCCGAGGAACGGTGGGAAGTCGATGCTTTTTCATGATAATGATGATCCATCTGAGGTGATTGGATGGAAAGTTCGCCCTGGTCAACTTGACCGTCTTCCAGCTCATCTTCGGAAATATCCCTAGGATCGGCTTCAGAGGCAGAGCTAGGCTCGTCGTCATCAGAATGGGCAGGGGCCTTGAGCCATCTAGGAGTAAGACTGGTGATTCGTTGGAACCAGGACGACCCTTGGGGTTCCACATCTGACTGACGCTGGTGTTCTGGGGTGATGGTTATATCCCCATGCGCCAGTTCGCCCTCGCTGGAGGCTCCATCATGAACGCTATCAATCTCATCCACGTCGTTGGCGTGAGCCTCTTGTTGGGAATAATTATGACGGAAAATGGGGGACTCCTGTTCGGCTTCTGGTTCTCTCTCGGGAGATTGAGAGAGCGGTTGTAAGCGAACCCGTTTTCCAGGGTTACTTGGCTGGCTTTTAAGAGCAGATCCATTGATGGATGAGTGCTGTGTAGCGGAGCGTAGTATACTTCTGGGAGTGCTTGTGCCGTTGTAGTAGCGTGCGCGATTGGGCGTATCATCTGCTGCAAGAAGAGCTGAGAGATCTACTTCGCGTTCGCGGAGTTTGCGGATTTGCGTTTGATTCAAGTGGCGTATGCCATCCTTTTCTAGGTCCACGTAAGCTGGAGAGGAGCTGAGATAATTTTGAGACGAAGGTTTTCCCGCAATTTTTCGCCAAGGGCTAGCAGCCTCTTCGACAGGGTGATGTTGTTGGTTTTCCGAATGATGCGAGATGTGACTGTTGTCACGGGCTTCTTGTTGCCAGATGTCATCAAAGCCGTCTTCGTCTTCTTCGTCTTCCATTTCCGTTTCCTGATTGGCGATTGACACGGGCTCCGGCTCATGTGCATGTCTTGTCTCAAGCTTTGGATAATCAGGTTCCTGACGCCAGATATCATCGTAGCCATTGTCCTCGCCATCTGATACTTCGGTTTCGGCATACAAAGGCCGTTTCGTGACAGAGGGACTGGAGAGGACAGGTCTTGGTTTCGATTGACCGGCATTTTCAGAATCGACGGAGCCAACAAAGTCTTCATCAGCAAATTGCTCAAGACCCTCAGGCTCTTCCTGTTCGTCCATGGCTTCAAATCTTTCAGGCTCCCGTCGCTCTTCTTCCCCGGTGGGCCCAAAGTCGGACTGTAGATGATCGCTAAAAGCTCTGTCCTCTTCAAAAATTCCGGGTTTCCTGCGATCTTCCTCGCCGATGGACCCGAAATCAGAGTGTAGGTGATCACTAAACGCATTTTGCTCTTCAAATACATCAGGCTGCCTGCGATCTTCCTCACCAATAGACCCAAAATCAGATTGTAGATGATCGCTAAACTCATTTTCCTCTGGCAATCCTTCATTTTCAGAGGCATTTTGGTCACTGTCGATGTAGATGATGTGGTTGGAATCGATGGCTTCTTGTGCATTTCGGCTGACTTCCTGTCGCTCCTTGTGCCATTCGGCCTCTTGTTGCGATCTAATCTTATTCGTAGGATCGGTTCTGGAGACTTCTTCTCGTTCGGATTGAGACGAATGGGGTATCACATGCACTTCATCCAATTCGTCCAATTCCTCTTCCTCTTCCTCTTCCTCTTCTTCGATATCATCTAGTTCAATTGACTCATTCTCGAGGATAATGTCTGACCTTGGCTCTTCTTTTTCTTCTTCGAATTGGGGTTGTTCCTTCCACGGTGAAGATGTTGGAGGGAGATCCGGATATGAGACAGGCCTCGCAGGAGATATTTTGGCTGGCCGATTCGATGCATGGCTGGCGTGCGAGGAAACGCGATATCCCGTAGACAAATCGTCAGTCACAGGGCTAGGCCTGGCTGAACTATGGTTATCACTCTGAAGATCACTAATTCCTGGGAGTTTGCGTTTCAACCGATCGCCAATCCGTCCATTGTGTCGATCTTGTAAGACTCTCGCGGCATTGTCTGTAGCTCTGCTAGCATTACTGCCTAACCCAAACTGCTGGGCCGAAGGGAGAGTATCCAAAGACACCATGGTGAACCCTTCGCTTTCCATTATCGAATCGAATTCCTCGTGCTCCTCCGTTGGGTCGGAGAGGGGCTGTTGATCATCATTTTCCCGTCGTTGTTCCTGTGCCTCCCGCGCTTGATTTTCTTCTTCGGCCAGCGATGAAGTTGGGGTTGGAGTGGGATATGTTTGAGGCGATGAGGCCATACCAGCATCGCGTGCCGACCTGACTGATGAAGATAGCCTTTCTCGGGTCGGCGAAGGCATCTTTGACGGGGTTGAGTTGATGTTTTCCTCGTTGTCGAGATATTGCTGTTCTGTAATAATAGGCGTGTCGTATGTGGTCCTTCCATATTCCCGAGTGGCGCTTGCATTCAAGTGCGCCCCATTCCTTTGCATTGGCCCAGTGAGATCTGCGACGGGCAAATCATCCGCTCCAAGCGAGTCACTATCTAAATCACCGTTTTCTGCAACATTGAGCGGGCTCCAATGTCGCGTGGGCTCAACACTTCTATCCTCAACAATATCCATTGGGCTGAATTGAATTTGAGGCTCTTGCTCGGTCTCAAGCAGGTGTAAGGGTTCCGGAGCTGGCGTTGGCTCATCCTCAATCATAGGCGAATCATGTACATTCGGCCTAGGTGTATTCTTCCGCGGTCGGCCCGGCTTTCTCTTAGGTGTTTCTCCTGGTCGGCCTGGTGTATTTCCAGCACTGGCTGGCCAAGGTGAACCATTAAGCGGTTTGGTGTCTGGCTTGCGTGGACGCGATCTCGACGGCGTTTTTTCCGATAATGGACTACGGCCATCTTTCAAGGGTATCATTGTTGTAATGGTTGTCGGTCGGTGTCGTTTGCGCGACGGGCTCAGCTGCATTTCACTCTCATTCTCCTCGTCCTGCGTCGCCTCGAGGGTGAGTCGAATGCGCCACGGACTCACGTTTCCATCCTGTTGATCCTTCAAGGGCGAGGGAGATCTATGGCGACCGGCGAATTTCATTGCAGGCGAGCCAGGAAGCAAGACATCGTCGAATCGGATCGAATGCGCACTTTTCGTCGGGCTGAGGCTCACGCGTGGTCGTTTGGAAGGACGTGGCTTGCGCGCGCTGAAGGCTGGCGAGTAGAAGCTTTGGCGACCGGTAAAGGGCTTGATTGGAGACGAAATTAGGTAGTCGGCGTCGCCTGGCGGGCCTAGGACATCGGGGGAGGAGCTCGAGCTGCGCGTAATGGCGGACATGACGGGCTCGGTGCGATGGATTCTCGGCACGCGTGCCGCGAGGGGGCGTGGAGAGAGCGCACCCCGTGGAATGCAGTGATAATAAAGGGACAATGGCGACCAAACAGCCAGATAATCTGTTTAACCACCAACAAAACGGCGGGGCAATGCGTAAACAAGTCTCCCGAAGCGGCGCGGGCGACGCATGGTGATTGGGTTAGGTAATCATGACCCAAAGCGGTAATTCTGTTGATATATGAGACACACTTCCTCTTTCCAAGCCATTTGATGTTTGGGTTGAGTCTGTTCCATTATACCACTGGTATTTCGATATATTCTCTTGCTATTGGATATATAGCTTAATATAATTCCTCTTCCACAGTCTGCACAGCAGGAATTCGATCCAGCGTTGTTTCACAAAATTGAGCCACACGATGTACACAATCACACGCCATCTCCACGTCTGCCCTGGAGAATCCCAACCGTCGCATGCCTCTCATATGCCAATATGTCTCGCGTGGAAGATTCTGACCCATGACTGCTGGTAATACAACCAGCTCAGTATCAAAATCATCTGGAAGTGAGCAAATAGCCTTTTTTTTTTTCCTAGAGAAAGTCCTGTTGGAAGATCAAGCTCTGCTTTAACAGTAAGAGGAATACAATTCTTTCGTATTCTTGAAATGATGCAGGATTCAAGTGATGAGTTCAGAATGTGGCAAACCACGGGCTTCAAGTCTAACGAGGCCGAACCTTGGTTGCTAGTTGAAGGTCGAGAAGCATCACTACTATCTCTCTAAGTAAGCAATATACAACTAGCATTGGGATTTTGTAAAGTCCAGGATGCTTCATGGTCTCGTATAACTTGATCTCTATGTGTCATTTATTTTCGCCTTGGTCTTCTAGATATCCCATGGTAGACGGCATCCATAGTCAGGCTTTCGAGATTCGATGCTACGACCACTCGAGTGTACCTAGGTATCTCAAGAGTTTGTAGATCTTGTTCCTTGCATGATTTATCGACAAACTTGAAAGCTTGTCTCAGATGACCCTGGTTATCTTTAGCTGAAAATGGTTAAATCGCCGTATCCCAGATCTGGCAGCGAAGTTTCACATTTCAACTGAGTCTATACGCTTCAGGTTTTCATCCAGCGGATCTTGCTCAAGCTCCAGATGTTCAGGTTTCATTGAGAGTTAAAAATAGTATATCAACAAGAAATTAGTATAACTAGATACCTGAATTGTTGACTCGGAGCTTGAAGTTATTGCTTTTACTGACTGGTTGTGCTTTGACCACTGGCAGTATGAGATCGTCGATTTTCATAGAGAGAATCACCTGCATCATACTGCTACCACTAACCAGCTGAATGAGACGAACGTGCGCGGGGTAGTATTACTAGCAACTGGTTAGTATGTGGGATAGAAATCGGAATACCCATTTAGGTGGGCTTAGGAGTTTCCCCTCTTTTTTCTTTGCTTTTGCCTTTGGCCCCAACACTCTTCCTTGCTCTTCCTTGCTCTTCTGACCTGTCTGCTGGCAGTACGGAGTATCCAAGTACTAATTACTACTAGGCTTTGTCCTCGGAGGAGCCGACCTCCCAAGCGGTTGTCCAAAGGCAGTGTACAGCAGAAACTAGTAATATACTTGATACCTAGGTACTAGCACCGAGATTGGATCATATAGAGGAAAGAAATGGGAGAAATACGAGTAGTAATGAATTCCAAGTTCGACCCGGACTTAATACTCCAAATTTCCCTTAAAGGACCGTCACTGAAAGAGGCACTCCAGGCTACTCCGTAATCAAAGCGCGTCTTTCTACTACATAGGTACTACTGCTAGTAGTACTATGGATCACGGTTAGCAGTCGGATATGATTTCGTATTTCCAAGGTTATTTTATTAACTCCGTCATGTACTCGGTAAGAATTAATATTAAATAATTTCGAATAAGCGATCGGCATGGTATTCCCGTAGGAATGTTGGTTTTCTCTCCACCGGAGAATTGCAGTTTTCCCTCCGCCTCCTTTCAACCATTGCTTGTCTTTGCTCCACCGACGCCCCGAGAGCACGGCAGGGGTACTCTGCCCATAGCCTCACCTCAGCCCAAAGATCCAAAGAATACCGCTCGTCCCTCTCTCCGCTTTTCTCCCGTGCTCTCCCCCGCGAGGTTCTCCTCCAATCATTGAGCTCATCTCACGCCACTGCTGCCGGATAATTCGTGAATCGGTAACCTACCCCGGTTCCCCCAGCCCCGCCCCCTAGCGTTGAGCCATGCGGAGGTAGGCTAGTTGGAAGGATTGAATGACGATAGTTACTGGGATTGGAAAGGAGCTTGTCACCTTATAATGCGCCCTCCCCTCAGTTACCTCCGCACATTCCTGTGCCCTGCGCGGATTACGCCTCGACTCCTGGCCGTTTATTCCTCCTTCTTCCTCACTGCAATCATATTTTTGGCCATCAGGATGCATCTCAAATCCTACGTCACTGCTGCCCTATATGGCCTCCCGGCCCTAGTGAATGCTGCTCCCTCTGCAGCTTCCACCTCGCAGCCTTCTACCCCTTCTTCTTCCGGGTCAGCCTCCGATGATCACTTCCGTGAATACACTATCAAGGCTGAGAACATCACCGCCAAGATCATCCCATATGGCGCGCGTTTGACCTCCCTCCTGGTTCCCGACCGTGACGGTGATATCCAAGATGTCGTCGTTGGTTATGATGACCCCAAGTACTATCTCCACGATAGTGAGACCAACCGCACGTTCTTTGGCGCAACCGTAGGCCGCTACGCGAACCGCATCAAGAACGGCACTTTCTCAATTGATGGTCACGACTATCAAATTCCCGAGAATGAGAACGGCGGGAAAGACACTCTCCATGGTGGCTTCATCGGCTATGATATGCGCAATTGGACTGTCACCTCTCACTCCGACGCGTCTGTCACTTTCACCCTCCTGGATCAGGGCTTCGAAAACTTCCCTGGCGATGTCATCTCACACGCCACCTTCAGTGTGTCCACTGAGAAGTCCGCTGAGAACCCCAAGGGACTTCCCCAGCTGACCACGAAGCTGGTGTCACTCGCCTTGACCGAGAAGACTCCGATCATGCTGGCCAACCACGTCTATTGGAACCTGAATGCCTTCCAGAACGAGAATGTTCTGAAGGATACCACCTTGCAACTGCCCCTCTCCAAGCGCTTCATCGGCGGAGACAGCATCCTGATCCCCACTGGCGAGATTCTTGATGTTGACACCGCTTTCAAGGGCGCTCTGGACTTCACCGAGGCTAAGTTGATCGGCAAGGACATCGAGAAGACCACTGGCCTGTGTGGAGGCGGCTGCACTGGCTATGATACTTGCTGGATCACTGACCGACCGGCTGCCTATTCTGCCTCCGATTCTGTTGTCCCCTCTGTGCGATTGGCTTCCGACAAGACTGGCATCAGCCTGGAGGTCGCTACCAACCAAGCTGCCATCCAGATTTACACCTGTAACGGCCAGAACGGTACCATCGCTACCAAGGAGTCGCAGGCCAAGCGTAACAAGGCCAAGGACGGTAACTCTGGTGCCACCCATGTCAACAAATACGGTTGCGTTGTTATTGAGACCGAGGACTGGATTGACGGCATCAACAACCCCCAATGGGGTCGTGATCAGATCTTCGGACCTGACGACGGCCCTGTTGTCAACTTTGCCACATACCAGTTCGGTACTTTCTAAGATGGCAATAGATTTCTTGTTTTAGCATCAAACCATTACGATGCATTAATTCATGCTTGGGTTGTCAATAGATGATTGCTTCAGCAATCGGTTTGATAGTGTACATAACTAACGCACATGACCCAATGTGTTAATTCTACCACACTCAATCTTTCATCGTAATCTGTATCCTCTACTAGCTCCTGCATTCTTTGTCAATTCTAGAAGCCTCTGGTACCCGTCGTTGAGACTTCAGACACATAATCTCAACTTCCTTCCTTGGGGACTCATATTTTGTCGCCTGATCTCGATGCCTAATTACAACTTGGACAATATACTAGCTCCAGTGTCCCCACTTCCTTTGATAATTTCATCTTCCCAATAATTCGGATTGAATGTAATTTCGTTCAAAGGATTTAGACGGTGGGCCCTATTGTAAAGATCCTCGTAAACCCGACCATCATACCGACCAAGAGCACTAGTAAACATTGTGATCAGCTCTATGGATCCTCGATCGAAATGAATGAGTAATTTTTATACCTGTCCAGAAGATAGTCTGGGATCATCCACGAATCAACCAGATTCACCGCATGTGGTCGGATTCGGGACATCAGCTCTTGGACACGAGCAGGGAGACGGTCAAGGTCAGATTTAGTGACAGCATTACAGCAGAAAACTGAGAATATCGGTGTTAGCTCAGAATCTGACAAAGAAATTGATTTCAGTCTTATCTCACACTCGAAAGCTTCGGTTTCCATAGTATGGAATGCAAAAAGCCGAAACAGGTCCCACATGACGGTCTTCGTAGAATCCGAGAGAAAGTCGTCAGTTGATAAGGATTCGAAAAAGGCAGTTACTAGGATCGACTGAGATTGGGCTAAATAAACTTATCAGCGATGAACAGGACGTTTACTGCATGGATTTGACCTACCTTTGCTCAGCTTATGAAGTTGAATGAGTAAGCTGTTCCAACTCTGCTTTTTAAGCACGCGTTGTTCATACACATCATATGTCTGTATACTGTCAGAAAATCCAAGTTGCACTAGTTGCACCAGGCAGTCATAGTGGAATTGACACTTACCAAGGCAGCGGCACGAAGCTCAAAGCTTTGGACGACATCCCGATCACTTGCCAGCACATCAAGACCAGCTTTCGAGAACCCATTGCCACGATTTCGAACGAATTCCTTAAAAACAGCATCAGTCTTGTCGGTAGCAGGACTTGCTAGTGAATCGACTGCCGTAGTCATTTTCTTGATCAAGTAAGCTGCCACTTGCTGAGTGATCATCCAATTATCACCTTCGACAGTTGGTTTGGAGAGGTAGTCATTATTTAGTTGAATAAGACCGCTCCCGCCGCCAAAGCCGTGCCCTCCCATCGCGCGACGACATGTCTCAACTCCATCTGCGGCAAGCATAGTACAGAGACTCTTTAGACCAGAAGACATACTATGCATATGGGCCAAGGAACGAAAATCTCCTTGTTCAACAGCTTCACGGGTACTTTGATATGTAGCGCGCATCGACTGTCCTGTATAATGCAAGGCAAACGCAGTTGCCAGCAAAGGCAGAATGCGTATCTGAACCGTGGGATAATCAAGGACTGCCATTTCTGGCCCACGTTTGTCGCCATCCCGATCTTGAAATTGTCTCCGGATAGCAGTATAGCGCACCGCAACTGTGACTGCGCGTGCAAGTACGAGCCTAGCATGATGCACGATTTGTGCACGAACATACGTCAAAGAACCGTAGACCAGAGCGGGCTGTTCAGGTTTTGTATAGATGCCAGTATTCGGGTCCACACTGGAATAGCGCGATAACATGGCAGAATGAGGAATCCTATATCCATGGATAGCTTGTCAATATCCAGAGTCTCTGTAAATGCCAAATTCCGTTGGGGGCATACCGAAAATTATCAAAAAGCATGTAGGCGTTGTCCATCGTAATGTAGCCATATTTCGCACCAATATCTCCAACCACTACGCCGCTCAGAGGCAGATGTGTCTTCATATCCCTCACCTGCACAATGAATGGATGGGGACCATGAGATACATATTCATTTACTGATCCGGCCTTTGGAAGCAAAAGCTGCGCGACCACAATGGCATGGTTTGCAATCCGGCCCAGGCTCCCATTCCACCACTTACTTGCAGTCAGAGTAGGGCTATGTAGAATGAATTCCTTGGCCTGGCTGTCCCAACGTGCCTCCAACTCCAAGCCTCGGACGTTACTACCATGTCCCAGCTCGGTCTGGGCATATGCACCGACAATTTTCCATGATTCAATGAGTGGCATCCATTCTGCACGCTGTGCCTCGCTGGCCTGTTCGCGGATAGTTGTGATGAACATTTCCAGGTGCAAAAAATAAGGCGAGACATCATCAACCAAGTACTCAGCCATTTTATATTCATCATGGCTCCATTGGTGTTGGTCTTTCAAACGTCGTAGGAGCTTCGCACGCGCAAGTCCTAGTTTGAATCGCTCGGGGCGAGACAAGTTCTGCTGCTTCTCTTTGGAGAAAAGTGGCTCTCGTTGCACGATCGGGAGGATCCGTGCTTGTCGCTCCAAGAATCCATCAGCTGAAAGAAGATGCTCGCTTAGCTCCTTGGGCGAGATATTGGATTCTGCTCGCTCGCGGGCAAGTGTAGTAGGCCCATCAGGTTGACTCGGGCGAAGATTATCGGTGAAGTCGGGCATGGTGCTTGTATCTGTTCAACGCTCCCAACTGAATATTTTGCTAGCACATCAGCTCTGATTATGAATGGACCGATATATCATCATGGGGTGCATGTTCACCCCTCAATTCACTTGCTCATTTACCTAGGTTTCCTTTCCGCGTTTAGCCAAATTCGCCGAATGCCGAATGCCGGCTGGGACTTACCCCAATCAACAACGCGGGGCAGACTGCGGGGAAGTAAGTAGCCGATTCAAATGAGATACTTTCCAAGGACATAGAGAATGGAAGACGGGGGAATTCCGAGGGCCTATAAACTGCTGCATCGAAGGCATCGTCGGAGCTTCCATTGACAATCAATCATTCACTCTGAGGGTAGGTAAAGGAACACGACTTGGCAATGGATGACCGTACTCTCTACGTGCCTTCACACGAGGGAGAAAATGTCCTCCCTAACTCACCCTGGTTTCACAAACTGCTTCGTTATGCCCAACGCAAATCTTCGAGGGTCGCCATTCGAGATGTGAATGCAAATATCGAAAAGACATACCACGATCTTATATCCGACGCGGTCGCATTTCGGAATGAGCTCAGGCGAAGGATGAGCCCGCAGACACTTCGAGACCTAGCAGAGGATAAGGAAGTCTATATTGGCTTGCTGGCGGCCGGGGGATATGAGTACACAGTTGGCTTCATTGCTATTGTTGCACTTGGTGCTGCCGTAGTGCCAATGGGTAAGTTCGCCATCAACCAACCCAAAGGACAGGAGCCAGAACTAAATCAAAACAGCTGCGGGATTGCCCGTTGAAGAAGCAACATACTTTCTTTCCAAGGCTCGATGCGTTTCTCTGGTTGCTAGCACGACAAGTGAGGACCTGGCAAAGTCCATTGTGCAATTTATGGGAGAGAAGAAGAATTTCCATATTCCTTGTATATCGCCCATCGCATCCTTCTTCCGACCAACACCAATCCCAGCGAGCGAGATCGTAATATCTTCAAATCGAATGCTTGACATGAATGGCGCGAGCGCAGTGATTTTCACCTCTGGCACAACGGGTCCACCAAAAGGCGCAGTGCAACGCCGTACTTGGCTGACGGGAAATGCTGAAACAGATGGAGATTTTTACGGTATCACGGAACAAGATGTTGTCCTCCACACATTACCAGTACATCATGCCTCCGGCGTGGGTCTCACCTTTCTTCCCTTTCTTACGGCCGGCGCATGCATTGAGTTCCGAAGCGGAAGCTTCAACACGGCTTGGACATGGGAACGTTGGCGGCAGGGTGGCCTGACCTTCTTTTCCGGTGTACCTACCATTTATATGCGCATGATGCGCTATTATGAAGAAAACATCGCGACTCAAGACCCCAAAGTACGCGATCAGTATATTGCTGGAGCCAGAAAGATTCGCACCATGCTTTGTGGCTCATCCGCATTGCCCGGCCCCGTTCAAAAGTTCTGGGAGGACTTGCGACAGAAGCCAATTTTGACAAGATATGGTGCAACAGAATTTGGTGCAGTCATTAAAACCGATCTTGATACGCGGGAAACCCCACGAAATAGCGTCGGTCGCGTGGCTGAGGGAGTTTGTCTCAAGCTCGAGGAGGACGGTCATCTGCTTGTGAAGTGTCCATATATGTTCTCTAAGTATGTATATACTGACTTCCTACCTGGGCATATTAATATGGTCTTTGCTAATTTATAAAATTTTGAAAGATATCTTCACGATGAAAAAGCGACTTCGGAGGCACACGATCAGGACGGTTATTTCAAATCGGGAGATATCGCTCGGAAAGAAGGGGACTATTATTTCATTCTCGGTCGCGCCTCGATTGATATTATAAAGTCAGGAGGATACAAGATCTCAGCACTTGACATTGAGCGGGAAATCCTGGGCCTTGACTATGTTTCCGAGGTGATGGTTGTTGGCGTCGAGGACGAAGAGTTTGGCCAACGAGTTGCAGCGACTATCAGCCTTAAGACCGACCAGAAAACGACACGCAAGGAACTCACTTTGGCAGAGCTGAGGAATGATCTAAGAGTCAAGCTCACAGGGTATAAAATTCCGACTGTTCTACGTGTGATCAAAGGCGAACTTCCAAAATCGGGGACTGGTAAGGTGCAGAAGAAGATTCTGGGGCCGCGGTTTTTTCCATCTAACTACCGAGACATCCCCGAAATACAAGTATGGAGCAAGGAGCTTAGAGCTAGACTTTAAATTTGGAATATATTTGTCGCCATATACCTAGTATGGTCGAGCAAAATATGAGTAGTAAGACCTGATCGCGTACAAGGAACGGGCGTCTTTAACTTGTTAGTTACTAAGTAGTTTACTTTACAAGATACTAACCAGTTACTACTAGCATACGAACCCGAAAATTTGTTCCGACCACTCTAGTATGTCGCTGCGTATCAATTTACGCAATTTAAATCCAAAGCAAATGAAAGTATCATTATATGACGAGACTGAATTATTCAAGTGAAGGGTCAAATCTTAACCTTGGCGGGTGCAGAAGTCATTCTGCTATGAACATAACTGATTCGCTGAAACTTTTTTATTGCCTCTCCCCAAAGCTCTTGGCGAAGAAGTGCATATACACTTGGATCATTGCAAGTTAGTATATTTCAGTCTGATAATCGAATGTGACTTACCCCATCTTTGCCTTTGGCGCCCATTTAGCTCCCATTTCAATCGCTGCGTCCAGCATCTGGTCGGGCTCGGCGATAGCGTCCACTATCCCATCTTCCAAGGCTTCCTTTGCTGTCCATTTGTGTGCTTCAAGAAGCATTTTTCGCGCTATCTGAGGACGTAACTTGAGTCGTGGAAGAGCCCCAATTCCATCAAAGTGCAACCCTAGATTTACAGGCGGCATCGAAATAAACCCCCGGCGAGAGTTCATGATACGATAGTCATGAGCCAAAGCAAGAGGACAGGCACCTCCGAATGTGTGTCCGGTAATCAGTGCAATCGTGGGAAAAGGGAAATCCAGAATCGTATGAATGAGCTATATCCACTTTGTTAATTCACAATCCCGATCATATTTTTGTCTCAAGGAATAGCGAAGGGGCTTACCGGATAGAATCCATCTGTATTTGCGAACGGATTGCTGTCTGACTCGTCTAATTCGAGACCCTGATGTCTCATATATTAGCCTGGTAATCATCATCAACCTTCTTCGTTGAGCGTCCTACAGTGCACCAAAATTTGGCATCATGGCCGCGAGTTATAACAGCCCCCTCCGAATCAGGACCCAACAGTTTTTCAACCGTACGATAAGCTCGAATCATTTCCTGGCAGTACCATGAGTTGAGTCGGTTTTCCGGGGGCTTCTGCATTGTGAGGACGAAGACATTTCCATGTCTTTCCAGAGAGAGGTTCTTGAAAGTTGGGATATCCGACATGTTGATTCTGCTTAGATTAGGGCAAAATTCAGTGTTCACTCGTTGCTAAGTCTTGTTTCGCCTCCCAAGATCTGTTTTGGTGTTCTGAAGCTAGCTTGCGTCCCCGCATCCCCAGATCATCCGGGGCCCACTGCTGAGTCCATTACCGAAATTCACCGATTACCGAATGCCGGCCGCGGCCTCATGCTAGTAGACGCCGCCGAGCGAATGTCTAAAGTCTTTTGAAGTGACCACTTTTGAGGGGTCAAGAATGGAATAGGCCTATCAGAAATTACCAATAGCCCCTATACAAATCTAGATGCATTCAGCGCACCTGGGCGCGTCCATCCCCACCCTATGGAAGTCATTCTTAATACTCCGATCAGTGTGCCTGAAAGAAATATTACTAACCTACTAGGTATAAGAGTTACGAGATCATTATCAAGTTGTGCGTATGAGCCTTATTCGTAGTAGCTACCAATGACTATCACCGGTCCAATTCAAATCTTTGAACAGCCAGTCTCCCATGCCCTGGTATTGATTATGAAAGAAATCATTACCGATGCTCTGCGGCATGCCCCCCCATGACAAGCCCAGTGTGAGGATCTAATACCGTCGTAAGCGGCCGATATTCCTCCGTTGAAGACACTCTGTTTGGGGAATGGGTCTCGTTTAAGTTGTCGAGTGGAATACTCTGAGAGTCACCTGCTGGGCACGCGGTGTCTTCGCTCCGAGCGATCGAGCGGGCTGTTGAATGCATAAAGTACGACCACGCCCATGATATTTCCGGACCAAAGTCCTGGAAGAAAGGGTGATGTTCTCTTGGAAGCACTACTATTTGAGCTTGATCACCAGGTCTCGTCGTTTTTTCTTGTTCACTGGCGATACTCTTCAGTGCTCTCAGGCTACCTTTGGCAGATGACCAACGCTGAGCGAGAACCTCCAGCGAAAGATAAATGGTCTGCAAGCTGTAGACTGCTTTTTCCCATAGTGGCGGGATTTTGCGACTTGAGAGCAAGCCAATTCCAGCAGCAAGCAAGTGAAATGTAAATATGGGCCCCAAGAATTGTATCTCGTCTCGTGCTAAGAAGTCTTCGAACATACCCGCTACGAATGACGAAGCCAGCACCACCGCCGGAGAGGGAGAGCTCCCCTGGTTGGGACGACACAAAATTGCGAGACAGATAAAATAGGCGATATGTAACTGACGGGCCTCAAAGCTGTACGAACTCAGTATGTTCTGGGGTTGTTCTCCAAGCTCTTGCTGCCTCGTAGGCGTTTGAAAGAGTCTCAAAGATTCCGGAAGTTCACGTGTCCAGCGATATAGTTGATTCTCAATATTTTGTCGTATTTGTCGTGTGAGGGTTTTCCGACGGCAATGCTGTGTGAGATGCCCCAGTATGGAGCTTATTTCAACATAGGCAATAAAAAGATGGCCATTTGAACTCGAATCATGGAAGTCACCCAGGTAAGGAGATGCCAGCTCACAATCTTCGATACATACCGCAAGTGGCCGGCCTTGTCCTGCTGATATTAAACAATCCCTGGCCTAACAGTAATCAGCGTGGTTATTTCAAAAGGGACCAATGAATGATGCATACAAATAATGTCCACCAAAGGCGACGTCTCAACGCAGCATCTTGTCGATTCGTGGGTTCTTTTTGAAGGCCAACTTGGTGAGCCAGTCCTACTCCAACGTATCGCCAAAAGCCACTCGTGTTTGTCGAAACATGCTCGGGGCCTTCCGGGTTGTACCAATGCAGAATACACACAGCCGCGACCACGGTCAATGGGTTTTTCTCGTATCCAGACCAGAACAAGGCTTTCGCACGCCGATAAAATTGATGAGTTGACGCATATGCAGTCACCGCGGGTGCAGAAGTAACTCTACTCGCAGCAACAAATATGGCTTGCAAGAGGAGCATCGACGGTTTCTGGGAGCCACTTTCCTCCAGCCAGCTGCGCTCCACAATGGGCATCCAAGGCGAGCACCGCTCCATGAAAGTATTGATGAGCCCATCACGCACCGCTCTGGGTGGTAGTTCAAAGGCTCCTTGTAGTCGTAACAGTTGATGATCATCCTCTGTCGGTCCATCCGCATCTCCGATTGGATATGATCTCGCTTGATCCTCATTGATAATCAAAGTATCATCGAAATAGCGGGATCTTGCCATGAAACTCTGAATTGGCGCCGATAGATATGGATTCGCCGATGCAGTTTCATCGGATATTATTGTCTGTTCTGCGTTGGCTGAAGAGGTGCTTCCACTTTCCACGTAAGTGTTTGGCGTTTGTTCATGAAGCAAGTCAATATGAGTCGCATCATTCTCCGAGATTTCTCCCAGGGGTCTATCGGTCGGCCCTGTGACTGAGAAGTCTCCATTTCGATTTTCGGTCAGGCTCAAGCGACGCCTGCGAATTCTGTTTTCTCTTGTAGTAACATGTGGCTTGCCATCGGGGCTGCGCTGGTGTTTCCTCTTGCGCTCACGCTGACTGGAATACTCATTCAGCATACTAGTATACCCCAATTTCGGTGATTTGATATTAGTTCATGCTGGAAATACTTACAAGCAAGGCCATTGATGACGTTGGCAGTTTGAGCATGTATTTGTGTTGTCTTCGAATATGCAACGAACCTAGTCCAATAAGCTGGGGGATTCTTGTCGAAGGGTCACTGGTCCATACTTTCTTCTTATTGCAAGCGACGCAGGCTGTAGGTGCTCGTAGCGGGGGTGGGCTAAACCGGGCCATTCCGAGATTCCCTGCACAAATGCCTCAGCACGACTCCTTCAAAACAGTGCAGGCCAAAAGCTATCCTACAATTCGGTTCATCAGTGGGTCCGTTTTCCCCGCCTTTCTTAGGAGTATTCCCGAGCCGAGGCTGAGCCACTAAGGAATGTCGATGATTTGTCTATATTGCATGGTAGCATGTTTGTAATTTAACTACTACATGCGAGGTATGTTCTCGAGGGCCGTACGGTTCAAACGCTCATGCTATGGGGAAAGAGTAAATATTCCAAGTGTAGGTATGTTCATAATATGGGGTATCCAGATGCTATTTACCGAGCGACACAACAGATCAACAGAGAATGAGCTCTGTCAACACATCAAATGTAGTTTCATGGGATTCACGCCCATCCGGCCAGAGTCCAGCTGGATCGATCCCCAGCTCGAAGCCCCGATCGACGATCAGGGACGGGTTGTTCCAGGTCTCGAGTCGCACCGGCCAACCCATATTGGAGAAATTTCTCTCGTTCAATTTCCACCATTCCACGAATCTTCAAGCTGGTCACTAGACTAGCTCCGGCCCAGGGCCCCAGGGACTCGATTTCGCGCAAAATTCCTGTGACGGGCACTGGTATATCTTTGTTCTGTCGACGCAACTTTTGGTCCACAAAGTCGACCTCTGGCTCTTCCTTGGAAGGGTCAGACTTTTCCTTTTCATCGTCTGTCGTGCCAGATATATTACCATCTGGGGACTGACTAGGAGTGTTGGTCTGGGATGCGATTTTCAATTCCTCCAGTCGCTGCCGCTGTCGCTCGACGACCTTGCCTCGAATCGGGCTCCACCCATGTCGGTCAATCAATAGTTGTACCTCTTTCAGAATTCGCTGGCGCAAGCCAGGAATCCGAGCTCCACCCCCAACGAAAACAATGCGCGCCATGCATGTTCCTCTTGCATCAGGCGACAGAGAGAGGAGAGAATTGTAAACAAGCAAGGGAATTGATTTCTCCTCGTCATCCAAGTCACACTCGGGGATCTGAGATGCCAATATGACCTTTTCAACGGATTTTGCCATGTCGGAAAGCGGGAGGTCTTGGTACTCGTGCTCTGGATTTTTGGGGGGAGGGAATCGAGATTGTCTGGTCCGTTGCCGTTTGCGTCTCGAGGTCTGCAGTTTGTGGTCTGCACCAGGCAAACTTGCTGACAACTTCCTCACAGTATGCAAATCCCACGGAGATATCAGCATCTGATGATTCCTCCTGTGCATCATCATTACCAGAAGCCAACCGAGTGAGAAAACGCCCCGTCTCCAACATCAGAGCACGCATCGCTCGTGTACTCCGTTTTGTAACAGCCTCCCTGTATTCGTAGATCCCAGTTACTGTAGTTTCGGCCCATCCAAGGTCCACGACCAAAGCGGATCGCAATCCTGCCGCTGTCGCAGACATCGTGGCACTCGGAAGAAGAGTGACGCTAGGGAATCGCCAGCGGCTAAAGAGGATGGAGAGTAGTGACGATAGCAGTGGGTGTGGCATAAGCGCAGGGAGGGCCAGGACCAGCCGGGAGGTGCCAGCATCGGTCAACAGGTACTGGTTGTAGGTTTCGCGGAAAACGCGCTCGATCTTATCCTCGACAAGTCCCAGATCGATTTCGCTCAGGTCCGGCTGCCACAATTCATAATCACGAACCCAATCTTCCGCATTGACAGGCTTGGGTAGCGGTCCAGCGCCAATGTCCCCATTAATCCACCCTCGGTAGTCCGCTGCTCGCCGCATTTCTTCAGGTCCAAAGCCTTTGACACACACGGGGGGTACCATTTCCCTCAAATCCAGCTCTGAGCCATCGCGCACCTATCTCGAAAATGATGGCATCGTCCTCGTTCCGAAAGGACGAGCCTGGTGATGATGCGCTCGCGAAAGACGTGTTCGCTGAACGGAGCGGTTGCTGTGGTGTATGGGGAGAGGAGGGTCGAGCTGTCTGACTATGGCGGAGATTGGATGTCGCAGACATTTTGTGTTTGTGGTCGCTCGTCGTCGGCGTGGAGCTTGCGATACTCTTCTTGCGCTCTCGTTTGCGCGTTTGCGTTTGCCCCTCGGAGCCAAGGAGATCCGCCGCGATAAGGAACGCGCTCTAGCGACGTAGGGGACAATTCTACTCGGCCATCAGATGAGAAGTCGTTATATTGTTCAGTGAGGTGACGGAAGAAAAAGAAGAGAAGGTGCCGTCAGTTGGAGGAGAGCTTGGTGGGAGCTTGGTGGGAGTGAAAGCTGGGGGAAGCGCGGATCTTCATCGGGCCGTGTGGTTTATTTACTTTCTTTCCCGACAAGTCAACTTTCAAGTTCCAAGCATCATCCTACTCAACCACCCCTCCCTTTCTCCTTCGCATGGCGCTTTCGCTTGCATGGTAAGGCGATCTACGCAAATATTGAGTCTGTGGCATAATGGGAATCCCAGGGTAAGCTCTCCTAGATAGAGAACGGGGAGGTGTGTCCTATATCCGAAGTGCCTAGCAACGCCAGCTGGTCAACGATATGCGATCACGCGGAACAAATGAGAACATGCCCGCTAACAGTAACAGACTTATTAATGCTCTGGGTGCAGGCGAGCGCATCGCACTATCAAAACTAGCCGTGTCGCATCTTGAGCGGGAACAGAGGCCAATACGGGTTGCAGTCGATATTTCAATTTGGCTGTTTCAAGTTCAAGCAGGCCGTGGAGGCAAGAATCCTGAGATTCGCACCCTTTTTTACCGGTTGATCAAACTCCTTGCGCTTCCAATTCATCCGCTTTTCGTCTACGATGGGAGTAAAAAGCCCCCCTTCAAGAGGGGTAAGGCCACAACGTCCCGCGGTGGAAATGCACCGATTATTCAACGATCGAAAGATCTCATCAATCGCTTCAGGTTTCCCTGGCATGAAGCCCCAGGCGAGGCAGAGGCCGAGTGTGCCCGATTGCAGCAGGCTGGCATTGTGGACGCCGTCATGAGCGACGACATCGATACGTTGATGTTTGGGTCCACCTTTATGATAAAGAGTTTCTCAAAGGAGAGTGGCACCGGGACAACTGCCGCTACTCATATCACTCTCTACAATATGAGCAATAAGTACTATGCTTCAAACATTCCATTCGATCGACCTGGAATGATTTTGTTTGCTATGCTTAGTGGCGGGGACTATCTACCATCTGGTGTACCAAAATGCGGAAGCAAATTGGCCGCAGAAATCGCAAAGGCGGGCTTTGGTGAAGATCTCTTGAAAATAATCGAGTCTCATCCCTCAGACCTTGACTCGGAATTGAATGAATGGCGAGATCGATTACAATACGAGTTGGAAGAGAATGAGAGTGGTTATTTCACCACAAAGCATAAGGCCGTACGAATCCCGGCTACCTTTCCCGATCGTGCAATTCTCGAATATTATGCTGAGCCAGTCGTTTCGGCCAAAGATGAAATGGAAAGGTTGAAAAGCCGCTTGGGAGAAGAGTGGGATCAGGACATTGATCCAATGGCGATCAGAAATTTCGCCGCTGAGCATCTTGAATGGAACTATCGTTCTGGGGCCAGAAAGGTAATCAAACTCTTAGCCGAACCCCTTGTCTCCTACAGACTGCGTCTTAAACGACCTGTTTCGGGTTTAACGCATGGCACACTTGCTCCTGATTGTGGCACCCCCTGGCTCCAAAAGATCCACCGGAGCCGCGCAAACTTCGGCACGGATGGCATGACTGAGCTTCAGACAGACATGCTACCTATCGATGTGGTTGGTATTGACCTTCTAGCCGAGATACCAAACCCTCAGCCAGCGTCCGACGAAACTGGGCCTGCAGGGCAGACGGTCGAAGAAGATGACGACGGTGAGCCAGCTGGCGAGGTGGCACCACCACAAACACCTTCAAAGACGCGAGTGACGAAACGCTTTGATCCTTTGGCTATTGAAAAGGTCTGGGTCTTCGAAACAATTGCCAAACTTGGTGTACCTGAAATTGTACAAACATGGAAAGATGACCAGGCTAAAAAGGCCGCCAGCAAGGATGCCCCCAAGAAAACCACCACTCGACGAACTGGGCCTAAGAAGAAGGGTCCAATCGACCCAAGAATGAAGCAAGGCAGCATTTTAAAATATGGCACGCTTACCAAGGAGAAATCTCAACTGTCTCCTCCATTCAAGACGCACTTGTTAGAAGCCGCCACATCTGCTTCGGGAAATGGTAAATCCTCCTCTCGCGGCACTGCCCCTTTCCCAGAGCGTATTGACCTTGAAAGATATGATCTCTCTCCCAGTATGTATTCGATACAAGATACTGCAGCTCAAGTGTCTACTTTTTCACAGGAGGTGGATGACCTTGTCGGGACATTTTCGAACCTGTGCACACCATCACCGACAGCGGCATCTAAGCGCCGCCCTTTGGTAAACCCATTACGCATGCGATCGCGCACCAGTGTTCTAGGTGCCGGAGAAGTCGAATCAGAGGATTTCGGCAATTCAATTGTCGATACTATCGTTCCATTGCCACCCAGACGACGCAGGCTAATTGAAACTGGTACGACGGCTTTGAAGGAGAAGGATTACGAAGCTATGAGACCAACCAGTTTAGATCAACCCCCTCCATGTCAAGAAAATTACATCCGGCAACAGGTTGCTCATGAGCTCGACGAGGTAGAAAAGGCAATTGGTTCATTGTCATTGATTGTCCCTCCCGATTGTGAAAATCGTCAGCGTGCAAACCCTCGTCGTTCCGAGCAGCATATTTCTCCCAAGAAAAAAACTATTGGCAGTGGTCAATCTTTGTCTCCAAAAATTCAGTCTTCCAGCTCATCTGAGTCTGCTGTTCTGTCGGAGATCGAACACGACACTTTCTCTCTACCATTGAAAAAGAAATTTGAGGATCCCAAAGAGAGCCCCAGATCTCCCGAGAAGAAGAAAGGGGCTGACAGGAAACCTGCCCGAAAAATTGGGCACATCGAAAACGTCACAACCTCAAATGGCTTTTGGAAAGTCGATACACCTATCGATCCAGAAGTGACATCCACGGCAACGAGCCACGCCCAAGATGGTCAAAAAGACCAGAGCAAAAAGAAGCGACTCCCCCGCGTTAGCATCCTTGATATGATTTGAAACGCCTTCATATACCCACCAGCATACCCATCGGCGTGATTTTTTGATATCTCAATTCGGCGTCAAGCGAAAGAAAACAGAAAAGCGAGTCGCGGTTTTCGAAGAAAGTCCAAGTTGATTCTCGGATTCGGATATTTATCCCGGAGGATATGTACATCAGCATCAGGAATTCAATCACCTCAGGCCTCATGGATGAGGTTAAAATATTTCTAATTACACTGCACTATACTAGTAATAGCCTGGCGCACGCTCAGGCCTACATCTAAGTCAGATTCCAAGGTTTATCCTTCCAAGATTGGAACTTTCAATGCTGATTACTAGTAGTAGTAGTAGTAGTAGTAGTAGTAGTAGTAGTAGTAGTAGTAGTAGTAGTAGTAGTAGTAGTAGTAGTAGTAGTAGTAGTAGTAGTAGTAGTAGTAGTAGTAGTAGTAGTAGTAGTAGTAGTAGTAGTAGTAGTAGTAGTAGTAGTAGTAGTAGTAGTAGTAGTAGTAGTAGTAGTAGTAGTAGTAGTAGTAGTAGTAGTAGTAGTAGTAGTAATAAATACCTAGGTACTCTGCTTCCAGTCCTGGGCTTGATTGAAGACTTGGAAAATCTTCACTGGCACGGGGAGACATTTCATAGCAAGTCAGCCATTACACGTGTCAAAGCCTCGTTATCGGCTTCGAATATATCCAAAGCATTGGGGGGAGGGTAGCCCTGTCGGGGCAAAAAAGCCCATATCCATGTCACCAGGGAGGTCAAAGGCCTGAGGGTCAAAATAGAGATCCCCGGCGGTTTCGAAGAAACTACTCAAGTCTTCACACATGTTAGGCTCAGTTTCTGTAACAGCACTTGGGTCCGTTGCCCAGAATGAACTTGACATATCGTAGGGTTGATGCGTTGAAGAAGCATTCCGTGAGGCCGACAATGCCGGTGTCAAATTCCACATATTCTGAGCCCTGGGTGTTGAAGATTGTGATGTTGTCAAATGATTTTGTTCAGGGTTTTTGCTCGCCCCGCCAAGTTTCTGACTCAATATAGGCTGTCGAATTCCGGTCATTTCACGCTTTGGATTGCTCTTATGCAGTTCTATCTGTTTCAAACTGCGGATAATCTTCTGCAGACGTCTTGATGTCCGGGCTCGAGTGGCAGAGCGACGCACAAGCTCCGTTGCTGTGTAGAATTCCGGGCGACAGACGTGACGAAATGTGTTGGGCGCATGGATAACTGCCAGAAAAAGGGCTGCGAGGGCTGATATCAGAAAATAATTGAACGGCTCAGGACGTTGGAAGTAAATATGCGACACTGCGCTGAAATTCTCAAGCATGTGGATAGTTCGCTTTGCCGTTTCGACTGCCGTGGATGCGCCTTGTGGATCCTCCATAATATGTTCACTACTGAGGAGATTTTGTCGATACACCTGGATTCGTAATTGGTTACCCTGCAGAGCAAGTAGTACCTGAAGCATCATAATGCGGTCGCGGTGCTCTGACTTTCCAGGGCCAGTGATAGAATCCGGTGTCTGGTTCGGATCGAATCTTAGCTCGGTCGGGATGGACCAGATCCACTGTTGCACTTGCGTGTCTAGGTACGCACATTGGTCGGAGGTGGCCACTCGTGAGCGATTCGGCCAATCCATAATAAGCCCCCAGATCTTTGTGCTCAAACGTGCATGATATATCATGCAAGTAAGATATGGGGTAGAATCGCCAGGCTCGGGGAGATTCGTATCAATATCAATGTCTTGAATGCCGAATGGAAGTCCAGTGCCAAAAGACCATTTACGGTCGAGTACATATATGCACCAGAACAGTCTCCTGGCCCAAGTCCATGCAACCTCGCCCGGGAAAACACCGCCCGTCCTCTGCCAAGTTTCCTGGCGATGTAAGCCTAGCTCCATTGCCGCACTAGATGCATTTCGTATGAACCTCCATGCGATGACTTCATCGTCGCGATAGGAATGAAAAATGGACTGATATGGTAAATATGTCAGCCTTTTCATGGTTTTGTTGAAGTAGGAAAAGGTAGTAGAGGACATACCAGTAAGGTCATTATGAGAATTTCTTTCATATCCACCTCCGCAACCCTGAATCGGCCCGAAAAACGATCTTCCACACTATCTGCTAGTTGGGCTGCGAACTCACTTCGGCCGTGAGACTCTGCCAGAAGAGCAGTAGCTAGAATTATTTTCAATACTTGAATATCTCGGGCTGTAAACCAATCCTGATCTGGTGCATCCTGCGCCAAGGCTTCTGATGCACTGCTGATCTCATATATGCCATTCGACCGATAATATTCATGGACGTATTCTCGAACACTGTCCAAGTCGACACAGGGATACATTATTCCAACACTATCCTCATAGATCTGGACCAAATTCAAGGTGTCTTCAAGAGATAGGCTTAGCGTATCTCCAGTGGATACCACTGGCAGGACATCTTCCTCTCCTGATGCCGCAGGGCTTGGTGTGTCTGGAATACCCATTTCCTCATCATGATGCTGCGTATTATCAGTCGAAGAATTCTTCGGTTGATTCAACCCAAATTCTGCACTGGTTGGGCCAATATAATGTGGCGATTTGGGAGCATTTAAGATCCGGTGCAAGCCACTCTGTTCCGAACTCTTCGGCGTGGCTACCGATTGAGGACTGGAAGACTCGAGCTTGATTAAACGACTTGACAACACTTGTATTTGCCGTTGCAGACTCTCTAGTTGCTGATCCACGTCATGAAATCGCGTGCCCACTCTGTGTGTATGCTCAGTACCATCGCTTGTGCATGAGCAGATTGGAGAAAATCATACCGTGGATCCTTAAACTCACCCGGGTGAGCCGATGTGCGAGTAGTAGCGTAGACACAAGGGACATTATCTCGGTCACATCGCGCACAAATGGATCCGCCGCTGCATTTTAGCTTGCGCCGCTTACACTCGTTGCTATAATTGTTAGTATTCTGATGGATCAGTCTTGGGATTCGGCCATACCAAGCAATTTGAGTGTATCTCGCTCTTTTTTTAGCTCTTTCGGATGAAGGCAGCTCATCCTCAAAAGCATGCTCTCCAGAGCTCATTGTTTGAGGGTAATGGTGGATACTAGATAATTATATTGACTCACATATGCAGCAAAAGCAAAAGGTGAGGTGCAGCTCGGAACGCGGAATTCAAAGCCGAGGAGTCCGTACGATTTCCGATTGGTTGAGATAAGAATGGGTGGGACACCGAGGTGCCCCCTTAAGGCAGGGTTGCTTTGTTCAAACGATAATAACTACAATAATAACAATATGCTAAATAACACAGCTCTTAATGATATTTGGATTTGGGGCAACCCAAACAGAATCAAATTTGAGTTAAGTTGGGAATGACTTTTTTTTTTTTGATTGGGTGTAGATAATGTCTGTTCAAAGCAACATTGGATGGCAAAACTACTTCCTACTCAGGTAACTGGCAAAATTTATGTGTATTAACCATCCAATTCAGTTAGAGAATAGTGACTCTAGTCTTTTTGTCCAATTACTTCCTCGGTTGTACGAACAAGAATGTCGAAGGCATTGCGAACATACTTCTCCTCAGCCATGGGGTTGGAGCTGACAACCCGAATGACATAAACGCCATCGATCACAGTAGAGGTGATGAATATTTCACCTCTAGAGTTCACAAGCTCATAAACCTTTTTAGTCAGGCTATCAGACTCTTTATCTCTCTTGCACACCGCAGCCGTGCCGTTTGCTTCATTGGAACCGTTGGACGTAGCCTGGGGGTTCTTCACGCGGAATACAGTCAAGCAGAATGCTGGCTTTGTGACAATTTCAAAGAGGTCAGATCTTCCACGGATCAGATCCGCGAATATATCGCCGAGGCCCATGGTCTTGCGAATGTATTCTTTCATGCCATTGAGGCCGTAGCTGCGCACCACAAACCAAATCTTAAGGGCACGGAATCGACGCCCCAAAGAGAAAGACCAATTGCGATAGTCAATAACGGCTCCCGAATCCGAGTAAGTGTTGCGAAGGTATGCTGGCGTCATATCAAATGCATTGGTAAGGTCAACACGGTTTCGAACAAAAAGAAGACTGTAGAGCAGTTAGTCTAATGAAGTTGCAGATCATCCAGCAAGGAATACAAGTTCAAGTAGCATACCTCGCGTCAAAGTTGACTAAAAGCCACTTGTGCATGTTCGTATTGAAGCTGTCGACACCCTCCGCAAAATTTTTTGCAATGTGACTACACTCTTCCGTGATCAGAGAAGCGCCAGCATAGGCAGCATCGACATGGACCCAGATGCGTTGCCATTCAGGCTTCTCTTTCAATAAAGCTAGAATCTCGGCGTACCGGTCCATGCTGCAGGAGTTTGTGGTTCCGAATGTCATTGTCAAATGGTAGGGGATGAGTCCGCTCTCTTCACATTTCTCCAAGACTTTGCGGAGGCGTGGAGCAGTCATCTCCATGTTGTCTGCCAGCTGGGTCTGCACACTGCGGAAACGAGTACCAGCGATCAATGCGCCCTTTGCAGCACTACTGTGGGTCTGATCGCTAGCAATGGCAACCAGCTTTCCCTGGTGCTCGATCTTTCGGTCCTCATATTCCGGAGTACCTTCCTCCATGCCATCCCTCAGTGCTAGCTCGCGTGCTCGTCTCTCTCTAGCAGCAGTAATAACAGTGGCAATAGCATCACTGGCACTGTTTTGGATGACACCTCCACCTTTGGAGGAGCTCAAAAAACACTCAGGCATACCGAAGGCTTTCGCCATCCAGTCCATGACAATAGTTTCCAGCTCCGTGCATGCTGGAGAGCAAAGCCAATTGAAAGCGGGGGCATTGAATGTAGCAGAGTACATCTCACCCAAAATACTGGGGTAGGTCACTCCTGCCGGGAAATATGCCATGAAGTTTGGGGACTGCCAATGAGTCAAGCCAGGCTTGATCTGGGAGTCAATGTCCTTTTGGATTGCAGCCCATTCTTCCGGTTCATCCGGGGGATTCTCTGGCACTAGCGAACGAAGATATCCTGGTTCCACAGTCGGCAGGACTCTCTTTTCGTGGATAGAATCAAAGTGGCCGATGACTACACAAATTCATGAGACAGAGCGCGATAAAGTATAGATTTCAGGGGTTAAAATTGAACATACTGTCATCAATGGCAGAATGAGCAGCTGCCCGAAATTGTGACTGATCCATGTTGGAATTGCGGGGGTGTCTGTTGTACGTTGGATAATCTGACGCTGTGACCACGATAGTAAACTGCAGGTCGTTTCAACCGGACAATATTGAATAATGCAATTCCTATCGCAAATGGAGTATGAATCGAGGAAAAGTCAAGGGAGCTCAAGCGCGTCAAGTTGAGATTAAATAAGGAGTATCGGAACAGAATTTGTACCCGCTGGACCAAGTGCAAGTTCGGATGTGGCATTCCGAGGCCGAGTGCACCAAAGATCGGCGTTGCCCTAACATTAAATTTACCGAGGATAGTTCAAGTTAGAACTAGAACGAAACTTGAGCAACTTAAATTTATGACTGGCAATCAATAGCTAAGAAAAAATAATATTTGCGAGCTCAATTCGTTATTATCACTATTACTAATGTCTTTTCTCTTGGTCTAATTATTTTGCACCCTCTCTGTTTAATGGAGTAGAACAGATAGAAACCAAAACAATGATAGTTACACAAACATTTTATCATAAAAACTAGACTTTGATGGTTGATATAATTGGTGCCAATCTAATATTCGTAGTTCTATTTACAGCTTTGAAGTAAAAATGAGCTCGTGCTGCTGCACCACTGCTTTCAGCTCTTGATCAATAACCCTTGATACCCTCCCGCCATCTTCAATTGCCCCGTCGATGAACCCTCTCCAACCATAGGAAGAATCAGAACTAGCGAAGAGAACATTCCCGTGCCTCTCGCGCAGGGACTGGAGATATTTGGTCGTCATTCCTGGTCGAAGCCACTCCCAAGCACCACGAGCAAATTCATCCTCGTGCCAATTATGAAAAACCAGCCTTTTCACTCGCATCCCTGGGTGGAATGCTTCAAATGCCTGTTTTGTCGTCTCCACATCCTTCTGTGGGCTTAAGTGTGCGTGAGGTAACGAGCTACCAAATGCAACAAGATGAGTATTGCCTGCCGGCGTGGTTCCGTCTCCGAAAGTGTAGGTCAACTTCCCATCTGGATAATTCGTGGCACCCAGGGATCGCATTTCAGGGTTAGCTACCTCTGCATGACACTTGACAACCTGATTAGCGTGCCCGATCAAGGACGCCTCGGTCTTCAGATCCGGTAATCCTGGCACGAAGTTGAGGGTGTGGAGAACATTCAGTGGAACAGTGCACACAATGCGCCTGGCTCTGAAAGTAGATCCGTTTCTACTCGTAACTTCAACCAAATCCCCATTATCATCCACGGTATCCACAGCAGTTGAGAAGCTGTAAGCAAACTTTCCAGTGCCCAGAGCTTCGTCGAATATGTGTCTTGCGAGTGCTGATTGGCCGCATCTTAGCTTGTAGGTCAACCCAATCGCCATAAAATCAGCGTAGTTGTAGTTCATCAATGCCCACCACCGTAGTAACTCGAAAAATGATGCTTCGTCCCATTTTGCACCGTGCGTTATAGCCAGGAACCCTTCGAACATGTTCTTTTCAAGGGGTGTCAACTGGGAAGCGACTTGGACCATTCGGTCAGCCATTGACATCTTATCGTAAGACAGAATGCCTTCCATATTGAATTCGATATCGTGCGGGTATGGAATAATAGAACGAGCGAATTGGCCGTCGACATTTATAAACTTCTTGAATGCCGATTCGATCACCTCATCCTACGTTGCCACTCAATTAGCAAGGGTTGACCAACGTGAATTAGAACAAGCAAGAGCCTACTTCCTCATCGTGTGAAATGTGAAGTAATTCCCCGTCTAGCTTGACAGTGACTCGTGCACCACCCTCCACACTCTTCCGAGGCGAGACTTCCAGTTGTCCCGTCATATCATACCGTCGCAGCTCATTCCATACAAACGGCTGATTCCAATGCACCCAAGTGCCGCCCATTTCATAGGGGTATCCGTCGATGTTTGATGACCATGAACGACCTCCAATCCGATCGCGAGCCTCCAATAGCAAGACTTGATTGTCGGCAAGTGCAAGGTTTCGTGAGGCCGTCAGTCCAGCATAGCCGCCTCCAATAACTATCACGTCATAAATCATTTCTTTACTGCAATGAGATGAAGGCTGTATAAGGCCCAAAGTGGGCACGCCTGCGACAAGGCCAGTTGCTTCGGTCCATTGAAAGCCATCACGGCTAGTTTTGAGGAAGGATTCGTGCATGATCGGCAGCGTTTCTAAAGTAGAAAAGTTGAACTTATCTCAGTGATTGAGTATTTCTTTATAACATCAACTTGGTATTGACTAATATTTATACTCTTGATGACTTTGGAAATGCATGGTTGTCGTTCCATTGTTTAGTCCCCAGGCTCTAATCGGCATCGGATCTTCAATTCCGAGCGCCGAGCGAGCTTCCGCTCGACGATGCCCTAGCTTGGCATGTCCTCCAGGGCTGGCGATCGTTATCTATGGTCGTACGATTGGCGTTGGTAATGGGAAAGTACATGCGAAGATATTATTCGGCAAACACCGGGGAACAATCATCTGAACCTACTGGTACTACATGGTCATCTGAAAGTTTTGGTTGATTCAGGAGATTTCGTGGCTCAAATATTTGTTCTGTAGCTGAGAAAATAATGAATCGAAAGGAGGTAATAATAACATAGTGTAGCGAATCTACATCGACCGTTCGCCCTTTCTAAGCCAGAATTTGAATCTGATGCAATGCCATGCCCGAGAAAGCTAAACATCCAATCATCTAAGCATTGAACACCAGTACATGAGAAGAGATGTGCCTGCTGTGCCATAAGGGAAAATTATATAATAAAAAGAAGGAAGATGTTGTATTCAACCAAATACTTTGAGGAATCCCCAAAGTCCCAGCCCACTGAGAACTGGGATAGTCAGGTTGTCGTCCCAGCCCCACAGATCAATGAACTCGCTGCCAGCAGCCACAACACCAGACACGACGCTCATCGCGCCAAGGGCCAGTGGGCCCGTGATGATTCCAGCAGACGAGGACTCCATGCCGATGAGACCACGAACACAATCGGGAAGCAAATTCAAACGGCCTGTAAACATAAATGCGTCTTGCGGGTCGTTGGGGAAAGCTCCCATGTAGGGAACGAACCACCCCCAGAATGAGGCAGCAGTGGCAACGCCAACAGCCCAGGCAGCCAGAGTTCCAGCCAAGCTCTTTCCGGGTCGAAGGCGAGGAGTGTAGCGACCGTAAAGACGGCCAAATGTAGATGCGGCAGTGTCACACCAGCTGAGAAGAAGGACGCCCATGACACCGACGTCCTTGGGGAAGAAGCGCAGAACGACATATGCGCCGAGGAGATACCAAATCACACCATTGTAACCAGAGACTTCGGTCTCACGCATAAGAGCGCCCATGCAGCGGATATAAATTTTATTGATCTTCTCCGAGCGATGACGGACAATATCAGTTACTGCAATCGGGACTAGAGCAGAAAATAACACGGGGGTAATCTGCAATGTCTGGATCCCGCGGCTATATAGACCCAGGGTCAGGAAGCCGATTGACACGTGGAGAAGTTTGCGAGGGATTTCATGACGGTGAATGAAGCTGCGATAGCGGGTATGTAACGGAATGAGACCAAGCGGCGACGGTGATCGTGAAATATCACGCCCACCATCTGGAAGCTTGGGCGATAAAAAGCCATTGGAGGCTTTACCGTTGGGCGGCGAGGCTGGGATCATAGGGTTGGACCGACGCTGCCGCGTTGACCGGCTAGGGGTAGAATCAGGTGGACTACGAGATCTCCCTGATCCTGAACTCTCTTCTGAGACTCCCGAAAGGTTCTGTCGGCGGGCTGCTGAGCGTGTTGTGGGTGCAAGATATCCATCACGTGCGTCAGATCTGTCGGAGAGAGAGGGTGAAGGAGAGATGACTCGGGGGGGTCTCTGGAACGGTGTTTGGCGTCGAAGGCATATTGGACGATCGTACGACGAATGGTGGAAGTACCGGGGTGTTAATGAGACCGATCAATGGTCGAGCACAAAGATTCGCGGTGTCGTAAGTAAGACTGCCACAGGGTATCAATGATCTTCCTAACGACGGAATGATGGGCGATCGTTCTGGACACCCGCGCAAGGTCGATCAGGGACAATAGGTGTTGAAGGACAGAGAGAAATTGTAGCGCATTATTTGGGCAAGAAAGGGGAATAGAATGCCCGAGAATTGAACGAGGCGAGGCAGTGTTAGGCGCGAAGTTTAAATCAGAAGGGCAATCTTTGGTCTTGCGGGCATCCGGCACTGCCGCGGCCTCTTTGGGTGCTGGGTCACGTGTGACTCTTATCGATAACAATTTGCATTCTGCCCCAGTCGGGTTTTTTTTTTGGGAGATGGAGATCTTGATTAACATCTCAGAGCTTTTGATCTTCGGATTTTGATCTTCATATCAAAATTGGGTGATAATGGTCCCAAAACCGAAACAAAAGCCTACCACCTCGTCCCGGGCGTGGGATGGCCTCAATCCTCCACTGTCACAATGGGCTCTCGACGCTGTATCCTCTATGGGCTTCACACGCATGACCCCAGTTCAGGCCTCGGCCATTCCACTATTCATGGCGCACAAGGATGTTGTTGTGGAGGCTGTGACTGGTAGTGGAAAGACCCTATCTTTCCTGATTCCCGTGGTGGAAAAGCTTCTGCGCCTTGATGAGCCTCTCAAAAAGCACCATATTGGAGCAATCATTATTTCCCCGACAAGGTAAGCTTTGGCGCGATTGCTTGAGAGTTTACCCTTGCTAAGATATATTATTCTCTCAGAGAACTTGCGTCCCAGATCTATCAAGTCCTTCTATCACTACTCGAATTCCACCCCGCATCTGCGGCTGCGATCAATCCTCCTGAAGGAGATGCGCCTCGCCCCAAATCCTCATCTTCCACCCTAAAAGTGGTCCCTCAGCTTTTGCTAGGCGGCACAACTACTCCTGCGGAAGATCTCAGTTCATTCCTCAAGCGATCGCCGAACGTGTTGGTTTCCACCCCGGGAAGACTGCTCGAACTTCTGTCGTCGCCCCATGTACACTGTCCTCAATCATCGTTCGAAATGCTGGTCCTTGATGAGGCGGACAGACTTCTAGATCTCGGCTTCAAGGATGATCTTCAGAGGATCCTCCGCCATCTGCCCAAGCAGCGAAGGACGGGTCTTTTCAGTGCCAGTATCAGCGAAGCAGTCGACCAAATCGTCCGTGTGGGTCTCCGCAATCCTGTAAAGGTAGCTGTCAAGGTCAGAGGCGGCTCCGGAGTCGAAGACAAGCGCACACCCGCGAGGTATGTTGATCATGGCTATTCAGTATTATCCAATTCCCCAGTTCTGACATTGTTATTAGTTTGCAAATGACTTACCTGACAACACCCCCGGCACATAAATACTCTATCCTGAAACAAATTCTCGCAACCGTTCAACCGACACCCCAGAAGACAATCTTCTTCGTTTCAACATGTTCAAGCGTTGATTATCTTACGATGATGCTTCCACTAATCTTGGGAGACGAGTTTCTACTCGTTCCGCTCCACGGCAAACATGCTTCCAACGTGCGCCAAAAGAACTTCACTCGCTTCACCACCGCTACAACGCCCTCCATCCTTCTTACGACCGATGTCGCCTCTCGGGGTCTAGATATCCCATCCGTCGACTTGGTCGTGCAAATCGACCCTCCATCTGACCCGAAAACTTTCATCCACCGATGTGGTCGTGCCGGACGTGCCGGACGCCGTGGTCTGAGTATCGTCCTACTTCACCCGGGACGCGAAGAAGACTATGTTTCCTTCCTAGAGGTTCGCAAGACCCCAGTGGCTCCCTATAATCTCCCTATTCCTTCAGATGAGGATGCCGCCGCCGCAACGGAAGCCGTCCGCAAGATTATGCGACAAGACCGCAGTCATCACGACAAGGGCCAAAAGGCATTCGTTAGCTGGCTTCGAAGTTATAGCAAGCATCAAGCAAGTAGTATCTTCCGAGTCGCAGACCTTGATTGGGAAGCTCTCGGCAACGCATGGGGTCTACTCAAGATGCCCAAGATGCCAGAACTGCGCAGTTTTACCGGAGATCGCACATTGGGTGTTAGTCTGGACTGGGATAACTTCACCTACAAGGATAAGCAGAAAGAGAAGCGGCGCAAGGAGATGATGGAAGAATATGCGCAGGCTCAGGCCCAGGCACAGGCTCAGGGTAACCAGGAGGACTCCCGAAAGCGACGTGCGGTTGAGAATGCCTCTTGGAGTCAAAACCAAGAGGCACGAGACAAGAAGTTCAGACGCAGAGAGGCCAAGAAGTCACGCAAGGAAATGGAGAGATGGGAACAACTGCCAGAGGAGGAGAAGCAAAAAGCGCGTGAGACCGAGCGCATGATCGAGGAGATTAGGGCAAAGAATGAAGAGGAACGCCAAGCAAGAATCGCAGCGAAGGAAGATGCTCCAAATGCAGATGGTAATGGCGAAGAATTTACAGGCTTCGATTGAACAAGCACAATATCCACAATGAATTGACCACGTCCCGAATACATATACATCTAATTTTCTTTTTGAAAAAGAAGAGAAGTTGATTTTGATTGAGTTTGGAACAATTAATAGAACCCGCCACAAATGATAAGAATGCAAATTCTGGGGGTGTCATCAGTCATGAAGTAAATCAGCACACACATACTCAATACAAATTCTTTTGATGGTACATGCAAGTGCACAAGATCCCTTAATCCAAGCGATTACCGGGTCGTGAATCCCATGCAGACATGTCAACAGGAACACCGAAAGGCTTGCTCATGGATGTCGCAAGCACAGTCCGCATCGCATTGAGATCTATCTGTCGCTGAACCGGGTCATTCCAAACTTCATCCGCCAGGGCGATTTCCTCCGTGAGATTGACTCCATGGGAGCGAATTTGATCGATAAGACTGATCTTCGGCGGCCACTTCAGCTGACGCAAGTCCCCGCTGGGGCATTGCCTGTAGAGCCAATCGGCGTCGGCGTATTTCTCGATGTCCTCAAGGGTGTTGAAGAATTCTTGGTTCTCGGGTGCTAGGTGGTTCTCGGGCGCTGGATGGTTTTCGGGTGCTGGGTGGTTGTCGGGTGCTGGATTATCCTCGGGTGCTGGGTGGTTCGAGGGTTCTTGGCGATCGAAAACAATAGGGGTAATGGCGGTCTGGGAAAAGGGCGAGGAACGGTTCATGCTAGAGCGATGAGCTTCACGCAGACGGCTCGGGGTCTTCGGTTTGAATTGTTCAGCTTTGGTGCGAGCGCGGGTCAAAGGTGATTCATCGTCCGAGTCGGAAACGGCAGCTGCAACTTGATCATCAGCGAGTGTACCGTCTGGGTTGAAATTCACAACGACGTCTGGGGGTTCGTCCAAAGGGTCAGACATAAGAGGAATTGAGGTTCCATTGCTGCCTGTCGGGTTTCTGATGATTTCTCCCGTGGAATGGGGGGGAAGAAGATCATCTTCGCCAGAAATCTGAGAGCAACCAAGCAATGACGAGTTGGTAGGATCTTCAGTTCGGTTGCTGATCGTTCCAGGGGTTGGTCTCATATGTGGGTTTGTCTCATAGTACTCTTGTACACGACGATGGTAATTTTCCTGGGCAATAAAAAGAGCATTGGACATACTGTTGAATCTGCTGAAACGGGGATCTCTTTTCGCCTCGGCGCGTTCTTGTGGAGTAGGGTTGTAGGATCCGCCATTTTCGTATCGAGGGCGGAAATCCGAATCCAAGACTTGTTGAAAGATATTAGTATTGGAGGGAGGGAAGAAATTTGATTGAGCGATCCTCTGCTGCGAAGCAGCTTGGGGGGAAGAAGAAGGGGAAGACGGAGGGGGAGAACTGTAGGGGACTTCGAATGTTCCATGTGGATTCGGGATGAAACCTGGACTTCGACTAATCTCCGTAGGGGAGAATGGAGGTGAAGAACAGACTTCGATTGTTGCAGGTGGGTTCGGGATGACACCCATGGAGGTCCAGTGTGGAATTGTTGGGGGACAAAGCGATGAAGAAGAGTATGGAAGTGATCCTGGGACCCGGTACTCACCGGGAATATCGGAACCGGGGTCTGGGTTCGCAGCGTTTGAATCTGTGGGGGTTTGGGCCTCGTCGTGAGCCTCATCCTCTTCTAGCAAACGACTGGATTCGATGGTTTCCAGGGGGGGTGGGTTGATATGTATGCCGGCGGTTTGGTTGGAATTCAGGCTGGTGTGAAGGCGACGCAGCTCCAGCGCGAACTTTCGTGGATGGACGGTGAGTAGAGCGGCGGCTAGGCCATTTTGGTTGGTCAACACGGATTTTCTTAGCGGAAGGTCCTCCAGCTTCGGCATGTTCTGCCTCCTCGGCTTTGCGCTTCTGCTCCTCGGCCTGACGCTTTTCCTCCTCGGCATACTCTTCCTCCGTGAAGCCAAAAAAGTCATCGTCCATACCGTAGCTACATCCCTTCGGGTTTGGAATGTCAGTCGGGGACGCCTCACGCTTGCGCTTTTCAGACGTGCTTTTGTCAGAGGCTTTCGTGGGATCCTGCTTGGAATTCTTTCTCCCATAGCAACGAGCTTTAAGCTCGGGGTCAAACCCGCTTGAGTAGAGAGAGTATGAGCGAGTGGACCTAGAGGTGAGTACATGACGGGTTGAAGGTTTCACATCGGTTTGCGGGGTGGGAGGCAAGTTTGATGGAGATGAAGACGAAATAACATCCGCGGCTTGAGCACCTAAGACATCAACATAAGCATGGGATCTTGCATTGCGAGGCATGGATACTCACCAGGGCTCTGCGCCTCAGTCGGCTGATTGCCGGCATACCTATCACGAATATTTGTCCATCGTCGAGAGACTTGATTGAATGCCCATTTCATGAGACCAGGAGAATCAGGCGGGTTGGCTGGAAGGGCTCCCACGGCCGATGCGGAGTCATTGCCGGTTGTCGGAATGTTCCCTGTCGTAAAAGTATCCTGGTTCAAATGAACAGTGCCAGCTGCATGGGCGGTCATAGGGGGGGCCAGACTGTGCAGTCTGGGGGTTTGTTTGGTCAGCAGTAAGAGGCACTTCTCTATCAGCTTCGTTCTGGGACAAAAGCTCGGGTAGACGGTACAGAGTCCGCTCGATACGGCCGCTGGCCTCGGTGCGACGGCGACGAGAGATGTCGGCGTAGGATGATCGAGTTCGTCGGATTGGGGTAGTCCTGGAGGACTTTTCCACCCGGTTATGGTTCGAGGGACTGTTCGAAGGGCTCATGATGTCGTGGATCTTGTTCTTGGGAACTTTGATCTTCTGTCTTGGGACCCATCGGATACCTGTAGAGAATGGGGCTTTCATCAGCAGTTGGTCCAGATTGGAGTATCTGATTTCGTAGCCTTTGTCGGGATCCGGGCTTATGGCACGGGGAGGTGATAGGATCTTAGCGACACTCCGAACCATCTGGGTTCCCGTCACTCGTCGAGCCATCCGGGAGAAAACAGATCTGAAACGCTTCCGACCAGGAGCAACCTGGTCGGTCGAGACATCTTGTTCTCCCGGAAGAGCCTCGAGTGGTAGGACCCGAGTGGCAGGAGAGTCGTCGATTCCCATGCCAGTGAATGAACGCGCGGGGGAGGATTCCCGAGTCGACAGAGAAGCCGCTGGGGCTTCGGACAAATCATGGTCCTCGATGAAAAGAAAGGGAAATGGGACCGGTGCATCAGGAGAGGAGGGCATATAGAGAGGGGACAATCCCTTGGGGGAATGTCGTCCATAGTGGGAAGCTTCGCGAGCGGGTGCGAGACCAACGAAAGGTGATCGGGAAAACAGGGATCCGTTGGGGGGGATTTCGAGGCAGAACGCAAGGCAACTCACTATTGGCGGCAGGGTCGAGTATTTCAGCATCGTCAACGTCGTTTGTTTCGACAGAAGGGAGGACAGATGCAGGTTGCTCAAATGAGCTGACGGCGGGCTCTGGGGCTTCCACCTCCTGGGGTTGGCCTGATGGCCCCCCATTGACAGGAGATTCTCCAGTCAAATCAACATCTTGGTGTTCGATCTCGACAGCTGCTTTTGCTGACGGACGGCCGGGCTTCTGAAGCTAGTCAGCTGCCAGATATTCTCGAGCTTTTCGTATTCACTTACCTTTTTGCCCTTGGCAACCTTCTTAGTGGTCTTCTTTGGGCCGCGACGCCCCTTTGGAGTTTTTGGAGCAGGTGCAACCTCGGTAGGCTGGGAGACCTGCGACTCCTGTGGCTGCGCAGAAGCACTTCGAGTGGTGCGACGGCGACGGGGAGGGTTGTCCTCGAGCGACACATAGGAACTCGGTGACAGTGGCTTGGAGCGGGTACGCATGATGACGCGCCGGCTACAGGCAGAGTGAAATAGGACGAAAGTCGGCAGATGTGAGTGAGATACGGTTTCGATCGCGTAGCGAGAAGAATCAGACTGGAAGTCTAGAAGCAAGGGAATCGATACGCGTAGGAACAGTGGAGGTTGAGGAGAGAAGAGGAGAGAAGAGGAAGAGCGGGAGGAGTTGTTGTTGTTATTGTTGTTGTGTTGAGGCAGCAATGCCGTAACAGGACGTGTTGGCGTACTCCAGAAGCGGAAGGGGCGATGGAGATGTTACTTTCGTTCTGGAGGGAAGGTGCGATCGCTGCGCGCAGAGCTGGTGGTAGCTTCCCCGATGGTTGACATGCGTAGCATTTTCTTGGTCGGGCAGAATATTTTACTTTCTTGACCGCCTTATTTTCTCTATGCCTGAGGCAGAACTTTATTCCAGTCACGGTAATACCACTACAGTATACGGATACCCTTTATAGATATAAATGATCACAAGCACAACTGAAAGCTTCAACTAGGTAGCTACAAAAAGAAAAGAAAAAATATGCGAAATGAATACAATGCTACTATTTGTACATATAATACCGGCCATGGGGACAAGAACTTCAGGGTCAGACCGAAGGGATTTGTCTTCTCCAAGATCCGGTGTCAAATCCACATCCTAGGAAACACGCTGAACGGTCTAGTCAAAATACAGGGGTATGATAGGTCGGAAGAATCATCCCCGAAAAAGGTGGTAGGGTAGAACACTCTACAGGACAATCTCTCCCTTCCATGCGGCCTCGGAAAGACCCAACGTGCTCATCAAGTTTTGCCATCTGGGTCCACCACGCTCCTTCCTGCGGATATATTGAAGAAGCTTCTGTCGCTTGTGGACAAGGATCTGTAGGTTGCGACGATTGTGTTTATCCTTGTTGGAGGACTGTAAGTGTCGAGAGAGGTTCATAATCTTGGCGGTCAGAATAGCCGCTTGAACCTCAGGGGAGCCGGTGTCGGGTCCGACTCGAGGAACCTTCTCAAGGTGGTTGGTAGCGGACTCTTCTTGCACACTGGCAGGCTTGGGTGGTAAAACAGTGTCGGTGCTGTGTCGACCAAATTGGTCAATGCATTTTTGGACGATGAGGCGGAGACGGTCTTTGGTATTGCCATTGTCAAGGTTCACAATGCGCTGAATAGCCTCTTCTGCATTTTGGTGTTGTTGCTGATGCAGCTCGGCGAGTTCTTTTTCGGCTTGAGGGTCGGCAGTATCGCGATCCGGGTTCTGAAGCGGCTCAGTCAAACCCTTGGAGAATTGGAATGCTCCGCTCAATTCGTCGGACTTGAGGTAGTAGTTGAGGTCGGAGCTTGAGTGGGTTTGGGTACCATTCTGAATGGCTTGAATTTCTTGAATGAAAGATGTCGGTTGACATTCCACGGGGTTACCGAGTGAGGCCTCCCGCTCAGCCTGGATGTCCTTTTGGCGGGAGATGTTGGCTGCCTTGCGTTGACGCGCCTGCGAGGCTCGGAAGAAATCTGTGGTTTTCTGTTGAGGCTTGGACTTGGTGGATGCGGCCCTCACGGTAGACCTGGTTGCGTGCGACAGAGATACCAGCGGGCTCTGGCCGGAGATGGAACCTGCGACAGAGGTTGGTTAGGATATGAAGGCAACACCGAGATACGGGGTAGTTAAAAATCACTATATCGTACCGGTCAGTGCCTTCACTGAAGGCTGGAAAAATAGACGTGGAGGCATTTTGAGCAGGTAGAGTTCAATGGCTCAATGGCTCTCCAAACGGGCTGCAGTTTGAAGTTCTTCGCGCTCTCAGCTTTTGGCCGGGAAATCCTGCGGACCGAAGCAATTACGCTAGTCCGCATTAGTCGGATAATTTAGGCCTCATACTTCGGGCGTCAATATGTTGATGCCTTATGGACGCCAATGCGGATGACTAATATCCGCTGCCCTAGCCCTAACAGCTCTCAAGCCCACCCACATTTAGCGAAATTCGCCCGAAGCGCCGCGAGGATTTCGCGACTCCGCCTTTGAATCTTTTTCCTCTATCACCACGACAAGAGCCAGACGATTGATCATTTCCCCTTCGTCAATCAATCAATCGCCCACCATGGCCCCCTCCCAGCTCCCCCCGGTTTTCAACCCTACCGCGCAGGACATTGAGATGCTCCTTGCCGCCCAGTGCCACCTTGGTTCCAAGAACCTTCAGGTGCACATGGAGCCCTACCTGTGGAAGACCCGTGCCGACGGTGTCAACGTCCTGAACATTGGCAAGACCTGGTATGCAACAACAAGAACCCGGAAATGATGTATTGGAGAATATCTGGAAAAGCTTTGCGACAGGATTCTAATCAGTGTTGCGATGGAACAGGGAGAAGATCGTCCTGGCCGCCCGTATCATCGCCGCCATCGACAACCCCGCCGATGTCTGCGTCGTCTCTGCCCGTCCCTACGGTCAGCGTGCCGTCCTGAAGTTCGCCCACCACACCGGTGCCACCGCCATTGCTGGTCGTTTCACCCCCGGTAACTTCACCAACTACATCACCCGCTCTTTCAAGGAGCCCCGCCTTATCATCGTGACCGACCCTCGCACCGATGCCCAGGCCATCAAGGAGGCCTCTTTCGTCAACATCCCCGTCATTGCCCTTTGCGACACTGACTCCCCCCACCGACTTCGTTGATGTTGCCATCCCCACCAACAACAAGGGTCGTCACTCCATCGGTCTCGTCTGGTGGATGCTCGCCCGTGAGATCCTCCGTCTCCGTGGTACCCTCGCTACCCGCGAGACCGAGTGGGACTCCGTTGTCGATCTGTACTTCTACCGCGACCCTGAGGCCGAGGAGAACAAGGAGGTCGCTGAGGAGGCCAAGGCCCCCGGTGCTGATGAGATTGGCGCTGGTGCCGTTGAGTCCGGCTTCGCTGGTGACAACTGGGATGTTAACGCTCCCGGTGCTGGTGCCCCTGGCACTGCCTTCGCTGCCGCTTCCGCCGCTGTTGGTGCCACCAGCTGGGAGGCTGACGGTGCTGACTGGGCTGCTAGCTCCACCCAGCAGCCCACCGAGTGGGCCGCTGAGACCACCCAGGCTGCTGCTGCTGCCCCTGCCACTGAGACCAAGTGGTAAATTCGCTAGGCGGTAACTTAGGGCAGCGTTGAAGGGGGGGGAGAACGTGTGATATCAACCCAAAAAGCTATGGCGATCTGGGATGATTGTGACGATTCCTAGTGTCCATTTGGGCACAGGGGTAAAAAAAAGGAAATGCTCTTGTTTGTTCTTTCACCGCATCCATTGACAACAATGGAATTGAATTATCTCCCGAATCCCCCCTTGACATGTCTATCCTAGTTTCTGTTCAAGTTTTCAAAAACAAAAAGAACTGAAAAACAGCAGAAGAAAAAAGAGCTTTTCACCGGGAAACTTCCAGTCTTTTTTGCATCAGTGGTCTCATTTACCAGCACTCTTCATGATTTTCTTGTTTTCGCATCCGGGAGGGATAGCGACGTCAAATATTGACTGGCGCTTATGAGGGAAAGAGATCCAGTCACGGATATGTGACTGGGGGAAAGCCCTGTGCTGTCAATCTACAAGGTGGACTTAATCGTTACCTTGGTTTCTCCCTGTATGTATCATCTAGTATTCGGAAAAAGGTGTGCTCGGTATTTCAAGTCCTGCGTAGAGCATGTAGTGTAAATGGCTGCTATATCAGAGACACCAAAACGGTTGGTCAGGACCTCGGAGCTAGTAGATCATGGCCCACACTTCTCTGTAAGATGTTCTGGGTCCTGTGTGCTCTTAGTCCTAGTACTGTAAAGTAAATAATAGTGCGGGCAAATGGAGTGTGATTCAGATCATTTTGTATACACAAACGACAGACTACTAGTATCAAGTAACGATTGCCCAAAACCCACACCCGTTGGCGTTCCTATTCCTCTTCGGTTTCTCACTGGCACGAACACTCTTAAAGAATGTTACAGCCCCCAGCAGTCTGCGCACCTTTCGTTGTGGTCGCCATCCCGGCCATCCGCGCCAGATCTTCAAACGTTTCTGCGAGGAGCTCGCCCGTCACAGCTGAACACTCTGCATATCTATCGCAGCGGAGCTCCTGGGCAATTCGATATGCCTTCGCGAGACCGTTAGTTGAGGCGCCACCTTATACATCTCTGGCTTTTTATCCGAACATACCTCTTGTGGGTAGATGATACCCTCCCCTTTCGGTCCGCAGGTCTCGTTTCAATCCCAGCAACATCACGGGAATGCGCTCACCATGACCATGTTGAAAATGTCGCGTTATCTCATTTCGCCACTACCATTCAATTCTCTTAGCACTTGAGGTGATATCGTGATTCTCGAAGAAAAACAAATTTCTTACCTCTTTAAGTCCATCTAGTGTATTGCGGTTGGAGACATCAAATGCTATAACAACCACGTCTGGCTGAAGGGATGTCCAGTGCTGGTTAGGACTCGCAGTGTCATAGAGCTCTAAAACAAATTTCTTCTTTGCAAAGCGAATATCATAGATAAAGGGCTGGTCACTATCGCGTAAAGTCTCCGGGAGACTATATGTTGCGGCTCCGGTTTGTGATGGCGTAGGCCGCCTGCCACTCTTGAGACGTCTTTTCGACCATCATTCCTAGAGTCAGCATGAATATCCTCCTTGGGCAGCGCTTGTGTATATAATGGCAATAGTTTCCTTATGGGAGCATAGGCACAGTAGTTTGGAGTCATGACTCACGATAAGAAGGTTGATTTTCCACATTCGACGTCACCCACGAGTAGCAAAGTCACCCTCTCATCAGTCTCTATGTCGGACATTCTATCACTTCGGGTTTTATATGCTCTTTATATTCAGGCGGAGGGTTACCTAGGTAGCATTCCAAGGATTCGAGGAAGAAAATGAAGTCTTGGTGAGGAGGTAATGAGGTCTGACACTGTATAGGTAATTGTTGAACTTAAAGCTCTGAAGTCCACAGATCCCGAAAGATTGGCGCGGATCTACACCGATATATAAACCTGCCCGCAGTCCTCAGTACGATTGACCACAACTTGAAGTTCAAATTGATCATCTACTCGTAGCGATAACACCAATACTACAGGTTATACCGGTCAAACCGTTTTGAACAAATAACATTCCTTAATCTGCTACTTAAAGTGAATATATCAGCTTGAAAACAGCACAATACATGCTCGCCGCAAAACCGACGGCCGCTGAGAGGAGCGTTTACAGTACAATACAGTACAATATTACAAATACCAGATCCTCCGCGGACATTAAATTTCTCCAGTTGCGGCCCAGTAAAACTCCACACCAAGCGAGACAATTCCTCTCCAGATCACCAGAGGTGGTATGTGGAGAATATCAGTCAGATTGTCTTCGCAGAGAACCTTCATTCAACACGCTGTAAACTCACAAGCGCGCTCACTGAGCCAGAACCGTTCGCTCACGCCGCAAAATATGGCGGACGCCAATGCCGAGGGGCAGCCCGACTACACTACCTGGTCCAATTCGAACTTGATCAGTCGAATCACAGAGCTTGAGCGACAACTACATTCACAGAATACGCAGTATACTATTCCGCCGACGCCTGAATTGTCGCGCGCGCCCGTCGCAGAAGGCATCTACGAGTCTGCCATTCCGGCCCCTCCATCCTCCGCCCAACCGAACAAGAAGAGAGCCCATTCCCCCGATGACATTGTCAATAAACCTGCGCCACCGTCCCAAACAGTCAAAGAGTCCCGCGGCTTTGATCCGTCCAAGTACAATACCCGATTTATTGCGCTTAAGTTCGCATACCTTGGACAACAGTACAATGGCCTCGAACACACGAATGGGAATGTTACGCCACTTCCTACGATTGAAGAAATATTGTGGAAAGCTATGCGACGGACACGTTTGATTCTTCCCGAGACGAGCACTTCCGACGAGCCGAACGATATCCAGCCGCGGGAGCTACGCCCATACTGTATTCATTGGGATGGATGTGACTACTCGAAGGCGGGCAGGACTGATCGCGGAGTCAGTGCGTTTGGACAAGTTATTGGAGTGCGAGTCCGCAGTGCTCGACCCAAGCTTGCGCCCAGGACTACAGATCAGGAGACGGAGAACGATAGCATGCAGGTGGAGCACTCCACGGACCAGGATTGGGATGATATCGCCGACGAACTTGAATATGTATCGATTTTGAACAGAGTTCTACCAGGTGATATCCGAGTTCTTGCTTGGTGTCCCAACCCCCCCCACCGGAATTCGATGCTCGCTTTTCCTGCCGTGAACGCAGATACCGGTACTTCTTCACCCAGCCGGCTTTTTCCCCTACCCGGGGGCTTTTGGGTTTGAAAATCGAGCTCAAAGTGGCCAGGGACCCCGCGAAAAGTTGCGCGAGGGTTGGTTGGATATCGAAGCCATGCGTGAAGCAGCCAAATGCTTCGAGGGGACGCACGATTTCCGCAACTTTTGCAAGCTGGACACGAGCAAGCAAATCAAAAATTTTGAACGAATGATCTTTCGCTCCGACATTGAACGTGTCGACCCCAAGACCAATCCTTTGGGATATGTGACCCGGCCTGGATTTCAGTCGCAAGAAGACTCTACACAAGATGTAGACATGGTTTCTTCAGAACTGTCTGCGGAGGCACCTCCCCATGTGTATTCATTCACTCTGTACGGCTCTGCTTTCCTTTGGCACCAAGTTCGCCATATGGTCGCCATATTGTTCCTGGTCGGACAGGGACTTGAACCCCCATCAATCGTCGCAGATCTGCTGGACGTAAAAAAAAACCCCACGGAAACCTTCATATGAGATGGCATCCGATGCCCCGCTGGTGCTGTGGGACTGCATCTTCCCCGATGAAAGTTCCGGCAGCCGAGATGACGCCCTGAACTGGCTGTACGCTGGTGACCCACGACAGAACAAGAACCGCAGCCCCAAGAGCGATAGCAAGTTCGGTATGAAGGGAGTAGTCGATGGACTATGGGCCGTCTGGAGACAACGCAAGATGGATGAGATTTTGGCAGGTGCCCTTCTGGATTTGACTGTTAGTCAAGGTGACCAGAGTTTGATAGAGCACATTGACATCAAGCATGGGACTGGGAAGAAGCAAAACCGAGGCGCTAAGATCTGGCAGGGGGCTGATGACACTCGCACGGGTGGGAAATATGTTCCTGTCATGAAGAAAAACAAGAACGAGCCCGTGGAGGTTCAGAATGCCAAGTGGCTGGCATCAAAGGAGCGGAAAATGGCGGCCAAGGAAGCGGCGGAACAGAGCGCGTCCCTGTAGCATATTGGCACATACCCTTCATTGAATAGACCCTTGCTAGCAACCAAAATGCATAGTTCGCATCATCTGCGAGACTAATCTCTCAGGTGCTGGCAAACCTTAACGTGATCTGAATCTAGGATGCATTCTTTCATGATTTCGCATCGTAAAGACAACGCCGAGAACCCCTCCATACTTCTTCTAAAATTTCTCGTTTCGGTAGTAATTGCTAAAACCCCGTATCGTTAGCCTGAGTACAACACAATGAGAACAGAGTATGGGTCCTACCGGAAAGACCACCAGAACATCTGGCTCGCCTTCTACAATCACTGCCAGATAGAAGCGGACCTCGAACCCCTTGAAAGCCTCATGAATGACAATGTCCTGAATCTGTGTTGTTGAAATGAATCTTGTCGCAGCCGAAGAAAGGTAGGTCGAGGAGGATGTTGAGGTCTGAATGCCAAAGCCTCGGATAACGAGAAGTGATTCCTCTAGATGGTTACATTAGTTGATGCATCGGTAGGAGCCTCCTGATTAATATTTCATGACATACCGGTGTATCCTCTCTTGAATACCCCATAGATCACTAATACACTGACCACCGCCATGGCCCAGGAATTGTATTTGTCCACCAAGCTGCACAAATGAGCTCCGAACGGACTGGACCAGATGGCCTGCCATTGGGCCAGGTTTTCACCCTGGAATAAAACCAAATGTCGAAGCCGTGCTGTGAGGCCGACGATAACACAGCAAAACAGGACTGCGCGCAGGAGAATCTGGATTCCAAAGAGGATCTTTGCGGGGGAGCTGGAGCGCGGTGACGCGTTGGAGACGGTGAAGCTGACGGTCGTCGGCGACGGCCGCTGGACTCTTAAGCGACCGGGCATTGTAGTGGTGGGGAATCACGGTGATATGCGTATACACTGACAGTTGATCGCAGTTCAAACAAGATCGAAGTGCTGCCACGTCCTGCGCGAAGCTCCAGTCGGAGACAGATATAGGCTAGCCTAATTTGGCATGAAGCCTGAGGCTGGATACTTCCGCGGCCCTTGGTTCTCACGTGAGCTAGTTTGCCACTTGCAAAGGAGTAAGCTAGCTTCCCACCAAATCAATGTTTCTTTAGGGCCCACTTCTTATTCTGCAATTTTATTCGTTAGCCGCTGTGGTTCATCACTGTATAGGCCCCGACCCCCATCACGTGCCTCCACTGTGCCCATCTTCGTTGGCATCGTTGCTGGGACAGTCGGGCATCAACCTCACACTACTCCACCCCCAGACTTGGATGATGGGAGATCGATCACGCAGTAGGTCCCCCTAAACGGCGAGACGATGCCGACCAAGGTCGACCGAAAAAGACCGGAGGATTTCGCTGGAAGGAGAAGCGGCGCGACGACGATGACCGCGGCGACGAGCGCAAACTAGATCGAGGCTACAGGGACCGAAATGATCGCCCTCGTTCACCGCGCAGAGAACGCGACAGCGATAAGAACAGAGACGGCGACCGTGACCGACGGCGTGATGACCGAGACACACCCCGGGAAGACGGCGAGAAGAAGGAAAAGAAGGAAAAGAAGAAGAAGGACAAGAAGCCGGTTGTCCCCCAATCTGGCGAGCCCATGATTGTGGTTCATGTGAATGATCGTCTGGGTACCAAAGCTGCAATCCCTTGTTTGGCTTCAGATCCAATCAGTAAGTCCGGCTTGTTGTTTCTTTCCCGCTCATTGTTTCGGGAAACTGGCGACGGTCAGGAATATACCAAGATGACCCGCTGACGCTTGTTTAGAACTATTCAAAGCTTATGTAGCTGCACGTATCGGTCGTGAGCCTCATGAAATTCTTCTCAAACGCCAGGGCGAGCGTCCCTTCAAGGACCAATTGACGTTGGAGGATTACGGAGTGAGCAACGGAGTACAACTTGACTTGTGAGCCTTAAAGCTACCCCAGACCCTATTTTCCACGACTGGCAGCAATACTAACAATGGTTTAGGGAGGTCGGTACCGGAGAATGATGGAAGTCTATACGCAGGCCGGAAAACAGTGGTGGAACAATTCAATGTTTTCGAAAAATGCCAAAGGAACCAAAAACAAGTTATTACATATCATGGATCAGGAGTATGGGAGCGGTTGATTCTTTTTTTTTCTTACACTTTTCTCTTGAATTCTTCTATTTTCAACCCTCCTGTTGGAACCTGCTCTGCTCTTGTTCCCATATCTGTATCTACCGAGAAATGGAATTGCTTGTGTTCTGTCTCAGGCAGTACATTCCGGGGATCTTCGTGCATTGCATCAACCGTTTCTGCGGGGCGGTTGGCTTTACCATCTACGCTAGACTGAAAACGGCATTTTGACACCTGAGGCTAGAAATCCGGCAGCCAACCCGAGTCCAAATCTTGTTCCACTCTCCAAAGAGGCTTTTTTTTCGAATCGCGGGACTCACACGAGCTTCATCATCTTTTCCTTTTCAGACTCTGATCTTCTCGACTTCCTCAAGTCTACCCACCCCGCAATGCGGTAATTGCTTCACTCTCCACTCCTACTCCTCACAGACTCCTCTTTGTTCCTTCACCCCTCCGACATCGCTCCCCAGATTTTCCGTCCCGCTAAATTTCTCCAATCCTCCTCCACCTTCCTCTCGAAACGTTGACCGACTCCTCCCCCACTAAACCGCCAATATTCCTGCCGACACTCCGTCAGGACCATCCAAAGCTATGGTTCGCAATCTTGTTGTCATCGGGGGCACTTCCCACCCGCAGCTGACCGAATCTATCTGCGGTGTGCTGGGAATCCCACCCGCGGAGGTTCTGCTCTCTAAGTTCGCCGTGGGCGAGACCCGGGTTGAGATCCAAGAGTCTGTCCGTGAGAAAGACGTCTACATCATCCAATCCGGAGGTGGCAAGGTTAATGATCACTTGTTGGAGCTCCTCATTACCATCTCCGCCTGCAAGACCGCCTCTGCTCGTCGAGTCACCGCTGTCCTTCCTCTTTTCCCTTATTCTCGCCAAAGTGATATCCCATACGACAAGGCCGGAGCTCCTCTTGTCAAGTCATCTGTGGTGAATCGGCCCAACAATGGTTACACTTTTGAAAGTACCCCTCCCACCCCGGGTCCGGGTAAGCCCGAGGGACTCGGATTGATGAACGGTATCGACAATCTCCAGAAAAGCCTGGCAAAGGCCCAGATTGATGAGAGCAATGGTAGCCCTGTAAAACGGCGCACCGGCAACGCACTACCACGCAGTGAGACTACCGACTCGCTTAAGTCCACTACAACGGCGGAGGATACCGCGAGCACTGTATCCAGCGCCAATGCTTCCAAGATCAATGCATTCCAGCCCCGTCCCGGCTATAAGCAGTGGGTTGCGCAGGCAGGCACTCTGGTCGCCGACCTGCTCACCTGTGCGGGCGCCGATCACATCATCACCATGGATCTGCACGACCCTCAGTACCAGGGTTTCTTTGACATCCCTGTCGACAACCTCTACGGCCGTCCTCTTCTGAAGAGCTATATCCAACGCACTATTCCCAACTACAAGCAGTCTGTTATTGTCAGCCCCGATGCTGGCGGTGCCAAGCGTGCAACTGCAATTGCTGATCAGATGGGCATCGAATTCGCCCTCATCCACAAGGTACGTTTCCATATGTATTTCTTTCTTTTCGTCCGAAAACTTTCTATATAATGACTGGCCTGGCTGACCATTGATCTTTTCTTCACAGGAGCGTCGCCCCACCAAGATCACAGACCGCCAGAATGCCACTATGATGCTGGTCGGTGATGTCAAGGATCGCATTGCTATTCTGATTGATGATCTGGCGGACACCTCTAACACCATCACTCGCGCTGCCAAGCTTCTGAAGAAGGAGGGTGCCTCCAAGGTTTATGCCCTGGTGACCCACGGTATCCTGAGCGGCGACGCCATCGATCGTATCAACGCCAGCGCGCTGGACAAGGTTGTCGTGACCAACAGCGTGGACCAGGGCGACCACCTGCGCCGATGCCCGAAGCTTGAGGTCCTAGAGGTTGGCCACGTTTTTGGCGAGGTGAGTCACATGAGTTAAATTGCGTTTTCCCGGCGCCACATTTGCTGACCGCTTAAACTAGGCTATCCGTCGTGTTCACCACGGTGAGAGTATCAGTGTTCTGTTCCAATATGATTAATTTCCCCCCCCAACCGTGATGGGAGAAAAATATCTCATACAAGATGAACGAAAAATATGACGCTGTGGGATTTGCTTTTCCAAAGCTATCATTTCCAATGAATTTCCGAAGACTTCTGTTTTTTTTTTCCCTTGGGCGTTGCCGATATGAAGTCGTTGTTCTCATACCTTTACCTCCTGAATCCCTCCAATATAGAATCATGGTCAGAGTAGAACTGTTGGCCTTGAGAACCCATGTATGTATTTTTCGGCGATTCCATGCTGCTTTGAGACTTTGCCTGTTTCTGGATGTCATTTTCTTTCACCTGAGCTGCTGCTACTGCCGACCACCTGCACATATCGGCCTGAATCAAAACGAAAACTGAAACTGCCTACTCTTGACTTGTGCTGTTGCTTCATCCCGCATGATTCTCGGGAATTGAACGTATACCTAGTCCGAGCCATGCAAAACTAGCAATTAATTAGACGTGAGATGCGGGCCGGAACCAGGGTGTCCAGCAATTAAGAAACCTTGGAAGACATATCCGCCATGTACTAGTACGCTCGGATCCATTGACTGGTGACCTGAGTCTGCTACTATCCATGACTGGAAAGCAAGAGAAAAATCCATCTTTTTGATGTGATTTGTTCTTCTATATCACAAAAATAATACAGGAAATTTCCCAACGCCTTTGAAATTAAGAAGCCAAAAATAGCCGAAAGCAAGTGTGGCCATTGTTCTGGCCGAGGGAGGTGATGCGCTCACTTAAATACTCGGAAAGAAAACGAACTGGGTACTCGATACAACGAAATCAGCTGTTCGCCAAGGCGAATTTGCACAGCCAGAGTGGTAAATACAAAGAATAAGAAGAGATGCGAGGTCATGATGCTTAAAAGACGGAAATGAAGTTTCCAATTCTCTCCTTCTGGTTCTGAGCAATACACTCCGAGATCCAAGTCACGTTCCGGATTTCCTATTCGCTGTCAGTATCAGATACTACGGATCAGTACTCGAAAGGGGGCTGGTCTTACCTGCTCCTTCAGCTTCATCCACCCGTATACCACCGCCGGGGTGAATTGACGGGTGAAAACTAACTTCGACATGTCCATCTCCTTTTGATAAAAGAGATCTTCCAGACTCTTCCCATCGGCAGGGCCACCGCCCATACCTCCCATCCCGCTACCACCCTGGCTGAGGCCTACAGCGTCGAAGAACGCCTTGTAATCTGCGACGGCGCTGACTGCCAGAGCGACACCCTCAACATCCTCAGCACGGGAAAGCATCAGACTTCCCTCCGGATAAAGTTTGCCAAATTCGGGGTATAGCTTCCTTCGCTCTTGCTTGGATAGCTCAGTGCCGAAAGAGTTCAGGGTAATATTAATGGACCGCCGGTCGGCCTCAAACTGCAGAATCTCGGACATGACATCCTGCGTCGGACTACCGGCAAAGTCTGGGTGGGTGTTGACAAAGTTGAAGAAGTCCTCCAGGTAATTCTTGTACAGAGTGTTACGAACAATCTCAATATTGAGCTCGTCCAAGTCCTGGTGGCTCAAGCTGCCCTTGAAGTATGGGGCAAGCGGGGTCTCGATCAGCACCGAGTTGTATAGTTCCTCAATGTTGGTTGCGACACATAGCACGGGCAGTGTTTCAAACCAGCCGAGTGGGTGGCATCGCTCCAGGAGTTCTCGGGTGTCTCGTTCGTGCAGGGTTCCGGTGATCAGCAGGGCGATGTTATCGATCATATAACCATATGTCAGGTATTCCAGGAATTTGGCAGTTGAACCAGTCGACTGCGCGATAAGGTAGCGGAACTCAGAGACCAGCTTGTCGGTCATCTTGCCAGCAAGCGCTGAGGTGGAGGGGTTCGGGGGGAGAGTGGCAAGGAAGTCGCCGTAGGAAGGGCCCAGCTGGAGTTTCACATCTGCGGAAAAGGAACATTAGAATCTGATGGGTTGTTTCCAAGTACAAGAACAGGCCTACCGTCAATGGATTCGCATTGTGTCAAGTTGGAGTAGTTCTGGCCGGTCAGAAGGCTGTTCCGATACCCTCGAACAATACCCTCGACGTATCTAGGACCGTTAGCATGAGAAAATAATCCACAACAGAGACACATTCACTCACCCGCCATTCACATTGAAGAAAAGGCCTTCCATGGTGTGCGGAATGGAAAGATGGTTTTGGGGGGAGGAACCAGCTGTAGCTCCCTCGGTCGCTGTATGGCGGAGGCCCTGACTAAGCCACAGCCACAGTGGCTTTCCGGGTCGCTTTTTCACTTTTCACTTTTTCTGCGCCAAAATTTCTAGATTCCTCCTCAACGGTTAAAGCGTCCACGGTCCACACCTTCTTTCCGTCTTTCTTTAGCCTTTCGACCTGGGCTTTTTAATACACTAGCAGAATTTATTTTCGAGCTCCAACGCCGTGGTAGCCCACCATGTCGCTGTTCATCTTGACCGAAACCAGCGCGGGTTACGCCCTGCTGAAGGCCAAGGACAAGAAGCTGTTCAAGCACGGTCTGCCTGAGGATGCCAACACCGCTGAGGGTGTCTCCAACCTGTACGTCGCATTTTTTTCTGCAATGGACGAAATCTTGGTGGGGAGGGGAAGATTTGCGGACCATGCGCAAAATTTTTGTCACGAGCGACAGCGACGCTAACTTTGCCTACAGGTTCAAGCTGAAGGGTTTCCAGAAGTTCGACAGCGCCGCTACAGCTGTGGAGGAGGCTGCCGCCATCATCGAGGGCAAGGTTACCCCTCGTCTTGCCTCTCCTTGACAATGTCAAGGATGAGAAGAAGGTTTCGCTGGCTGTTGCTGACCCCAAGCTCGGTATGTCCTCATCAATTTCATTCCAATCGACGTTTAACTAACAGCAGAATTTTACAGGTAACGCCATTGGCAAGCTTCCCGGTCTCTCCATTGAGTGTGTCGCCGACTCTACTACCCACGATGCCTTCCGTGCCATTCGTGAGAACCTGACCTCCCTCATCCCCGGCCTGGCGCCCAGTGATATGTCTGCTATGGCTCTTGGTCTCTCCCACTCTCTTGCCCGCCACAAGCTCAAGTTCTCTCCCGATAAGATTGATACCATGATCGTCCAGGCCATTGGTCTGCTGGATGATCTTGACAAGGAGCTCAACACCTATGCCATGCGTGTCAAGGAATGGTACGGCTGGCACTTCCCCGAGCTGGCTAAGATCCTGAACGACAACATTGCCTACTCTAGACTTGTCCTGAAGATGGGCATGCGCTCTAACTGGGAGACTGTGGATCTCTCTGAGATCCTCCCCGAGGAGATTGAGACTGCTGTCAAGCTCGCCGCTGACCGCTCCATGGGTACTGAGATTAGCGAGGAGGACCTGGAAAACATCCAGTCTCTCGCCACCCAGGTCGTTGAGTTCTACGAGTACCGCTCGCGTCTTGCCAGCTACCTGACCTCCCGCATGAACGCCATTGCTCCTAACCTGACTGCCCTTGTCGGTGACCTTGTCGGTGCCCGCCTCATTGCTCACGCTGGTAGCTTGACCAGCCTCTCCAAGAGCCCCGCCTCTACCATCCAGATTCTCGGTGCCGAGAAGGCTCTTTTCCGTGCTCTGAAGACTAAGCACGATACTCCCAAGTACGGTCTGATCTACCACGCTTCTCTGATCGGCCAGGCTACTGGCCGCAACAAGGGCAAGATGGCTCGTATCCTTGCCGCCAAGGCCTCGCTGGGTATCCGTGTGGATTCCCTTGCTGAGTGGGGTGAGGATGTCACCGAGGAGGACAAGGCCGCTCTTGGTACCGAGGCTCGCTTCAACCTCGAGCGCAAGCTGGCAGCTATGGAGGGCAAGCCCCTCAAGCCCCGCGGTGTCACCATTGCCCCCCAGTGGTACTCCTGCGGCTCAGAAGTTCGACCTGAACGAGGCCCGCAAGTACAACCCCGATGCCGACGCTCTGGCCGAGGAGAAGCCTACTCCCGCCAAGAAGGACAAGAAGTCCAAGAAGGAGAAGAAGCTGGTTGAGGAGGTCGACTCTGACGAGGAGATGGCCGATGGCGATTCTGATGACTCGGACTCCTCATCTGAGGATGAGTCTGAGCTGGAGAAGATGGCCAAGAAGGCCGGTCTCAGTGTCGCGCGCTATCAGCGCAAGCTTGAGCGTGGCGAGATTTCCTTTGATGCCTCCGGAAACCCATCATCGGTCAGCAAGAAGGACATGAAGAAGGCCAAGAAGGACTCTAAGAAGGCCGACAAGGAGGACGGCAAGAAGCGCAAGCGCTCCGACGAGGGTGATGACGAAAAGAAGAAGAAGAAGAAGAACAAGGGCGAGTAAAGGTTTGCTTTAAAAGTTTCGTACTATGTGATGGCTTCGCGAATCTGTATGATATCACTTTCTTTTTGTTTCGCGGCCTGCTCGCATTTGGGGGCATTTCAACGTTTTATTTTCTGGCGCAGACGGTGCTCGATGGTACAAGGCAGTTCAGTTTAGCTGAATAATCTGTTTATATTTCAATTATATCCCATGTAGTGCTAGTATAGTAAGTTCCGCCAATCGTCTAGGTCGATTTGCACCTTGCACCTGTAGCCTTCCTCAAGGTTGCTTCGCTGCAGATCTCCGCCAGTGAAAATAGGACCAGGCGAGTGACCGCCTCCCAGACCGCCATATTGACCTGGCAGAGCGAGTAATTTTCCCTCCGCAGCTCATCTCCGCTACTTGATAGTCGTCTACAAAGAGCACAATGAAGGTAAGTTGGCTTAACTGAGGTATTGAAACCTTATACTGATCTAAATACATAGATTCTCGACCCTCAAGCTGCTGTTCTGACCAATGTGGAGGTGCTGGCCTATCTATCGGCCAACCCACCCCGCCGCCCTCCAAACCCACCTCCAAATTCGCGACGAAACTGGGTTCCAAGCCCTGATCTACGAGACCATAACACTGTGGTGAAAGAGGTAAGCCACCATGGTATTTGATTATCGAGCTACAAGAATGCGTATACCTTCAATTCCCGATCGTGCCTTACGAAATGCACCAAACAATACCTCTATGCACCATACCACTCTCGATGAATGCTTCTTATATCGCCTGAACTGAACTAACAAAAGATCCTCAGATCCACAATTATATCGCCCGAATTTCTCCCCATGTCCTTCGATACCCTCCTTTCACAAACCGACCCTCGTCCTCGCAATCACAGTCTCAAGCAGCCATGACAGGGACTTTGAGAACGAACGGTACCACAGACTCTGAACACGCTGTGATCGCACCGCCTCCTTCTTCAGAACCTACGCCCATGGATAATGCTATCCGTGAACTTATTATTAAACTGCGGCCTTACAAACTCACCAAGGCGGAGCTTGTCATGATTTTAAATTTGGGGCTTGGTGTCACCAGCGGGGACTCCGGAGCTGCAGCGGAAGATGGAATGGTTAATGGTGATGGTGCTATGGATGTCGATGAAGAACACCTGCACGGTGATGGCGAGGAACAGGAAGAAGGCGAGGGCGAGGAGGAGGATGGAAGCGCTATGGCGCTTTTCGATACCGTGATTGAAGAGCGGGAGGGTCGAATGTCGGATGAGGATGTCTTGGCTATCCTCGGGATTGTGAGAGAGACACTGAAAGACAATTAAGGCAACAAAAGATCATGGAAAGGTGCTTTGGCTTGGTAGGTTGTATTTCTGTTTTCTTATTTTGATATCCCGAGGCTAGTTTCCTCAATTTTTACTGCATATTCATGTATACATTGTGTAAAATTGTGTAGGACTTGTAGATATTAGCTAGAGCGTAGACATGAGTCGTTTCGTGTGCATATAGTACTAGCCATTAAAACTTCATGAAGCTGTTTTTGGTAATACTTGATCGTTCAACTGTCAGTGGGCAGCAATTAATCTTGGAATCTCTGTCCCAAGTATCATAGCTGCTTGTACCTAGGTATTTTGGCAGTGTCTATATACTGACAGACTCCAGGAATCTTCTAAGGTTTGCCATCGACGGCTATTCAGGTAGCTTAAACCCCTCCCCTGCTCGATTGACATACCTAGGTAGATCTACAGGTGGAGTAATAGTCAGAACGGCCGTTTTTAGCGCATCAGACTCATAATCCAAGTCAGCCCATCGCTGTGATTTACATCATGCTTACAAGCAAACTATAGTCCCGAAAGGCTGTCCTATATTAGAGATCATCGGGTGGGATGTATCACTCATTTGACATTACCATGCTACCATCCTATATGTTTCAATTCATCTTCAATACTAGCATCATCACCCTCCGACTCGGAGGTCAATAATAACATTCACCACCTGCCCGTGGACATTGTAACCTTGGAAATATGTATGATGATAAAATTCTACCTACTAGGTAGTATATAGTAGCATAGACGTATCTTTTAGCCCTAAGTTAGAGCTGTTCGTGAGGCTCGGCATCAATGGGGATTATGTGCCAAAAGTCATGGGACATCAGTTTATGAAACCATTCACGCCTTAGTGCGTTATGCTACCGCCGCTGGCTATTGTATGCGTCGATACCCCGAAATTAAAGCGATGACCTAAAATTCGTCCGTCTTGGCAGGAAAAAAGAGCCTGCATCTTTTTGCAAATCGGCAGGTAAAACAATTAGCTTCATACTGGCTTTATCAGAAAAAGATCTATGGGTGAGAGTTTCATTCTGAGGTCCTCGCTCAAGTTTGAATAAAATCTTAATAGTACTATAATATACATATAGGCGTAACATTATATCAGTACCGTTTCTATCACGCTTGTATCACAACAAGCCCTACAACCGTATAGAAATGGCCCCGAACATCTTTCACACGGAAGTACACCTAGCCGCTGCTCTATATGGATCCAGTTGAATATTGAAGTAGAGCTTGTCGAAAGGAATGAGCTATTCAGGGCTCAACAAGTTGTTCTGGCGTCCCCTACGCGAGATAACAGGATCGCTAAATAAAACGAAGAGAGCTACATCTGCGATACAGAGACCTTGGGCAATACTAGCGGTGTTACACAGGTAGGCGTGGCCTGAGACTGTCCGTATGTTACACCTAGTACTAGGAGAGAGCATAGCTCGCATGAGCTACGCCGATTACCGGTAGATGTGGCGGAAGGGATATATGGCCTCGGTGTTTGAGAGAATTTTCAACCAAAACCCGAATTTAACCATGCCTGGTAATTCCCTTCTGCGATAATATCATGGGAATTCAGCATGGGGTGGCATAAGTGTAGCTACATGCTAGAGTAGCCACTAGTACTAGTACTCTGACACTATAACTATAGATCCCAGCATTGCAATACTGTGTGACAGTGCTATTCGATGATTGATCCATCCTCACCAAAAAGCGCGGCCTAGATTGAAAAGACTGTGGCTGAAAGTAGAAGGGTCGGTGCAAATCGTAACTGATCCAAGCTTTTTCGGACCGTTGCTATTGGAAGATGCCAAGCGGGAATATCCAGAGCCATCCAACCGTCAGTCGGTGAACAAGCACGGAGATACAAAGAGCGATGAGCAATATTTTCTCCAAAACAGAACGAATCATGTCAGTATGGTGCCGACAGGGGCGGAAATAATGAAGCAGATAACGACCGTCGACTTTTTGGGGCAATGAGAAATATAAAAGGGTCGTTTGCCCCATCTTATTTTCATGCAATTCATAAATAAATAAGGAGAGGGACGGGTTGTTTTGAATCGACAGTATAGTAGCGACTTGAAGCTATCGTTCTCGATCCTTCAACTTGGAATCATCGGGTGTTCTTTGCATCATTGTCATTCTGCTACAACTGCACATTTAGCCACTCCAGTGTCCTCGGTCGGGAGATCCCACTTGATATTGGAAACCGATAATGGACTGGCTGGATAGTTGCGTAAGTAAGTTTCCAACATCCCTATCCGAAGGAATACTTTACCCATCTCAGTACTAATAAATGCGATCTAGTCGCGACGAAGATGACAGAGGGAAAATGTCAACATATCGGCAAAGTGAGAGCCACTGCCCTCGTTTCAACAACGAAAGAATTCGATATGAAATCATCGTCGAAAAAAATTCAAGGAAACACCAGCGAAAAACCCACATTCCTGTCCTCCTCCACACCTCGATCACACGCATGACCCGATCGTGACAACGCACATCACGACAATTGACTACTCGCATTCGCTCGGGATTTCCTGAGCAGGGTACGGTGAGTACGATCTCATTTCGCTTGAGGGTGGATTGTCATAATTATTGGGGGTGACTGGTAAAGAAAAATGCCTCAGGTACCAGATGGATGTTGAAAATGGCGCATACCAGTGGGGAACAAAACCACCACGACCCAGTTGGAGATCCGACGACACAGCTCACTTTGAGAGTAATTTAATAACTATGATTGGTGTGATTTGGAGCTTAATTTTCCTTAATTTTGCTTCATTTGGTGGGAATTTTTTTAAGACATCGGAAACCAGGGGTGGTTCCGAAGCGGTTCGTTTGCGTTCCTGAAAGTGCATATACATTGACAAGGGCGGGAGAGAATTTTCTTACCCCCGAACATCAGACATACAGGGCTGGAGTCCTAGTTTTGCGATAGAAGAATGACATAGCGCATGAATTTGGCTTGTGAAACAAGCCCTGGCCTCTCTAGGCTACGACGCTTGCCGAGAAAATCGGCTGCAGTGCAACGCCACCTAGTTTGGAAAGCAACAGCACAGCCACCTCCATTTACAGTTTACTCAATTTTGCTGGATGAAAGAGCCTGGGGCTTTCATCTTGGACTTCAGCTAGAGTGATATCATGGTCTCCGTGCTCCAGCCCCATCGACAAATCGAAGCAAAACATAATAAAACGGCTGGGCGACGGACGTGCGGCCGGTATCAAATGACGAGCTAGCTCTAGCTTAGGGCTCCTCGGTACAGCAAGGGTGCACCGAGCCGTATGAGGGATATTTGACAGGTCTATCACCAATCTGGCAGCCCGAGGGAGTATCAGAGGGGCCTTCATCCCGTGGGAGCAATGTGTTGGGGGGGATATTTTCCGGGTCGTTTCATTTTCCTAGTCGGTAGTCGGACCTGGACTGGCAAAGTTCCAGCCGAGAGGTGAGAAAAAAATGCCTCATAGTTGCTATGTTGTAGAAGGACAGTAATCACAAATTTTCGTCCCATTCCTGATCGCACATTTCATTTTCCGGGGGGAAAACAGACTGGGTTCTAGGTAGAAATGATTTTTTTTATCCTCTATAGAACGAGCCACACCTTACACTTTTTTCGTGAAACTGAACGTTGCTCCGTGCTTTTTGGAGGGACCCACGTTCTGCGGGTAAAGTACGACCAAATGGTTTAGCCACAATTTTTTGGCCAAAGCTCCCATGGTACTAAGTAATGACAAAAGGACGGAAAAGTAGAAAAAAAAAAAAACAGAAAAAAAAAGGCCGCTAATACAAGACGGAACCCTCCGAATGCATGAGCTTGGTCCCACCTAGGCGATCTTGTGGCTGTGGGCACGAACGAGAGTGATGGGATCCCTTCCCTTTTGCCCTACAAACAATACAGATCTGTGTTATGCTATGTCATAGCTCCCACCAGCTCCCACCACCCCCTCAGTCCTACCTCGACTACCAAAAAAGAAAAAAAGAAAAAAAAAATTAACTGTTTCCCACATCCAGAAACAGTAAACCTAGCAAAATCATTGGACTGGGTGGACCTGAGTGATCAATGAGTGTAGCTAAGGTATAAAAGCTCGGTGACCCTTCCCACCCTCAAAACTTCATTTCATTTCATTGAGGGATGCTTATCGACGGTCAAAAGTGGGCTTGTGAAGCTTGCATACGGGGACACCGTGTGACCAGCTGCAAACATCATGGTATGTGAAATATTACCTTTCATATCCCTATTTTCCCATTTCCCTTCCCCCACCTGGTCTATAAACTCACTACTAGAAGTGGCCGCAAGCCCCGAGCCACCCTCATACTAGTAGATGGTGTGCTAATCTAAAAACCCCCCCTTAGATCGACCGTTGATTCGCATCAAACGCAAGGGACGACCATTCGCCACTTGCACCGTCTGTCATTCAACACCGTGCACAGCACCAAGCGAGCACGCCCGCGCAAAGCGCGAAGCAGAGCTCAAAACTCCCTCAAAAGTAACGCAAACACAACATATCCAGCTCCCAACCCATGAAAAAAGGGAGCTGGGAAGTCATGAGAATAACACACATCTTGACGCCCTCAGCCTGGGCAATTCTGGGCAAGCAACGAGGACCATCGAGATGCGCGATCGGCAAGGTGCTGATTGCTTCTTTTTTTGTGATCTATAGAAAGCAGCGCACGGCAGACTCTATCCCCGCCACCACAACCCTCACGGTTTCCTCCCTATCGCGCCTCGACCAAATGGCAAAGACGCCCAAGGCGCATCCTCGCGGAATAGCGCCGGTCCGCAGTCCTCGCAGTCGTCGGCGCGCATCTCTCGCTCCGGCTCGACGAGTGCCTCGGCCTCCGAGTCACATACCCCCGTTTATCCCGAGTCATCTTCGCGTCGTGGTTCAGCCTTGACGGCAGACTGGTCGGGATCAGAGGGGTCGGGGCCCGAATCAGGCCATCTGACGAAATCCACTACATACCTGGCGCGGAATTTGTCCACGCCCCAGGATAACACTATACCGTCGTATGCTCGATCAGGGGCAGAGGATTTTGCTCTGGACCCGCTGTTAATTGAGCATACCTTTGACCCCATGTATAGCCTGCTTCCCTCGACGATATCGGGGGGCTCAAATGGCCCAAACTGTGCCGATGATAAGTCCTCTGGAGGGCAGCAATCCCTTCGAGACCCCCTTGGATCCTTCGCTGACATTGAATGATTCCTTGGGGTATTTGGAAAATATGGACATTGATGTGACTGAAGGATTGTCAGATGAAGTCTTTCATATCGAGGACTGGTCGCGATATATGTGGTCGCCTGAGACCGGCTTTGAACATCTAGATACAGGATTCCCCCCTGTTACACTTCCACCTGTGACGCAATAACAATGACTGATGATTAAGATAAAACCCCCGATCATTATAGACACCACTCACTTACCTAGATCTCCGGGACTGTTGACTTCAAGTTGTGCATTTGTAAAAATAGCCCTGGAGGACGGCACGCAAGCCCTGGAGCACAAAGAAGGACTTTGAGGTTTTAGAGAAAACCTTGGAAACCTTGGAACAATGCACAACGAATTGAATTGCTTCGGCATATTTTAAATTCGCATATGTATCCATGATGCAAGACCAAACGCTCCGCTCCTTACTGATGCAGATCATACTGGAGGGCAGAAAAAGCAGCGCCAAACAAACGTTGAGAGGGGAAAAAAAGCAAAATAAGATGGGCCACATTCACCAACCCACCACAACCACCTCCTGTACTGTGCAATGAGTATACAATTGCGAGCCTACACCTCCTGGATGTAGTTCGCTGGAACGCTCTTCGTGACTCCACCGCGCTCGACATCCGCCCACCCATCTCCGCCGTTCCGAGTAACCAGGACAAAGCGATCGCCCTCAGCCATGGTCCACTCCATGTCACTCCGCGCTTCGTAGTCGTACAGTGCCTCCACGTACTGCAGCTTCTTGGCGCCTCTGCGGGGCGCAACCGCGGGCCCGACGCGTTTATTAGCGATACTACCCGCTAAGGAAGCGGACGAATTGGAGTAGGTCGATCCGGGTCTTTCGGGAAGTCCTGGGCTAGCCGATGGCACTGGGGATGGGGTTGGGGCAGCTTCGACGTAGGCAGATGGGACTAGTCCCTCTTGAGAACCAGCTCGGACGCGTAGCCATCCCGATCCATCTGAGCATATGGTCAGATTATGAAAAGCGGCAGAAACAAATATTAATCGAAGCCAGGGGTTTACTTACCATCAGGTTCGACGATTGTCACATCATCCCCGTCTTGGACAGTTACTTCGTCATCACCAGTGGCCTGGTAGGCGTAGAGCATCTTGCCCTTTGGGTCGCCTGACTTGGAAGGACTGGGGGCGCTGGCAGGTGGCGCAGTTGTATAAGCCGACGGAGGAGGAGCTAACACTCGATGCCTCTTCGCTGTGGCTGGTTTGGTCTCAGCAACTGGCTCAGGGGCTGCCTCCGTAGGATTCTCGGGGGTAGGCTGAGTCGCGACATTGGAGACCGATACTGATCGCGCTGTACTGGCGGCATATCCTGAACTCAATGAGGTCATAGTGTTTTGTCGGGTTAATGACGGAGCAGCTGCAGAAGTTGCAGATGATTCCAAGTCAATCGTTGGAACAGCGCCGGCTTGTTCCTGGCGTTCAGTCTTGAGTTTCTTCTTATCCTCCTTAGTCTGTTCGCCAGGACACTCTGCTGGCACCTTCATTTGACACTTGCTGTGACAAGTGTAACCACAATCCCGGCAGTCAAATCCCTTCGCAGACAGGCCCCAGATGCGCTCTCCACAAAGATCACAGTTGGTAGGAATCTTGAAAGTTTGGGACCTAAAGTTGTGATTCTTGGCTCCCATCGACAAGTCGCCAGCCACAGATATGATAGTGGATGTTTCCACCTCAGCGGTCAGCCATTTACGCTCCACCTCATGCAAAGTTTCTTGCAGATAGAAAATAGATCGAACAATATCAACCTCATTGCGATTGTCTTTACCCTGTTGAATGTTTTCTCGGACTCTTTGGCCGGTCTCAACTTCACGTTTCTTTTTATCCGCCTCGACCCGCAGCTCACGGACCGATGATTTACTCTTACCAAGTACATTTCGTAGAAACACCTTGGCGGACTCATCGATGATGATTGTGGCATCGTCGTGCCATACAGGGCTGGGCTCGAAAGCCGTATCACCGGGTTCTTGGCTTTGACTCACGTTGTGCTGGAGGAACATCATGGAGTCTAGGCGAGGATCGTTGCGGGGGATCTCATTGAGAAGATTCGTAGTGTGGTTCACACTATTTGTAAGATATGACTTTTCCAATTGCCCGGCAAGAGTCCATAGTGCGTTCAACCGCTTGACTCGAGTTTCATTGAGGTCTTGCAAGCCCTGGTTATGACTATGGTGAGTATAGGCCTCTCTCATGGCTATCATGGGCAGGGTTTGGCTTACATTCAACACTTCGGGAACATATTCATGGAAGAATCGCTCCTTCAACTTATTTGTGACGTTGATGCTAATTAGATACAGATTCTGGTATTTGTCAGTATTCAGTGTGGACCGCCATGGAGGAAATATGAACATACCTTGTAATTGTTCATTTCCAATATTTGTTGTTGGTATGCGGTCTGCGCCTTGGCTTTGCCGTGGTCAAAGGCCGATTCCATTTTCTTACGTCGGGATTCGACCTCTTGACAAGATCCGTCGTATTTGCCCTTTGCTTTCTTGAGCTCCCCATATGATGCGTCCCGCTCCTTCTCAAGCTTCCCGTGGTAATCGACATGGCATTTGCGGATCTCTTCGTACTGAGTTGCCGCATGTTTGAGGGGTTCCGCCACCTGCGCAACCAAGTCGGTTGCGAACTTGTCTCGCTCGGTCGCATGAGCTTCCACCGCATTCAATTGATGTGTCCATGTCGTCAGGGAGGCGCTCTCGAGCGAGCCCGGGGTCAAGGTAGGAGTGTCGCCGACGCTCAGCGGACTGATCTTCTTCGATTTGCGGTCGTAATATTTCTTGCACAGAGCGCTAAGCTTGGCGGAGTATTCCTTCTCGATAGCACTGCGCTCGCGATAGAATTGTTGAATTTCTTCCAACCATGATATGCCGTTGGATACCTGTGTGACATGATCGCATTAGCTCCGCACACGCGCGATGACATGACCCTCTCTCCCTTTGCGGGGAACCGGGTATGGATGGCCTACCCAAGCGTTGACAGGTTTAAAGTTATCCTATATAATTCCAGAATGATTAGTCCAGGCCTACAGACTGTCCACGGGGACCCTGCAAGACTCACCTTTAGCTCTGTCCCAAATTGGGGAGCCACGTCTGTTGCCGCCATGGCCGATATAATAGTGTTGAGGCCAAATCACGCATGTGCTGAGAGGAGGTGGAGTCGGAGATTCTGGGCCCGAGGACACAAATTGAGAAGGATGAATGTCCTGTGCCACAAAAGGATTATCGGAATGAGGAGTAAGTAGAAGCTCCACGAGTCACGCAGGCGCAAAGACCAATTCGGATCAGATTGAAGATGATCGCACCAGCCTCGGAGGCGATGGGAGAGCGGGGAGTCTGCCCAGATTGGTGCCTGTGACAATACCATACAGCATAATGCACTGCGATAGGCTACGATAACCGCGGGGTACAATACCATACGGTATATATTATTGACTATTCACCGCCTGCCTGGACAGGCATTGAGAAGCCTTGGCGGCATCATTGCCAAACAGTTTTGAGCTTTCAACTTCCATCGTTTGCCTTTCACCTTCCTTTCACCTAACGCCTCACGATGTCTGATGCGACTCCTGAAAACGCTGGCTCTCTTGAGGGCCGCATCACAAGCCCCGATGCCGCCCCCGATGCTCAAACCGGTACGAATCTTTGCTCGACTTTTTCGTCAATATCCCCTCCTCCCCACACATCCACCAACTACACGCCTCTGCGGGCGACGAACAAATCTGATAGATGAGTTATATCGCTAATGACCGACGCATTTTAATTCAGCTCCTGCCACAGAAAATAACACCGATGGTGCTGGAGCTGAGCTCAAGGGCTCTGAGCTCAACGAGCCGGACTATACTGTGGAGGTCAAGCTGAGCGATCTTCAAGCCGACCCAAACAACCCCCTGTTCTCTGCGAAGGAATTCAAGGACCTCAATCTGTGAGTACCGTTGAATGATATCGAAGACGAAATGCATTGACTGACAATTACGACACAATAGCAAGCCGGAAATCCTCAAGGGTCTTTCCAAGATGGGCTTTCGCAAACCCTCCAAGGTCCAGGAACGTGCCCTACCCTTGCTCATGGCCGACCCCGCGCAGAACTTCGTTGGTCAGTCCCAATCGGGTACTGGTAAGACCGCAGCCTTCGTCCTGAACGTCCTCAACCGTCTCGACCTTTCCCCAGATATGCAGACTAAGCCACAGGCTCTCATCCTGGCTCCTACTCGCGAACTGGCACGTCAAATCGTCGGAGTCATTCAAATCATGGGCCAGTTCCTTGAGGGTCTTATTATTGGAACCGCTGTCCCCGCCGACTCGAATACTCGCCCCGCCAGAATGGCCTGCTCCGTTGTTGTTGGAACCCCTGGTACTGTGATGGACATGATGAAGAAACGCATCCTTGCGGCGAATGATATTGGCGTTCTTGTCCTGGACGAGGCCGACAACATGCTCGATCTCCAAGGCATGGGTGACCAATGCATTCGCGTCAAGTCGTAAGTTCCGAGAAGCTCTTTTCCTTTGGTGGTTGTAGCTAATTGTTTGTCTAGTGCGCTCCGCCAGACTACTCAAATTGTCCTCTTCTCCGCCACCTTCCCCGAACATGTTAGCGAATACTCGAAGAAATTCGCCAAGGACCCCAACGAGATCAGACTACAGCACGAAGAGTTGACAGTAGAGGGTATCAAACAACTTTATATCGATTGCAACGACGAGGAGGAGAAGTACAACAACCTTGTTCAGCTGTACGGTCTTCTGACTGTCGGCTCATCCATCATCTTCGTCCGGGTTCGTATTCAAAAGCTTCACAATTTTAATCATTTTGGCTAACGATTGATGATAGACCCGTAACTCGGCCGCCGAAATAGAGAAGCGGATGGTCGCAGAGGGTCACACTGTGGCGTCCTTGACCGGAGGTGTTGAAGGCAGCCAACGTGACAGTGTCATTGATGCTTTCCGTAGCGGTGATGCCAAGGTCCTCATCACTACCAATGTTCTTGCCCGTGGAATTGATGTCTCAACCGTCTCCCTGGTGGTCAATTACGTATGTCCTCATTTATCCCGCTGACGTGAACATTCTTCTATACACGAATAGAGCTGACCCTGTTATCTTTTACTAGGACATTCCCGACCACCACAACCCGCAGCGCCCTCGCGAGCCCGACTACCAGACCTACTTGCACCGTATCGGTCGTACTGGCCGTTTTGGTCGTATCGGTGTTGCGATTTCATTCGTCTCTAACCAGGAAGAGTGGAACATGCTGCGCAAGATCCAGCAGCACTTCGGTTGCCAGATTGATCGCGTCGATACTGGTGACTGGGATGAGGTCGAAGAGGTCATCAAGAAGACTATCAAGAACTCTCGCGCTCAGGCCAACTTTGCTGTCAACCAGCAATAAATTCCTTGTGCCCAGGTCAATTCCGCCGCGAAGTCAAGGATAAATTTCTAGCGCCGAAGGCCTAACTGTGTTTTTCTTTTTACCTTCTTCCGTCCTTTGACGACAAAGCTGCAAGGGCTTGTCGATTCACGTCCTGCATGAAGAGTTACGAACTATTACCTGTTTTTCATGATCCTAGAGGATGGCTGCCATACTAGTACTAGATACCAATTCACGAATTCAAAATTCCTTCCTCTACTCTTTTCTCTTCATGTACTTTTTCTTCGCCTCATGGCCCTTTCAAGCTCAGAAGTTAACGAGAACATAGTCCAGGAGCAAGCCACATCACAAAGTCAGGCTATTCATGACATTTAGGAAGCCAGCTTGTTTCATGGGCTTGCAGATGGCTGAGTCCTGTGGGATTCGTTCCACATGTGAAAGTTGTGAGAAGTATGAAAGGCCAATCTATGAAGAGGCGTTCTGCAGTCGAGAGAGGGTACCATCAACTCGAGATGCTGTGCGTAAAATAACCCCCGGACCCTGAAAAAAAGTCTCCCTAAGGCTAGCGGCTCTTGGGGTTCTTGGCTTGTTCGTATTCACCCGCGTTCAGGCCAATGACCAACGCCCGAGGCTCTGGATACGAGCCCTGGAAATAGGCGGTCTTCGTTCTACAAATTGAGGCCAATAAAATCATTTGAATGGGCCCGCAATAACCTATTTAGAGAATTGAGCATTTGAGCCTACCTTGTTGTGGGTATCATTTCGTGAAATAAGGCTTAAGTGGGCATAGTCAGGCGCGAGCTCCCCAGGCCAAGATGTCGAGTTTTCCGAGTCATACTATATGATAAGGAGTGTGCCCTTTGAATACGCGAATTCCTTCCTCACTTATGTTCCCCCGCTATTGATTGTTGTATTCGGCACTATGAAGCTACCCCGAGCTTGTTTTCTTCTGGCCTCGGTGCTTCTGGCTCCAGCCAAAGCCTCGCCATGGTTCGGTACTAAGTACATCGCTGTTATCGAAACCGCCGCAGTACCAGGCTATACAGGGAAATATCTCACAGAGGATCCTATCATGCGTACAAGGACTGTCGAAATCTCCCCGACAATCACAAATCCATCTGTGATCACCTCATATACCGAGATTGAAGGATACAGTTCTGATGTAACAGCTCTCAATTTGGTCGTGGAGCCGTCAGCTGGCGTTTCCATCTCTGTCAATCGCTACGTGGATTACTATGTCAGCATCACATACACAGCTCCACCGTCATGCTCTTATACAACAAAGCAGTCGCTGACGACCACCATCCCTGTGTATGTACCAAATGATGCCAATGGCTTCGTGGATCCAATCTGGATAAAAACGACAACAGAGCACTATTCCTACATCACAGGGGCCTACACCGACGTGAAAGCGTTATTGGACTCTACAGCTATTCCGGCAAGCGTTTTTTCCTCCGCAAGTTCGCAATACAAGCCGGCATATTATACATCCTGCTACAGCTACTATGCTAATTCTGGTTCAAATTCCGGATCGAATTCAGGAGACTCCGACAGCACTGGATATGGCAGCGGAAATTCTGGCTACTATAGTTGTCAGGAGTTCATCTGGACCGCTGGGAATTCTGCTATTGGGGGCGGCTATTGTTGCTCTGACGGGTGCCACTACACCTGGGGAATCACACCGTGGGCTGTTGCATTGGCCGTAATCTTCAGCTGGTTCGGTCTATGCCTCATAATCGGGTTGGTCGAGAGCTGGTTCATCTACAGGCGCGCCATGCTCGGGGGGAAAGTTCGCCGCGGTTTCCCCTATGCATTCGCCTGTTCATTTCCAATTCTCTCCTGTCTATCCTTGCTTTCTGTGAAGAAATACCCAGCCAAGACCCCTGATCAACAGACCTTTCTGGCAGCTCGTTGGGCAGAGATGTCATCCGGAACGAAGTATAGCTTTTGGTTGAAGAACTTCTTCAAGAGACGCGATCCTACCACTGAGGCCCTCGGTCTTACGGCCCCAATGACAGCTCAAATACCATACCAGTCTCCGGGCCAGACCCAAGTGTATTCTCCACCTAGTGGAACCGATGGGCACGGCATGCCACCTATGTGTACTCCGTCTCCTCATCATGGGCAAGGGTCAACGGATACGCCGAGAGGCGAGGAGCTGGATGCCGAACCCAAGAACATCACCGTTAACGAGGCCGAGCGAGCTGAAAGGACGCAGTAGTTTCCAGTATGTGCGAGTTGTCTTTTGAGCGAAAGACTTGTTTTATATTCTACTCTGTCACCGATCGAATTGTTAGTCCTGAGAGACCCACATAATTCTTGTTATAGGATACGCTTTTGATGTCCCGATCATGATTAATTCATAATTGAAATACTTTTTTCTTTCCTCCAATTCAACCCAGCCACAAGATACCTCCAAGCACTAACTAACTAAATGACGACATACCTTGATCGTCGTAAGGTCCACTTCAAGTTGGGAGTCGCTGGGCGGGGTTAGTAGGACTCCGATCATGGCCCCCCTGGTATATAGTGGTCCTGTATTATCTCTCAAGTTGACCGAAATTTTCCTGAGCTACACCGAGCAATACCACATTCCAATTACGGGTGAATGCAGACCGTCACCAAAAATGGTACGATCCCGATATTGAACATGTCAACCCACAGATCCGCCATCTGCTTGAGGCCTACTCCAAGGTTCCCTCGTCGGACGTAGTCAAGCATGTTAACAAGATTGTAGGCTCCCGCTTCATTCGAAATGCTCACTTGGTTAATAATAATAATTACCAGCGTGCCCGTGGATTTGCCGCCAACCCATACCCTTGTACATGGCACTACCGCTTTCTCAACCTCACGCTGTTAACGCATCCACTCTACGAGTCGATCTTGGCGCGTCTCAAATATGATCATTCGGCAATATATCTCGATCGGGGATGCTGCCTTGGTCAAGATTTACGCCAGCTTGTATTAGACGGCGTGCCCTCGTCCCAACTAATCGCCTTGACATCGAAGGCCCGCTGATGGATCCTGGATGCGAGCTATTTCTCGACCACAATGCACTCGAAAGCAAATTCGCGGTCGCCGATATCATCATGGACGAGTCGTAAGGCGAGCCTTGGACAAGCTTTGTGGCCAGAGGAGTTGATGTAATCCATTGCTCTGCATTTTTCCATCTTCTCCCGCTTGCAGAGCAGCTCGAGGCGGCAAAGTCTATTGCCAAACTAGACAAGAATGGGGGTATAATTGTTGGCAGACAGAGTGGGAGTGTGAAGCTGTCTGAAGTACCAGCCATTAAGCCGGATAGTACTAGTTTCAGACATGATGTGAGCACATTGGCCGACTTATGGGACAAGGTTGGAGCGGCAACCGGTACAAAGTGGACGGTTGAAGGTTCCCTTGACGAAGTTGGTGTTCAAAACAAAGGGAAGAATGCCGTTGAGGATGAGAACTCCAGGAGGCTTCTTTTTACAATAACGAGGGAAGAACAAGTCATATAGGCTTAGAAGCCTTGGAATACTATGAGTCGAGTTTTCTCCCCCAGAACTTTCAACTTTCGACTTGTAGCCACCAAGCCCGGCCTAGAAAGATAGAAGCACTGGTCATGCGATAACCAAAATAGCCATGTAATAAATAGAATTGGCCAATTTAAGGAGAGTTCAATAGATGTGCTTTCAAATGCCCAGGAGGATTATTCGGAAGGTACTCTGAAATACTGCCCTAGCCTACCAGTGGTCGCATCACTGAGGAGGTGACACTCGAATTGATCCAGTTCATTGATCGCCAAACAAAGGATCGCGTCACCGGCGCCGAATTTCGAATCATACTGTTCCGGGGCGAACCGACACATCTGACGTTCGCATTTCTGGAGTTCTGCGATCAAAACAATATTATCCCACTCACTTTTCCTTTAAAGATGGGCCATCTTATGCAACCGTTTGAGTTGAAGCACTTCGCTTCCTACAAGGACTACTGGAGACTCAAAAGCTTTTCTGGTGTTAAAATGGCGGATATCGAGGAAGAAAAAAGGATGCTTCATCAAGAGCTTCTTCACCAATCGCAATAAGGTGCTCAGGCCTGAGGAAATCAAAAAGGCATTTGCTAGCGACGGTCTCTCTCCATTAAACCCCTCCGCGATTCTTGAAAATCTCAAGAGATAGTCCACTGTCTGAACGAGGAATCGGGTTTAGTGCATGTTGTATTGACGCGGTCTCAGTATGGAGAGTGTCGTTCTAGTTTCAATGATATGCTAAAAGTCTATACACTAATGCGCGAGACGGTCTTGGCCAAAATTGTTTCTGAAATAGAGATTGACCCATTCGTACTGAGAATACCTTACTACAGTATCGGATGTCACAGCCAGAGTGGATCCGCGCAGATTAAGGTATAAGTGCGAGGGCTTTGGGGGCCAGGAATAACTCTTGGTCATTTTTAACACTTAATCGGGTGAAAGACACATATTTAGGGTTCTCCATGGCTTACTTCTTACTTCATCACTCCGCTCGGCTCATGAAATCTACCCCGCTCTTCCTGCCCAAACCTGACTGTAGATATATACAGATTTTCGAACCCTCCCAGAATCAATTTGATTGCCCGTGGCCATGGCCGAAACATCTAGTACTTCATCCTACGATTACATTGTCGTGGGAGGTGGAATTGGCGGATGTGTTGTTGCATCTCGTTTGAATGAGAAACTTCCAGATGCTTCAATTCTTCTACTGGAAGCAGGAAAGGACCCAGTTGGTCATCCTCTGACCAGCGCACCGCTTGCATGTTTCGGTATTCACCACTCGGATCTTGACTGGGACTTGCTGTCAGTGGCCCAGCCCCATCTAGACAACCGAGTCTGCTACCAGGCCGCTGCCAAAGCTCTTGGAGGCGGGTCATCCATCAACTACGCCACTTGGCTCCGCGGCCCTAAGGTCGACTATGACCGTTGGGCAAAGCTAGTGAGGGATGATCGGTGGAGCTATGAAAACCTTTTACCATATTTTGAACGCTACGGCGGATCGGATAGCGTGATCAAGACGAGCTCAACCTCACACAGCCACCAGGACCGCAAATACCCACTTCGCGATCTTGTGCGAAGTGGATGGGAAAGTGAGGGTGCTTGTCACAACTCAAATCCACAGAAGGGAGACCCTCTAGGAATCACAGAGCTAGTCGAGAATTGGAACGAAGGGAGACGGCAATTTGCACACAAAGTCTTCGACCTTGACAGAGTTGAAGTTTTGACCGAGGCTCCGACCGCTCGTATCCTTTTATCGGAAACTAATTCTGGTACCAAGACTCAGCGTGCGAAGGGTGTTCAACTTCTTGATGGCCGGACCTTCTATGCTCGGAAAGAGGTGATTGCTTCTTGCGGGGCTTATAACACACCGAAACTTCTTCTTCTATCTGGCATTGGGCCTAAAGAGCAGCTCAAGCAGCACGGTATTCACCAGGTTGTCGATGCACCTGAGATAGGTCGCAATTTCCACGATCATCCGGCTGTTGCGCTGATCTGGAAGCTGAAACAAGAGAAACTTGGTCTCCCAATGAGCGCCATTGGGGGCAATCCTGCCTTTGCACTAGGATTACCTGCCGATTGGATTGTCTTTGCTGGCTTGGACAAGAAGTTAGTAACCGATGCCTTAATCAGAGATGGAGTTGAAATATCTAGCCAAGAGGGTCAGTGTCTTCTAGACGAGAAGAACTGCTTCACTGAAACATTGAACGTGTACGCGCCGGCTGGTGCGGTGCACGCTGATATGGACATTCCATTCGATGGTCTCCATATGTCAACACCTGTACTGGGAATGCTTCCAACTTCTCGAGGCAGTATTACCCTCTCTTCGAATGACCCGACTGCGCCCCCGCGGATTGATCCAAACTACTATGCAACCGAGCTTGATAGAACCATGATGCGTGCTGGTATCCGACGGGCATTGCAAGTCTTCCAAGAGTCCACGGCATTAAAAGACGTGATCGACACCGAGGTCGCACCAGAGGGATATCCTGTCTTAACCACAAAATCTTCGGATGACGAAATAGATGCTCGTGTGCGGCGGGTAGCTAACACTTTCTTTCATCCTGCCGGTAGTTGTGCTATGGGCAAGGCCGTGGATAGCGAATTGCGCGTCTATGGCGTGGATGGACTACGAGTTGTCGACGCCAGTGTACTGCCAACCCCAGTTGCTGCCCATTACCAATACTGCATATACACTGTCGCAGATCGGGCTGCTGATTTCATTGCTGATACTGGAAACTGAAAGCTCACATTTTTTTATGTTTGAGATTGAATTGGGCAAGCAAGCTAAAGCATGTTGTCGGTTTGCCTAGGTACACACGAATACCTATTGTCATCTTTATCAGAACCTCTACATCCAAATTGCAACGTGAAAGATATTGTATTGATATTTCTTAAATCAACCACTGGTCAAAAGAAACACCGATTTCGATGGTATTCAACAGATCTAAGTCACTCATATCAATCACTTGATCACAATCAAGCAAAGCCAAATCATTCAGCTCACTAGGAGGCAGTGAAACCTGTGGTTCAAGAATTTCGTCAATAATTTTCGTAAATACCTGACTTGCCCGTTGAAATAACGAGTAATTAGCATTTTCAGGCTGTGCAACTGTTTCTAAATGAGAGATGAAGACGCTCAAACTTCGAATCAGAGCAGACCTCGAGCCCTCGTATAGTAATGGTATTCCAGTACAATTTTGATTCTGAAGGGCTTTGACAAGGATGCTAGCACTGGGGATGCCATAAAGCAGAATCTAGAGGAAAATTTAGCTCGTTGGTTCAAGAATTGAGGGGATTCAATTTCAATGCGTACCAGCCAGGTAAAGTCCGATCGCAAGTCCACAGCGTGCTCACGTCGAGTTCCAAGTATTAGGACTGCTGATAAAATATCCGAACTAACGGATAGTAGTGCACGACTCCCTCTAGGGTTTTTCTTGCCGACTAGGAGCTGGTGTACCAAGAACTCATTGTATAGATACGCTAGATATGAAACAACCAGCATGATCGGAGTAGCGATTGGGAGATTCATGTCCCAGCACTGTGGAGTATATTTGAGATGGGCAGGTAATTCATTCCACGATGCATGGCATCTTTCAGAAATTCCACTGCATACTTCAGTGAGATGATCAAGCTTCCCTCGCGGGAGAGGGGGGTAAATCTTACAGTAGAATGGCCGCAGTCTCAGGGGTGTCCTTCTGCAGTGAAACTTCGAGAATCTCATCACGGAATCCACATATGATCGAACGAGCGCGCATCCAAGTCGCAGGGTAAAAGAGGCCGAGGGTGTTCCAGCCGTTGATGTCAAGTTCATCGGGAGGATAACTCAGATTCCCATCTTCAGTTGAAAATGCCTCGTCACTAACATCGAGTGGTAAACCACAATCGGCATATCTTGCTGGTATGCGAGGCGGTCGGCCTAAAAATGTCGCGATGCTTTTGTCTAACCTGTATGCTGCTGCAAAAGTACGCCGACGAGATTCCAGGAGAAATTCTGGCGTTTGAGTAGGGTTTTTTGAATTGCGATGAAGGCCAAGTGCAAATATGTCCGTAGACAACTCGCCGAGTTTATTCCATGTTTGAGGACCTGGGAATTATTAGGAAGGACTTCCACAAGGGCAACTGCACAAGGCCTTTACTCACTCGAGTTACCATTTGCAACATCTGAGAACAACAAATTGTCGTGTACCAGCCAAATGGTAAGATCGTTCAAGGGGGTTAGGATTTTGCAAATATGAAGTGCAGCATCGCTCGCGATGAGCATCTTCTTCGAGAATTGTAAACGTTGTTTCTCGCTTTCAAATTTGTTTCCAGCGAGTCCCAGATAGGTTCCGCGCCCGGCTAATGAGCAAATTACCCCGAGTATCTCCAACCGAATAGCTTGACCGGTGTATAAAGAGTGGAAGTCTTTCCCAGCTACCGAAGGTGGAACTTCAAAAGTCTTGGCCGTATTCTGGATGACCTTTGCCGTTAAGAAAGACTTAGATTCACCAGCCTTGCGGGCAGAAAGAAGGCCCTTGGTCATAGAGTCAACTGGGGCCAGACTGTTCAAGATAAATGGCCCAGGAATGGCAGAGGCCTGACTCAAGCCATAATATTCGCGAATTACTGCTTCGACTGGGGCAAAATCTGTCAAAGCAAGCAGAATATCGGAGACTTTTTGAACCCAAAAAGAGGGCAGAACTCGCGGTGAATTTTGCATCTCGATACTTCGACCATCCGAGGAGAAGTCCACATCGTCACATAGACAGGACACAAAGCTGGTCGGACCAAGGTATCCCGTGAGAAATGGTTTAGTCCAACATTCCGATTCAGATGGAGCTTGTGTGTCGGACTCAGAAGGTATCTCCGGGGCTCGGTCAAATCGGACACCCTCTGTGAGCTGCAAGTAGCTCCGGTCTCGTAACCTTGTTAATGGCGCTGGGTGATAAAAGCATTCTGATGCAGTTCCGCGAGCTTTACACCGGGAACAAGGGGCACCCATATGATCGCATCGCACCTTCATGCGTCGGCATGGCTCGCAAGAGGGGCGTTTGCCGTTACGGCGCCGCGAACTATTTCCATGGTGTCAATATCTTAAGGCCTGAAACGGGATGAATCTACGTACCTCATTGATGTGTTACGGCGAGAGCTATAAGAACTTTGACAATTATGATATATTTAGTATTTAGCAGGTAAGGTAATCCATTGAATGGATGTTGTCGATTAAGGTGAAGTAAGGTGGTCGAGTTGGGTTCGGCGTTGGCCTCGCTGGATTACTCCGAAATACGAGTTGAATTCCGAGAACTCCGAAGTGGATCGGAATTACGGAGTATGGAGTGAATCAAGATCGAGGCCTGAGGCCGAGGTCTCCTCCGTCGATAAGCTGTTCGCTCTTGAAATGGAGCTAGTCCCGATCAAGTAATTTGCCATGGTTGGGTGGAGGAGTGGACCTAGGCGGATCTCCAGGGGAATTGTCATAGTTCGTAGCTCCTCCAGATGATCTTATACCAAAATTTTCGATATTGCCTTATCTCAGACGAAAGTATAGCGTAAGATTAAATTTTAATCTACTGCAAATCACTCAGCGTAGCATTGGAGGGGCCTAAAAGAGAGATAAGGCGATAACGTGCGGGGGAGTGGAATGTCACGGGGCCTGCTGCAGCCCAGTCTTTCACCGTAAAATCAGTCTGGCTGCTCTTTCTCTTCGTCATTATCTCCTGAATACCATGACTCTTGAATCCGATTCTTCTTCTACCATGCCAGCTCCAGAGCCGGCGTCTGCAGCTCATCGCTACAGCAAGCATATCATCGTAGGCCTCCCTATAGGAAGCTTCCCCCCTTCCTCCCTAGCTATAGTGGCGACAGAACTATTGGAATGCTAATCAGCAGCAGTTGACCACATACCCTGGCCAAAGTGGAATCGAACCAGTCCCTCTGGAATGGGGTGCGCCCGATGCCAAAGCTCGCGGGCCGATCATCGTTTCTCGAAGAGATAACCTCGTGAAACGCCGCAACGCGATCGGTGCCCATGGCGGAAGCTATAGCATCTACAATGCTCTAGCAATTGCCTCGGGTGACCTGGACGCTGATTTCCGGCCGGACCTGCGAAACAGTCAACCCACTTTCGATTTTAACTGGCAGCCTGCGTGGGCGGACAAGACCAAAATCGTCTCAATGGATCCGTACGGTCACGATATAGTCAATCAATACAGCGAGGAGCTCAAGGCCGGATGGGACATTCGGCCCACTATGGCAATCACTCGGGCTAATATGAAGCTGGCGGAGATTGGCGAGGCGATCCGTGAAAATCGACTGCAAGTCGATGGTAATATTCTTGTCGATTCATCTGGCGAGGTTCGAGTCACCAAGGTCGCGGTTGAACCGGTTTGGTTTTTGGATGGTGTTGCTCAACGCTTCGGCGTGGATGAAGGAACTCTTCGTCGGACTCTATTCGAACAGACTGGAGGTAGCTACCCAGAGTTGATAACTCGCCCTGATCTGAAGGTCTTCTTGCCACCAATTGGAGGCTTGACTGTTTACATCTTTGGCCCACCGGAGCGAGTCTCAGATGAGAATGTCAAGCTTGCACTGCGCATTCATGACGAATGCAATGGTAGTGATGTGTTTCAATCGGACATCTGTACCTGTCGGCCATATCTCGCATTTGGCATCGAGGAGGCAATCAAAGAAGCCCAGAATGGAGGTTCTGGTGGGTACTTACCTCAATGGTCACTTGCTATCTTCTAACGTGATATTTTCTAGGAGTCGTGATATACTTCCGCAAGGAGGGCCGTGCACTGGGAGAAGTGATCAAGTATCTCGTGTACAACGCGAGAAAACGAGGCGGAGACACCGCTGACAAGTATTTCACTCGAACGGAGAACATTGCCGGCGTGCGGGATGTACGAAACCCAACCAAGCTCTTTTTGAAGTGAACTCGTTCTGACCTTTTTTTGTACACAGATGCGTTTCCAAGCCTTAATGCCAGATATCCTGCACTGGCTCGGTATAAAGAAGATTGATCGCATGCTGTCCATGTCAAACATGAAGCACGATGCGATCGTCGACTCTGGTATCAAGATTATCGAGCGGATTCCTATTCCGGAAGAAATGATACCCAGCGATTCCCGAGTTGAGATCGATGCCAAGATCAATGCTGGTTATTTCACTACCGGTAAGCAATTCACGATGGATGAGCTTGCCCAGGTTAAGGGACGTGGCTGGGAGAAGTGGGAGGATATCACTGTGAGCATTATTCCCGGCCGTTCTCTTGCGGATGATAGTACTAACCCCGTTCTAGCACTGATATTTGCTTTTTACTTTTGGGCATTTCTGTTTTGTTTCATTCTTCATTGTGTTTCGTTGCATGTTTCCAGGAGTTGCCCAAAATCAGGCATAAATGGTGCTAGTATTCGAATATAAAGGAAATCCAAGTATATGCATCAGATCGAATTCGAGTAAAGTAGTAGACTCCAAGGTCATCATGGCAGTTGAAGACTGACGTGATCGACATTTTCCCTCAGGCTAGGGCCGATAAGTCGGACCGGCTCCGATCCCCAACATAACGCCCCCCTCTCCACGCGCGCGTCCGCTACCTTCAAGTTATCAATTGAGGGTAGAGCTACGTCACACGAGCTCCTAGTCCTAACGCGTTTGCTAGATGAATGTCGCGTTCAGAGCTGAACACAGTCTACATGTTCACCCAATTGGAGAGACATATGTGCTACAATAATTTGTCTGCGATGACCTGGATGTAAGAGATTCGGTCGACTCTTTGACCGCCGAAATGCCACACAAGATTCCTGTGCATTCGATGACAATGTTGCAAAGTTCCCAGTCCAGCGGAGCCATACGACAGGGACCGTTATCGGCAGAAAGCCCTTCCCCCCCAAGGCTTACAATACTATTCTGGGCAGACGTGGCGCTGGTATCCATTCTATGATCCCTTCACCGCTGCAGGGCGATTAGGGTATTCGAAGTCCAATGCCTGTCGACAAACCATGCAGGGGTGGGATCGGGCTAAGTGGCGCTGTACCTTTCAGTGGCGAGGATCGGCATGTCTGAAGGGAATAAAAAGCCGTGATAATCAATTGGGGGAATGGAATGGAGAGTGATAGCAATGGCAAACGAGCTCACCGAAAGAGCGGCGAAGCTGGAAGGAAGGGGGCGTTTCGGCGGTAGAGATCGAGAGGCATCTGTAGGAATTTCAGCGGACCATGGTTTGGAATTTTGGACGAGACATTTTTCTGAAAAAGAAGTCTCGAGTTCGCACCGGCCGATTTCCGACATGGGGCCGGCCTCCCACCCAACAACCATTATGACGCAGATTGGGCCGCCTGGTCTCCATCCTCTACCGGGCCCCCGCCTCCTGGAGACGGTTGTCGTAGTCTGTTTGGTGAATGAGGGGATTTTCGGACTCAATTGGGGCCCGCCGACACCGGATTATAGACCCACCAGGAGGGGTTTCTAGCGGAAGACGGTGTGATCCTATTCGTGATAGTCGCCGTGGGCGTGGATTGGGGCTGGATGAGTGGAGCCAGTGCACGATCAGATAAGATCAGAACGCGCAGCCCATTCTGCCGTGAGACGCCGCAGTGGGCCACCTCCCTGGCAATGCGCGCATTCTGATTTTTACGCAGATTCGGTGTGGAAGAAGGCAGTGGATGGGTGAGTGAGAAGTAGAATATTAAATCAGAAAATTAATAAAAAAAGTACATATCAAATAAACCATTCATGCTGAGTCAAGGACTACTGGGCAATTCGAACGATTTTGTGGTCTTGTCACATGCCTGAGCTGACTCATCAGGGGGTTTGTCTGGGCTGGTAATAAAACATGTAACTTTACACTGTGAAACACGGTCACGCTGCCTGGAACCCGCCTGAAAGCACAACCCAACCCTTTCAAATCCCGGCAAATACCGATACGATACCCCCGGAAGTGCGGCGAGCCGGAATCATACGACGGGGCGAGCAGGCTTCAACTTTGACAGCCTGGGGGCATCTCGATTGGTCTCACTTCCGCGACTTTTGCATCTCTTCAATAAACACCGATCTTCGCTGGCTCGTTTTACCGTTTCGTTTGGCGCCAAATCTTCTGCGATCCACCGGCTTGCACGAAGTGATCGTCTTCGCAGGGAAACGCCAATTGATTTCGAGAACCCACCTCCTCCCCCCCATCTGGTCGCAGAAAGGGCCCGCCGACGCTACTGACTTGCAATGTGGGTATCATTGCCTAGCTCTCCGTTCCCATGGATCTCCTGCGGTCATGACTCTGACAACTCCTTTCCCCTCTTTCAGTTTTGCTTCTACATCTCCCTACTCTGCCCTGGACGTTGATCCGACTTCATCCCTATTGATTGATACGAGCACGGCATCCAGTAAGTTATGGGATTATTTGTTGACTTGTCCCCTGTCACTATTGGTCGTCAATTCCATTATCACATTCCTTAATGCATGAAGATTCCGGTGGCCCTCTTCCGACTCCCTAGACGGAACTAACAGTCAACTTAGTGTTCGCAATCGTGCGCGGCTTTGCTTTGCATTCGATCTGATACTCAACACGAGTCTAGTATCCACGCCTTGGGCGTCAGGTCACCATATCTACTACATTCAACATGGATAATGATTTCCAACTCTTCTCTCCCCGCCAGAATGGCGGCGGGGATGGACCGAACCAATCCCAATCAACCGCCGAGAACTCCAACCAGGACTGGACCCAGTGGATGAGATGGGATGAGCCCATGTTCTCGGAAGAAAATGATCAAAAGCCTGCCAGCCTTCCATTTGTCTCCCCGAATACAGTCTCCAGTTCCCCCAGTCATCTCCAGCAACAGGAATTCTCTCCGCACCTCCCACTTGGTTTGATGGAGATCCCCGCACCCCAACACGAAGGATTCAAACGCAGCGCAACCGGGAGAAGCTCCATCGCCTCCAACTTCACAGCCTCACAAACCGGCCTCGTATCACCGATCTCGAGCGTGGGGGTCGGTCGGAAGCGAAAGACAGGCAGCGACGATGATGCTACAACTGCGACTGGGCCAGTTCAGCCCGGCAAGAAAATGCCCGCAAAGAAGCGTGCTCACAATGTCATCGAGAAACGATACCGAGCCAATCTCAACGAGAAGATCGCCGAACTCCGAGACAGCGTGCCGAGTCTTCGGACGTCGAAGAATCCAAATGGCGATTCCAATGATGAAGAAGATGATGGAGACGCTGCGCAGTCCGCCAACAAGCTCAACAAGGCTTCCATTTTATCCAAGGCCACAGAGTACATCAAGCACCTCGAGATTCGCAATAAGCGGCTTGAAGATGAAAACACTGGCCTGAAGAACCGTCTGCGCCAGGTCGATAAAGCAGCCGATCAAGCAGTGACATCGTCGGCCTCCGTTTCCTCGCCCAGCAATTATACAGTATCCAGTGATTCCAACGCCGGCACATCACCAAGTGTTTTTTCTCAGCCAGAGGAACTCGACAGCCCGCCGACTTCAAGCAGCCCTCCTGAAGGTATGATCAAGATTCCCGAATCTCTCAAACGATTCCGAGAAGAGAATGCGCCTCGAGGGATTTTTGCGGAATCGTACCTGTCAACTCCATCCTCAAATGGCCCGTTGTCCCGGGAGGAGGGATCCCGTCGACGATCAAAGATGCCGAATAAGTACATGTTGGGAGCTCTTGCTGGGCTCATGGTCCTCGAAGGTTTTGGTTCGGATAAGTCCGAATCGGAGGCAAAGGGTTTGCTGGCGATGCCTCTCAACCTCTTGAACCGCCTCCAGCCTTCTTCTCTTGCTCACTGGCAGTACTACATGAACAGTTTCTGGTACTCCCCGCATGCACGGGCTATCTCGCACTTTCTGATCCTTGGCATGATGGTCTTTGGCAGCGCCTTCATTGTCTTCGTCTACCTCTTTAACTCTGAGCCTGTTACACAGCGTACCCCAGCCAAGGCAGTCCTGGAAGCAAAGACAACCGCCCCGACATCAAGTGACTTCCGTCGTCAGGCGTGGTTGACAAGCATGCAACGAGTGGGTGTTCCACGGCACCGATTCTTCCGCGAGTGGTATGTCGTTACATCGCGATGCTTTGAGTACGTGTTGCGGTGCTTCATGGGCTGGAAGATCTACTCCTGGGCTACTGGAATCACCGAGGAGGATGAGAAAGGTCGTGTCAAGACGTGGGATATCGCCATCGATGCTCAACTTACGGGTGGCGATGCCGAGATTAGCAAGAGCCGTCTTGTGCTAACTATTTTCGCTGCTGGAACGCTTCCTTCAAGCCCAATGCGAATGATGCTCAAGGCTTTGCATGTTCGAATTCTTTTGTGGCGTGTTGGTGAACCTGGATCGTGGAGTTTCCAAGTTTCCAACGACATTGCTCGTGCTCTTGCCCGGTTCCAGTGGGGCGTCGCCAAAGATATCAACGACGCACTCCCTGAGGGACATCCAGATAGACTTCCATCTCATCTCGCTACTCTCGTCGATCTCGACTGCGAAGATGTCATGACTGATAGTATCATTCAACGTGCTGTGAACCTGACCTGGAACCGGCCTACACAGGAAGGCACGGGTGATGATGAGGTCATGCTTGATGTGGTTGAAGAAGACCCTGCGATCCAATGCTCTGTCGACGCTCTCGCAGCCTGGTGGTCTAGTCATCTTTTGCAAAATGCCCTCCTGAAGTACCTGGAGGCCAGCGAGGGCGGACCCGTTTCCAAAACAAGCCGCGACGCGTTTAAGGAGAAGATCCGCATGGCCCTCAAGGTGGCTCCCGGTCTCTCCGCTGCCTATGCCCGCGCTCTAGTCATGAAGGCAGTTTTCTTCGAACAAGGTCGTATTGAAAACGTCGGAGCAGTCCTTGCCACACTTCCAAAAGATAAGCGAAAGGACGAGCATAACCAGACCACAAACTTCCTGGATTCCTCGCTGCCTGTCTCGGTTCGGGATGAAATTTCGATCGCGGTGCGATGTGCGATGATTGCCACGGTCGTAACTTCTCGATCTGCGGGTGACACGAGTCTACCCGCTTCTTTTACCCTCCAGAAAGCCACCAATTGGTTCAACCAACTCCCCATTGACCCCGTCGAGCTTAGCTTGCTCGGATTCTCAGCGGTCTACCATTTGATGCACGTCCTCGCCTCTGATGTCGATTATATTGTTTCGTCGGATTCTTCTGCTCCTTCGGCGCCGCCTTCGGAGGCTGCTTCTGCAGATGATGAGGCCGACGAAAAGCCTCGTGTCCCACGGAAGCCCGCTGTTTGCCCCCGAGATATCCCAAACTTGGGCCGGGTTGCTGCCGAGCTCATTTACTGGTCGCGAAATGCCTACAACCCAGCGTTCTACGGCTTTTCCTCTACACTTGTTGATGTGATAGTCAAGTCATGCTCCACTGCCTGTGCGAATGCAGGCATCAATGTGGATGACTTTCTGCACACACCGCCGCCGGAGATGGTTCAATCAAGAAAGCGACGTCAGCGTCGTCGCCGCGGTGCCTCTGACCAGTCTCATCAGAGCGATGCTGATCAGGACGTGGCCGGATCTCATTTCGGAAGGCCTTTGCGCAGGGAGAGGTCTGCTAGCAATGACACTGGATATGGAAGCCTTAGCTTGGAGGATGACCCTCAGTGCATTCCTATTCCTAATGTTCCCGAGAAGGTCCAGGAGGTGTCTGCTTAAAGCTGTAGCCTGCTGCAGTTCATGATGATCATATGATAGTTTGGCGTTATGGGTTTAGGATTCGGAATATCTGGCGTTTTGAGAGTGGGTTGTATTATCTTAGGAAAAATCATGGGAAAGGGATGGTACTAAGACCGCTTTGGGGATCTACTGCGAGCAAGGCGGGTCGTGGCGTTTCTCATGATTGGGACATGTCTTTTGTTGGGCAAAAAACATTCGTCGATGTCCAGATATTGCTGGTTCTGTTACAGCACAACCTTTAGTGATAAAGAATTGTATTATTCAAATATCAAATTTTGATCAAATAGTTTTTGAATTGTAAGGTGGCATGGTGTGTTGATCGGTCTTGGCCGCCACATAATAAATCCCTAACTCCTGCACCTATCACGTTCGTAGTTTGGGGCCTCCAGGGTTTATACACATCCTGGCTCCGACTCCTACTAAACCCGTAACGCCGATCGGGGTGAAACGGAACGATACCGAGCTGTTACATTTTGCGCGAGTCACGGAGCAACGAAGCATCGACGATAGCAAATCAGCGGGTCCCAACAAGAGAGAGCTCCGCTTTTCATGGCCCCCAAACTAAGCAGAAATCCTCGTAACATGATACCAGAAAATCTGCATGAACGGACAAGGACATGGAAAAGGGCCAATTCCGTCCCAGATCAGAGTAGAAAAAGCAGGAAAGTCCTCGTTGGGTTAACCCAAACTTTACAGTCCACCAGATCGATACAATGTCGCCATTCAAGGTGATCATTGTTGGCGGCAGCATTGCTGGCCTGGCTTTGGCCAACATGCTGGAACAGTACGACATTGACTTTGTGGTACTAGAAAAACACGCTCTTGTTGCACCGCAACTTGGAGCCGGGTTCGCGATTCAACCGAATGGCGCGCGGATTCTCGATCAACTGGGTTGTTACCAGGCTCTCGAAGAAGCAAATGAGCCGGTCAATTCTCTGCTTATGGCGGATCGGTATGGAGGTCCAGCCGTCAATCTGGAGGAATTTGGGCACTGGTTTCAAGAATCGTAAGCTATTTGCGAATTCGCGCAGATGAGTGTTCTTGTTCGCTAAATGGGGTTGCAGGTTCGGTGCTAAGATGCGGTTTATGGACCGGAGAAAGGTGATCGAGACGCTCTTCGAGAATCTTCGTGATAAATCTAAAGTAAAGACCTCGCACAGCGCTGTCAAAATCTTTTGTCATTCCGAAGGGGTGGAGGTTGAAACAGCCGACGGTTCTCTTTTCCATGGAGACCTAGTGGTAGGCGCAGATGGTGTCCATAGTCGTGTCCGGCGGGAGATGCAGCGTATCGCCGCTGAGCATAGTCCTGGACTTGATCTTTTCCCAGAAGCACATGGTGAGTTGTTTTGCCTCACCTCATTGATACAGAATTCTTATTTCGAACAGCATTTACTTGTGATTATGGCGGCCTGTTTGGTATATCAAAGGCACCAGAGGGTATTCTCCCTGACCAAGCATTCAAGTGTTTCGGAGAGGGCCACAATCATCTCTGCGCAGCTGGACCCGACGGAACTCTGTATTGGTTCTTGCCATTCAAAAATCAGCAAAAGACGCAAGGGAAAGCGATTCCTCGCTATACGGAAGATGACCTGAATCGAGTCGTTGCCTTAGCTCGGGATGACATCGTGAGGCCTGGTGTAAACTTCGGAGACATCTACGACCGACGAATTCGAGTTTCAATTGTCCCCATCGAAGAGGGTATCCTGAAGCATTCTTTTTATAAACGAATGGTGCTGCTTGGTGATTCCTGGCACAAGGTAGGATACACCGACAATGACGACGTGCCATACTAACTAATAATATTACAGGTCAATCCCCTGGGTGGGCTAGGCGGAAACACTGCAATACAATCCGCTGCTGTTCTAGCAAATGAGTTGAAGGATACCATAGTAAAATATGGAAATATCAACGAAGCTGGTCTGGACACGGCCTTGAATAATTATCAACAGGCTCGACTATCGCTATCCAGCGAAGTTGTTGATAAGTCTCACGGCATACAAAAAATGGAAGCTCTGGAAACACGCGTGACTAAGTTCATTCAGTTAAAACTGATCAAAAACGCGGGAATGGAAGTGATGGCTGATGCGCTTGGTAAAATGTTTGCTTCCACTCCACGCCTGAAGTATTTGCCTCTAACCTCACGCGGTGGCTTTATGCCGTTCGCTGACGAGGTTCGAGTCAATCCTAAACATCGCTCAGGCGCTGTCACTATGCTTTTTGCTTTCTTCCTTGCTACCTTGATGTTTCTCCTGTATCCCCATACGCAGCAAGAGAAGCCGACGTCGACATCAGAGAAAAGAGCAATTTTTGTCCAGCTCTACTACAACCTTTCCATTACAGTCATCACGGTTATTATATCCGTCGAGTCGTATCGCACATGTTTCTCGATTGGTCCATTACGCAGGTGGGTACTTTCGTTATACTACATGCCCGCCTTCTGATCTCGTGCGCGGCTAATCTAGACCAGTGCCCTTCCATTCGGAATAACTGCCATTTTCGTCGGCTGGGAATTTGTGGCGCCCCTATACATGGCTCTGTTCATTTTCTTCACAGGCCTTGGGTCCTACTACTACCCCTCCCCAAGGGCGATCGATCTAGCCACTGCCCAAGCCCTCCAGCTTGCCTATTTCGTCAACTATCTCCCAGTTATAGCATATACATATGCTTGCTCCACGTTCCCATCGTTCACATGGGCCTTTGCTCATGCCACCCTGCCCCTCACTATTCAGCTTGCTACTAAATGGGTTTTGTGGCGGGCCCCTACTAGTTTTAGTCGTGGTGGTCCAGCCCTTCTGTGGGGCGATCGAGATCTGAAGTCGATCTCCAAACTTTTCTTACTTTTGCAACTAAGTCTGCTCCTGGTATCCTTTTTTGGAGAACCTCTAAAAGGGCACTCTAGGCTGAGGTTCGTCGACCTACGCTCGGTATTGACCTCGGGAAATCTGTATGGAGGAGATGATGTCAAGGCATTGCTGCTGGATGTGATGCTGATGGCCTTTACGTGCTTTGTCATTTGGGATATCCGTAGAGTCAATGCTAGCTCCGAGACTTTGGGCTCCATGATGCTATTTCGTGCTGCTATGGGTCTCTCATTGGGCCCTGGTGTAGCTCTCGCTCACCTGTGGGCATCGCGAGAAACCGAATGGGAAGCATCACGGAGGAGACAGAGCTCCATCGACAACGGATTCGATGAGAAGGAGACTTGATCGCAAGATCGATCCATAGCGTGAAGACTAGTTCTTCAGATTCGGCAATTAAAGTCGGCGAATCCGATTCTCAAACAGGCAATAGTATACATATTAGGAAATGGTACTCTCTCCTCTCATTCTTCACCTCGCTGAACAGATCCCTAGGATGTCATAAGAGAAGGGCCTAGACTTAGAGTTTTACAACCATCTCCTCTGTACTGAAGATGGAGAGTATAACGTCACATGCTACGCTGTATCCACTATTTAACTGGTCCATTGTTTATTAACGTTGCAGTTGCGTTCAGGAAGATCGGATTGCGCCCACGCTGTTCTCCGGGGCTCCGCACGGTCTGGTGGAAATGACGTTTAGATGTCAATTGTCACCCATCTAAAAGTCCAAAACTTGGAATTGCCGAAATCCAAGATCAGGGAATATTTCGAAGTTAATCCAGGGGTAAATTGGGGTCGGAGTAGATGTCCGATGGGCGACTGGGTGCGCGGGGAGAAACAAGGGATAAGCCGAAGACGGCACATGTCATCGCATCCGTTTTCGGGTTGCCGACAAACAACCATCCCACTGTTTCGAGACTAGCAATGCAAATCACCCATCAGAACCAGCTTTCTGAATTCGGTGAGTTCAGCTGCATTGCGCATGCCGATTTGTCCCTTGTGGGAGACTGGGTCCGCGGGAGCTAGGGACTAGACTTTACGCCATACCCGCCACTGACAGCGTGCATACCCGCATAAGCTTAAGCTAGCTTCGATCTAGTCTTACCCGATTCGGTCGGTTACACTCACGTTTTCGTGTGGGGCTTCGTCCTTGGAAGAATGACGGTGTTTCCAATTCGGTAGAGAATAGGTCTCCAAGGCCCCAGGGGTCGATGACGGCATCCAGGTGCGGCGATAGGCCAAGACAACTCAATACAACTTTATGTCGGCGATGTCCTGGCACATGCCGCTGTGAACTCGGATTTATCTTTCCATCCAGATCGGCTAATCTTCCAACTTCCCTCTCTTCTCCCTCCTGCTCCCCGAGATCAGCCTCCCAGGGAATACTGCGTATTCACGGTGTTGGGCGGCTGACGACGCCATCCTTTACTCCCTTGCTCCGAGCTATACAGCCAGACCCGGTCGTCGAATGGAACAATGGGTGTCCAGCTCAAGGGAAATGGCCCCGGGGAGCCACCAATGAACCCATTCGTGGCTGTTCCTCTATTTTCCGTCGGAGGCTTCATTGCCATGTTATTCTTTTGGAGAACGGCAATTCGCATTCGACACCGTCGCAGAGCAAAAACAGCGAGACAAACCGACGACCAGAATCAGCTCTCTCAAACCGGTGCTCTCAATGCAAGCCTCAAGAAGCATTTATTCTATGCACCTCTCTGGAGTTCCCGCCACAGTCGCGAATTTCGGCTCCTAAGACTCCATATGGGATCGATACCATTGCGACTGGAAGTCATCCTCTTGACGCTCTATCTCCTCCTTAACTTCCTATTCGTGGTTGTCACGGTAGATTGGTGGGAGGATTTTCCCAAGAAGATGTTCCAACTTAAGTACGCTGCTGGACACTTGGCTGTGATGAACATGCCTGGTCTGGTTCTGAGTGCTGGCAGGAATAACCCCTTGATCGCGCTCCTCGGTATCTCTTTCGATACCTTCAACTTTATGCATCGATGGGTCGGGCGCACTATCGCTGTGAATGCAATCATACACATGTCTGCTGTGTTGGCGAGTCTGGCACGCGAGAGTACGTATTTTCGCACAACGATAATAGCACTCATCTAACCCGAAGCAGATGGTATGAACTACATACTTGACACAATTTGGCATATGCCCTTCTACATTTACGGTCTCGTGGTATGTTCAACGCCGACTCAAGTCACCGCATCTTATAGTCTATCTAACTCTGCCTCCATAGGCTTTGCTTGGATTCCTTTTCATTTTCGTGCAGTCATTGTCGCCGGCTCGACACTCTCTCTACGAGCTTTTCCTACATCTCCACATTGCCCTTGCTGTTATGTCATTCGTCGCTCTCTGGTATCACTTGAAAAATCTCCTGCAGCAGCGGGTACTATTGGGAACTCTCATTCTTTGGGGTCTGGATGTATGTTCCTTCAACGACTATCCAGGTTATACGGATATCATACTGACTTATATACAGCGTGCCAGCAGACTTGGAATTCTGATTTGGAGAAACTGCGGCAAGCGGCGCACGACTGCGACTGTGGAAGCCCTTCCAGGCTCGGTTGCGCGTGTAGATGTCGATGTCTCCCGAGCATGGAATTTCCGTCCTGGTCAATACATGTATCTCTACATGCCCTGTCTGGGTCTTTGGACCTCTCATCCATTTACAGTTGCCTGGTCATCAGGAGGCACAAATACTTTGAACATGGTTGAGAAGCGGAGCTCGAGTGACTCCTTTGCGGCCCTCTTGGGTGGTTCAGAGACCGTCACTATGTCTGTCCTCATCAAAGGACAGGATGGGTTCACCAAGAAGCTTTTGGATAAAGTAGAAGATTCGCCAGAGGGGAGGATTAAGGTGACAGCATTGGCAGAGGGTCCATTTGGTGGCATTCATTCACTGGCCTCATATGGAACCTTGTTGCTTGTTGCTGGAGGAATTGGCATCACTCATCCTATGTCATACCTGCATGAGGTAGTTACCAACTTTGCCTCTCGCAAGACGGCAACTCGGAAGGTGCATCTTGTCTGGATGATTCGGAGTTTAGGTAAGCTTGAATATTCCATCAGTCATGTTTTGACCTAATTACTAATCTTGCAAATTAGATCATTTAGCCTGGATCCATGACTGGATGACTGATATCTTCAGCCATGACTCCTTGAACAGCAGTATAATTGACCCTAAAGGAGAGACGTATTTCCAGTTCCCTGGTCTCATGCTTTCAATAAGTGTCTACGTCACGGAACACAAGGAGACGTTTGAGGAGTATATTCCTGTGCCGGAGACACCATGGACGCAATGTGCTCCCTCGAATGTTCCTATTAATGTGAACTACGGCAGGCCGTCTTTCCAGCCATTATTGGAAAATGAAAAGGCAGAACAGGTTGGTGCATTGGCTGTGAGTGTGTGCGGCCCTGGTGGCCTGGGAGATAGCGTTCGCGAAGCTGTACGCAATGTGCAAGGCGAAAAGATTGTGGATCTTTTTGAAGAGGCGTTCTCGTGGTGATTGTTCATAAATTTCGTTCTGTCATGATGCTGCTGGCAGGTCCGTCTTGAGATAAATTTTGTACATACTACTCTCACACGTATCTAATCAACTTTTCAAACTAAAATTATTTGAGAAATCATGAAAACTATTTCCTAGACTATATGGACGTCGAAAATCTGTGGAATTTCCTCTTGATAGGCAACATCGCCTAGCCTCGGCTTTCAGCAGACTGCGAATTGTATCCGGTCATTCTAGTTGCACTGCATGACGCAGAGACCCGCACGGACCTACCGCAAATACAGCCTGTCCCCCACGCTAACTCTACCTATTCTACTAAGGGACCATGGGATTTTAGTTTAGTACAATGAATAAAGCTTTCTATGGCTGGCGCGGTGGCGCCTTGGATCATAACTGCCAGCCACACGGCACACAGTGGATCGAGTATCGGGACTCCCCGCCTCATGCCGAGAAGGGCTTGTCGGGTGCGACGCATGCCCGCTTAGAAAGGGGCAGATGCCGGTGGGAGACCGGGTAATTATTCTAAGAGCTGTGATTAGTCTAGAAATTTCTATTGTGCGTTTCGCTCTTCAGAGGCATATCCCAAGGTTCCTAGATTCCTGTCTACCGAATCTCGTACAATGTAACAGCTGCAGGCTGGCGCTAGTTACTAACTACTACTTAGTACTAGTAGCGGTACTATCTCCAGATTCCATTTGCTTTGCAGGTTCACAAATGATGATATCCGGTTAATTGCCCTCTGGTCCTTTTAGAGCCACCGCTTTTCGGTGAACTATGGTTGGCTGAGGAGGAGACACTGACGACACGCGACCTCTTCCCCATGGTGGATCTGTGTGGGTCACTTCTGTAAGCGGGGAGGGGTTTACCTTGTAACTGAATTTATTTATAAAGCCTGCGCAATGCCCCGCAATTATTGCCAATGTCTCTATCAATCCCTCATCCAATCTTCGAACATACATACAGTCATATAGAAATGACGACGACTTTTTCTTCGCTGCCCGTTGTCGATGTTGGCCCTCTTGGGAACCCCGGAGGGGCATCTGAAGAGCAATTGGCGGCTCTCAGCCAGCGTTTATATTATGTGTTCACTACGACTGGCTTCGCATATCTCACCAATGTCCCTTTGAGCTTCAACCATGAGCAGGTATTCAGCATGTCGCGAGAATTTTTTGCATTGCCGCAAGAGGAAAAAATGAAGCTCGCCAAACGATCTTTCCGACGCAGCCATCAGAACACATATAGAGGGTCATTTACCCTTGTATCTGGTTATTGAGCACCATCACTAACGCACATGTTTCTATAAAGATATTTCCCCACTCAGCCCGAATTGGCCTCGGACAACCTGAAAGAAGGATTTGAGATGGGCCCTGCCGAGCCTATTCGTACTCAAAGCAGCACTTCGTCGACATCAAAGTTCAATCTCGCCGAGTCAAATGTCTGGCCGGAGGAGAATCTACTTCGAGCCCGACCAAAGCTCGAAACTCTTTATGTCGAACTTCAAATTCTTGCGTCAAAGCTCCTCTCACTCCTTGCAGTTTCCCTCGGTAAACCGGCGGACTATTTCGCATCGTATTTGGAGGACTCTTTGAGTACTCTTCGATTGCTCCACTATCCTGCCGTGGAATCGGTCGCTTCGGGTTCAGGATCTGCAGGATCAGATAATGTCAAGCTGAGCTGTACTCCTCACACCGATAGTGGAATTTTGACTTTGCTGCACCAGGATTCTACGGGAGGCTTGGAAGTACGCAACTCATCCGGAGAATGGGTCGCCGCACCCTATATTCCCGAGTCGCTGGTGGTCAATATTGGAGACCTCATGGCCAAGGTATCTGGTGGAAGATTTGTTGCCACTATGCACCGTGTTCGTGCACCCCCGATGAGCGCGTCTGCCTCTGCCGTTACAGGCCAACATAATGGTGAAACCCAGGCACTAGGCAGGATTAGTGTCCCATTCTTCTTTGAGCCCGGGGAGAACTGCCTTGTTCGTTCCATTGATGGCGATGAGGGGTTTGTCTTATACGGTGAGCATGTGCGAGCGAAAATGAAGACCTGGGTGGAGTTCCAAGACGATGAAGACAATTAATTTGCCTGAATTGCACCCCAGGGCTGGGGCTGCTCTGCCCGGGTTGCTAATGATGACAGCACTGGCCCATGCAGATCTATGACTCGTCTTCAATGCCGGTTCTTTCCCCTCTGCGACCTTGGCCAAAGCAGCATTTGAAATTTGGAAGCGTCGAATTTAATGTTTTGGATACGACGAAGGGATATGCAACCCAAGCGACTTTGGTACCCATAGCAACAACTTCCCCAGCGACAGTGACCCATGCGCCAACGGTTTTCTTGCCCTGTTTTCATTTCGTGGAGCACTTTTTGTATGTTAGCATAGATGTTCACCCTTATGCGATCTACGTCAGTCGTCGGGACACCTGGATCTCACATTTGAGTTTGTGCTTGTGGACCACTTTCTCTGTCTTGGGTATGTCATAACCGCGGCTTTTGTATTACAACTTGATCTGGATCATGTCATGATATATGAGTTTGCCGGTGGAAATGTTATGGCCGATACTTCTTTTCCTTTGCAGGCTGCCAGGATCAATGCAGCAAATGGAGATACATCATAGACTCGACCGTGTTCTAGAGCATCGGAGTATTCATGCAATGACATCAATGCACCGTGAGATCCAGTATCTGCTTTTGTCCATGCGTGCTGAGAGCCATTATCCCACAGCTCTGTATGCACGTCGAATGGCAGTGCATCCACAAATGGCGTCCGAACAGAGTAGTTCCTAGTGTGCAAGGAATACGCACTGCGAAGCATCAAACTGACAATGATGGTACGGCGGACACTCTCGGCCAGTAACCAGGCGTGTCGAGGGCTGAGCGATGAAGGAAGCTGAATAGGAGCCTGCTGCCACAATCGCTCGGCAACCGATTCAAGCAACGCGCTCGTTCCCTCGAAGTACTCATCCGGAACGTCCTCATTTAAAGCAAGAATACACTGGGTAAGAATCAAGGCCTGAGAATATCCCAGAAGCTCTTCAATCCCCAAGGCGTGTGAAAGATGCCGCGTATACTCTGCCAATTTCCTTCGTAGAAGGGGACATAGATCTCTTGAGCGCTTTGCTTCCTCGGCTTGTAACTGTAGTTTGCAGAGCCAGTGAATATCTCGAATGGGCGCCGGAGGCTTCAATACATTAACATCGGGATGAATGAAAAGCGTTTTCTGGCTTTTTGCAAATGATCTCGGGAACTCTCGAATTCCATTCACCAGGAATTGGATAGCCGATTTGTCGTATTCTTTTGCAATCTCTAGCCGCAAAGGGAATTCTATTTGACCCATCGGATTGTATTTTCTCGGATTGTCGGGAGAACTCTGGTTTTCAATGGATTTCTGAGGTGCTTTTCTAACGGTCATTGGCGCGTTGGTATATTCACAATCCATCCCCCTGTCAGCGCACCTGCTGCATTTGGGTGAGCGCTGGTCGCATCGCCTCTTGCCCCTAGCACAGGCTTGACATGATCTGCGTAGGGTAAATGATTTTGGGGGAGCTGGCGGCATTTTTGGGCAATTTAGTTGCTCGTGCGAGGATCAAAACCGTTGACGCGTCGCCACTCGTAAATCGTTTTATCCCGGGTCACGTGGTCGTGTGCCTGCGAAGCAAGCATGCTTCAATTTCAACCACACCGTGAAAGCAATTATTTTCATTAATGCAGTCGATTCTAGATAAATACCAAATATTCACAGCTATATTGATTTTTCTGCGGTGTGTAATTTTACGGGACAGCCCCCGTCTGCCCGAATTGAATTGTCATAGTTAGTAGATCTCCACAATCATCAGCCAGAAGGATCGAGAAACTTTTATAAAATAGATATCTACCGTTGTGATGTCTTACGAATGAGATGAGGAAGAAAAAAAGAATACATTCCCAAGGTTGACAACTTGAATGTTTAAGGATAGAGACGAAACAATTTGAAATTTGTACACATCACACAACCACGCCACTCAAACCCAATCCTAAATCGAATATAATAGTATGGCGCCTAGCAAAGTAGCTTATAGCTGCGGTAATACTTCTCACCACGAGCGCACTCGCCTCCATTCCAAACCTGGTCATCGAAATGGCAAGTAACATCGCTGTAAGTGTGCACTAATTCACGGTCAGAATGCGATCATCGTTTCGGATCCAGGCAATACTCACGAACACAGTTACCAGTCTGCAGACGGAACTCAACGGATCGGACATGCTCTCCATCTGGAATAACATTGCACTTGTTGATATCAGTGTCGTAGACACCCAGCTCCCCGAGGGCGGCAGTGCAGGTGGTATCGCTCATCAGCTCCAAGGTCGCGTAGCGAGTAGTTCCCTGGGCAGGAGCTGCGGAGGCAGCGCCAATGAGAGCAATTGTAGAAGTAAGAATAGTGATAAGCTGCATTTTGAATGTATTGAACTAGAGGTTGCTATGTTTTGTTTCCGTTGTTTGAGAGGCTGTTGATGATGTGATTGAGAGAAGTTCGTGGCTCTTAAATACTTTCTTTCTGCCAGATACTAGTACAATCACTGCGTTGGATAGTATAGCCAAGGTTTTGAGATTCAAAAATAGATCCAAGACTCGGAGGCCCCGATCAAGCTCTGGAACTAACTACGATCCGTTCTCCGACCCACTGCTTGAAGATCTTTGTTCCTAGCCAGGGAAGGCTTACGCCGATCAGGCACGCATCTGCTGATTAATTGTTATATTTCATTTTAGTATGTGACTCGTTAGGTAAAACCCTTTGAGTAATACTCGTTATTGGACTAGAGTCGTTAGGGCGCTCGGCAAAAGCTTCAGAATGTCAGGCCTCCCAGCTGACATGTCTCACTGCCAGTTACCAAGCACAGGAAAATCGGTGTAGGTTTAGGCATCCAAGGTGCCTCGTTAATACATCTGTATGCATAGTCAAAACTAACCCTTACCTAATTTTCAATTGAATTGGGGCTGGGGTATATTGAGTATGAAGACTCGGAGGTTGTGGGGCATTGCAAGGGCAGGATACCCTGATCCAAGTATAAGGTTGCTACTATATATTAAAGTACAAACGAGATCCAAAGATATACATACTTAGAGATATGTCCACTGTTTTCTCTTTTCTGTCCTGAAACATAAAAAGCTAATATCATTCTGGTTGATAACTAATAATGATAGACAGTGCCACACCCGTTACTGCCCGTTGTGTTGAATCTTACGGTTCTTAGTCACGATGTTGAATCACCACCCCGGTCTCACTTCAATTCCACACTCGCATTAGCACTGAGAGATAGTGGGGTAAGTGTGCCGAGACCGGCTCTCGTCTCTGCATCTTCCAGCGTCAGGATCGCGGTCATGCCACTGCCGATTCCAAACGCCCGCTTCAGGGCCTTCCAACTCTCAACACAAGCAAGATAGGTTACCGTGCAGCCAAACACAATACCCCACTCCCATGTTATAGAATGATGTTTGAATACCAGCTGGTTTACTACTGGAAGATAGATAACTGGGAAGGCAATAACAAACCCAGCCACCACTGCCCAGAAGAGAAATTGGTTGCGCCAAAGTGTGGAGAAGATGGAGGACTTCCGAGGAGATCTGACTGGATCCATGTTGAACAAAGACCAGGAGAAATGTTTCACTTCCCAGGCTGTTACCAGCAGAAGGAAAGTCAGAGTTGCGTATGTCGTTGCACGGGCTCGGAAAACAGCGTCACATGTCGGGTTGTAGCCTTGATTACATCCGTCTCCCAAATCAGCAGTCCCTGCGCCAGCTGCATAAATGACGCAAACAAATGCGACCAGGCAAAGCGAGCCCATGAAAGTTCCGTATATCATCTTGTCAACTATGAGTTCCCGAGTGAATACTCCGACTCGTAGGTCATGCGGCGGTCGATACATAATGTCCGGTTGCGCCTCTTCCAGACCGAGACCAACAGCTAGGAATGAGGAGGTGACAAGATTGGCCCATAGAATTTCTAGTGGAGAAAGAGGGAAGACAGAATCCCCTCCTGTATCTTTGAATGCAAGAGCAATGAGAAGTAGGATGACCTGGGCGATGTTTGAAATCAAAAGATGCATGAGAAACTAAAAAAAAGGTCAGCTGGTATTCACTGGCGCCTATTCGAAAGAGATACTACGTACCTTCTGAATATTATCGAATAGACGACGACCCTCCTCGACAGCTTTGACAATCGAAGAAAAGTTGTCATCGGTGAGCACCATATCTGCGGCTTCCTTGGCCACATCACTGCCATTCTTACCCATGGCAATGCCTACGTCTGCCCGTTTGAGCGCCGGAGAATCATTGACCCCGTCACCAGTCATCACACAAAATGCCCGGCGGCGATGCATAGCGTCAACCATACGCACTTTGGTGGCTGGGCTACATCGAGCAATGACTAGTGGCAGCTCCTCAATTTCGTCCACCTCGGCGTCGGTAAGTCTGTCAAACTCGTCTGCGGCCATGACTAGCTTCCTTGACTTTGCCGAAGCAATCACGCGGTCGAGGATACCAACTTCAGAAGCAATGGCTGTGGCTGTCTTGATATGGTCACCCGTCAGCATGTGCACTGTTATTCCTGCCATTTGGCACTTCCGCACCGCTGCCGCTGTTTCGACGCGAGGAGGATCATACAGGCCGACTAAGCCGCCAAATTCGAGATCGCTCTCTGCAGATGCTCGAGGGTGAATGAGGTCGTTATTGTTGATAGCAGTCTTTTTGTAGGCAATGCAAAGAACACGAAGTCCTTCTCCTGCCATTCTATCCGCGGTTTCACGGATGATCTGCTTTTCACCTTCGCTAGTTGATATAGAGGGAATGACAGCCTCCGGTGCACCTTTGGTGTATATCTCATTGAACCCATTTTCCGCATTGCTATACACGATTGTCATCTTCTTGATAGCGGAGTCAAATGGGTATTCTGTGTGGAGCTGAAGATTCCGCCGCCCGATCACAGAACTTTTGGCAAAGTCAAATCGCATAGCCAAAACGTGCAAAGCTATTTCGGTCGGTTCGCCAACCGCGGACCATATACCATTCTCATGCTGCACGACTGAGAGGTTACAGAGTGAAAGCGCGGAGAGAAAGGTGTGTAAAGCTGGATGCTTCTCAATAGGGTGGTTTGAATTCCAGTCAATCTCGTCCATTTGAACCAGGCCACTAGTCGGGTCGTATGGATCGGTCGTTGAACGAACAGTCAAGGTGCCTGCCCCTGGGATCCACGCCGATCGAGCGATCATTTTCCCCTGTGTCAGAGTTCCTGTCTTGTCGGAGCAAATATTGGTGACACCGCCAACAGCCTCGAGACATTGCAGTTTGCGAACTATAACATTTCCTTTTGCCATGGCCTTTGTACCCACTGCGATGGTAATTGTCAGGACTGCAATGAGTGATTCCGGAATTACAGCCACTGCAACGCAGATCCCATAAATCAAAACCTCACCTTGCACGTCCCACAAGTTGACCGAGAAAACGATGATGGCAAGAAGAATGGCCAAGGCAAATAGAAGAAGTGCGAACTTGCTCAGTTTCACCTGTAGAGGTGTGCCCACCAGTCCCAGCATCTTAGCGATGAAGGATTTGACACGGTATAAGACTTGACGGAGCGGGCTTCTGTTCTCCATACCACCCTGGTCTTGGAGCAGTTGAGCAATCTTGCCTACTTCTGTTGCCATTCCTATCGCAACCACGATACCAGTAGCTCGACCCTGTGTTGTGCTACAGCCGGAGTATGCCATGTTTGTCCGATCTCCAATGGGTATATTTGGTGAGACCAGCGTGGCGTATGGAGTTTTCTGAACGGGTAGAGACTCCCCAGTAAGAAGAGCTTCGTCCGTCGACATGTTCATGCCCTCCAACAACCGCAAGTCTGCAGGAACGACATCCCCAACCGCCAGGCGAACTATGTCCCCGACAACTAGTGATTCAGCTTTGACAGAAACCACCTTTCCATCCCGAATGACTTTGCACACTGGTGCTGATAGGCGGTGGAGGGAAAGGATCGTCTTCTCGGCTTTATAATCTTGAACAAAGCTATTCTGGTCAGCTAGCTCCGAGAGAGAAATGATTCCTACTACGTACCCAACAATGATGTTCAGGAGGATCACGGCGGTGATGACACCACCCTCGATGTAATCGTCGATTCCAAAGGACAGAGCCATGGTGATCAGAAGAACCTAGATAATATGACCATCAGCTGTTGGTTTCTTTGATCTCCCGGCGAATGTAATAAGCTGGCCGAACTCACTATCGTCAAGCTGTTGGATACCTGCCTTAGCAGTATCCCCCAGAAGGAGATGTTCTCGATTTCACGGACCGCATTTGGACCGTCG